AACTTTCAAGAGACATTTTTTATTTTACAAGTTCCTCAGAGAGTATTTCAGAGCTACGAGAGGTAAGCTACAGAAAAGTGAGATACACTCTGAATACATCTGCACCCCCTAAAAAAACCTTTGCAAGCTCAAAAATAATTACAGTCACAAGGATGAAAAGTGCAAACATGCTTTTATGATCGCAGCCATCTGAACTGAGAGAAATTGTGGAGCAGTTAGCGAATGAAAAACCGGGAATAGTCAGAGGAAAACTGCACGCTTCTGTTTCCAGATTCCACCAAGTTCAAACACCCCTGCTGTAAATATGTGAGCAAGGAATGGCAGCAGTGGAGTGCATGTCTCATATATTGATGGATTTCTGTTCTTCTAACTGGTTAATATGCTTTTACGGCATATCTGAGCTTTCTCTTTCCAGCTGTCATCATCTGTAGACTACAATAAAGCACATACTTCCTCTGTCAAACGCACAACACAGCCTGAAGTGAACAGAAGCAAAGACATAAAACAAATCTTTGACTCTTAAACGGCTGATTTAAGGTACTAGAATTTAAATATGAGATGAAACAACCTTATCAGCAACATTTCAACGATACTTCTCCATTCCTGCCTTCAAACACGCCCAGAACACATCTTAATAAAGCTGCCAAGACTGACACAGGAATGAATGATTTTATGCTGCTCCATAATACCAACCTGCCATTCCCAAAGCTAACAGCATCAAAATAAGGTGATAATGAGCCGTCAGTCTGCTTTGGGAAGATATCCCGCTGCTACAACCATCATACACACAACACTGTCACAGTCACATGGAGAAAACTACCCCTACTGAGCTGCCATGCATTTTAATGTGTGTATGTGTGTGTGAGTGTGTAACAACGGAGTAAGCCGATAGGGATTTTCTGCTGCCTTCATCATCACTTGGAGTCAACCCTCAGGCCAAATGGGTGTATTTTCTCTCTCTCCTTTTCTCTCCCTCTTTTTTTTCCTCTTCCTCTCTCTTACACACAAATACACACTCCTCTGTATGTGTGTGTGTGTGTGTGTGTGTGTGTGTGTGTGTGTGTGTGTGTGTGTGTGTGTGTGTGTCTTCAAATTAATAGCACAAACAGTATTAAGGGTGTGAACGCCTGTACTTACACAGTTTACATGTGACATGTGTTCATGTCACGTGCATGTACATTAATTTATATGTTTGTTTGTGTGCATGTCAGTGTGTGTACATGTGCATGTGTGTATTATAGTCCAGAGAATAAGCGGTATTATGAGGATGAATTCATGCATCTAAACGTGAATGTGCGTGTGTCAGCTTCCACGTGTGTCCCTTTTTATGTGCAGGTTTGTGTTTTATTGTCATACATGTGAGTGTGTCTCTTTATCTGTATAGCTAAACCAGTGTGGGGATGTGATTGCATGCCATGTACAGTAAATGTGCAGATTTAAGCTTGCATGTGTGCCCATTTCTGTTTGCAGGCATGTATTTGTGTTAATGTTTGCATCTGTATTATGGCTGTGAGAGTATGCAGACACAGTGTTTGATTGCAGGCTGCAGCTTGGATGTATGTCCAGTCCCCTGTGTGTGCTTGTGTTTTATTTGTTACATGAATGTGTGTGTGTGTGTGTGTGTGCCTGCCTCAGTCCAGATATGCTCTACATTTAAATAACAGGAGCATTTGCATTTAAAGCGCTGTAATGCTCCACTGTTACCCACAGCCTCTGGCGTGTATCTATAGTACTGATCAACATTTTACAGCTTTGGTTCATTCTCAGCAGTGACAGCAATCATCAGAGGCAAAACAAAACCCATTTACTGGACAGATACAACCCACAAAGCATAATTATGACTCTCAAGGGGATTTGCAGCGTCTGATGATTCAACGGTGCATTAAGAGCTGACTACAAGAGACATCACCAGCTATCAATCAATCCTGCATGATTATTTCATGCCAGGAAACACAACAAATTCAGCAGATCAATACTCAAGAAGAAAGGATGAGACAGAGAGGGGGGATCACTGAGGTGGGGTCGAGATCCAAGTTCCCCCCTTTTCTTTTTTTTATCACAATCCCTGCAAATCTCAGGTTGTGCACCATAGCTTATTATCAAAAAAAGGGGGCATAGACTCTGCAGATCACATGACAAGAGTTGCAAATCCTGAATTTGATCTTGGCTTTTTTTTACTGCCTAAATTAGAGCTGCTTTGGAGCTCTGTTGGTTATTAATGGCAGCAGCAGCAGCAGCACACACCTGAATGAATGATGCAACATGCTGATGAGGACACTGATACAGGCTACACTGAGTTTGATCCCTGTCAGATCCTTTAAAGCCTCCAGTCCTGTCTGGCCGGTGTTTGATGTGTGTGCCAGATGAAAAGTGTAACCCCTAGCGTTAGCTCACACCGTCTGCATGGAAAGGTGACAGGGGAGGGAAAAAAAAGAGAGAGGGAGAGGAACAGGGAAAGGGATGTTAAGAAATAACTTACCCCGAAGATGACAGTGTCTTCTCTTTGAAATATGGGGATGAACTTATCTCCTCGGTTGATCTCAGACTTGTTCAGAGGACGAAATCGACACAACACCTTAATATTGCATTCTGCGTTGGCATCAGACATCGTGGATGCAAAATAGTGGGAGCGCTTCCAAAAAAAATAATGAAGATTTTTATTGTTTTTACGCACAAAAAAGAGACAATTCTCCAAAAACCACCTGGCGGCTATACCCACGCGTAAAGCGAGACTTGCAGGCAAAGCATTAGGAAGAATGGACAACTACGAGTTTTTGGGAGACACTAGAGCCAAATATAAAAGCAATCTAACAGAAAAACAAAAAGCAAAGCCTTTAGGAGTGTTTTCTAGTTTGTAAAAGCCCAAAATAGACACAGGTGCGGTCGAAGAGGCGGATCTGGTTGGAGAGTTGTAAACGGAGAGTATATTCCAAACTGGTCCGGTCGCTGGAGTGTCTGGATGGGCTGCAGGCTGCTCACATTCAAGCATGCCTGCTCTTGCATCTCTGTCAACCCCGCTCTCGCTTTCTCTCTCTCACTGAGGGCGGGGCGTGCAAAAGTAGCGACTCCAATCCTCTCTCATCAGCACCACCGAGCGAGCACAGGGACCGAGGAGCAGGAAGAGCGCTCACTCTGATTTTTATTCGTGCATTTACAGCAACAAAGTTTGTGTCTTTATGTTTAGAGGTAAAGAATTCACTCCCCAAACCCATCACCTTTTTAAATTGGCTTTTAACCTGTGAACTGTTCTTTTATTAGTGTTGTGTCGTTCGCAAACGATTCATTCAAAAGAACCGAATCTTTTAAGTGAACGTACTGAACCGAAGCATTTCCTAGAGTGATTCGTTCGTTTCTCACTTCAGTTGAGCTAAAGTGAGAAACAGTATTGCTAGTCAAGCACCCAGCGAATGAGGGACCACATGCACCGACACCTGAATCACTTGGTGAACGAATCACACATTGAACTACACTCTCTGGAATCATTTTTGTTGGACAAAACTACCTTTTTTTCACTGCTAAATTGCGACCACAACAACTTGCGTACAATAGGACACAGCATGTAACAAGTAGTGCATTAAACCGTGCAGCATCCTATCATTGCAGCAGTTTGCCAGGGAATGGTGTATGTTCAGTGTGAATTTTTCTAAACGTTCAGTGAATGAATCACTCACTGACCCCAATTTACTGAGCAGACCTGGTAAATAGCATACCATAGGACAGTACACTTAAAACATCATGACTTATAAACAAGTTCATTTTTACAAACCTGTTTGCCAAAGCAACACAACCATTTTATTCCAAAAGGTGACTTTGATTTTTTACTTCTATTGAAATTAAGAATCGTTAAAGTTGTGAATGTTTAAACAGATAAGATATAGAGTATGTTCTCGAACCACAGCTAGAAACTACATTTCCCAAGATACTACATAATCACACCTTTCCTGAGACACTTTGCCAAGCTAATATTGTTTACCTCGTTATAACATAAGCTTTATGTTTTTCATTTTAAGGCTCAGGTCCTCTGTAACTACATTTCCCCTAAGAACAATAAAACATCACCTGACCTATCTAGGCTATTAGAGTGTTGTGTGCAGTGGATTATCCAACCCACCAATGATGCTTCTAGTCACCCTGTCCAGTCATGTTATAGGTCAGTAGCCAGAGTTATTGGCTAGTGACTATGGAGAAAATCACTGGCTGTCAATGAAAAGCAACAGTCGTTGACTTATCTAAACACAGCTGTATTGATCTTCAGTCTATGAGAGATATACCTTCTGGTACATTTCCCCACAGTGAAAAAATAATTACCACCACCTTACTGATGTTAAGTCCCAAACAGTTTCTCCATTTTCTTTGCCAAACCATCAAATGTAATCATAGTCTATCTGTAGGCTTCTAACCTCCCCTGCACGATGCTGTTTTAAATCTATCATGAAAATGTTCACTATTTGTCATGTGAAAATGAATAAACTGAACTAAACTAAACTAAAATTGGACTCTTTATTGATTCAAAATAAGTTTAGCCATATTTTGACTTTTAAATATAGCTTTTTGATACGTTAATTTGAAAAAATGAGGGCAATCTCAGATAAGGATTGAGTATTTTTTCCCAGTTGAGTGACTCATCACTTTCTATCGACGATCTTTGGCCATTAATTGAGTTTTTTGCTTGTACCTTTAGCGCCACCGCGTGACGGTTGAGCTTAAATTCAACAAAGACGGAGGATTTGAGTGCTGTTGAAAATCGCTGTCGAATAAAAAATAATCGCAAAAAAACCTTTTTATATATGAATATGATAGAAACCAAGAGGCGCTAACAGACTATTTCTATTAAATTATGTCGGTTAAATGGTGCGCATGCGTACCAACGTCCTACTATGTAGAGGGGTTGCTTGTTTCGCTAGTCTTGATGAGCCGTTAAAAACCTCCTCCATGTTGAACTGCTAACACAGCACCGCCCGTCCGGCTGCCCCTGTAATAAAACAAACGAACACGCTGTCAGACACAGCTAGTGACCACATCAGCCGGCGGAGACCAGAGAGACTGCTGCCTCATCTACCGTTAGCTTTTGTCACACTTTCACACGGTTACATCGACATTTGACACGTTTCGGAAGCCGTAATTATATCTCCTTGCGATCTGTTGGTGTCATATTTGCACTTCGTTGACAATGGCTGACCCCAAATACGCAAACCTACCAGGAATTGTAAGTGGCTAACGCTAGCAGACAGATTAGCCTGATTGCTATTTAGTAGCGCCCAGGCTGTGACAGCTAAGTTAGCTCACCTCCCTTCAGTCTGCTCTGTTTTCTAACTACTTGTTCGCTGAAGTCACGTATAATGTTCAGATAAAGTGCATTTTTATGGCTAGAATTTGAACTAGAGTCTTCTGATGAAACTAAGTTAGTAGTAAAGGTTGGAATATGCGTGTTGTTGAATGGGCCGGGGCGTTGGCCAGGCTAATGCCAATAAACGGATTCTATGACTCTATGATATATTGTTGATTTTATCTTTTTACAAGGCTTTTAACGAGCCGGACGTGTACGAGACCGGAGACCTTCCAGAGGATGACCAGGCTCAGTTTGAGTCGGTAAGTGGACGTGTGTTTTTCTCTGTGTTTGAGAGTCAACAGGCAAACCTACTGAGCTACAGTGTTTATGTTTATTTTGAGTAAGGTTAGATGTAAAGAGATATCCATTCCACCCTATCTTAGCTAAAATATAGGGGTGGGAGAAAATATCGATTCACATAAGTATCGCGGTGTTTGTTTTATAATTTTTAAATCGATTTTTATATTCAAAAATGGATTTGACTTACATGTGATGTGTATTTTTTGGGGAAATATGGTTTCTAGAATAGTCAATCATAATCAATCAGCTGTTTCAGTGGTGTTAAAAATGCAGACTGAATACCGAGAAAATCCACGATATCGTAGAATTTTAATCAAATCGGCATCCAAAAAAATCATAGAAGAATCAAATTGTGAGAAAAGCCCAACTAAATTGTATGAAAGTCATGCTATTTAGTATTTTCTCATTTGTGGAAAATATTGGTCTTGTAAACATGTTTTAAGATGCAGTTTAAACAGGTTACATGCTGAATATCAAACCAATTACTTGTTAATGCGTTCGTAAGAATGGGTAGATATGGTAATTTGATTATAAAAACATTCAGCCACCCGAACACTATCATATATTAAAATGTCAGTGTGTGCCTTTGACCTTTTCTAACTGTGGTCTTGTGACTCTTACAAACAGCTTTTCTCACTGCTAAACTGTAATATCAAGTGGTTATGAAGAGTTAAGAGTGGTATTGCAATAGTTTCTTCCTTTCTAACAATGAAAATGAGAAGTCCTTTGGAAACAGAGGACGAAAGCTGGTCTAACATTACCTTTTTAACATGTCTGGTTTGCTACTGACCGGCTGAATGAATCCTAATTGGCATTTTCCCTTCCATGTGTCCAAATACCCTTGCCCTTGTTTTGACTCTTCCATACCCCTCCCGGGACTCTAGTTTGTACAAGTAAGACTGGCTCCGTTTTACTCTCAGTGAGCTTAATGCCATGCTTCTTATGCATGTTTTTAACCTGTATCCCCTTTCCTACCTCTACTGATTGGGACGAAATGAGAAAAAAAAAAGATTGATGGAGTGGCCCTTCTTTGTTCTCTGTAATTCATCAATTTTTGATTGTTTTGAAGTACATAGAATCAAGTTTTTCCTCCTATTTGTGTTGCTTATTTAAACTGGAAATAATCATTTTAATGGCTCCTCAGAAGCACTTTAATTGTCTCTTTCACTGGGCCTTGTTTTGACTAAGCAATGCAGGCCAAAAGTTGTCTGAGTGGGTGTGAAACACTGACGGGACAGAAAATTGTGTTACTATTTGTTTAAGATAATTTTTCCTTTTAACCTTACGCCATGTTCTAACAATCGCTTCTAAGCTAACCACACTTAACTGATACTAACTGGACATTTCTAAGGCCCCTGTACTCTGTGCTGTAACATCTTGCTGGTTCATTGCATGTGTAGCTTCATGAGTGGCATACAGTTTAAAAAAACAACTACACAGTGTTGAAAAGTCAAATTTGACACATCTGCCTGACAGATCTTGAACTCTATTAAGAAAGTAAATATCTCAGTAAATATGTAAGCACAATTATCCGATTATCTGTTCTTTTATGTATCTGATTCAGTTTAATCCCAGAAACTACTCAAACATGACAGATTTTCATTAAAATGACAGTCTGTAAGGGTTTTTTATAAGTTTAGCTTTCCCAGTTACATTCGTTCTGTCACAGCAGGCTGCAGTTTGTCTTTTTACTGCCACCGCTCTGGCATCTTGTGATTTTGAAAAGTACATAAAGGCAGCTTTGGATCCATGCATTGCTAAGTTTCATACCATGCTCTGCCTGATGGGTCTGAGGCTTGATGCTGCAGCAGTCATGGTGAGAATATGGTCTTCAGCTCCTGTCAGACAAGCTTTTGTCGCCTAATGCAGCACATGTCTTCCAGTGTTATTTGGCCGCTCAATTTCCTTTGACTCGGACTGTCAAACATGGTGTACAGGGGCCTTTTAACAGGATAATTTTCATTACTCGCTTTGGCATAGGTCAGCTGATCAATTTAGGGTGAACTGCATGTTGTTAGGAGGTAACTCACTTTGACTGATGATCTATAACAGACACCAACCTCTTAAACAGAATGCATTTTGGGGTTTTTCGACCCACTGTAGTTATCCTCCAATCATCTTAAACCCCCTGTAACCCTTCACTCTTAATCATGTCGTTTTTGAAACACCTATCCCCTACATCCACGGCTTAATGCAGCGGGACCAGAGCTCTCCATGAGCACAAGGTTCCACTGCATTATAAAGTACAGTAATGTACCAGAGGAGAAAGTAACATGCTGGTATTTGTTGAAGGAACATCTCACCACCCTGAATCGGGGAAAAGAGAAAGAACTGGAGACACCAGAAGCGGTCTGTCTCGTGTGTCTCCAGGGTTTTTAGCAGCGACTCTCTGAACACTGCTTTCTTTCTTGTCTTTCCCCGACCCCAGCCGACTGTTCCTGTTGTATGCATGGCATGTGATAACCACATTAATCTGTGTTGTCTCTCTCTCTCTCCTCCCTACTTTTTCTCTCCCTCTGCTCTTGCGTTACTTTCTCTAACTCTCTTTGGAAACCCAAGGAGCTGGTAAGAGCCTGACTAACTCTCCTCCCCCTCCACCTCCTCCTCCTCCTTCACCTCCTCCTCCTCCACCCTGCATCTGTGTAACAGTCTTGTGTGTTTTGTCTTTTTTATCCAAATCAGTGTTCGTGTGTGTGAGCCCGAACTCATACCATCTTTTTGTATGTGCCAGTGGTGTTTTAATCTTACCCTTAGACTAGTTCACAATAATTTATCACTAGAAAGTTTAATCAAATGGGTTTTTTTTGCTCTCCCCTGAATCACTAATGAAGGAGCTCTCATTTAGAAAAGAAAATCATAGAGGCTGCTAGCTTTGGTTCTGCATTTTGTATTCATGTAACATCAATCTAACCAAAGTAGACTTAAACCACATGGATAACATACTTTTTAAGATGGTCTAAGAGTCTACTTTCAGTGGCTGTTGAATGCGTAATTGTGCACCTTTGTCTCTTTTTATTGCAAGGACTTTAAGTTATGTTTGAATAATCTGGTTTGCCCCCAAACTGACTCAATAATGGCTACTAAGCTCTTGCAGATTTTCATGGCTCATGGCTACAGTGGCTTGTAATTGACGTGGGTATGTGATCTGATGATAATAAAAATAACACATTCAATTCAACAGCCTGATTCAGTGCCTTTTGATCACATTTGGTGCAATGATCAAGCCTTGAATTTCCGCCCTGATCTTACCAATCCTGTCGGTATATTTCAAGTCGAGACTTTTGAGCTAAGGCTCATATTTAAGTCTTTGCTGCCTGTGTAGTTTGATCTGCCCTTTACTGATCAAGTCCATCTTTATCTGACTTTATCCTCTGGTGTTTCAATGACAGGAGGAGCTCTGCAGTGATAGCGTGGAGAGGATTGTGGTCAACCCCAATGCAGCCTACGACAAGTTCAAAGACAAGCATGTCACCACCAAAGGACTGGGTCAGTTCATCATGTTTAACCATCAGACAAAGGGGGAAAGTAATGGTTGGTAAAGATGGTGGACTGATGGTCACGTAATTTCTAGATATAAAGTAGAATTATTTCCAAGTAGAATTATTTCCAAGTACAATGCAGTACTTTTCAACTGCAGCACAATCTGCAGCCTCTAAAATGAGCATAAAGTTGAATGAACACTTCTCCAAAACGCTTAAAACAGAATTGATCATTATGTGAAGAAGAGAGGATTTATCGCTGGTTGTTAAATAGACCATAAACAGTCAAAGAGGGGGGTTTTGCAGTCAGTCGGACTCATGGCAAGTTACCATCACTCATACGAACAAACCTTTTATGAAAACAACATAAAATCTTTTACTGACATTTTTAAATGAATAAAGTATTTTCTTTTTAGAGGGAAATAATGGATGTGAGAGAAAAATCTTGGGCTTCTTGCTTTTTCTGTCTGTTCTGACAATCGTCTCCTTTTTACAGACTTTTCAGACAGAATCAGTAAAAGCAGAAGAGTGGGCTATGAGTCAGGAGACTTTGAGATTGTAAGTATATTCAGTTCAGAAGAAATGTATCACTCCATTATTTTAATCTTTGGAAATTTTCTGTAACTGTACCAATTTGAGTTTTTGATTTCTCTGGCTACACGTGTTTCATTGTGATTTTTCCACCTCAGAGCAGCTGCTTACATTCTGGACTTTCTTTACTGTTGTGTGATACTCAGTGTCTCTGCTCACCTTCTTTCTGTCGTAGCTTGGCGAGGGATGCGGAGTAAAGGAGACGCCCCAGCAGAAGTACCAGCGTCTGGTCAGTGAGATCCAGGAACTCACCCAGGAGGTGGAAACTATCCAGGTGAACAGACCTCGAAACACACACACTCAAAACACTTAGTCTTTGTCTCCACAGGAGTTGGCAAGAGATGGTCCACTCTGTTAACACTGTCCTTTATCTCCCTGTTTGTTAACAAATCTAACAGGGGACTTAGTTTCACTTTGCTCCTCAACCATGTAATCATGTAACTCTTCAGAGGAATGAACATTTAAGGCGTAGAGGTGTAGTATAAATGTCTAGTTGTTGTGTCACCACAGTTTTACAATCCAACCAAATGCTCCGTTTTAATGTGAACCGAAGCTTTTAACTCACCCTGAGAATTAGTGCTGATTAAAAGCACCGAAAGGAATCACTTCTCAGACTTACAAAGGCCCCACGACCCAGAAACTAATTAAACTGAGGAGTCATTAACTTTTCCTCATAAAGCAGCAGACCCTGCCCTCTGTGGATCCATCACCAAACCCACCCTGTGAAAGAGCAGGTTTTGTAACAGTGCCCACGGGTTTTTGACTCATGCTGATAGATTATGCAGATACAAATGTGTAACACGCTGTTTTTCTGCTGCAGTAACTAAAATTGCATTCGAAGAGCAGTGTGTCCATTCATTCTCTCATTTTCCTAAACGAAAACGTAACGTTTGGGTCAAAACATAAATGAATACACTTGAATAGATTGAAGCAGAAATTGTGGCACATCTGTTGTAGAGCTCCAGAAGTATTTTGGATAGTCGCAGCAGAGATATCTAAGAATTACATCTGCCACATAAAACCATGTACATAAACCCATTAACCAGGGATGGGTGATAAATTATTGTTCACGATAAGTATTCCCCATCTCACGATAATCGCGTTGGTGATGTAAGTATGAGCGACGGACTCGCAGCCATAGCCCACACAGATCAGAATAACAAACAAACATGGCCGAAGTTAAAGAAGAAGACGTTTCTGAGCAGCTGTTACTGAACGAGGCTCCACATGAGGGATTTCTATCAGAATTGGGGTTTAGATGAGAGCAATCAGGTACGCCTGACATCGGACTGTGGATCTGCTTCTGTTCACTCTGTGCAATAAGAGTTTTTAACAAATGTTGAAAGTGTTTTCACATTTCACTAGTTTTCTCCATAACCTACCACTCAAACTTGTGGTTAAGTATCTTATTTGACTACTCCAACTGGTGTTCTCAAGACAGATTGAGTCAAAAATCATAATATTTTTTATCGGGACTTTTATCGTAATCGCCAGAATGACAAATCTTAGCGTGATAAATCTTTTAGCCTGTATCGCCCATCCCTACCCATTACTTCTGGGTAACAAAAGTAACTGGGTAACTTGAATAAAGTCGTCTTATCTACTAACATACTAAATTAGTTGTTAACAAACCATGGCCTGAATTCTTGAACCCATAACATTCTTCCTATACCCTGTTTTCCTCAGTGCTTGCTTATTGCAGGAGTTACTGCTATCAATTTTTCCCTTTAGCTAGAAGATTCATTCTCTATGGGACTCATTCCATGGGAGCTGACTGTTTATCGTGGAAGGCAGCCCGAGCTTCCTGAAGCCTACCAAACAAGCTTAGCAGAAAATCATTTCAAAGACCTGTTTTTTTCTTTTTTTTTCAGTTGAAAGAGTCAAAGAAATGTGCCCTCTGGATTTAGCTGTTTATCTTGGTTACCCATAAGTAAATGCTTATGCAGTTGGCTCCAATAGTTGGTTCAATCTCAGGTTGAAAAATACCAGAAAACCCTGTCTAATCTGAAAAATATTGTCTGAGGAGATCCAGCGGTAATCTTTCAATGGAAGAGTGCTGATGTCTTCAGTATGTTGCCCTTTTATAAGTTCAGAATAGGATATGGCACACCTGCCTGACTCGGACACACTTGTACTCTTAGATTTCATCAACTTTATGGTTGTTGTGTTTCTTTCTTGTGTAGATCTCAGTCACTCACTGACCTGTGCTCCTTTATTCACAGGCTGCCACAAAGGAAAGCAATGCAGAAGAGCGCCTGACCCCGGTGGTGCTCGCCCAGCAGGCTGCTCAGCTCAAACAGCAGCTGGTTTCTGCCCATCTCGACTCTCTGCTGGGACCGCAGGCACACATCAACTTGGCCGACCCAGATGGAGCGCTGGCCAGGTGAGCGGAGAGAGTGTCACAGGACATCAAAGCAATCTGGAGCCTGAAAGCAGGAGCCGCAATCTATTTGTACTTGACAGCAAAGGCAGGGAGTGGATGGAAGATGGAGTAGTTTGATAAAATAAAGGGAGTCAGCGTTAGATTGGGAGAGGGATAGCCGGGGAATTAATTTCAGTAAGCCTTGGACTGTAACCCAGATAGAGAGTGAAAGTAATAAGGGTATGGCTGTACAGCTGGTATCAATTGCTCACATAAATCCAGCTGAGCCCAGCGTAGCGCTACCTAGGGAGGAGAAGAACTGACCGACAGATGATTTAAGAAGGGAAATAAAAACCAGAGAAGGTAAAAGATTAACAGACAGAGGGGCTTAGAGAGATGAAAACAAACTGACAAGACATGTCAAGGAAATTAAGATAAAGAAGGACAGAGGAAGTGTATCAAGGAGAAGTAAGTGTTTTAGGAAGTTCAACTTGACCTCACAGTCATTGAAGACCCTGAGAAGATTGATACCAAGAAAGAGTGGCACGTTGGGTCGGTAACAATATCGAACATACGGTCTGATTCTTTGGAGTCTTCCTCTTTCCTGCAGGCGTCTGCTCACCCAGCTGGAGGCCGCCAAAAGCAGCCGTGGAAGCGGAGACAGTAAGCCGACGGCAACAGCTAAGGCCCCAGATGGAGTGGTGCTGTACGAGCTGCACAGTAGACCGGAGCAGGAGAAATTCAACGAGTCTGCCAAGGTAAAGTGGAAACGGAGGAGGAGGGAGCACAGAGTCAAGCACCTCGGATGAATGCTTTAGCAAAATGAGCAAATGTTACAGCGGCGTGATCAGCTCGATGCTTTTGTTTCCATTCTCTCGGGAGGAATGTCAGAATACTTGACGGCAATGAGCAGGACAAAAGGCAGGAGGGTGCGCGCGTGGGAGTTTGTGTGTTCGTATCTCTTGTGGGATGCTGTTGTCGCTGCCAACCATGTGTTGCCTTTTTCCGTCCCTGTAGATGGCGGAATTGGAGAAGCGTCTCGCTGAGCTGGAGATAGCTGTTGGCTCGGGATCAGACAAGCAGGTACACTCCGTCTCAGACACAGTTTTACACACAAACAAACACGCATCCTCTCTAATGCCTTTCCCTTTCATTCACACTAATTCTCTTTCTACTCCGTCTTTCGCTCTAACACCGGCAGAATTTTCTTGCTCCTCTTGCTGTGAAACCGTCCATAAAAGTGAAATAGGAATAAAACCTTCCTCTGGATTTATGCAAATTAAGAGGGAGGCTTCATTGCTTCTTGTTAAAATGTTTTTTTTTCTTCTCTCTTTTCATTGTGTTTGCAATGCAGGGACCTCTGAGCGCTGGAGTACAAGGAGCCAGTTTGATGGTAGGAAGTCAGCTTTGCTTTTTTTTTGGGAGAGGAGTGTGTGGAGTTTGTGTTTGTATTCATAACACTGTGTGTCTGATGTGCAGCCAGAGAACTGGGTCGTATTTCTCAGATGACAGTACTTCCTCCAAGTTTGTCTATTGTTACTGTGCCAGAACAAGAACTTAAAGTTTGGGGCCCAAACTTCCATATGATGGGTGTGTGTGTGTTTGTGTGCTTGTGTATCAGGACACCATCGAGTTACTCCAGGCGAGGGTCAGTGCGCTGGACTCTACCACTCTGGATCAAGTGGAGGCTAGACTGCAGGTAACTTTTACTTGGACTGAATTCTTTACAGGCTTTTTGGGGGGAATGAAGAATGTTCCCATCTAGAATATTTCCCACATTGTTTGAGGTGCTCAAAAGTTCCTGTTGTCAATTTCTTATCAATGGAGTTTCTAACTATTGGTGTAAATCTTAACTTTTATTAATGCTGCGTTTGAGTGACCTCGGAAGTCAGAAGTCCGAGCTGAAAATGATGTCACACCCGAGTTACCAGCGTTTCAGTTATCAAGTTGGCACAAAAAGCTACATCAGAGGCGGGAACAAGATGGCTACATCTGTGAAAGTTATTTTAGCGCTTGCCTTGGCAGAATATAAGGCAAGTGCTACAATAACTTTCGTAGTTGTAGCCATCTTGTTTCCGCCTCCGATTCTGTTTTTTTGAAGGCTGAACTGAAGCGCTGGTAACTGGGGTGTGACGTCATTTTTAGCTCCGACATCTGACTTCTGAGGTCACTCGATCGCAGCATAAGGCCACAAGAGAATCTTGAAAAAAAATCTGTGTTTTAAGAGAACGATGAAATGTAGTTTTATGTTTCCTTTGTTACCGTTGAGCACATTTTTCTTATTTTTCTTCTCTGCTGGGCCAAAAAGATGGCCTCATGAGTTGTGTAACTATTTGTTGCACTAGAAAATGACCATGTTTTTATGAGAGGGTGTTTTTTGTGGTAAAATGCTGACAGATGTTTACAAAATAGATCATGATTTTTTTACTTATGAATTCAAAATGTTTTTTTCCCCAATAAATCGACTTTCAACCTGATTTTATGTCCTTTTTTTTTTCAGTTTTACATCTGAATGCCTCTTAAATGATCATTTTTTATCGTTTTTCTCTCCAACTCAGAGTGTCCTTGGGAAGATGAATGAGATTGCTAAACACAAGGCAGCAATCGAGGATGCAGATACACAAAACAAGGTTTGTGGGGTTTCCTGCACATCCATCAATGCACAATAACTGCAGTGGTCACATCAGGCGCCTCGGCCTTCAAAGATGCATTTATATACACTTCACTTTTGATCCCTCTTTAATTAGAGCGCTTTCAGAGGGACACGGTTTTAGTCTGTTGGTAAAAATGGGGCATTTTATGTACAGAGGCCTTGGACCCAGGTCAGCTCCAACTGGCCCTCTCTTTCTGCTGTCGTATCCTCACATTCGAGGCATAAAAGCCAAAAAAAGATTTAATTAAAAAAACACATCTAGTGTAAAAATTTCTAAAAGTAGAGTGAAGTGACAGGTATTATTATTATGGAAATTTTTCTCTTTTTGGCTGACTGGATCTGACGGCTCCATTTATCAGTTAAGGCAGTGAACTACAGGTTCAATTTGAATTTGGTTTAATTTTTTAACTACGAGCTAAATCAGATTTAATCAAACTTTCTGACTCAAGCTCATTCATTAAAGTTGTAGATCCAGCTGTGTGTGTGTGAGACTTCTAGAAAATGTGTGTTGTGTATCAGGTGTTGTCTGTTTGAAAGAGTTGTGCAGTATTCAGGCCAGTAGAGGGCGGTGTGTTCTAATTAAATCATGACGGTGTAATGAAGTCTGATTGTGATTTATTGTTTATACACAGGGTTACTGCACATTGAAGCTTTGTTGTTGTAGGGACCATAATGTTCTTTAATTTTTATGTAGGGGGTACGGCTGAATTTTAAAACAATTAAAAGTTGAAAACACACTTTAATTTGAGATTACGAGTAATTAATTCATAGTTGCTGATTCAACATTTTACTGTTGATTAAAAAGTTGATTGCTCGAATGTTTACATGCTCTTCATAAGGGAATGTATGACAGGTTTCGAAGCTGGAGGGTTTTGTCTCTGTATTAAACGTGCCTGTTTGTGTTTACCTGTCAGGTGTCGCAACTTTACGATACTGTGCAGAAGTGGGATGCGATGTCCACCTCCATACCTCAGGTGGTCCAGAGGCTTGTTGCTGTCAAGGAGCTCCATGAGCAAGGTAACAGAGATTCAAACGTGTTTACAGCCCATAATGATGAGGTGGAGCTCACTACATCACTCATCCAATAATACTGTGTGAACGTACTGGAGCAGAGTAATTAGCTCATGTTGCAAATATTGTAATGGTATTGCTCTAGGGGCAAATTTCACACCAGTAATGATAAAAACAATGAAAAATCCGATAATTTCTGTTCTGTTCTTTTATGTGAGTGCGGGAGAACCTTGAAATGACACCCATGAGGGTTCAAGGGGAAGATGTATGTAGGTTAGTGGGGGTGGGGGATTAGCATTAAAGATTCAAAATATGTAGGATGTAGCTACAGAGCATAACAGGGTGTGAACCCGGCTCATGTTTCAGGAGGGATCTGCGCTCAAATAATTTGCATTCGCAATCGGGAAGCCTGTGTACGAGACAAAAGGTGAAAACTAAGCAGAAAAAGGATTCAAACAGATAAAAGAATTAGCCCAAACCATGCCTTTCTATTATAACAAAGGGCAGAAATCAGTGAAAGGGAGCCTCAGAATGGTAATAGCATTAGACTAAATCTAGCAACAATGTTAAACACGCCCTCAGGGGGGAAGAGATGCATGATATTAGATATCACATTGTCATCTTTTTGTTATTTGTTACATGTAAGCAGTACTTTTGCATTGATAGATTATATTGACAATTCATTTGTGGGAGCTGGAAGAGGTCATTTATCATCCAGACTCTTATTTGCACCAATCTGTCACAGTCTGCAGCTAAACTGTCCCATGCAATCTTTTCTTACAGATAACAGCAAACAAGAAAACAGAAATCTAGTGATGAATATGTAAAGCTATCATTCTGTTTCAGACTGAGTTAGTCTCTTCTACCACTTCACTTTGGTTTACCACAAAGGCAGCATTGAGTTTTAATTTAGAGCTTTAAGCAGAAATTGTGTAAAAATTGTTCTTACCCCTCGTCTCTTTCTCCTCTCTCTTACTTCTGAACTTCACTTCTGGTAGCCATGCAGTTTGGACAGCTGCTGACCCATCTGGACACCACTCAGCAGATGATCAACAACTCTCTGAAAGACAACAACACTCTGCTAACACAGGTGGGAAGTAGTGAAACATCTATTGTATAGTTTAACACTGCTGGAGAATCTAATTTAAACACAGCTATAAAAACAGGACCAACAGTAATATTGAAGTTTGGTTGCCATCACATTGCATCAATCAGCTGTCCTGCTAACTCCATCTTTCCCCTTACTTGATTTTCTCACCCTCTTCCCTCCAGGTTCAACAGACAATGAAGGAGAACCTGGTGGCTGTAGAAGAGAACTTTTCTGCACTAGATCAGAGGATGAAGAAGCTCTCCAAATAAGCTGCGAGAGTCTCGGAGCGGGCCAGGAGAGTGTAGAACATGGACAATTAAGAGTTGGCCGGAGAGCGCTCTTGCTTTCTACTTTGCCTCTGCCTTTTTTTCACTAAGTGGAATGTTAGAAAGCGGGAGAAGATGGAATAAGAAAAACAAAAAAAATAGGAGACCAAAATGTTCTTGTCCACCCTCCTTTCCCTCTTCCTTTTTCTTGCATCGAATTGACATCAACTGAAAACACTTTTGTCCACTCTATACACGCCACTGATTGCAGTCCCATGCTAAGCTTATTGACTTTTAGACTGGATTGTTTTCTTTTTTTAATAAAATATTAGTATTAAAGATAAGAAATTCCTCCATTCCTTTGAAACCTCTCACAATGACTGGATTTGTACTTTAAACTTTGGTTAAGTTAGAAGAATCACAGTAACGTCGGGTTAAAGGGTGACACATTTCAGATGTTGTCTGCTGTAAAAAAAGAATTATAGAAAGGATCTGTTGTCCTCTAGTGTTGTAGCAGGAGCACTTTTGTGCAGGTGTCAGGGCCAAGTGACGGAAGGAGAGCTTGTAAATATGCCTGTGTACCTTATTGTTTCTTCACGCTCAGTCGCTTGTAACTATATTATTATGACTGAGCCCGGACACCACAGACAAACTTTTAATCTGCTTTGTCATTGCCTACAAGTCAACTGTAATGTACATCTGTGGTCATGGAAACTGCTCAATAAAGTATGTTAAAATAAGCTCCCTCTCATTTCCTGAGGATGTCATAGCTTGAAAAATAACCACGAAAACATTGCTGACATTGCAACTTACTATTTGTGGTCAGGCTGATGGTGTAGATGTTGCCATGTCATATCGAAAGAATAGAAGGGTGGTAAAAGATAAGATTTATAACTTTGGATTTTAAGAAATTAGTAAAAACTAATCATTTGCTCATATTTCACATCGAATTTGTAACTTTTTAAAATCTAAAGCACATGTTGAGGGGGGCGGGGGAGTCTCGTGATCTTGTTTTTGAGCTACTGTGGGAATGATTAGCAAAAAAAAATCCCCTTGAAATTTTTTTTGGTTTCTTTTTTTGCTGGGAACCTCAATACCTCTGTATGAACACTAGGTGGCAGCATAACATCTTGTAAGAGAGTCAAACTTTTTTAAAGCTTTCAAACGCACTACAACACTGAAAAAGAGTGATTGTTTTGCTTTACTTGGACATAAATCAGCCTCTAAAATTAAGTTGAAGTTTCTTAAATTATGAATCTACCAACTAAGGTTGTTTTTGTATTGGTGATTTAAGAAATAGGTGAATTCGACATTCTTAATCAACTAGTTCTGAGGTGGATAGGTAATATTTTTAGGTTCTTCCTTGAGTTTAGGAAACTAAAAGCTGCAGTGATTTATTTTTTTCAAAAACAACATCCCTTGCCCATGTTTTGATCCCTCACACGGCTCATTTCCTGTAATCACTCGCTGCCAGCTATTGTTGCTAAATCCGATCAGCGGTCCAAAGGATCAAAAGGCAAACCTTTTACTCTCGTTATGAACACACCCACAGGTATACTTAGATATTCTCGAAGCATCAGTCTGGGAGGTCAGCCTCAATCACTTGGCACTAGTAGGTTTATAGCAAGCATTAAAACAAAGGGCTTGCCCGTGTTTAACTCTAGGTAATGGTATTAGGGACAAAGGTGAGCAGATAAAGTAGAGTGGCATAAGGATCAGCTGTTTCTGATGAGTCATCCAGACACAACTGCTCAGTGAGTTCACTTAGATGCAGGCGTAACTACTGAAGAAACATGCAGTCCAAAGGTCAGCTTCAAACTGGGTAAGGTGTTTTCCAGAATGGTACTTTAAAGCTGAATAAAATCTATAACAGGCCTCTTCTACTTTCTACACATTGAGCCTCATCTTTATGCCTTTATCTGCATTTTAGGTGAGAACTACATTTGCTCTCGGCTACATCCGTATTTCCCCTCTGGTGCAGGGGGCTTCCAATACTGGCCTCCTTGGGCAGGACATATCAAATGTGACTTTCAGGGAATCAGATCCAAGCTCAGACTTAGAAGGGAATGCCCCAGATGGGCACAGAGACATAGGGCCCACTGTATATCATGTTATCCTGCATTTGTCCGTCTATTTTGGGTGTGGGTCAGCCCACGCTCATCTGTCAAGACTCACTCCACCGACATTATGTAGTGAAGATTGTGAAGAGGTCAGCCTAAAATCTTCGTTTGTATTTCAGATGATAGCTCTGAATTTAAACAATGATATAAAGACGATGACTGAACAGAACCTCCTTTAAAAAACAGGCAATTTACGCAGTGAAAATTCATTTGAACACACACGACATTCAACTCCCATTTTTCACGACTTGAAAGTCAAATTGCAGCCGCTTTCAAGCCAACAACCTTTCCTCCAGTGGACTAAAGTAAATATGTGCATCCTCTGGTAACAGAGCAGCTGAATACAGAAGAGGCTGTGGGGAGCACCAATAGCTCCAAAATCTCTGTTTTCCCTCATATCAGCACAAGAGACAAAGAGTGGAGGAATAAAAGGATGGAGTTAAACGCCCGGAGTGTGCGTCTAGCTGCCAGTAAACCCACCTGTTCAGACAGCCTTTTAAACTTTAATGCCCTACAGTCTCTCGCTTGGGCTTTTTTTTTTTAACTTTACCTTTTTTCTCATGTCTCTTCTTTGACACATGTGTCAGTGTAAAGAAATGAAGAAATCAAAGCTGTCAGAGCTATACTGTGCCTTTCTAAAACAATGCGCTCGTGAAAACGGCTGAAGGATTTCAGTTTAGAGGTGGAGTGAATTCACAACAAAACTTAGAATTTGATATTTTAAAAAAAGGCATTGTGATACATTTAATGATGAGCTATCAATAACACTTTTATTAAGTCTGAGGATTAAAACGAGACGGGAGAAAAATGATACCAGATTTTAACAATAAGTGACAGGAAAATGAAGGGGGGAAAAAAATCCCACCAGGGCTTCTGTATCAGTTTGTTAGATTTTCGTGAATACATCTGGACAGGTGAGGAGTCTGTAGTAAGGCAGAGAGAGGACAGAAGAAGTGGGTGGAGGAAAGCGGAGTAAAATGGGATGGATACTGTTGTGGGGCAGAAAGAGGCTTGTAGTGAAGACGGAGACGGTTTGGTCGAGACAGGTGAGGCTGAGAGGTAAACAGGGTTTAACAGACTAATAAGATTGACTGTAAAAGGGTCCGACTCTTAAATCTCAACAAGTGGATGTGACATTGAGCTGTTGAGGGAACTGTGAATTCTGTTTGAGATGAAAAAGCACAGACTGGACAGCGTTAAATTGGTGAAAAATAAACCTGAAATCATTCCAAGGTTTCAAAACATCCTTCATATAAAAGAGATAACAGATTGAGGATCCTTCTTAAGAAATCAAATGAATGACTTGATCCTTCTGACAATACTGAGCGGCGGAATCGGCCTCAGCTGAGACAAGAATTGGCAAAAAAGACAAATGTATCAACAGACGACAGACTGCTATAACGGCTGGAAAATGTCCCATTAATCTTGCTGTTTTTAAGTTTCAAAATTACATTAAAAACACATAAAACCTGAGATTTTTTAAAGCATGTATAAGAAATTCTGTCGTTTTAAGGAGGGTTTTTACACCAAGTGTCTGGGACGGAGAAAAAAAGAAAAGCAGAGTTAAACAAACAAGGAGAAAGGGCAAACCGGGAGAGTAGGAGGGCGAGAGAAAAGGAATTTACTGTATCACCAGAACAAGTTAACAGCTGTATCTGTTGGTATCAGCTCGGAGAGAGGGGAAAGATTCCGACAGCTGGTCTCGGTGTGTGTTGGCATGTGTGTGTGTGAATGTGTGTGAGAGAGAAAGGGAAGAACTGGGTGTGGAGGAGCCCTGACCAAGGGCACAGGACAGGACAGACAGACAGGAGTGCGGCGGTGGCTGGAAATTCCCCACACACTTTCTCTCACAAAAGGAATAAAAAGTCTGATTTGATATTAAGGGGACACGATAACTCATCATATCTATTGCTGTTTTTTTTCTGTTTCTTTGTTTTATTTTTTTGCTGAAATCTGAGGAAAATTTCGAGACGCTGTTGTCGGCTTAAATGAAAGGGGCAGCAGCAAAAAAAAAGCAAAAAATTAAATATTACTTTGATAATACTTAATACTTTGATGGCTTTATCTTAATTTGAAATGATTTCTCCACTTGTTTTTCTTCATTTCATATTGTCAGTTTATTACAATTAATTGATCTCATATTACAACACTTTCTTGTCTTGTTAACCTCCTAAATAATACATGATGTAACACAGAACAAAAGGGATAATATTTATAGTTATTTCGGACTTTGCGGGCAAAAATAGGTATGAAGTGAGGCGTGTCGACAGCGAGTAAAACATTAAAACCCCATAGCAACTGATATCTCCAAATATACCAATCAGTAAAGACTCTATCTCATCTAAAAGCTGATCCACACCCAGACAGTTATCAGTCTGAAACGTGTGTTTACACCCGAGTGTCTTAGAAAACTACTGAATCGAGTCTAAAAGAAAATGATAGTGTGGTTTGTGACATTTATGCTATCTATGAGCACACTATTTATTTTATGTTATTTTTGTTTTTGTTATTTTTTTTCTAATTTAATGTTTCTGTTGAGACAGTGATCAAGAAGACAACAGGGACCCTCATGGCCAGACAATGTTGACAAAACATGGCAACCCAGATCTGTGGTTGTAAACAGTGTTTTATAATGAATACAACACAGAGGAAGGGACTGACAAAATAAACAGACGGTGGGGTGGGTGGGGAGGGATGGAGGGATGGATGGAGGGAGGGAGGGGGTGTAGAGAAAGTATGCTGAACTACTCAGCAACAGCCACTCAAGTCGTGACGTGTTCACGGTGCTTCCTGCAGCGCTTTAACCCGGGTCCTAGAGACAGTATTTGAGCTTTCTATTCGCTGCTTGGCGCTGTTGCTATGGGGCTGTGCATGTTGAGCCGTGCACGTGGCGCCGTGCATGGAAAACAGTTTGTGTGTGCTGAGTTTGGGATTAGGGCAGAAAAGTGTCAAGAGCTGGGATCAAGAGCAGGACATGACGAAACGACGCACTCTTATTACATCAATACTTTGTGGCGGCGGTGGTGCTGGTTGTTGTTGTTGTTGATGTTGGCGGCGCGGTTGTTTACCGTAAAGATGGACATCATCCAAACCGGGATTATGACATTTACCGTATATCTCGTGGTGTGTCTGAGATAGTGACCTTGTTGAACTTTGGCGTTTTGTTCTCTTATTGTCAAACAAAACATTTTTATCGAACTTTTTAGGGAGTTGCAAGACAACAAGTGACGACAAATGGTTGTCAAATGGTGACAATATTTTGAATGACAATATCATTTTTTAACCAGCAAACGTGACAATATGATAATACTGTGAAGCATTGTAAGAATAACAAACAGGTATCATCCCTCAATTTGAATGTCATCGAATAACACAATTTATAGCAGTGTTTTTCAACCAGTGTGCCATGACAGATAGTCAGGTGTACCCTGAGAAATTATCCAATTTCACATTATTGGTGTATTTTTATATAGATATAAGTTATTATCTGCTAATAATATGCCATTCTAAAGTGTCTGTGCTGTAATCTGCAGCCCGCGTTTTCACACATGGTGAGTATGAATAAACTTAGAGACTATATTGTCGTTATATAACCTGTATTTGGGGCTAACAAGTGTCATTTAGTAAAATTTTGGTTGGTTAATGAAAAAATGTACCATGGCTCTAAAAAGGTTGTTGTCAAAGTCTGTTGACTTTTCTTATCAGCAACTTTAAACTCGTAAATATCTGACCATTCATACTGACAGGTGAAACTAACAATGAAACACAACAATATAAACACACAGGTTGTTAAGGGTGTGTGGCTAAATTGTTTGTTTCATCAGCCACAGTCAAGAGAATAAAGTTCCTGTTTTATATGTTTTCATATAAACATAAATAAAATAAATATTTAAGATAACCGCATATCTTAACTTTAATATATCTTTAAATAGTTTTATCGATAAAAACAGAAAAATTTAACCGGACATTAACAGAGGGGGGTGGCGACGTTTCACACCCAGCTCGCGCCACAGACGCTCCCGCGGCTCGGGCGTGTTTTGATATCTCGCGCGGAGCTGTGCCTCAGAGCGCGCGGTATGAAATGAATGGGAATGTGACACCACTGTATAACCACGCGTGGTTACAGTGCGCAAATCTCCGGCATATTACAAATAACTGATAAATAAAACACATCTGTCGTCCACGCACGGTCTGTTAGAGAGTGTCGTTTTAAGAAGAACAGGGGGAGTGGGCTGTCGTTACTGCTCTATCCTCGTGGACATAGAGGGGGTGTGTGTAAGGAAACTTTACACTTTTAGGACCCGTGATATCAATCGGATAACAAAACACAATTTACTCTTGACTAAACAACAGCATTTAGCCGTTAAATGGACACATAATGTTATCTTTACGGGGAAACAATCCGTGAGGAAATCGATTCTGCTTTTGTGTCCCCGGAAACAAACAATTCTTCGACATTAGATCTCCATGCATATATGTATATTTTTAGATTTTAGTTTGAGCCAACACTGTTTAATAAAACATGTTCTGATTCTGCTGGTGTTATCCCCAGCTAGAAATTGGTTGCCAAGCATTGCATCATTCCTTTCATGTGACTCCCATACGCCCCAAATTCGTCCTGGCCGTCTTATGACTGCATCACAATTGCTGCTCGTACAAACTATACAGGCTTGAGAGAGAACAACCAGCCTGACGACAACACGCCCCGCCTTATTCACGAATCCGCGCGCCTTATTGGATGTCGTCAAGGCAAAGAAGTTAAGTGTACGCTTCTGATTGGACGTTCTACAGGGCTGTTACGTTAAAGCGGTTTGGTTGCGAGGAAAGAACCGTCCCATGCATAGTTCGGTTGACTTCTCCCTCAATATAAACACCGCCGGGAGTTTCCGGAAAATCACATTCAGCCGTCAAGACTGAACAATGGTTATCATGAGCTATCACCAATTTTTACTAAAATATCCACATTCGAGTTCTAGACAGTCGAGAAGGCGAGCGAATAGAAGAAAAAGGGTGAGTAGAGGCACTTTTTAATAGTTTTCATTGTCAACTGATCGATGTTTTCGGTGTTTTTAGGGAGTGTCGGCGTCTTAAACGCAGTCTTTAATTAAGTAGTCTGGTTTTCTAGAAAGAAAGAAAAAACAAATACAAGCATGTTTCTGGTGAATAACCCGTTGTTGTTTTTGGATTAACATCTGTCTAAATCAATCATGTAGTTTATCTTCTGCTTCGTCTGAGCAGCTGTCATTCTCAGATGGACTCAGAAGTAGGAAGTTTTTAGGGTTTCCCTTAAAGGCGAGAGTAACAAACATCTTCAAACTAAACTGTGATTTTTAATTTTTCTTTAAATGACGACAAATGCTACTGTCAAACTCAGTGTTGTGTCAAACACTTAATTTAAACAGGCTTTAAATTTATAAAACTAAACATCTATTATTTTGACAGCTAATTTCGTGCCTCGCTATTTTAATTTTAATTTAAATTTTTTTAACAAAAGCACGTCGAGTAATAAATTTCCCATTGTAAAAATCAGACAGTTACATGTGTTTGTCTGTGTTTTTCTCACTGTACAGTTTCCTTTTGTTTCGCCCATTCCTCCTGCTGGACTTACATTTCCATGACGTAACTGTCTTGGCTCAGAGTGGACATGGATCCCTACTATAACAGCAAATACTCTTTTTTTATTCTAGATAATTTAAAAAAACTAATTATTAGATCTATTTTATATGTTTAAACATTATTTTTAAAGCCGACATAGCCACGCTCTCATGTGAAGTTAAACATTCCCATTTCATTTCTACTTAAGGTGTCTAAAATCCATTTTCTTTATAATTTCGCACCACTTCTGTGTCAACAATTGTCCTATTTTTTTAATCACTCGTACTCAAGTATAATTATCCATATTGCATGTTTCTGCTGGGATTTTTATCAATAAAATGAAGAGTAAATAGGATGGATTTTTTTCTGTTGTGCGGTTTGTTTGGAGAAAAAAAAGTTGCCCTGACTGTCAGTCCAGCAGAGATCAGTATCAGGATTGTCTCATCGCTTTAAACCACTTGTTTATCGATCCAAAGGTGCTTTGAGGACCGTAGAAAGCAGGGGGCGCAGTAGAGAGCATTTTCGTCTTTGTTTACAAGAGTTCAGTGACAAGATTTATTTTTTTTCCCCTCAATCATTGGTGATTATTTTTTAGATTACAAGCATTTAATCTGTTTTACCATGAATTTGTATCCATTAATATTTAATTTCTGAAAAGCTTTTTTGCCAGACCAAGCCTGCTTTGATTTGTGCAAATCATCATTTTGATTCTGAAATCTCAGCAAATTTCAGAATGAAACATTTTCCACATTCTTTAAGATTTTCTTATCAAATCTTTTTTTTCTTTTTCTTTCAGAATTATAGAGACGAGCTTTCTCCTACAAATCTGCAGACTTGATTAACAGAGACTTTCCAAAGGTAAATGACTTCTCATATTTGAGGATGTGAATGCTCCATGTTTGTGAGGTTGGGGTTTGGACTGAATTAAGTTATGTTGATAACAGCCCAAGTTTAATTTAAAGATATTTAATATTCATGTTTTTAATTTTTTAATTTTAACTATCAGCACATTTAGTGGTTTTCTCACTTGCTGTCACTATCATCCCATTTCACGGTTAAGTAGATTACTCAATACAGTGTACTCTGTCTTCTTTTCTTTATTGAATTGTGAATCCTCTCACAGATGTGACATGAAATTAGACTAAGTCCTGAGCCTGAAAACTAAGTAACGATAAAGGTTTCAGATAATTGGAGATTAAAACAAACTAGGCAGCCTTTGAGACATCTTACACACACTCTTCTTCTCTTTCATCTTTCTAATTTTCTCAACCTCTCTCTGCCTGTTGACTGCTGCCCCTGCCCCCCCTTCAGGTCCAGTGTGAACCGTGTGGCCGAGTATCTGTGCGTTGCAATTGACTGGGGAGATGACTGCCGAGTGGCTACACCTGCCCCCGCCGTACCCCCCTGGCGTGGGGCCGTTGTGTGGTGCAGAGTTGGAGGCGTGGTATGAGGACCTGCAGGATATTCTGGGCTCTGACACAGGAGGGGCAAAACTGGCGCGTGCCCCCACATGCACCGAGGTCAGTAGCTCAAAGACTTACATGATTATCAAACTTATGACTGTGTGATATGACAGTTCGATATTTTCTTTTTGGATTTTCTTTCCGTTTTCTTTAAATAGAATTCATGTCCTCTAATAAGTGATAAATTTTATACCAACGTTAACATTTTTCCTTTTTCTCTTTCAGAAGGAGCCGGAGTTTCTGGATGTTCTGGAGAGTTGCTCTCTGACATGGCTGACAGATGGAAACCAGTCATGGGGTGAAGGTGTTCAGAGGGCAACAGAGGAGGTCCACAACCCACAGCCTCTGCATCACTCCTCCTCATCCTCCTCTTCCTCCTCCTCCTGCATGAGTCCAGCTGTTGCAGAGGAGCGACGGGCAGAGGCCGAAAGTGGAAGAAGTGGAGATAGTTCGGCAGGAGGCGGCAGTGACCTGCTGCCTCCGGAGTTCTTCGAGTTGTTGAGCGAAGGAGGAGTGGGGATGGTGGATCCGAGCGGAGCAGTGATCAGTGGCGGCTATTATTACCACCACCATCAACACCACCAGGCTAATAATAACGTCCATCCTGCGTCTCCCTCAGCCAGTGAGGAGGAACTGCCCTGTGTCCCCGATTCACCGTCCTACTCCTCCTCAGCCTCCCAGTCGCCATCCCAAAATTGTTCTTCTCCCTCCTCACCCGTCTCTTCCCCCTCTGCATACCCGTCCTCCCGCCTCGGAAAACGGAAGAGGACCACCAGCGAGAGGGCCAACGGTGCCTTGTCCTCCTACGCCTCCTCCACTCAACGATCATCCTCATCCTACACGTCTGCCAAAAAGAGTCGCAAAGAAAGAGAGCAGGAGAACGAGAGGAAGGTGCAGGAGCTGACTGAGCAGAATGAGCGTTTGAAAGCAGAGATTGAAAGGCTCGGAGAAGAGGTTCAGAGGACACGTCGAGCCCTGATAGAGAGACTAGTCAACACCAGGAAATGAGAGGAAATGAAAGAGGGTGGAAGGAAGAAATTAAAGATGACAGGTCCTACAGAATTGGAATAAGCAATGGTGGGGGAAAGGTGTAACATGGTGGTCGTGAAATGCCTCTTAGACAAGGAAGGATTGAAACCAAAGATATTTCATAAGTGAACGGATTTTTTGGAAAAGACAGAGAGCTTAAGATGGCAAGAATTAGGGAAGTGATGAAAGTCAAGACAAGAGAGAGCACAGAGTGAAGAGGCTGCAACAGCACTGCGGCAACAAAAAGACACAGCACGTACAAAGGCGAGGAAGAACAGACAGCTCACAGAGCAAACGATAGAGAGATTTTGATGAATGTTCGTCATTTTAAGAAGGCCTAACTCTTAAGATCCATCAGTTCTGATGGCAGAGGAAACAGTTGGAAGCATTTGATGATTGTAAGTGACAGAAAGAAGCAAAGAGCGCATTTCATTGTCATCCCTTCCCACCATCTTGCAATAATTGTAATTCCTACATTAAGGGCTGCAATCTGGCTAGCAGAGATTATTTGCCCCAATTTGTGGAAAGTCAAGGAGCTCAGGAAAAGTTTGAAAGTGCCCAGTGCAGTGTGAGTATGAGAGAATGTCTTTTTTTTGTTTTCCCGCAGAGTGAATTCTTATCCTTTCTTACTTTTTTATAACAAGTGGCTTTTATGTATTTGTATTTAGATAAAGTAAGTAGGACCCTGCTATACTTTCTACGCTGACCTTTTCTATCAATAACAGGGATTTGTAGTAGAATTACCACAAATTATTCTACCCTGAGTAACTATTTTTATATAACGCTGTAATAAGTATATATAAATGTACACTATTGTACTGTAATGGCGTGTACTGTAAATGCCCACATATCCACCGTTAATTTCTCATTGTAGTCGCACAAATTGTTAATTGTAGAATAATATGCATGGCTTTTTATCATTGATGTAATAAAACCATACTGTTTATTTTACCTTTCATTGTAATCTCAAATTTGCAATAAAAGAAAGAAGATGTGCAATTTTTTGTGTCATGTCATGTTTATTTACTTATTTATTTTAATTACTTGTTGGATTTTTGGGGGGGTAGAAAATATCTAAACGAGAGGTAGTTGAGAAAAGGGGAAGGGGAAGAAAACAGACAATTTGAACTAAACTTCAGTCGCTGAATCCATGAAAAAAAAAAAGGGTTTTCTGTAGCAAATGGAAAATAACAATTTTCCAGGGGATATAAAAAACATCTTTAAATGCACAACACACCTTCCAACGCTAATAACGTATGCTGACTTTATCACGGGGAGAGTATAAAATCAGTTTCTTTTGGTGTGGGGATTTGGAAAAATCCCTCCATTCTGTAGCTGTATTCATTTGACTCTCTCTTTGTGTGTTTTCATTTCCCCGTCGGCCTTTCCAGCATTTCATTAGTCCTCAGTGCCAATACCACATTGTCTCAGATCCAGTCACGGCTTTGCCTTAAGCTAATACCCTCATCTTTCTCACTGTGTGTACATCTTGTTCCCATTCTCCGCTATCAAATCTAAAACCATTCTTCTCTTCCCTTCCTCTGACTAACCTCCATCACTTAGATATCACTCGGTTTCTTGTCTCACTTCTTCTTGCCTTTCTGGGGTGCCGGTTCAGGGCTCTTCCCTTCAGCCAGAGCCAGCTGTTTCTTCAGGTCCAAGAGTATGGCGACCTCTGCTGTAACCACGGCCTTCTCCGCCTTCTGGGCTTTGAGCGTTCGCACTTTCTCACCCTGGGACAAAGACAATAAGAGGGTTAACACACACTTCTCCCACCTCAATTTACCTTCAGTTTAAGGGATCATCTTATATGGACACACAGACGCTGGCAGCTTTCTTTTTGAGCTGCACGTAACAAACAAAGGCGGCGACTCTGGCTTTCGTTTGTCCAAGTCTGGAAAACAGACGACTTAATATTTAATTCTGAAAAATTTTAACTTTGCTTTTATTCCTGAACTTAATACATCAAGTTAAAAACCAAGAATTGCAAAGTAGAACAATTTTGATAAATATCCGTATGAACGATATGAACGAACGAGTACTCCTATCCGCTCAGACAGCTTTATGACTGAAAATACTGTTCAAATGTTGCTTTTAAGATTAACCCTTCATTAAGCGGTCCATGATTTGTTGTGTGTTTAATTTTTTAAAGGACTGTTTCAGCTGGTAACACAAGATAACTTCCATGTAACTCATCTGGTTGGAAGAGGACTACCTTTGAGAAAATAACAGTGAATTAAATCTATTCTTTTCTGAACTGTGCAGTGCTGTCCAAATAAAAGATTACCTTATAGTCTATGATTTAAAAAATATTGGTTTACAGCTGATAGATCATTTCTTGCCACCAGCCAGCGATCTCACCTGCTCAGCCACAGCCTGCGTGAGCTGCTTGGCTTTTTCGGGGTCCACTCCGTTCACCGCCGCTACCTCAGCAGGAGCAACAGGAGCTGGCACGGTGGCAGGCTGAGTGCCGGCAGCTTTCTGGGCTGTCGACTGAAGGTGGACACAGACAGATAAAAAAAATGTTTGAATTTTCGGCGTTTCGATGGTTATTATGCACGGAGATGAGCACCTTCATTTCAGACAATAACACTCATCACTCAAAATGTCGGCGAGATTTTATGAGTCATAAAGTGTGAATGGACACTGAAATCGGACTGGACACACGGCGATGAGTAAATACTGAGAATCTGAGGGCGTGAGATGAGCTGCTTTTGTTAATGAAGGCATGCAGTAATCAACATTGACACAACAGCACCAGTGTGGACTCTTCACACACAAATACTGCTCGATACCTTTTTTTGAGGGGGTTCGTCTTCAGGCTGGAGGCAGGCGGTTGAGGAGAAGGTTTGAGACAGATTATTTATATCCATTTGACAGATGCTAAATACGCAATTTAAACATTAACAGTTGGCTTGTTCTGCCTCATGTCTCAAAAGACAGATAAGCTGATTTAAATACACATTCTTCTTCCTCATGCAGACAGTCTGATGGAGAAGAGTGCGCGGCTACGCATTTTCAATTCTTTCTTTTTTCATAATTCATAAATAGTCAACCTTTATTTCTACAGGGGTAGACTGAACTTATTCAAGGGCCATTAGGCATCATAAACATCAAGTACCTGTTGTCCGCCAAATCTCTTCTTTAGAGCCTCGATCTGGTCCACCTCCAGTTTCTGGAACAACGGACTGACCTGCGGATAAAACACACGGGGGGCAAAAAAGTAGAAATTCAAAAAGTGTGCGCTTGAATATATACAAAGTTGCGGTTGTGGATCCTGCCCAAAGCCGGCGTCGTGGGAAATTAAACCTCGGGAGTCTGTGCTGGACTTTGAACAAAGACTAGGCGCAAATAATTCAGTCGAAAACTTTGTGTGAAAGATTTTAAGAGTTTGACCATCAACAACACTTTTTTATTGCACAACTGTAGACATGAGGAAAGATTATGAGATACGTTTTTTTTTGGTACGTAAGGGTTCATTATGGTGCTTCAATGCGGTATTAGAATTGTTTTGTCCGCCACACCTCAGTCATGACAAGAGCAAATGTGGTTTTGACAGGTTGATGCAGACGCTGGTCAACACAATTAGGCCAGGGGGGACAAGTGGCCTGAGAGAAACTGGCTGTTCGAAGACTGAGCCCTCTAAACCCTATCGAGGCTGTTACTCTTACGAGTGGGTGTGTCCTCCAGAGAACGGAAATACTGGCAGACTATTGCATCCTCATTGTATCACCCAGCGACAACATGTAGAAGGTTCTACAGGTTTCTGAAGTGTGTGCGTGTGTGTGTGCGCGCACGTATGAACTTCACGTGTCAGGGGGATACTCACAGCGCCAATGCGGTGGCCGGTACACAGGGTACAAACAAAGGTGCCAGTGCCTTGCAACATGGTGCTCATACAGGACTCTGGGGCGTTCAGTTGATCCCTGATTGTTTGACTGACCGTTGGCATGTAGGGAAACAGCATCACTGACAACAGGCAGGCGATGTTCACAGACACGCCGGTCACTGTGCCCGCTCGTTGCCTGTAAAAAAGGACAGACAGAGAGCAGTCCATCAGACAGATCGTGAATTCAAATGTTAATCAAATCTGCTCAGAGATACATGACTCGAAAAGGAGGAGTCATGTTTCACAAAGGTGAGCGGCCCCTCTCCATTGGCTGAGACTCAAGCGTGATACGTCTCGTTACGAAACCCCCCAAAAAAAGAGCACAGAACACAGATCCGATGGAGGGACAGTTTCTATCGGGTCGGTTAAGGCTGGCTCACCTTTCTGTGTCACCTCCCTTGATCTTCTTCCAGGGTTCATTGACCTGGATGTACTGGTTGCCATGGCGAGAGATGTTGAGAATGTGTTTCAGAGCATCACGGATTCTGGTGGAGAATTTTGGAGAAAATTGGAAGTTTTGAATTACAAGTTATTTATTTTTATTGAAATTATGAGCAGATGTACTATCATGCATGTTGTTTATAAATATTGCGATACAATATGGTTTTATCTTCCAACATGTACCTCTAAAAGATACATCTGAAGGTGACAGAGTCGCCACTTTGGGACTGAAATATCACTGTCTATCTACAGCTTTTAATCATATATAAAAACAACTTGTTCATGTTCATTCAAACCCACGTATCAACCTTTCCTACAGGTGTGCGTTCAAAAGGGTCTTACTTGACTTTGTCCATGAGCTGGATGTACCGCTGCAGTTCCCAGCCCACCAGGGCCAGCAGCTTCTTATCCTCCTGCTGGAGATCCATCGCTGGTACACAGCCGTCAAAGAACTTAGTGACAAACATGCCAGCTCTGGAGGGAGAGAGAAAGAGAGAGTGATAAATGTCTCGACAAGAGAGGTAAAAAAAAAAACCCATAGTGGTCAGGGGAAAGTGTGGGAATAGAGGGGAAAAGAAATCAGGAGAGAGAGAGAGACAGGAGGAGGGAGAGGAAAAACAAGAGAGGGGCATGTAACTTGACTCGCTAATTGTTTATAAATTATAGATTTTGTTGCCAAATGTAATACAGCGCTCTGCTGCTTCAAACTAACATAACAGTGAGCTGCATTGATCCTCCTCACAGCTCCTTCCTTCTCTATATGTCGTACCATGGCCGGTGTTCTTCAAAGAGACATACGTGAACGTCAGGAGGATATTCAAAGAGAGAAGATCTTTCTCATGTCTGATGCAACAAACTCTTCTACATTTTCCACACCTTCTCAGCCTCTTAGCAGACCAAAATACTTCAACAATACTGCCACTAAAATGGCACTAAACTGTTGTTTGCGTGAGTCACCATGAACTTGGTGTGACCTGCAATCTTAATTTGTTTCAGTCTTTGATTAATGAAGCCCTGAGGGGTTTTTATCCATCTTGGGAATATGAAGAAAAATATTCTTACTGTTACAGTAACTGACTCATCATTATCAAAAAAAGTAGAGAATATATGGAAGATTTACGTAACAGTCGAGCTTCTTATTTGTGGAAGTCTCTATAGGCATGAGGGCATCAATTAGCTGGAAACCCCAGCACGGCGTAATTCATGAATCTGATTGAAAAAAGAAGCTGGCACATGACAGACACATTGTTGCTAATGATGTGGTGATTTAGTGAATGGATCCAGGCAAGGACAGGATTTCTTTTCTGAAGCAGAACTCTTCCTACCTCCATCACCTCAGGCTCAATGCAATTTACAAGATATTTTTATACCAATTAGGCATCAACATTGCTGCCCCGAACTCATTTTGAAGATCAAGGTACTTTGAGCGAAAGAAAAAAAAACTGCTGAGAAAAATCTTTGATGTGGGATTTAACCCTGATCTTTTAAAAATCATCTGAGGCGATGTAATTGGGGCTAAATTACGCCATCCCAAACAAATTTAGAAAAGTGGGGTGAGCCTCTTGTAATAGTTACTGCTCCAACAGACTTTTTTCAAAGAGTACAACAATCTGAAAACTTTATGTATAAACTTAAACTTTATAATTGGACTGGATGACAATTTGGGGGGAAATTTACATTTTGAGTGAAACTCACTACGCACATGATGTGAAAATCATGGAGTGGAGTGTCCCATTTTTTAATTTTACTGGAAACTTTTCTCCAACTATTCAAAATAGTTGAATACAGAGAGACACTCAGAGAATGGAAAAGCAGAACTCAGGAGTATAACTTTGACTTAATGGCACACCTGCACAAAGTACGAAACCCATTTTAAAACATGTGATCATCACCAACCTGTTGATGAAGTTGCCCAGGTTGTTGAGCAGCTCAGAGTTGTTCTTGGTTGCCATGTCAGTCCAGGAGAAAGCAGAGTCCTGTCCCTCTGGGCGCACATACAGGAGGTAGAACCGCCACACATCGGACGGTATACCCGTGTCCTTGGCCATGTCTCCAAACACTCCCACACCACGGCTCTTTGAGAATTTAGTGTCCTCGTAATTCAGGTACTCTGTGAGTTTGGAAGAATTTAAACAAAAGTTAAAATCAAATCTTAAGTTTTTATGAACGTTCAAAATGACTGCCATGCAAGAAAACTGCATCACAGTTATAACCTTCCTCCTGTGTTAACTCTTACTACGTACCCACTAAGTTTAGGGTCGGTTTTGACCCGTGTCTTAAATCAGCTGTAAATTACACTAAAAACAATTCTCTATCATCCAATTTGGTTCTCATCTCTAGGTTACCTTGTTAGGCTTCATTATCCATGAAAATATTGTTTGTTTGTAATATTTTTGTAGTGGGCCCCTGAGTCTTTCTTTGTCAGTATACCCCTCATACAGACATCTAGACTGAATTGATCTCGCATGTCTGGACATGCCCGACGTTTTTGTGCACAAGGAAAAACATGGAAAAATGAGAATTTCCTAAATCTCACATGATTTGAAGAGGATCTGTCTGTCAGTGCGGTGCCTCACAGTGCACTTATGATTTCAGTTTTTGCTCTGATTATTAGATATTGGTCTAACCGGGTCAACAGCGACCCTAACACGACAAGTGCCATAACTTTAATAAGAGCATTTTATAATTTAGTCAATTCAATGTTTTTGTTTTTATTTTGTTGAAATAGAGGTTCCTGACAAAGTCAAACAGTCTTGATGCTCAAAAGCTTATTTAAGTGGTTCTTCGGAGCAGACCCTAACACAGGAGGAGGGTTAACAGTGTTAGAAAATGAAGAGAATTGTGTGAATCCCAGTTAGTTACAAATATAACTCAGTTTATAAATAATTAATCAGAAGATGGAAAAGGTGCTGACCGGTGGCAACCAGGTGGCTGACCAGAGTGTAGTTGTCCTGCGCTCCCAGCAGGGAGCAGGGGAACACAACACTGTGGAACGGCACATTGTCTTTGGCCATAAAGTTGTACAGCTCCACCTGGTGGCAGAGACATGACACTACACAGTGAGGATGACATCATATTAGATCATCATGAGATCATCTGGTTCAAAGAGGACTTATCAGCTTCCCCCAACCCCCAACCCCACTCTCTCTGTCTCTCTCTCTCTGTAGTTTTTCTGCACATGCAGGCCATAACACAAATAACAGGATCTCATCTCTTTAGATGTTGATAAGATGAGTCAGTGAGAATGAGCAAGCTGTTAATCTAATCCGAAGGCTGACGTTTTAGCCCTTAAAATAACAAAAACAAACAAATGTTAATGAAAAAGCTCACCAGACAAGTTCGCATCAGTACTGCATGTGAGGAAACCTACTGTAGCTTTCCCCCCACTCTGAGTAAAGCTCATGACAGCAGCATGAACAAATAACAAGAAACCTCTAGCAGGCTGAAAATGCTGAGACTTGTGAGTACAATGATGCTGTGCTCTTTTTACTCATAACCAAAGAGGCAACGTCTTCCTCTGTTCCACATTAGGGTTATATGAGGCAAGGAATTACACTCCCTTTAAATCGAGAGAGCGACAGAACAGATGGGGCAATGAAAAAAGCAATCAGACCCATTCTGTGTTGTGAAGAGGACAAAAAAATCTGCGCTCGGCTCGTGCGTCACCGCTCTGCACGGCTCATAGATTCTGACAACTCGTGTTTTGGCAGCTGGAGGCAGAAATGGGCCGACTTACCTGATCGGGATTCTTCCACCACTTCTCCCATTTGTCGGTGTAGTTGGCGGTAATGGAGAGGTAACCAATAGGGGCATCAAACCATACGTAGAAAACCTGCAGAGACAGTCAAAGTTGTAACAGACGAATCGTGTGTTTTTTTTTTTTATTAAAACAAAAATGTACTTTGGGTCACATGAGTAATCCTCAAGATGCACAGTGACCTTGATAGCACTGCGAATGTGATTTTACTTTAATTGCTGTGGGTGTCAGTGTATGAAAAGTTGTGAGGTGTGTACTTAATGAAGCTGTCAAACATGTTTGGACATGTCCTCGAGAATCTCTCAGTGACATACAGGTGTACTGTTATTGAGAGAAATGCAGTATTGTATTTGTATATGTTCTGTATGCCAGTCTGGATTTTTATGCTTTAATAAAACAGGAGACAAAGATGGATGTCTCCTGTATAAGGCCTAATCATGTGAAGAATGACACTTGAACCCCAGGAGGACAAAAGCAGACCTTCTCTTTAAAGTCAGGATGAGGTACTGGTATTCCCCACTGCAGGTCTCTGGTGATACAGCGAGGTTTGAGTCCATCTCTCAGCCAGGAGCGAGTGATCTGTTTGGCGTTTGCTGTCCAGTCTCCTGTGCTGGTTGACTTATTGAGCCACAGCTCCAACTGAGATTCTAGCTGCATGAGAGGAAAGAGGAAGGAGAAAAACAGGCTGAAAAAAATACCAAACATCTTGGCTGTGAACCAGAGCTCATAAATGAGTCAAGTCGTTTATTGATGTTGCCCAATAAAAAAAAAAAAAATAATAAAAAAAAGCATATCTCCAAAATGTGTTTTTTTTTCCAGGAACATAAAAAAACGGTTTTATTAATAAACCACCTTACAGAATAAACCCAGAACACTGTAATTAGACACAATTAGGACCCAAAATCAAACCTATATTTACACAGTCATCAGTGACTTGTTTGATATTTTAAATGGACTTGTGTGCTTTGTGTTGTGAGTGATAGTGGACATACGTGTTTTTTTAATAATGCACTCCCATGACGTTCGGTTATTTACGAGCGTCTAGTATCCTGTTTATGTCCCACTGTGTTGATAAACTATTGATAGCAGGCTATCCTACATTTCCACATTGCACATTGGTTGTCAACTTTTTTGAGTCGCGACTCCCAATTTAACATGAACTAGTGTCCGCAACCGAGTGTGAGAGAGAAAACAGCAGCAGCTTTGTCTCTCGGGATGAACTTCGGCTCAAGAAATCTAACATACAGGTAATCAACACTGTCATGATAAGAACAAAGTTTGAGGTTGGCATCAGTCGATGTGAGGACATTAGTGTAGCATTACCCTGGACTGTAATGAGTCTGTCACAGTGTAAAATCTGTTTGCTGACATGACAACACAGGACCAGGCCGGAGATACGTGCTTTGTTGACACCTCAGACACCCAATGGAGATACTTGTTGAAAAGATGACGTTATAAAATGTATTTCCATTTGGATACCCAAAGCTGCGGGTTGTTGGGGAAGATTATACGCCATGCATGTATTGAAAAAAGTCCAGATCCCTAAAAGTGGAGATACGTGTTTTTCATGGGACAGTGACATCATATAATGCAATCACCATAACGTTAACTGCCTTCCACAAGCTCACTGACTTAGAATTGTGCCTAACTCTTGATACTTGTACCTCTCTCTTCAGGCTGACTCTGTCTAAATCTTTGAGACCAGTAAATGCTCCCTCCATATTTCCACATTAACAGCCTCTCTATTTCCAGAATGCCAACCTAAGCCAATTCAGTACAGTGTGACAACATACCTTTGGCAAGTCCAGGAAAAGATGTTTGGAGGAGCGGATAACTGGAGTCTGCCTGCAGACCTTACACTGGGGTTCCTGGAGGGGAAAGCCATTAGAAAACGATCAATGTAGCTGTAACCTTTCTGAAAAATGCAGTTCATGAGACAAGTTTCACTTCAACTAAAGCTGTACATATCCAGGGGAAATAGTAAAAAATATGCACAAAAAAAAGTTCAGACAGCAACCCAAATAAAGCATCTGCTTCTGCTTCATTAATTTATCATTAAATTAAAACTTTAATGACAGAAAATCTTTCTCAGAAATGTAGACAGTCACTAACTAAAGTGGATGCCTGAACAGCTGGGTACAAGAACAGCACAAAGAGAAAAGGGCATAACATAAATCAATATCTAACCGAGTAAGAACTGCAACATGTTTATTCTACCTACAATATTTATCAGCAACACAGAACATTGTTGTATAGTCTCTCACCCTGAGCTCCACAGCATTGATGAGATGGCCACACTTGTCACACTGGTCACCGCGGGCCTCTGGGTAGTTGCAGCGGGGACAGATGCCTTCTACAAAGCGATCGGCGAGGAAGCGTTGGCAGTTTTCACAGCGGAGTTGCTCCACTGTGTCTTCAACGAGGAAACCGTGCTCGTGGAGTCGCCAGAAAATGTTCTGGGCAATCCTGAAAGAGTAAAAAAAGTTCTGGGGTTGTGCTTTGGGCAGTTAATTAAACTAATAACTGTGTTTTATGGCACAAACAAATCGATGGATCCTGATGCTTTTTTGTTTACCACCTCAGATTGATACCTTCCCTTTCCTGTTGGCTAGAAATTTATCAAGATTAAATGACTCAATTAGGAAGTAGAAAGCAGAAATAGAAAACTCTTTAATATTCAAGAAAAGGGAAAGAGGAGCGTTTGAGGTATCACTGTAGCACCTTTTTATGTAAAACTGTACAAACATCAACAGATTAAAGTAACAGTCACCCTCTGCGGTGGGTTGGATAACCTAAAATGCGAGACCCAACAGCGGATGCTCTTTTCATGAATCAACTCCAAAGTCTTTAATCTGTGAGGCTGTTTTCTGTTTTCAAAGAGCACTTCTGATGCACAGGGTTTGATGCCTTTTATGTTGTCCGCTATCAAAGCATAGAGCTCAAAAACAACAGTTTTTATCTCTGTTATCCTTCCCTGTGTACGAGCTTAACGACCCGAGTCTCACATTTGCTGAAGAGGAGAGTCTTTCCTTTGTATCCTGATTCCATTTGTAAGACTGTAAACTCACCACAAATCCATCTTTCCGTGTCTTTTTCAAACACTTACAAACAAAACAAACTGACACCTTATCCATACAGAGATCCCTTCTTTATCATTACATTTCCTGTTATAGTCCTAATCCATAACTTTGAAACAATGAAATCAACCTCGGACCGCAGTGACCACATCAATATTATGAAATGGATCACTCTCCCATATGAGGTCCGGTTCATTTCTCATAGATTCACACTGCCAATATGTTTCCTTTTTGCTGACTAAATAAAAATGAAGTTATGAAAGTGAAACTTCTCTGAGATAAATTCTTTACTGTATTACACTGAAGTGAATCCTCAGCTGACTTTTCATCTACTTTTACAAACTATGATTTTTTCATGTGTGAGAAGTGCAAAAACCAACACATCTCTTTTGATGTCAATAATCAAAATCAAGTTTTTCTTACAAGATTTCCATTTTTATAAGCAATAATCTACATTCTACAATCCTGCTCGATAATCTCTCAGAGGGCTAGACATACTCACCAGTAACTTCTGCAAGATTACAGTAATCCGGCATTACATAATCGTATAGTAATCGTATAGAAACGTGTTTGCCCTTTGATACTAAAGCTAAGAAGGGTCAGAACACAACTAAACCACGAGGGGAGCAGAGTCAAGAGGTAAGCTCTTGATCATGACTGGAGATCTGTAAATATTCTTCTTTGGCTTTGTTATTTCCTCACCTAATTTCATCTTTTTGTAACTTTGTTTTTACCTTTCTGATTTCACTTACTCTTTCTGCTTCACAGTGGTTGTCCTGCCAAAATAATCAAAGTCGATCTGGAACCACTTGTATATGCTGGCGTGGATGGCGTGGTATTTGTCGCAGATCTCCTGCGGGGTCAGACCCTCCTCTCTGGCCTTGTTCTCCGTAGCTGTGCCGTACTCGTCTGTGCCGCACACAAACAGCACATTCCAGTCTCTCAGACGTCCGTACCTTAGAGGGAAAAAAACACATGGACTTAGCGCAGTGACGAATAAGCGGTACTTTCAGAGGGATGGAAAGTGAAAGAAAGAAGCAGAAAAACAGCGGAAGGAGAACAGACCTGGAATTACAGCCCTGTGGTTGTATTCCTCAACCAGTCAGGTTGAAGTTTGCATCACTGTCAAACCAGACTCAAAAATAAAACCTAAAGGAATTCAATAAAATAGAATTTTTCTCTGAATGGAGGTCATTACAAAATGGACTTTTATGATTCCAGTAATTTGTTCACAGTCAAAACTGTTCTGTGCACAGAGGCAGTTTTTATGAAGAACTGGGAGATGTACTGAGTGTGGGAATGACACAATATCAAATTTTAAGACATTGTTTTCAGCTTGAATACCACCATCAAAGAATAAGATGAGTGGACCGACAGATGGCACTTAAAAAAATCGTGCACCTTCCCTTAGCTATATCAGAAACCTAAAGATATTGTTTGTATAATCAGGGTGAGCGTGTGTAAAGAAGAAAGAGAGATGTGCAAGGTGAAGAAGAAACAGAAAGCTTTATAATAAAACTAAGAAGTCTGTTTCAACCTCAAATTTCAACGTCATCCTAATATTTCTTAAATATACTGGTACTCAGGTTAAAGTGGTTTCAGGATTATAGTGTCATGACAGAAAGTAAGAGGAGTTTAGGGCTGAATTGTTACCTGCAGAAGACGTCAGTGCTGAGGACACAGCCGATGATGTTACCCAGGTGGGGGACGTTGTTGACATAAGGCAGAGCGCTGGTTACCAGGAGATTTCTCTTGCCTTCTTTTGGCAAACTGAAAGATGAAAAACATCCAAGTCTTGATTTACTCATCTCATCACTCCTCAAGGGTTATAAATTATTTCAACATCGACTAACAGCCTAAACTGCAACACAAACACACTGTACGCCACACACTTGGTATCTCCAAATTAACCAGCAGTCTCAATCACTTACATAGGATGCTGTCTGTTTGTAGCGGACGGGCCGTCGCTCAGACCTGTGCTCCAGGTGAGAGCTGCTGCTGCCATCTCCTCCTCTGAGACCAAACGCTCACTCTCCTCACCCTTGTATGAAAAAAGAGTAAATATCTCTAACTGCTTCATGTAGTTCAGTACAACATTATGACCAACTGTTAGCGTTTCTCTAACAGAGGGTTTTCAAAATCCATTAATTATTTCTCATCTTATCATTTTAGATCAACGAACTAAGTGTTTATTTACACAAAAGGCTGTTAAATCCAAGACTATGTTTCATTAGTAATTAATAAGGGAGAAGCTTTAGGGACTTTGAAAACCTGAATTCAACATCATTAAGCTCCATTTAAAGGAATGTTCCATCAGAAATTCTCAAAGAGCTGCGATGAAACATGCTGTGTGTAAAACCTGATATGTTTTCATTTTCTGGTTGGGGAAATTCTTAAAAGGGATATTCCGGCGTAAATTTAAGTTATGGTCAAACACACCGTGACACCAAGTTAGACACCCCCTTGAGAGATGAATGTTGTCGACCGCTTGCTTCTCTAGTCATACCAACTTTAGCAGCGACCGCACAATAGCAATACACAGTGGTCTGCGTCTCCACGCACAAACCTCAACCAAAAAAGCCACTCTATAGCCACAAATAATGCTCAGAACAGCACCTAACTTCATCAACAGTAAATTACATATAGGGTGCAGCAGAAAATGTATCATCATTACTTCATGGAAATTCAATCAGACTGAGAGGCTAAAGCAGAAGAACTACTGCGTCTGCAGTGCATACAAGATACACAAGAACTCTTGAATGCATATCCGTGAAGTAATAATCGTAAATTTTCTGCCGCACTCTGTGATTGACTCGTCAGGGCTCCCCCACAAACAAGCGGCTGCTGGAGGAGAGTGGGTGAGTTGTGTTTGGTCTCTTTGCTAAAGAAATCAGGCAAAGCTAAAAAGATGTTTGGTGGCTAGTACTATGGCTAGGACCCTATATTTACTGTTGATGAAGTTAGGTGCTGTTCTGAGCATTATTTGTGGCTATAGAGTGGCGTTTTGGTTGAGGTTTGCACGTGGAGACGTAGACCGCTGCGTATTGCTATTGTGCGGTTGTTGCTGAAGTTGTTGTAACTAGAGAAGCAAGCGGTCGGTGACATTCATCTCTTAAGGGGGTGTCTAAATTTACGCTGGAATATCCCTTTAAGATCTACTATTTCTACGGACTACGACATCAAAAAGAAGAGGCTGTATCCTTCTTACTGTTAAGTTTGCAACATTTTTAAATTGTTATTGAGAAACCCTGGCCTCACAAAGCAAAACCTGCAGCCTGACCTTTTTTTCCTCACTTTTAACCTTCGACCAAAGTCTTTCTGAATCTGAGATGCACACACTCTTCCTCACCTCCTTACAGTACGGGCTACTGCAAAGTTTGATTGACATGTGTTTAAATCCTGCCATGCTTACACCAGAGAGAGAATGGAGGATAAAAAAGTGATGTAACCTCTGCATGCTGCATGCTCTATATCCTAACATGGGTGTTAGTGTAGCTTTCACAGAGCTGGGTTAACTCCCACACTGAGACTGTGCCTGCTTTACAAGAGGGCCCTGTCTGCTTAGTTTAAGTGAGGTGAATTCAAGCCCTGCAACCCTTTGCATGCTTTAACTCTACTACAGAGTGAAAGAGCTACAGTGGAGTAAAGACAGAAATTTGGGAGAGGAAAAGTGCGACAATTCATGTCTTGCAAGGTCTTGTTTGTGTTACAGCAGCTCTCGCTTCGTCTCCTTTTCTTAGAAACCTCACAGGGCATACATGTTTCCTGAGGCACCAGCACAAGTGGATTTAGGTGCTGACACTCCTTTTAGTGCTTCCTTTTGTGTTCACTGAGCATGCTTTAAGTCTAATAGTCATCCCGATGATCTGGCGGGTACCTCAGCAGGGCTGCTGTTGCATGGCTGTGTGTCTCTGCACTGGCTGCTCTGAGGGGCAGGCTGCCTCTGCATGTAGTTCTTCATGCCCTGCAGGCCTTTTCCCTGCAGCACTTTCTGAGCAGCAGACTGTAAACTCTGCGTGGCAGCCCCACGGTCAAACCAAGTCTTCACACACTTGCGTTCATCTGTTAAAAGAAAGAAAGGCGAGGAAATGAGAGGGCAGAGGAGAGAAGAACAGTGAGAGGTTGCAGAAAGGATAGTTCAATCATAGAATGACAATAGGAAAGAAAACGGAGAGAAAGTTAATATCTAAAGGAGATAAGTTAAGGTCTGGACAATGAATGTACGACTTTACTCTCTTACCTAATGCTAGTGAAGAGTCAGATAAAACAGGGTACAGAGCAGCCCACAAAACGACGTCAGCAACTGAAACAGCGTCCTGGAAAACAGCAGTTTAATCAATATTTTAGGACATTCAAACTCTTGTCATGAATCTTTTTCATCGCTCCGTTATTGTTGTTCTAAAATCCCTGAAAAAGGCGGAGGACCTGCTGTGACTTTTCACCCACAGTGAAGCCCAGAGGGAGACCCTTTACCACGAAACTTCTGCGTTCAATGCTCACTAAATATGGACTGTGTGACAGGTTCCTTCGAGCCATGCCAATCACCAAGAGACTCAGTAAAATATATTTCTGTGCATGTGAAATATGATAGACACAGGTGACTTATTGCCACAGGGGCCAAGAGTACCCTAGAGGATGTACACCCCCCTCACCCACTCATTCTGCCACCCACACTGAGACACATCTGCAACAAAGGGGACCTCCTCTCCAGATAAATTGCTTTAACTTTAAAAATGCAACACTAGCTCAGCATCAGCAGCTGGAAAAAAAAAGAAAGAGTACAAAAAACAGAAATGTTGCCCGGGGAGCCAAATTTGGCACAGAGGAGACGCTCAGTTAAGCTCAGCTGAGCTTCAAAAGAGGCTTCATGAACTTTTGACTTGATCATATAGTCTGTTTGTCTTTATCTTATAATTATGTTCACACGATACCAGGAAAATTCATGAGATTATGAGAAAAATTGAGATATTAATACTGTACCCCAGTTAAGTATGGCGTGTTCCCTTTGCTCAAGCTTTGCTCCAAGTGGTTGAGGGATCCCTTGAGGACCTGGGACACCTCTGATCCTTTTCCCTGAAGCACTGCCGTGTGAAGAGCCTGCAGCAGCACGGGCTGCATGCAGAAGACAAAACAGAGATTAATTAAAATTGATTGAATGACATCAGATCAAAGTGTACAGCAAAGACGCTGCGCTGAGGTTAAAGAGGTCATTTCCTTGAACTCTGCAGAGATGGATGATTGATTCTCCTTGTATATTGTTCTTCTAAAAGGATGCAGCTTTAATCATTTAGCTGTATGGACTTTTTTTTTAACACAATGAAGGGGAGTAAGATGGTTCTACACCACACACAAAAGCATGAATTGATTATTAGCTGCTTAAAAAAGAACAACAGATTATTGATAAGTGTACCTGAAGGTCTGTGGCCTCCCATTCGAGCCACTGACCGCACAGTTCGCTGCAGTCTTGTCCACTTACTTCAAACAGATATCTAAGATGTTAAAAAGGAAAAGAAGAAAGGAGAAAGTCAAACAGTTGCAGCATTCTTGCTTTCAAAAGGAGTTTCATCTGATATGGGCGAATAAACACATACGAAATATAAATACTGCATCTGCTGCAGACGAGATCCATATTCATGAGATGGTTACAGTGTACCCCCCAACGTTTAAAACAATGTAAACGTCATATAAACAAAAGCTAAAGGGGTCCTGAGCTCAGATTCATCAGTTACATATGCCGTTAAAATTTTATGACACCACAATGAAATAAAAGAAACACTGCTTGGCTGCTGATAGAGCGAATGGATGGACATGTCGCTCAGTATAAATCAATTGGTATCAAGATTCCACAGATGTCTGTCTCAGACATCTCTGCTGATACACAGATACATTGTAAGAGAAAAATCTAATTTTTTGACTCACAGTAAGGAACCCAAGGGCTTACAGCAAAACTTATCTGCAACTGAGATGACTTATAACCTGTTTTTGCTGTTGAAGTCATCCTTAATGTTTAAAAAAGTTATGACAAAAAAGGGCTGAACAACCCTCACCACAACACACTTGGCATTTATAGATGACTGTGCAAGAGGATTAAAGTCGACTGACCGGCAGATGGCATTGGAGCTGAAAAGGTGCAGTCCACTGGGCAGGAGCAGAGCTGGCAGGGCTGGACGGCTGAGGAAGGGCACCACTCTCTCTGTGGAGAAAGAACAAACACCGTGTTTGTTTGTTTGGACGCAATGTGAACAGCACTACAAGATTATGAAAGAGGGGCATGTTGAAACACGAAGGAAATAAATTGAAACAAATAGTGAATCATCTGCTCCACAACTGTCTAGATCATCTGATCATCGTCTCCCACCATTTTCTGTCCAAACATGTGTGATTAACTCGTCTTTTCTATCTGTAGTTTACATTTTTTAGATTCAAAGTTATCTTTCGAGGTCTTATGGTGATGACAGCCTCGACTGCCTGAAAAAGCAACAAGTGTTAATATCAAAATGCATCACGAATCAGAGTCAAGCAGTATAGGGGAGAGTGGGGTAAGATGAGCCATTTTTCATATTTCGGATCACTACATCAAGTCAATCATAGTTTTGTCTCTAACTAGTGTATCTGCATATATTTTAAGATGTTGGTCATCCCTGCAAACCAACAGAATGAGTGTAAACATAACTGTCTTGGTAATGTAGCATGCCAAAAAAAGTGGTCTCCTATGGTCAACTTAACCAGTGTATGGGGTAAGTTGACTCCTTCATGGTCATGTGTATTTTTATCTATTAAACACTATTTAAGAATAAGAAGAACTTCATTAATCTCCAAAGGGAAATTCAACTGTCTGTTGTCTCACTTGACATGTCTCTAAAAATCATCTACTATTTACACAAGAGTTATAAAGTCTGATGGCTGTTGGTACAAAAGATCTTTTGAATCTTTCTGTCCTGCAGGGAAGAGAGAGGAGCCGTCCACCACCATTGGTCCTTTGGTCCATTAAGGTGTTGTGAAGTGGGTGATCCATGTTCTTTAGAATAGTCTCCACCACATCCTCCACTGAATCCAGCTTGAGTCCTACCACAGAGCCAGCCTTTTTCACCAGTTTGTTAAGACGCCTTACATCTTTGTGTTTGATGCTTCCTCCCCAGCAGACTGCAGCGTAGAACAGAACACTTGCCACCACAGACTGATGAAACACCTGCAGCATCTTACCACAGATGTCTATTGATTGGAGTTTTCTCAGGCAAAGGAGGCGGCTCCGCCCCTTTCTGTAGATGAAGTCTATATTCTTAGACCAGTCCAACTAATTATCCAGATTTACACCAGATGTATTCATATGATGTCACCACTTCGATGTCCACTCCACAGGTGTTCACTGGCTGAAGAGGGGTTTTGGATCTACGGAAGTATATGACCATCTCCTTTGTCTTTGAGGTGTTGAGGAGGAGGCAGTTTTTGTGACTCTAGCCAAAGGGCCAATGGTGCTGGACGGCTCGTCTCTCTTCGCTACAGGACAGAAAGCTTTATTTATCTTATTGATCTTTTTTACCAACAGCCATCAGGCTTTATAACTCTTATGTAAATAGTAGATAACATTTACAGACATATTATGTGAGACAACAGACAATTGAATTTCCCTTCGGGGATCAATAAAGTTCTTCTTCTTCTTCTGAATATTTCTGGATGTGGCAGGACTCAGTGCTGTATTTGAAGTCTGACGTGTACAGTCAGTGTGAACAGGAATGGCGCCAGCACCCTCCCTTGTGGAGCCCCTGTATAGCTCAACATTATTAGTCCTCTAAGCTAAAATGGTGGACTTTTCTGTTAGGTTTTTGACCTCATGTTGTAGCTCATAGATACCACAATTGATGGATAAAACAAATTTAAAAGGATCTTTGTGGTCTGAACACAATTCTCATAAAAACTTATGACAGACTAAATTCACTTTCAAGAATGAATTTTTATTTTTTTGTTGTAAATAAATGTCTAACCCCTTCACCCATGTGCTTCTAACCTTCACAGACTCCATGCCCATCTCCTACATATTTGGTCACATGATCAATTTCTCTGACCATTTCCAAGAAACAGGGGGTGGCTCAACTTACCCTCTGGCTCATCTTACCCCGGTCTCCCCTACAGGTAGAAGCTTAACAACCTCATGTTTTGCACCGACTAACAAAGCCTACACGATGCAGCACAAACAAGCTGAACAAAAACAAGAATAGAAAGGAGTGAAACAGAGTCAGAGAGTTTTCTAGCTTCTTCACTGGGACACATGTTGTGAACTGTTCAGCCTTTTCAGCTCTGGCAGGTAAACAAGAACCGGCTAGCTAACATGAGCTAATCAGCTGTTCGGCCGTCAGTTATGAGACAAACTCAGTTCAAACTTGACTTTAACCTCTTTAAGGTGGTATGTCACCTCATTTCTAAACTAACAGCAGATGTAGCGTTAGTTTAAGGTGATAAATGTTGAGCTAACCATGCTTTTCTTACCGTCGTGGTTGACATACTGAACGTCGCACTGAACTCCGCTCACTTGTAAAGCAGCTAACACCTTCAGGCAGTGCGGGTTGCCTTCACTTACAAACAGCTTCATCTGGTCGTGAGGAGATACTCCGCTATGCTGGGGTCAACGGTTGGTTTTAAAAGTAGGAAAGTAATGACTTTAAACGAAGACAAGAAGCCGCTGGTAAAACTTTAACAGAGCGTGCTGTCCACACGCTGACGCAAGCGGTGTCGGCACTTTCCCAATGGCGGATGTGTAGTTTTTGAACGCTGTTAGTGTCCATGGTAGCACCGACGGCTGTTTGACACATGGACTTCATTTCCCATAAACGCTTCCTTCGAGCGTGACGTTCGCGACATGCAAGGTTTGTTTGATTTTTGTTCTAAGACAGTCATGGTGGGCGGAATCGGTCGCTCATGGCGAACGTGATATTCCGGGCGACGCCGTGCATTTAAAAACGTTCTATAAAGTTTCAGTCATCTCATTGGCTCTTCGTGAAATCATATTGTGCGCTTTTAGCCAATCAGAATCCACCAAACCCAACCAGCGAAAGCTATTTTTTATTCACTTAAAGCGCCAGGAGGATGTATCACTATGGGCTGCTGCACCGGGCAACTTAATACCCGTGTGTGACTGTTAATCTGCCAAAGTGCTCGACAGAGTTCATCTCTCTGCGCCCATTTTGTAAATTATACGAAGTTCTACATGTTTTTATTCATAAGTAGAGAAAATACTTAACTATTGCTCCCTGTCTTTCTGCACTTCACTCCCAAACCACAGCTGAGCTGTCATCACGTCGCTGCAAGGTGAGTGATGTTTTTGTCTCTTAAAAGCAATCATGGGATTTTCTGTTGAGCTGTTTATTCAGACAAATTTTGTTCTGCTTTAAATTAACAAATATTTGCTCAAATTTAAATGCACCGTTTCTGTTATTCTCACATATATATTTAAACGAGTGCAGGCTCAGAAACTATGAACTTAACAATTCTGCCTTTAATTTATAAAAAACATGAACTGAGTTAAAACGTTTAATATATGTTTTTAAATCAATGCTTATCAAGTTGTTTTTGACCTCCTTAATCTTAATCCCAATCAGACTAATGACTCATTCAGTGGTGACAGAGGCAACTTTCATAAATAGGAGTTAATGAGATTAACAACGTGTTTCATGGCCTTAATGGTTTTTTCACCTAGTTATCAACATCCTGACGTTTTATCCCCCTTTTTTTGAAGAACACTGATTTATTTTAAACCTTATTTCAACCTCAATACACTAACAAACATCAAAATAAACTTCTATCTTGTGTTAAGTTATGTGGGGAAAAAAAGTTGTGTGCCAACACTGCATGTCTAATATTTAGTAGTTCAGGTCCGGCCTCCACAAACACTTTGCAATCACTAAAATAGCAAGTGTGCTTTTTCTCAAATACATGTATTCACTCTGCATTGTCAAACCACAGGAAGTCTGTCAAGAACTTGTAAACTCAGCTGGTTCACTGCACGAGAGCCACATAAGGACAGCCCTACCCAAGACACACAACATGTGCTAAAAATCAGTTAAACCTCCAAGTATTTGTTGTTGAAGAAAGACCTCCAGTGTTTATTCTTTCCCTTTAACTTCTGTCAAAACATAGAGCACATACCCACACATTTTCACAGTGGATTATATTAAATTTTCGTGCCAATGATGCATTTCTACACATTTTAATACTTTAAAAGCAAATTTTGGTCATTGCTATTTCTCAGTCCACTGATAACAATCACTTATTCTCAACACATATGACACACTTCTTGGTACGCGGAAATGTTTGCATGCTACAGTGAGCGAGTCATAAACCCTCGTATGCTGTTTCATAGAAACTGCATAGATGGTTTAACCACACCGTGTGATGGAAACAGTCTGACTGACGCATTGCATTTTTTTGCTCTTTTATAATCTTTCTTAAGTCCATGCAAAGAAGGAGATTTGCTCCCCTTTTCGCCAGCTTGTGACGACACAGGCTTGGAAGATTATTCTCCAGTTGCAACACTGCTGATTAAAAGTGCCCTGTATGTGCAGCATTAGCACAGGGGTTACTATTTCTCTGTAATTGCTATAGTGTGCTTCATAGACTGCTGTTTGCTGTGCATGAGGAGTCAAAGATTGATTGAGAGGCTGAAGCATGCCGTTTGTTTCTGGTCAGATTATGCTGCTGCTTAAGGTTGTGTGTCTGCGATCCATTCCTGAGTGTGTGATGATGTGTGTCTGTTTGCATGCTAAATTATACAGTGGCAGGTCACACAGCTCAACAAACCTCATGTGACTTTTCTTATTTGTACTGTACACATTAGGTAACAGCCACACCACAACTTTGTTTCTGATCTGTGAAAATATTCAGAAAGCATGAACATGTGAGTGATTTTTTTTTTAGATCAACGTTCATACGCTGGTTTGTTTCCTCAGATTGTGATGTTCTGTGTTGCAGCATTTTCATAATGTCCTACATGAGCCTTTTAGAGAAAGTTGTATGGCCCATGTGACACCCTTTAAAGGGACAATGACAATCCATTTTTGTTCATTCAGGTTCTAAGGAGGTGTTTTAATTCCATCTGTTATCATTTGGAAGATAATGTTTTCAAAGCTTTGAGTGAATCGCGTAAACGATTGCCCCAAGTTGTTAAAAATGAACATGCTGACTTTCTTAATAGTTGAGACATCATCAAAAGTGCAAACTTTCAGCTACAACAAAAACTTTCTTTGTGAACACAGGAAATGAGAAATTTACATCAAATTCTAGGTTAGCTGCTCGGGTTGTTTCAGAGTGACTAATCTCTTAGTGGTTGGGAAACTTACATGAAAACTTGCTGACTTGTCCAAAGATATGAAAACAGTTGAGAAACAGTCAAAATTGAGAACACTGTATTTGACATGGTTATATGTAGATTATGTCTGTTGGTGAGCAGTGTCAAATTAGTCCTCAGATAGTGGCTTAAGTCAGCAGAGCTAGCACAGCCAGCCTTTGGTGCTCTTGCATGTTAAAGTTCCCCTACCTGTGAAGTTCTAACACAACATTATAGTTATAGTCAAGTGGTTATGGTCACAGTCTGCACACATTGTAGCATTATGGCAGAGGCTATTAAGCAAAGCTGCAACCATAGCTTGTGGTGAATGGCTTGGATACAGCTGGGTTCTACATGACCTACTAAAGCAAATAAGACTTTCAGTAAGAGGAGGTTTTGTTTATCTCTAGTTGTTCATGCATGGACCCACAGGTCTCTGCTCCAGCAAGCCCCGCCCACAAACAGACGCTCCTGCTCGCTCGTATCGTTCCAATTCAATTCCAATATAATGCAGATAAATACTTCAGATAATTACAAATGGAGCCCAGTCAGCATGAAAGTAAAACGCATTGGTGCTACTGTAGATGCCAACAGACTACCAGCAAACACAATGTTTGCAGGACTTCTACAACCAGGATAAAGTGACATAGTCCAGGACCCGAGGTCAACAGTTTAGCGGCGCTACAACACGCTACAGCAGGTCCGTTTTACAAAAAACACTTCTGTTACAGACACTTGGCTTATTTTGTTAAAGCAGTTTACCTGTCCAGCAGAAAGGTTACAGGGTCCGTAAGATCCCGAAGTGTCCCCCATCATTGTTGACCCGTCTTTTTGGCTATTTTCCGGTCTACCTCCTTTTTAAACGCCCGTTATCCCGCCAGAGTCTCTGGTATTTACTTCGTTTTCTTGCTTGTGTTAAATGTCATAGCTAAAGGAGGATTCAGGCAGTTTTCTGTACTTTCTGGTTTCTACTGTCCGATATTGTAGCACGCTAACTTTGTTTGGGCTCCTGAACGACATGGGGGAGCAGCGTCTGCCTCACAACCAATCAGGATGGGGGAGGTGGAGAATGGCTTTGTTTACAGTCAGAAAGAGCGGAGCACTCTGAAATTTAAAAATGTTGACTACACAGACATAACAAAACACAGCGATATCATTATATTCCCAAATGTCACCAATAACTAATAGCTATTGACTGATATTAAAAGCTTTTTTGTATATACACCACAAAAAAGATGCTTAGTGAACAGATTTCTGCCTACCTCACCTTTAATGAGCCAAGTGATTAGAGGAACTACTTTGTCAAAACCAACACAAACTAAAAGTTCCTCACAGGAGCTTTAATGTTGAGAGAAATTCGTAGACTTTAAATGTTAAAACTTTCAATTCAAGATAAATTCCAGCTCACCCTCTGTGCCTTCAAGGCCATACAATAGGCCCTGGATCACTCTTTGGGATTCACTGTATGGAAGCAGATTCCTATACCACAGCTTCCATGAGGTTTACAGTGGCTCCACCTACATTCACATCTGTGCTGTGTTTTAATCTGGTCCATCTTAATCCTGCATTTACTATCAGTGTGCAAGGGTTCATGTTTGAAGTATGCAAAGATCCCCCCAAAAAGCTGCATTGACTCGTTTCAGCTTCTCTGGATGGTTTAATGTTTGCTTTTCATCATCATTTGTCTCTGTTAACCTGAAATATTTTATTGGGCCTTTGACAAAATAGGACATATGAAGAAGCCAACTTTGTTTTTTGTGGATAAATGATATAGATATTGTAAAGGAATAGTTTTAGCTCTTTAAACTGCCCTCACATTAAAATCACTGTAGTGAGAAGTGGTGGCAAAGTTGTTGTTAAAAAACACAATTGCAGCAAATAATTGAATTTGAAGACCCAAAGGCACCAAATGTAAACACTGGCACATCCCACCCCCTTACTGTTATTTGTGTAATGGTCCTTTATTGAACAAATATCCCCTTTAACCCAGCAAAAGCATCAAAGTGGTGCGTCTCCTCTCCACACTGTTTGCCCTGGGAGGTTTAGCTGCTCTTCCTTGTGCCCCAGCAGTATCGTGCTCACTTCAGCTGCACACGGCTGAAAGTGGGTCTTTGACTTGCCTGATAGCTTTTGACAGCTCACTCTCATCCCCGGTGGATCAATGGAGCTCAGCGCGCTTCATTAGAAACATCAATGTACCGCACATTCCCACAGGCTCAGCACCAACCCGAGAGCTTGCTCTGAGAGGGAAGGTTTATTTTGTTATTCTCCAAAGAGCGGTCTTTACTTCTCTGTGAGACTCTGTTTTCTTCAGCTGGAGGACACTGTAGGAATACCTTGTTTGCTTCTCATGAACTGACACTGAATACTAGCAACTTCAGGCACAGTACACCGCCTTCCATGTGTTATTTTCTCAGTTTATCTAACATGAAATAAGAAATATTTCAAAACACATCCACCTTGATGAAGCTGCCTGCAGAGTCTGTAGAAATTATTCTAAATTTTTTGCTGGTTCATGTTTTTTAATAGTTTTTCAATTAGCATGATGGAAATAGACACTTTTACTGGCTCCTAATACAACATAACAGTCACTTCAATATCCTGCTCATCACCTGCAAAGCTCTTAAAATCCGTCCCCCCATCACTTACGCTCTCTCCAATGTCACTCCCCCACTTAATTTATAAAGCACTTTTCAAAACAGAGTTACACTGCAAAAAAGAGGGGTCTAAAACAAGATAAAAACACAAGATCTGGGGGAAAAGGAACTAAAAACAAGTGAAATTATCTGTCCATGCAGCAAGATAATTTCACTTGACAAGATTTCTTGAATTAAGATTGTTAAATCTAGAAATAAGCATGTCTACAAACGTATGGATGTTTGCTGGTTTTAAGATCCGATTACTTCAAATTGAACCTTTACAGCCCCAAAAATAAGTTAAATATACTAAATATAAACATAAAATAAGTATAAAATGCTGGTTTTAAGATAAGTGAAATGTATTAAATATAAGTATACTGTAAGATAAGGAGAAAATGCTGGTTTTAAGATGAGATAACTTAAAAAGTTACTCTTTTACAGCCTCAAAATAAGTGAAATATAATAAGTAAAATATATTTCGTTTTCTTACTTTTAGCAAATTAAGCTAAAGATTAGTTAAACAAATAACAGAAATTTAGAGAAAAAATGACCAGGCTCTTAAGACACGAGGAGATCAGCATGTCCAGTTATCATTAAAATCTTAAAATCAATTCTAAAATTAACTGAGAGCCAGAGGAAGGAGGCTAAACTATGGGTGATGTGCTTTCTCTTTTTTGATTCAGCGAGAAGCTGTAGTTTATGTAGGCTCTGCTGTGACAGGCATATGGAATTACAGTAGCCTAGGTGGAGATGAAGACATGTATGACTGTTTTAAGGCTGTTTTCTGGGAAGTGTAAAACTGATTTTGGAAAGTCTTCTCAGCTTACTGAACTACTGAACTGACATGCTTCCCCAGATTGAGGTTGTTGTCAAAAATGACTCCAGTATTTTTGCCGCATTTCGAATGATTTGCCAAGAGAGGCTCTCGATGTTGAGTGATGTGAGCGTGTGCGGAGTCAAGGCCAATAATGATAATCTCTGTCTTCATGTTTAGCTGTTAACAGTTGCAGGCCGTCTAGTTTTATAATATAGTTAACGATTGATGAATTGTGATCCAGGTTACTGCTAAAAGAGAGACAAAACTGGGTGTCATCTGCATAAAAATGAAAATCAATGTCATATCTAAAGATAACAGATCCCTGAACTGAACCTTGAGGAACCCCTCAGGACAAACAGATCTCATCTGAACACATCTTCAGATACCAACATTCAACAGGTCCAAGCAACACACCGCGGAGAGCCGAGCCTTTAGTCCTCATTTAAAGGTAACCAGATCCTAAGAAACTTCAGATAAGAGTTGTACGGAGTGTACTTTAATTCTTTAAGGGATAAGCAGGAAACCAACACTTTTTAAAACAGAGAAAGGAAGTTCATTTCAACTCTTTCGGGATGAGTTTTTTTTTCCCCATTATGATCAAACCAAACCTCAGGGCTTGTTATGAAGCAGATGGAAGAGTTAAAAATTAATTGGAGCGACCAAATATAACAAAAAAAGGCTTTTAGATGTCTGTGCAACTAAAAAATGCTGCCCCCATAAACCTTTACAATTCTGATACAGACCAGAACAGATAACCTCGAGTCCCATCACCTGCTTTGTACTAATCAGAGGTTCTGCCAGTCTGTGTATAAAGTGTGGAGGTGTGGGAGGATGATTTAAACCCCTGAGCTTCAGTGCATGGTGCTGACTCATCGTCTAACTAGTAGAGACAGAGAGATGATCTATCTCTGTGTCATCTTGGGTTGTGGCAGTGTGTCCACTAAAGAGCTTCTTACTTTTGATATCTGTCTGGTTTTGTATTGGGCTGTAGACTCTTGGCTTCTTTGTGTCCCCTTCCTCTTTTGTATCAAAGTATAATTTAGTTAAAAAAAACATTTGAGTTTAAGTCAGCTGCTTGGCAGTGATGTTTTTGTTTATTCTCTTGGGATTTCAGTAGTAACCCTGTGGGGAAACCTTTAGAATAGGGCTGGGTGATAAACCGAAAATTTACAGAAACGGAAATTTATGACAATAACAGACGGCATTTTGCACATGTCAATATATTCAGTGTCAAAAAAACTGAATAGATAAAAGTTGGTTTTGGATGTGTGTAGGTAGGCTATGTTTTCACGTCCCTTCCTATATCGGAGATGTGACTCCACCCCATCCAGTCAGTAACAAAGAGGGAAAGACAGGTGAGGAGATGGAGGACGGTTCGAAAGTTGTAGCGGCTGAAGTAGACCAAGTTAATGTGGGAGGGGCTGAGCAGCTTGTGGAGTAGTTATCGTCCATTTATTGTTATCGGAGTAAACTGCTCAATATATTGTGATAATGATTAAAGGCCATATCGCCCAGCCCTACTTTAGAAGCCTTCCTTGGTCCACATTTGTGTCCTACTCTATCTCCGCCTGACACCTTTCTCTCTCAGCATGCATGTATTTTACCTACTGGATGGAGGCCTGGGTGTAACGTCGGTGCTGTTGCACCAGTTTGAAGCAGTCAAATGAAGCTGACGCTATCAGCTCAACTGAAATTAGATCAGTTGGTGCCAATTTAATGGTGTAGAACAAACTGCTTCCAGGGATCATTAACTTATTCAGGAGCTTCATGTTGCAAACACAGGTATTGAGTATTTAACACACAAACTGTTCTCCTGATGCTAAACAAAGTAACCACACGGTGCATATTTTTCCCATGTCAGCTCTAAAAATGTGGGTTCCCAATGCACATGTAGAATAAAACTGAAAGTACAATCATGTTATTCTGCTGCTCAGTGAAATCAAAAAGTAACCCTCTTATTTTAGGCTGTGTTTCTCTTCCTCAAGAAAAGCTGCTTATTCAAATAACAAGCATTTTTCATAAGCTTATTCCTCTCGCTAAAAATGAGCTCATTGTTATGATTTAACCTTTGAGTACACTTGCAGTGTGTTTTCCTTCCAGTTTTCTATAAAGAGCAGAAGTTAATTAAAAATATGATGCTTGCAATAATTCTTTGAAGAGTTTAAAATGCCCTCTGAGCAATCCTGCTCTACTTTGCCTAACTGGTCCGTCTGCTTGTTGATTATATTCAAATAATGGAAGTGAGGAGTTGAACGTTGTAGGAGTGAGCTCTCTGAAGAAGTTTGCTTTGTACGTGTCGATGCAGGCTGCAGGGTTCATTGTAAACAACTGTGTTGCGTCAGCAGACGCTTGAAATGATGGCATCACACATATATGAAATGTTGTTATGTGCAACAAGAACACAAAAAGCACACATCCACTGGAGACACTGGAGAGAGGAGCTGGTCACAGAGACTGCTGTCACCATGATAGTAGAGCGTCTGAGCCAATGGCTGCTTCACTGTCATCATCTGTATTTTGATTGGCTCTCTGATCGTTTAAACAGCTAATCACTGAATGAATTCTGCCCAGAATCACACACAAACACACGCACACGCAATCACACAGACATGCAGCCGTACACGCGTTCATCCCGCCGTTACACTGGGAAACTCAGTGTGTGTTTCAGTGTCTCTCTGGTCTGATCATCAATAATTTATGGCTCTGGGAGGATGAAAGGCTGTTTTGGCTCCAGGCACGCGTCTCATATGGAGAGAGAGACATCAGCACTCACAGTTATAACCGTACATTTATAGACAAAGTGAAAGCTCCTTCACATGGCTGTCCTCAGTAGAACCACTTTTCAGAGAGAGGACTAATTTTAAGATTAATGTTTCAGTCTGTCACACGTCACAAAAAATTATTCTTTCCTGCTTTTTGTGGGTTTTCAAGTTGTTTTAATTTTTTTTTTATTCCGAAAAGAACTTTAGGAGCTTTTATTACTGATATAAAGACATCTCACCATTTTATCAGTACTATACGATATAATTTGATATGATAAAATATCATATGTAATATGATATGATATGATACGATATAATATGATATAATAAAATATGATATGTTATGGTATGATATGATACAATACAAGACAATACGAAATGATTAAATATGATATGGTATGATATGATACAATACAATATAATATGATATGATAAAATATGATACGATACAGTGTGATACGATACAATATGATATGATATAATATAATATGATAAAATTATAATATGATAAAATATGATATGATACTATACAATACAATACGACACGGTATGATATGATGTAATAAAATATGATACAATACAATACGATATGATACAACATGACAAGATACAATACAATTTGTTTCTGGATCCATTACCCATGATCACTACAATATCAATATACAGTATTTGATATTTGATCGCTTCACAAGCAATAATTCTTTTTTCTGGTATCTGAACACAGAACAAAAATGCTGAGTACAGGATTAAAGTCATTGGCCTCTCCTTAAGAAGTTATGAAGTGATGTTGTAACTAACTTCATCAGAAAAATCTATTCAATGTGGTTTATTTTCTTAAATTAGAACTTTTTCTACTATTTTCTGTCCCCCTTATAATATTGCATTTTGCCAGGATGACGACATACGTGTGTATCAATATTTTCACCCACTTTAATTGATATGGAATACATACATTGTTTTCTGTGCTTTCAGTACAAACTTGATACCAATAAAGGGTCAATAGGGGTGAACAATATTGCCAAAAATTGTATCTTGATATTTTGGTGGATTTTGTTCATAAGGATAGAGGATAATCTGCAATATATTGCGGCCCTATAAATGTATTGAAGTCTTGCATTGCACCAGATTGATCTTGTTGATAGTTCATGTGAAGTTGTTAATGATATTAATACAACAGTTAGTGTGAGAAAACCCATCCCATTTACCTACTTAGAAATGAGTCATTCTAGTTGATTCCGTGCCACCATGCCATTTGCTGTCCCTCATGTTATAGGGCACTTGTTTGCAGAGGGTGTTTTTGTTTAGCTGGAACTTTAGTTGGTCGGTTGTGGTTGACCGCTGAATGCTAAAGCTCTTCACCGTCTTTGTTTTCTATGTGGTGGTTAATTTGCAAATGAGGAGGCATGTAAGTTGTCAAGCTGCAGCTTATGGTAACCACCTTCTCCTAGCGTACTGAGTCTGCAGACTGGCATCATTTGAGCAACATCTATCTTCTCAAATGAAACTATTTCCATGTAAGTGAGGGGGATCCATGTCTGACAGCTGAACCCATCGACTCTGAGTCTGGTGGTGTTTTGTGTCCGTTTCCTGGACCTGCTTTTTCACTCATTTTTAACTTCAGCAACTTAATGCAAGCAGCTTTTCTCAGTTGCCCATGTTTTCTCAGTGCGTATATATGCTCAGCAGTTTGTCCTATTAGGCTTGATCAGATTCAGTGGATGAGTGTGGACTCTCAATGTGTGTAAACAATATGCATCGAACCCCCCGAGGTGTACCAAATATCAACAAGTCTTTGTGAAATTGTTGTGTGACTTTAACAGACAACAACAGAGCAGTGGTAGCAAAGAGTTTAATGCAAATCAGAGTTAGTAAATGTCCACAGTCAAGGTTTTTTTCTCTAATATGTGTGAGAGACACTGGAGATCAGCCAGGGTTTCAGTTTAGGTATCAGGGAGGGAAAGTATCGGAGGTGGGGCATCTCTTACATACACACTGTATTTATTATAGTGTGGTTGTTTATAAAAGCCACTTAAGCTTGTCTCACGGCTTATTATCTAACTGTAATATCACAGTGTAGCCCTTTAATGCCTGACACCACAAATTATAGCAAGAAAATTCAACTTTTTTGGAGCTGAAATGTTTATTTCACTGACTACTGAAAACCAAAAAAATCTAAATGTTTTTAAAATTGAACAAATATATTTATTTGTCTTGGACATTTTTGGAAATTGATAAACTACTAGAGGACATTTTAATTATTCATCAGACTGTATTCACATGTTTTTTTTAGTAATTTGTTGATCATATTGATTTGATAGAAGTATATATAGGTATGTATTAAATATGATGCAAAAGGCATTAAAGGGTTAAATGAAGTTTAATTGAATATCAGAATGTAGCTGAATTGAAAGAAAATAGAGGAAATTTATAGTTATAGGTTTAATCTAAATGTGCACAGCCGATGCAGGGAGAATAAGCGCCTCACAGCTTCACTTTTCCAGGTAAGAGGAGTCAACACTGAGGGAAGTAGCTCTGGTCACTGACTCTTTCATGAGGGAAGACCCTGAATATCTTAGTACTTGTGCTCCGAATTCAGGCACTGAGGAAAGAGCGCGTTGTAAGTTGTTAATAATATATCGCCTTTTGAGACAAGGATGTTAGTTTGGACTTTATAGAAAGAAAAAAAAATTATCCGACTTGATATTTGAAGCTGCTTCAAGCACACCAAGCTTGTTGACTGTTTACCCCTTAAAAGCAAAAGGTTTGGAGTCATCAAAGTTTCAGATTGGAGTTTGTGATCTTCGAATCTGTTTCAGGTGTGGTCGAATCTGTTTCTTGTCTGGTGTCTCCTGCTTTGCTTTAGCATCGATTTTTAGGAAAATTTCAAGGCACTTCTGGGCTCCTTCGAAGATCGACTGCTGTGCTACAACTCCCTTTACCTATAATGTATGATGTGGGTCCATGATGCAATCCTCCACCTCACACAGCCTTACCTGACTGCAAGTCCGGACTTTAAAATCTTGCTGAGCAGAGAAACCGCAGGATGCATGAGGAGTAAAGTAATCAGGCACATGAAGCACGTCTATTTGAGGAGCTAATAGCAGCTGACACAGATCTGAAATCAGGGCTTTTAACTTATTTTTCCATCGTTAAATTCAACACACAGTATGCATCATGTGGGGCAGCCTTATCGCGCTCATTTTCCTGTGAAGCCTTTAGTTATACGCATTGATATGTAAATACATTACAGCCTTTGTGCATATTTGTGTGTGTGTGTGTGTGTGTTTGTGGATCAGGATGGGAGAGCATGCAAAAAGCTCTTTGAAGTTCCTCATTCAACTCCTTACTCCTCTTCTCCATGTCTCATTGCTCTTTGAAGACCATGTAGCCATGATTATTAAAGACACCCTCGTTTCACTTCAAACGTATGGAATGAATATGGATATGATACGACACCCAAGTTTCAGACAAAAACACCCTTCACTCCTCTATCACCTCACAGCGTGGTGAAGCTCAACAGCCCGCCAATCTCTAACAATCTTAGCAGGAGCCCAATTTCACCATTCTTCAGCTACATGAAATTTGCAATCTCTTCTGTTTTTATTCATAAAGCTCGCTGTACTCTTAGTTTCTGGCATCGCTCCTGTGTTCTCTGTATCATCATCCAAACTCGCTGCTTGTTCCAACCCCCATCACACCGCCACCGTATCATTTATTACATGCTCATTTGCATTCATCATCTCTCTCTCTCTCACCCTGCCCTGCAGTGACAGGACTAATTTCAAGGGTGTCATGCAGCAGGTGGTTTGCATGGATGACTTCGTCCAAGAACTACATATTGTTGATACTTTACACGACTGCCTTTTCCAAAGAACACCATGTTTCTATTCCTCCCTCGGATCTCATTGTGCCCTTGAATACATCATGTGATTTCACGCTACTTTGACAAAGTGAGAAGTTCCCCCCCACCCCTAAAAAAGGGTGTTACGCTTTTTTTTTCTCCTCTTAGATGTGTGACCTTCACTGTGCTGAATGATGATCTGTGTGCGGAGTTTGAGCTGTCAGAGCTGTCTTAAAGCTCCTGTAAGGATTTTTTTTTGCTGGTTATAAAACAGACTGAATTTTATACTGATGTATCTATATGCCCAACAAAGGCAGAGGAGACCATTAGCGAGCAGATAAAGTATTTTGATGTAGGCTTTTGATGGACATTTTTGATGCCTTTAACTGTTACCACAAGTTAGGTGTATGAATGTTCAAGATGAGTTTTCATGATTAGTATAAAATAAATATTTACCAAAGAACTTTGTAAGCCTTTAAAGTCCCACTCTGGTCGTCTTTTTTTTTTACTACTTTAAGTGTTCCCAGTGGTCTTTAAATTGTTAAAGGGATATAACAACCGCACGTTAGCAATACACAGCGGTCTACGTCTTCACGCGCAAACCTAACCAAAACGCCACTCTATAGCCACAAATAATGCTCAGAACAGCACCAAACTTTATCGACAGTACATATAGGGTCCCAGCCATAATACTAGCCACCAAACATCTTTTTAACTTTGCCTAATTTCTCTAGCAAAGAGACTAAACACAACTCACCTACTCTCTTTCAGCAGCCATTTGTTTGTAGTGAGACCTCACTACAAATTAAATAAATATAAATTATGAAGTATTTATCCAAAATCACATTACCTGTGTCATTTTTAAGGGCTTTTGTTCTGCAGAGCTCCAGTAGCTCATTAGCAATTTGCCTCTGAGTCGTGGGTGGAGACAGCGCTGCTCTGCACACGCGCTTGCTGCCTAACATTGCCAGTGTAGTCGCAGAAGCAGGTAACATAGGAGCTATTCAGCTCTTGGACACTAATGTCTTCGGGGACATGATGAAAGTTTATATCATAATTAGTTTTCTTAATAGCATTGCAATCTGCTCACTCATACGTTTGTTCTGCCGTTGTCCTCTCTATTTTTCCGAGTGTGGCCTCCGGGAGCAGAGCTTGGAATTGTGATGTATGAAATCCAACTGTTTCTGGGTCTGCCAGAGATTCACAGCGATTTTAATGCAGAAATACTTAGAAATGCGATGTCGCACTTATTTTTCTCATGATATGTCCTGCAACAAGAAAAACTGGATTTTTATCGGAGTGGGTTTGTAGGTAATTTTAATTCCTTTTACTGTGATGAATGATCTCGTTTTACCTACAAATGGATTCTCATACCAATTTTATGGAAAAGATTATCATGGCTTCCTAGAAACTGTGAGGTCAAATGTAAAAAAATAGACATGCACTTTGGATAATGTTTGACTAAAACATGCTAAACCACCAGAGGGGCCTTTAATCTCTGAAATTCAGCAGCCTCTCTCAGGATGCATCATATCCATGAAACATTTAATATTCAAAGCACTTAAAGACATCCTGCAAATCCAGATATGATTTGGACGAGTGTAATATTCTCAGCTTCAGTGCTGGCAGTCGTTCAGTCCATGTGCTAACTACAGTATGTGGTTAATGTCTGATGACCAGTCTGCTCTATGTGTGAATCAATAGTGTGATCGATAAGCTGGGCTGTTGGTTGCTTTGTATGATCAGCAGCACACGTATCATCTCTCTCTCTCTCTCTCTCTCTCTCTCTCTCTCTCTCAGTTTATTTGCATGGATGGGTGATAGCCAGCTGACGCCCCGTCTTCATCTCTGCTGCTCCCTCTGTGTGTTTTTTTATATCTCTCGGGCAAAATGCTGCTGTATGCAAGGAGGTCAGCAGGGGTTCAGTGAGTGGAGGCCGGATCATTTCTCCTCATAGGATTAACTCTGTGTGTGTCTGTGTGTCTGTCTGTGTGTGTGTCTGTGTATGAAAGAGATTGTGAGTGATTTCATGCTGGGGAGCTGCTAGCCTGTGTTAAATGTAGTGGTTATCTGCCCCACCTTTTTCTCTGAACACCCTTATGTTTTTATTTTAATCTTTATTGGGCCAGAGAGTGTAGCACTTCTGTGTGTAAGTTTCACTTTTTTATGATACTTTTATTTTTTGTTTTTGTTTTTCAGACACATTGATGGACACGCATGGACGTGACTCCAGAGTGAGCCAGTGACCGCACTGACACTTAAAAACGCCCTCTCTTCAGACCACGGTGAGTCTCCCTCTCTCTCTCTCTTTCTTTTGCATGCATGCACAAATGTTTACTCTTCGTTTCTTCTGCCCTTCCTGCTCACAAACTCACAGCTGCAGAAAACACACCAAAGCAAACAGCAGCGCTCGCTCAGGTCTCCGTTTTTCCTCCTCTGTCGTTTTAACATTTTTTCAAACCCTCTGTATCCGTGTTGTTGATACGACAACATAAACCCTGTGCCCCCCAGCCCACTGGCACACACACACGGCCCTTGCTGTGGCAGGGAGCCTGTGTCTGGTCTGACACCATATGGGCCTCTCTGTATGTTTGGGTTTTATGACGCCAGTGCCCTCTACATCGCCATCTGACCCGCAAATAGAAACACAGCCAGGGCTTATTTTCCATTGCTGGATCCTCATTCATTATGATTATAGTCCAAGGAGATGCTAAACCAGTTTCTCTGTAAATACTGCAATTAGAATTGATTATAGGATTTCCACTGCCACGTAAATTTCAAGGGATAATCCGGTGTAAAATTAAGTTAGGGTCATACACGCTGCAACACTGAGTCAGGCCCCCTGAGATGAATATTGCCGACCACTTGCTTCTCTAGTTATACCAACTTTAGTAATGACCGCACATTAGCGATATAAAGAGCCACGCGCTCAACCAAAAATCCAATCTATAGCCACAAATAATGCTCAGAACAGCACCTAACTTCATCAACAGTACATAAAGGGTCCCAGCCATAGTACTAGCCATCAAACATCTTTTTAACTTTGTCTAATTTCTTTAGCAAAGAGACTAAACACAGCTCATCCACTCTCTTCCAGCAGCGGCTTGTTTGTACGGAGACCTCAGGATGAGTCCATTGACTGCAGCGGGGGGATGCAGCTCAAGGAAGAACATTTATGGTCATTACTTTATCATTTCCTTGAAGTAACAATCATCATATTAATCATTTTGCTCTGCAGACGCTGTAGTTCCTCTGCCTTAGCATCTCGGTCTGATTACACTTCCATGAAGAATTGATCATAAATGTTCTTCCTTGAGCTGTGTCACCCCACTGTAGTCCGTATTGGACTGGCCTGAGGTTTCGCTACTAACAAGAGGCTGCTGGAGGAGAGTGGGTGAGTTGTGTTTAGTCTCTTGCTAAAGAAATCAGGCAAAGTTAAGAAGATGTTTGGTGGCTGGGACCCTGTATGTACTGTTGATGAAGTTAGGTCAGATCTGAGCATTATTTGTGGCCATAGAGTGGCGTTTTGGTTGAGGTTGGTGCATGGAGATGTAGACCGCTGTGTATTGCTATCGTGTGGTCATTACTAAAGTTGGTTTAACTAGAGAAGCAAGCAGTTGGCAACATTCATCTCTTGAGGGGGTGTCTAACTCTGTGTTGCGGTGTGTTTGACCCTAACTTGATTTTACGCCGGAATATCCCTTTAAATCTCACGTCCTACTAGGGGAAAGGCAGACCCTTTTCAAGACTTATCCTGTATGCAAGCAGACTGAGCTTTCACCCTAAGTATGCATCGCCCCAACTTCATATAATTCAGTGAAGGACTCTAACCCGGCTTTAACAGCCTAATTTGCAAATGATGTGATAAATCCTACTGTGCATGTAAAAGACACCTGCACCTGCAGTAATGATGCACAACCAAACTTCGGTTTTCCCCCAAACATTAGGTAACAGATAAAATCCCACAGTAGCACCACACATCAGCAGTTTATCCTATTTAGCACGTTGTTTTGAGCAGCCAGAAGATACAGGAAGAGGAACACAGGTGTGCAGCAGTATCACAAGAGCTCTTCCTGTCTCAGCAGAGAAACGAATTCACGGACAGGTTGCAGGAACAGGCACCGCTGGGTATGTGTTCAGCCTTTCTTTAAAACCCCTCTCTGTATGATGCAATTCTTTCCTGCCCATCTAAGCAGTAAATCACATATTACTGAAGTCATGCAGCAGGATTGTTTTAAGCCAAACAACTGCTCCTCTCTGCTCCGAGGCTCGACTTTGCAGTAATTAAAGTTCTTCACAGAGCTGCAGAAAGAGAAACAAACAGCTCAGAACCACTTACTATGTTTGAATGCTGGTGAACGCAGCACAAACACACTGTGTTGACAACTTTTTTAGCCACAGCAAATGGTGAGACTGAGAGGATGTGACCCAAACTGTGGTTGAACCTCAGAGTGAATGTATGCAGCTTCCTGCTTGCTCGCTTTCTCGCCTTTTGCCTCTGTCCCTCCTCAGATAAGTGCTGCTTCACTTAAGAGAGATATTGAGCACCTGGCCACCAAGATTAAAGAACAAGCCGAGCTCATCGATGTTTGATCACTTTTAATTTTCTTTGAACAAAGTCCCAGAGGCATTTATTATAAATTTGATAAGATTAGATCAGATTAAACTCTTCTGTCTGCTGTTTCTGAGATCGGTCTTTCATCACAAACCGATTCAAGTTTAGCGCCATCGGACTGACGCCGTTAGATGCCATAGGTGAAGCTTCATGTCTTCACATGGTGTCTACAAATTAGCTCATGTAGCATATGGAGATGTACACCTCAGAGCACCGACCGTTCATACATTAAACATAAGTCTACAAAGTCCAGTGACTCAAATGTCACAGTAAAGGTCAACTGCATGAGAAGAGAGGGAGTTTGATAATGCAAAAAATGAGAGAAAAGCATCTGCACACCACAAGACTCAGTGTTGAACCATCCTCAAACTTTTCAGCATTTGATTTAACACTGCATGATGTGTGTTTCCGTAGCAAATTTGCTTTTTTTAATCAGAAAAACAGCGACATACATGTTTCAGAACAGTGCACTCTGAGTGAGGAGGTAAAAAGAAAAGCTGTTACTTTACTGACGCTTACATTTCTGCTTTTGTTTGACAGGACAGTTAAAAGAGAGAGGATATGTGTGAAATAGCAAGCAGTGAGTGGGGCAGCAACAAAGAGTTTAGGCCAGATGTCTGACAGTAGTCTCTCTACACGGGATGCACACCTTAACCGCTAAGTCAAACCGCCCAGTCAAAGTGTCTCTCAAAAAGAAAAAGAAAATTCTTGCACGAGACTCACACCTTCTGCATCACTTACAGACGCTTGTTAGCCAGTCTGAGTAAACTTTTGTTACTAATCGGCATTTCGAAGAATCTTAGATTTAGCACAATTGGTCAAACACAGAGTCCGCAGGCAAACAATGTCAAATATGAGCAGAGCGAGCATCACAAACCGAAACATGAACATATGTATGCAGGACTTAGGCGACATTTTTTTAGTTTCCCAGTTTCTACCAACATCAAACTAATCTTAACAAAGGAATTAAGCCAACTGTACTTATTTCAGTGATTTAAGTGTAGAGATAGCATTAAATGGCTCCCTAGTCTCAGATATTTACTTCCCCCCTTTGCTGTATCTTGAAGTACCTTGCAGAGAGCTTCCTGCCCACATCAGTAAGCCATAGCCAGGAAGGCAGCTCAATCATATGCTGGTACAGGCGGATTTCACTGGAAATCTCTGTGGCCGTGGGGGTCACAGATTCATTCCTGTGCTTTAATAACAGTGGGATTACCAAGGTTCAGCCAGCTAACCCTGCCCTCACATACGTTGCCTTCACAGGACTCTCAGCTTCATCCTCTCCTCCACCTCTCAGCTTCTCCACGTCTTACTTTCCCATCCTGACTTTCTGCACTATTTGCACTTTTTTTTGGTGAATTTGTGGCGTTTAAACTTTTCTTTTCTCTTTAATCGTGTTAATTAGAATTCCTCTCTGCGTTTTTACCTCCTCTGTGATTACATGCTTTGTGTCTTTTTACATTTTCAGGGTTGTCTCACTCGTTTACCGCCTCTCTTCTTGTCACCCAGACTGATACGGGTTGGGTCTTACTGTGACTGAAACACTGTTGCTAGGTGCCCAGGGATGTTCCCCTTTCCATGTGTGTGTACGTGTGGGGGTGGGCTGGTGCATTTTCTGCGTGAGGCTGTATCGCTATGTGTCTGGCAGAAAGTTGGATGTTCTCTTATGTAAGCAGGTCTTGGCGGGGTAGAGCAGGGGTTTAGCTCGGGGATGCTGGCTCAGGTGGAGAGACGGAGACAGATGCTATTTTGGGTTTAGTGCGCTCCTCCAAACATCCTCCAAACGCATGAGTTATTCACTCACACGTGTCTCCGAGCTCTAACAGGATGAAAGAGACAATGGCAAAGTTGTTTACTGGGGCCTTTATAAATATTTGCAGTGAAATCTCACACTCCTCCTTGTCTGTCTACTCTTGTATAATATAATTGGCAGCTTCATTAATTCACAAGTATTTGCAGTGGCAGTCGGTAACTTCTGTTTTGCGCTGAAACGTAATTCAGGACATGAAAGAATACTTAAAGTTGAATCATCACTTAAACCTGAGGCTTTAACGGCTTAATGTGTGCAAACTGGTGTTATTTGTGAAGTTCGGCTGATACTTTATTTTCCTTTCCTCTTGTTTGTTGGCACCCATGATCTAATTTTTGGTCAGTAGTCAAGTATTTTTCCTTTTCCGTTTGATCTCTTGTTTATGTGAATGCGCTGTGTTGTTTCCTCATAAATCCAGAAACTATCAAACAAAATATCAGAGTACAAATGAAGCACGCACAGCAGAAAAAAACAGCATAGTAAAGAAAATGATCATAAAATAAAAACTTAATTAAACTTAACATAAAATATCATTGCTTGTAGGGGTTGTCCACAAATGCAGCTTACTCACAGCGCAGAAGAGACTATACAACTATCTTCAAAACACATGGAGACCTGACCTTTACCTCATGTTATCCCTATCCTCACATTGACCGCAGAGCACAAACAGCTAGAATCACATCTGGAGTCCAGCGCCTCTTATTAAAGGAAAATGAAGCCAGTGCAGGAGATGCAAGAAAAAATGGTTAAGGAACTTAACTAAACTAAGCCTAGCTTCACTAAACTTGACTTGACTAAACTGAACTTAACCTGAATTAACTTCCCTATATTAAACTTAACCTACTTGGCTTAACTTAACTTTGTTATACTAAACTTAACCTGATTCAACTTAACTTAACCTAAATCAATTTCACCAAATTAAACTTAACATACTTAGCCTAACTTAACTTAACTTAACTAAACTTAACTTGATTTAACTTAATTTAACTTAACCTGAATCAACTTCACTAAACTTAACCTACTTAGCTTAACTTAACTTTACTTAACTAAACTTAACCCAATTTAGCTTAACTTAACCTGGATCAACTTCACTTAACCAACTTAGCTTAACTTAACTTTATTTAACTAAACTTAACCTGATTCAACTTATCTTAACTTAACCTGTATCAATTTCAATTAATCAAACTAAACCTACTTGGCTTAACTTAACTTTGTTTTACTAAACTTAACCTGATTCAACTTAACTTGACTTAACCTGAATCAACTTCACTTAACTAAACCTAACCTACTTAGCTTAACTTCACTCAACTTAACTTAACATTTCTCATGTGTCCTCTTGAGGCTGGCTCCAAAAGCCCACAAATCTCCATTCACACTCATGTTGAAATGCTCTTTTTTTTTTTTTTACGAATTTATCACCCCCACTTCACTGCCACGTTTTTGCCGTTCTTATATTGACAGAAAGTTGTCAGAGTCAGTATTTCCTTCACAGCAACCATCACTGTTTGGCTTGAAAACCCTCATATTAGGAACTAGTGGGTGATGTCATTCAAGACTCATCCATATTTTATACAGACTATTGGATCACTGTATATCTATGTCTGTGCTCACCATAGATTACATGCATTTTTTAATTTTTCCATTCATGTTGATGTTTTAATTTATCATGTGAACAGTTTAATAATTTGTTTGCTGTTTGCTCTTATTTCCAGTCTTTGTGAAACCCTCTGCTGACAGGCTGTAAGCTGTAGAATAATTTTGAATGCACAGACATGCATGTGGTACCAGTTTTGTGATGCAGTTTTGTGTATTGGTTCAGCATTTTGCCCATCCAGCTGTCAAAAACCTGAAGATATCAGGTTTTCAGAGATGTGAGGAAAAAAGCAGAAAATCCTCACTTTGAATGCTGGAAAAAAGAAAATTAAATTGAACTAGCAGGAAGAGAAAACTGAGAATATATGTGATGTCGTCATATTTGTGGCTGATTTGCTCAGATTAACTCAGACTTTCATTTTTATCACTAAAATGATTCATGTTCTCTGTAAAATCTGCACTCAGCATTATACCATTGTTCTCTGAGACAGCCTCTCTAATCTCCATCTTTCTCTCTGTCTCTCCGTCTTTTTCTCTGCTGCTTCAGATCATGGCACTGCCTTGGCTCCAGCATCACCTGCCCTATCCTAACCCGACCAGTATCACCAGTGTCCACCATCAGCAGACTTCCAGCGGAGCTCTCTGAACAGGACTGCGTGGAGAGTCATGCTGTCTGGTACTTGGCGGCGTTCTGTGGGATCCCAGCAGTCTGCAGCAGCGCCCGCGATGACCCCCAGGGGGGTGACGGTGTGCGGGGTTCCCAGTGGCACTGTGGTCCTGGAGGCCCAGTATGACTACAACTACCGCGGGGCTGACGGACGGCAAGTCTGCATCAGGGAAGGGGAGCGGTTTGTGCTCCTGAAGAAGACCAACAGTGACTGGTGGCAGGTGAGGGAACAGCTTATCTTCTGTTTTTCTTGTATCAGAAATTAAATCACATCATCCAGGTGATATTTTATGACAGAAAAGCTATCAAGACCAACAAGAGCATGCCGCAATCCTTTTGACCCCCAGCCCCAATTTGTGGCTATCAGCCTCAAACACATTTGTTCCTCCTGAGGACATAAATCTTTCAAACGCAAGCATGAATACAAGCTTTCAATTTTATTTAAAAAAAAAATCCTAAAACAGTTTGGGACTGTTCTTTTCATCAAAAATTACTCAGGAGTAAATATTGCATTAGCTGGGGACTATTTTCAGCTGCAGAGTTAATGCTCGAGGGAGCACTCCCAGGACTTTGATGGTGTATGTTGATTCAACCTAAATAAACTGCAGTGCTGACATTCAGTATTAATGAAACTGGTGAAGGATGTTTTGCAGCCATGTGGCTCATCATCAGGGTTATTTCTTATCTGTTTTTCTGGCAGCAGTAAAGAGACATGTACTAAACTGTATCAAGCTTCTACGACAGAAGACATTTTTGTCGTAATGATTAATTCATCGTTGATTTAAACAGTTTCATGTGAGTTTTCAAAGGACAAATTCAAAACGCCAAAGCAGATAGCAGAGTGGTGATCAAATTCTCAGTGAACAGTCCACCAAACAGCCGGAAAGAGGAGCAAAATGGATGAACTCTTCCACGAACTACATTGATTTTAACCTAATATACGAGACTAACCTTCTGGTGTTCAGTGAATAAAGTGTATAAATAAGAAAGGGCAAAGTATTTATATAATTAAAGTATTTTCAACAACAGATTCAAACATGAAAACTCTCTCAACTCCATTATTGCTCGGCAGTTAAGAAATGAATCGTCTCTTGTCTTGCTGTCTTGGTCTCTGGTTAAGATCAGATCACTTTACTCACTGTTTCTGTTCTTTTAAAATGTCTCTATAGTAAAGGGACCAGTATTTTTTTTTTATAAACAATATTTTTTTTAGTTCAGATTGACATAAGTACCCTCAACAAAACAACAACAAAGCTGTGTGCATCTGTGTGTGTGCGCGTGTGAGTGCTGTATGTGTTGGATAGAGGGTGGGTGGGGTTTGGTATTTGTATTTTTATTTATTTTATTTCATTGTTTTTAATATCCTGCTTGAATGGACAGCACTTTGTGCTATATTCTATGTATGAAAAGTGCTTTAAAAATAAAGTTTGATTGATTGATTGAAAGCTAAATGTAAAACTTTCTAAAATAATAACCTCAACCTAAAGTCCTGGTTAAAAATTAAACTAATGGAGCGTACAACTTTTAAATCTATTCTGATGTGCACAGCTTTGTCCAACTTTATCAAGGGTTTGTCTGTGTTGGGGTTGCAAATATGCTGATGAGGATTTAAACTAAACTGACTAAATTAAAATTAGCTTCACTCAATTTAACTTAACTAAACTCAACTTAACTTTAAACTAAACCTAACTTCATTTTAAACTAAACTAAACTTAACAGATCTTTGCTTACTCAGCTTAACTTTAAACTCAGATTAACTCAATTTTAGACTAAACTCAACTGAAATGATCATTGCTCACTCAATTTAACTCAACTCCACTTAAATAAACTAAACTAAACCAAAAAAACCATACATGCAATTTAAATACAGACTTAAGTTTATGTTTAAATCATATGGTTGATATTTTTTTCCCTTCCAGTTTTTAAATACAAAAAAAAGGTTTATAATCACAGAAAAGTACTTCCTGCCTCAAAGCCGTCTTGCTGAATTTACACTTTGTGTCCATTTATAATGTCCACATTTGATAAATGAAAATAAATACTACATTATTAACAGTATGGTAATCTCGAACTACTTCAATATTACTGTAACTATATTTAATCTCACTCATCAACAATAAGAAAAAAACTCAACAACCAGATCTTTGTCACGTCAAAATGATCCAAATGTTTTTATCCTTTATTAAAAAAATGATCCTTCAGTCTCCAGTGAAATCAGTGAATCTGTGTTTAACGGAGGAGCTGTGGGTTTACAAATAAACTACAGAGTAACACATGTCTGCCTCAGGCCTCAGCTGGGTTGTGTGTTGTCGGCTGAGTGAGCTTCATGGGCGAATGTGATAGAAAGCAGCAAAAGCATATGTCGAATCTGTTCGCTCTTCTACAGGTGCGGCGGATCGGGGCGGCCAGTAAAACAAAGCCGCTGTACGTCCCCGCTACATATGTGACAGAGGTGCCCATCGCCCCAATGCCCTCGCAGCAGCGCCTTGTCATGTCCACCTCTCTGAACTCCAACCTCAGGGTCATGCCAGGGGTGTCGCTCAGTCCCAGTCCAACAGGGACCAACTACAGTGAGCAGCATCAGGGTAAGGACTGGGAAGAGGATGGAGAAGTTGTTTGAGAGAGTTAAACAAGACTTTCCAGATGCATAGTCGATGTTTTGGATACATACCTGCCCTGAAGGTAACTTTATTTTAATCTGAGTATTATCTTCCCCCCACAGTGAACAAACCTTTGTACCGCTCCATGGAAAACCTCAACTCCCACAGTGCCTTCCAGGGGCCGAACAACAACACCAACGCAGGTGGAGGCCGCTTCCCCACCCTGCCTCTCTCTGGATTCAGCTTTACCCCCAACTCTTCCAGCTCTCCCTCTGGACACCTCACGGTCCCCGGGTCCCCTGCTGTCCCACCATCAGACACGGCACAGAGGAACCCCAGGGTGGTGCCCATGATAACTCGCAGTCAGAGCTCCAGCAACCTGCCGGAGAACATGACGGAGAACACGTACGATGAGGTGGGCGGAGGACTCGGCACTCGCATGAACCACAGGGTGCCCAAGAAGTCCTGCAGCCAGTGGGACATGGTGGGAGGGTCCAGAAAGAACAACCACCTGCAGGTAGGACATGAAAAAGGACAGCGTCTACTGTCTGTAATAACAGTTGCTGAAGTTGGAGATAAAATAATCGGCACAGTGGTGTAGTGGTTAGCACTGTCGCTTCACAGCAAGAGGGTTCTGGGTTTGAATCCAGGTCAGGGTGTTTCTGTGTGGAGTTTGCATGTTCTCCCTGTGTCTGCGTGGGTTTACTCTGGGTACTCTGGTTTCTTCCCACATCCGAAAAACATGCAGAAGTGGGGTTAGGTTAATAGACCACTTTCAATGTACCCGTAGGTGCGAATGTGGATGGTTGTTCGTCTCTATCTGTCAGCCCTGCGATGAACTAGCGACTTGTCCAGGGTGTCCCCAGACTTCGCCCGAGGATGCTGGGATAGGCTCGACTTCATATTTTAATAGTTATCAAACTTAAATAAGTAAAAGAGGATGATTTTTTTTCCTCATGATAACCAGCAGTAAGTAATTTGAAGGAAGAACTGAATCAAAACCACTTTTTTTCTTTACTACCTCGTGCTTTCCCTGATCTTTACTTGTGTGAGAACCGATCAGAGAATAAATGAGAAGAGGTAAAAACCGAATCCGCGTCATGTTGCTGTTTTTGGAACGAGGGATTTTACTTCCGCTTGTTGACAAAATCTCTAAAGTGAAGGATTTACGGGTCATATCCCCAACATGATCATAAACAGCTTGTAGTTTTTGGCTTTGCGGCTACACAGGGTGACAGATAAAATTAAAAAATTGGGTTAATCATAGATTTTATGACAGATCTTGGCTGAATTACTCAGATTGTTTGATTTAATTCCATCAGGGAAGGATTAGGTGGAAGTGGAAACAAGTAATTCTTCTGATAGTAATATTGATTAAACGGAGGGATGTTGTATTTGATCTATGTCTGTACTTGACCCTAATAATCCCCCCCCAAAGCAGCAATCAGGATAGCACTGTAATGACGTCAGAGCCTCCCTGTATTACATCAGAGAGGATTAAAGAAGAAAACTGAAGGTTATCCGTCTGTCAGGCCGGGGAAGTCTCCCTCAGCTGAGGATCTAAATCTCTCCAAAAAAGGACTTTTGCTGAACTGTGCATGCAAAGATTACTCCCAACTATGAGTAACCAGGATCTCAGCAGAAATGACAGCGCTCTTTTTTTTTTTCCCTGTGTCTCGTTCTGTCGTCCTCGCTGTCTGTCTCGGTATCTGCCCCTGATTCCCTCTCTCTGAGGACCGTCTTTGTGTGAGACTTTAATACCAGTGAGCAGGATTATTGCAGCCACATTCAGGTCAAAACTCTCTGATTTTCATTATGCCGCTCTCTCTCACAGCTCAGTTCTGCAGACTGGTTTATAAAGCGCTGCAACAAAGTCGTCAATGATAAACGGAGTTTAAGTATTTCTCATCCATCTGAATTCAAGACATAAAACTGACTGAATTACTGTCTTTTTAAAAAACTTATAAAACTGCACGATATTTATGAGCAAATAAGAGAGGAGTGTCTCCTTTCCAAAAATATGTTGCTCCATCAATAATAACAGCTATACCTCTTTATCGATTAACTGTGTATTTTGGGGCTGTCTTTTAGAGGTGGGCAGTAGATAAAATAGGAAACTGGAATAAGAGAGAGGCGTCATGGGGTAAGAGGCCAAAGGTTGGAATCTAACCCAGGCCACCCACCTCGAGGATTACAGCCTGAGTGTAATTCAGCTGCCGGGCAAAATTGGCAAGACCACATCATCAGCTGTCAGCTCAAATTCTGCAAAACTGTGTCAAAAAGATGAGATTGAAAAGCTCAGACAGTGTCAGCTGATTTAATAAAAACTTGGGCTGTTGCAGAGTTGAAGTCGATCACCTCTTGACCACGTCCTCCATTCTGGTGTAGTTAGCGAGCCTTATTAAAGATCCATGAGAGATATTAGAGGTGGGTTTTGCCAAAGTAAGATGCGTATTGCATTCTTTTACCAAAAAAAAGGACTTTTGTTTGTTTTGCAGACATTTTTTTTCTTCTTTTTGTTTTTCTGACTATTTTTTTCTTTTGTTTTTTGTACTAAAATTTTTCCCCTCTTTCTGTTTTTAGACTATGGAAGCATGTTGCATTCACAAAAAAAACCTCTATTTTGTAGAGCATTTTTTTTTCTTTTCTGTTTTTCTTACAATTTTTTTTTTCTTTTCTGATTTTTGGACTATTTTTTTTCTCTAACTAAGCAAGATACTTCAAAATCCTGCTCCAAATCAGCGGATTCTCCAGCTCTTAGATAACTTCGTCTACGGGGTCAATGAGAGTAAACATGTTATGAGTTAAACATAGGTTATGCAAATCCTGCGGTGCCTGCGCAAAGTAGACAAACTTATGACAACTCCATCTATCTGACTGAAAGAAAGGAGTATCTCCCAGAGTCTCAAACCCTAAAGGAAGTAAAACTTGATTAAACTAAACAAAAGGGTCATGTTTGCTCCCAATAAATCAACCAGAGGGGGATGAAAGCATCTGTTTTTAAATGATCACGATCCCAGAGAAAAGGAAAAACAGTTTGTGAAGTTTAGCCGCAGCCCGTATACTGAGGCACATAAATAAGCATTGTTTGTGTGAGGAAAGAAAAGCATTGTGTGTGTGTTTGTTTGTGTGTGTGTGTGTGCGTGCGTGCGTGCGTGCGTGCGTGCGTGCGTGCGTGTGTGTGTTATGATGATTATGATGTAATTAAATCTAATGAAGTACAAAGAGAACACAGCTGGTCCAAGAGTTGATCTTTGTGGTACACCATGTGTTGTCCTTGCAGTCAAATAGTTGAATGAACCAATAGATGCAGAGTGTCTGTTTGACAAGTAGGAGGAAAACCAGTTCAAGAGGTGCACACCCAGGCCTTATCTGCATTGATGGTGTCCAACTTCTTCAAGATTGAATCAGTTCAAACTTTTATTTTGCTGCAAAATTAAATATAGTATGAAAGGGGACGTGTGTGTCAGATGGTGGCCATATTTAGCTGGAAAGAGGAAGAGAAGGAGAGTGATGCAGTACAATACAAGTTCCTCAATGTACCAAAATGGGTACAAGCTCTTATATTGTACTAAGACAAACCATTTTAGTGTTTTTCATCAGTTGGTATTTATAACAAAAACAGAGAACTGTTTGACACAGCACTGTCTGGTTCTCATACTCCAGCTGAACAGATAAAACTCTGAGTTCCTCGTGTTGCTGTGTGGAGTGAAACCACTTTTGAATCCACACTTGATTACATCTTCAGACAGAGCTCAAAGTGTCTGACATATAAAGATCACTACTGCAGTCAACAGCTACTGGAGTCACCACTGTCGAAGAATCTGCTGATGCTCACGTACACAAACCAACACACACAAAAACACAGGAAACGGTTGTGAACCAGAGTTTTTTTGTACTTCATGGTATGGTATTCGCCATTTTAATAATAGACCCATCACACAGCAGATCCTCTGACTTGCAGCTGCAGGAAAGGCGTAACTAATAATATTACTGATGGCTTCATTACATTTCAGTGCGCAAGTAAACTGTGTCAGAGAGCGAGGAGAAGCTACTCTTAATGTTATTTATAACACCTGTAATTATTTCAATATCTGCTGTTTCTGTTTGCACACAGCAATTATGTGTTTTAAAAGCATGTTTAGTTTCAATCATGACCTCATTTGACCATATTGACATACATTTGGTTTGAACCACTAACATGAACAGCAGGAAACAGCAGCAGAGAGAACTTTAGGTGAGCTCAAAACCGCCTCCTGGAGTCGACTACACCCTTTTTTTTTACACAGGAACACATGAACACACACATGCATGCATACGCTCCATGTTCCCTCAGTCATTATGTGAAATGACTGTGTGTTATGTAACAGGGATCAACCAGCTAGCTGGTCAATCAGCGAGTGAATTATGTCTCAGCTATATTTCGTAGAAAGATGATCTGGCATGTGTTTTTTATCATTCATTTCATTGGATTTGTCAGTGTCCTCTCTTCTGTCTGAAGATTTATTCCTCTCTCTCTCTCTCTCTCGGAGTGAGCATGTCCGTTTCCATAAGCTCTGACTTAATCCACAGTCTGACGGGTTATTCTATAGTGAGAGGCGGAGGGATTTATTTTTTTTGCTTTGTGATTTCTGTCTCTACTTTGAGTCAAGACGCTGCTGTCAGACCCTCGTTTGTCTATCTGAGCATACACAGACTCTTGTTGAAGCTTACTGGGACTGTAAACTGCTGTATGATATCTACAGAGCGCAAAACAGTAGCATATATTCAGCCTTATACGCAGGGACAAAAGTGCATCGATAGCAATACACAGCGGTCTTAGGAGCCATAAACAAACCTCAACCAAAAAGTCACTCTATAGAAACAAATAATGCTCAGAACAGCACCTAACTTCATCAACAGTAGGAATAGGGTCTCAGTCATAGTACGAGCCACCAAACATCTTTTTAACTTTGCCTGATTTCTTTAGCAAAGAGACCAAACACAACTCACCTACTCTCACCCAGCAGCCGTTTGTTTGTAGTGAGACCTATTACAGACTGCAGTGGGGTGCCACAGCTCAAGGAATAACATTTATGATCATTTCTTCATGGAAATGCAATCAGACTGAGACGCTAAGGCAGAAGAACAACCGTGTCTGCAGTGCAAAATGATTAATGTGGTGATTATTACTAAAAGGAAATGATAAAATAATGATCCTAAATGTTCTTCCTTGAGCTGCGTCACCCTGCTGCAGTCGATGGACTTGCCCGGAGGTCTCCGTACAAACAAACAGCTGCTGGGAGAGAGTGGGTGAGTTGTGTTTAGTCTCTTTGCTGAAGAATCAGGCAAAGCTAAAAAGATGTTTGGTGGCGAGTACTATGGCTGTGACCCTATATGTACTGTTGATGAAGTTAGGTGCTGTTCTGAGCATTATTTGTGGCTACAGAGTGGCGTTTTGGTTGAGGTTTGTTTATGGCTCCTCAGACCGCTGTGTTTTGCTATCGTGCGGTTGTTACTAAAGTTGGTATAACTAGAGAAGCAAACAGTCGGCAATATTCATCTCTCGAGGGGACGTCTAACTCAGTGTTACAGTATATTTGACTCTAAATTAGTCTTACAACGGAATATCCCTTTAAGGTTTCATCAATGCATAAGCGAAACTGTCTCCTTTGTCAAAACAAACGTCTTGTAAACCGCCTCACAACTCTTCTCAAAGGTCAGCCTTGAATCTGTAATTGTGCCAAAATATTTATAGCTTTCCACACCTTCAGCAGCCTGGTTTTTAATGGTCGTTGGCGTGTCATTTGAAACATGGCTTCTGTGGTCTTTCACCATCTCCTCTGTCTTAGAGATAAAATGCCCCAAGTAAGATTTATCACACTAGGTGACAAATTTAACAACACCATGGCTGGACTTATCACCATGCATCAAACTCACATTGACTGAAAGTCTCTTCTCTGTTTTTTCTCCTCTTCTGTACCTCTCTGCATCTCTGCCTCTAAGGTCCCCACAGAGTCCTATCTGTCCCAGCTGACCTGGCAGGACTCCCCCCTCTACACTGAGACGCAGCCAGAGAAGCGTCTGTCACAGCAGGAGCCTCCCTTCCCCGGCTCTGGTCAGCAGCCTGTTCAGCTTCTGGACCTGTGGGAGCAGTACTCAGACCCGTCCACAGGGAGAAGCTACTACGTCAACACCGTCACCAAGGAGAGGTCCTGGAAACCCCCTCGTCGGGCACGTGGACAAACCCCCAACAAGGTTAAGCCTTTAACAATGTCTCTGTTCATTCATAACTTCTCAGTGTTTTTTTCTCTCACAGGGGAAAAGGGTCAGGAGTCTGATCATTAATATGCTCACTAAGTTTGACTGTTTCAGCATAAAAAGGCACCTTTCAGCCTGAAAACTTCACAGACCCTAAAGAAGAGCACCTGGCTCACATATTTCTCTTTGCTCAGATATAAAGTGATGCAAAGAAGGCTGCAAACACAGCGATCACAGGACAGCTGGAAGGTGAAGTGTAGTGGACGTGGGGAGACTCATCTATGGACTTCAAATATTTTCATTTTGCCACAGGGTCACATTGAACTTTACACCTGGTGAATATTACATAGTGAGTGGGCAATTCATATGGACAACCTGTTAAAACGAAAACTGGATGTCATGACAGATCCCTAAAAGTGAAACCAAAAGACTCAGAGCTCCCCTTACTGGCAGGTAGCAGTAAAAGTCTCACAGCTACCCCATGTAAACAGATGGGGTATGGGTCAATCTTTCAAATTAAAGTGCACATTAAAAAAAAAATTTTCAAAGATACATTTTCAGTATTATGGTCAGTGTTAATCATTTTAAAAAAAAGCTGATGCTAATAATTAGCAGGCAATATATAATGCAGATATCACAGTAATGTTATGTTTTTTTGTTATTTTGCATTCAATAAAATATAACAAATATAATATAATATGATATTTAATATACACCCATTATTCCAAGCACATAACAATCTAATAAACATGTTTATTTGATCTAGCAACACGTTTTTATGTATTTCTATGGATTCATAGAATAACAGACACATCACATTGGGTTATGCTACAGGTTTCAGAACATGACTGAGATTTATGTCAGAATTAACACTTAAATGTATTACTTTATACAGCATAACAAAACTCATACTAAACTCTAGCTGGTAACCACATTTTTAAGCTTATTCTGCAACACTGGAGCTGATAAATATAGCAATGAAACAAGGTAACCAAGACGATCCACAACCTGCAATATAGTGCTTTCCTTAAATAGCATACCATTGATGAACTTATAGTATGTTCAGTGTTATTAAGAGTATAAAAAAAGGAAACACTCTTCTTTACGATGTGTATATTTTCTCTTTTTTTGTCTGTCACAGGGCAGTGCATTACAATCCCAGGCGTTACACAGGGAAACCAACCATCTGTCACTTCCACTTTCTGAAGCTGGCAATGGAGCGATGCACAGGGTAACTAAATACTCCTTCACCTTTATAGATAGAGAATGTTTAGATTCAGTCATGTTCAGTCTACCTGATGATGTTTGTCATTTTTTTGTCATATAGCAGCTGAATTTATACTTACCTTACACACACTGATGCACGTTTCATACTTGCTGCAGAAACATATGTAGGATTCTTGACTAATTATTCCAGGTGAGGTGTGTTCAGGGTTCCTATACAAGTATGGAAAGATGGAAGTAAATGTGATCAGTTTCCAGGTCTTAAATAGTATGTAAAATGAAAAATAAAGTGTGAAAAATATTTATGTTTCTAGACTATTACTAGTGTTGTGTCGTTTCACGAACGATTCCTTCAAAAGAACCGAATCTTTTAAGTGACCGTACTGAACCGAATCACTTCCTCGAGTGATTCGTTTTTCTCACTTAAGTTGAGCTGAAGTGAGAAACAGCATTGCCAGATGAATGAAGGACCACATGCATCAACACCTGAATCACTTGGTGAACGAATCACGCATTGAACTACACTCTCTGGAATCATTTTTGTCGGACAAAACTACCTTTTTTCACGTCTAAATTGTCACTACAACAACTTGCATTCAACAGGACACAGCATGTAACAAGTAGTGCATTAAACCCGCAGCATCCTATCATTGCAGCGGTTTGCGGTAAACAAGTTCATTTTTACAAACCTGTTTGCCAAAGCAACACAGACACAACATTCTCGTCTCCTGGTCCAAGAAGCTATGATCTGAACTGAATCCTGAACTGTTCAGCTGTGTATTAGTTCAGGAGGTCGGAGTCGCAGCTTCTCCTGCCAAGTGCTAAATGATTTGGTGATCTGGTGAACAAATCTTTTGAACGAATCTTTTTAGTGAACTGATTCTAGTGATTCGGTACATCTAAAAGAACTCCCGTGCCCACCACTAAGTATTACCACAATTCTAAAATACTGTTTTCTAGAATAGAGAAGTAGGTATTTCCAATATAGTTTAAAAGATTAGGGTATGGTAAAGAATGGAAATTTCTACTGTGTAGGAACCCTGTGTGTTTCCTTATACTGCTATCACTGTTGTTTTTCCTCCTCATACCTCCACTCATTTCTGCACGTACACACAGAGAACAAAACTGTGCTCAGTATTAAAACCCAAGGAAATGCTGAGCGAGGCCAAATTAAAAAGGAGGATTATGTCTTTTAAAGTTTCCTGACTGACTCGCTGCCTCATTTATTTATTTATCTACCACCTCCTGACGCACACTTCCTCTCAGATGTTGTTTGTGGGGACTAATCCCAGAAGTAGATATCAAGGCTACGCCTCCTGATCTGATGCAGATGAGTTGAAGCCATTAAGAGCCACACAGGGGGAAACAGAGAAGTGATTTTAAATCCAAAAACATTTCTCTAAATTAAACCACTCACTGAGGCGGAAATCAGCGGCTGACATCATAGATGTCGTCACAGAAAATCTCCCCCTGTTTCATTCATTTCACCTTTTTTGAATACACCACAAAAGAGGAAGTACATCTGTTATTTCCGGATTTGGGAATTTATAAAACAGACTTGAATTGACCTGTTCACTAAATCGGTGACGACAGTGACTCTTTAAAGCGACGCAGGCTGCGTGATCCAGATTGTTTGAGATAAGCATTTTGCATCTCAGGGTTGTGTTGCCTCAGTGTTGCGTCAGTGTTTCAAATTTAATGTTGCTCATCAAAAAAATACCCCGATGATCAAAGCAGTGATTCCCCCGTCAAGTCAGCTCCAGATGCATTCTGCTGACCTATATGTGTCACTATTTATTCTCTGAAACATGTTTTACCCAACAGGAACTTCAGCTCTGATTTATAATGCAAACTGCACGCCACAATTAATGACCCAGGTGTTCAAACCTGAGCGACCTATTTTACCTGTGAACTCAGTGCAGTCTGCACCTCAGAGTCTTTATTTTTGAGCTTGGGTTTGCATCATTGAATATGTTCATTCATTCAGATGATATACTGAGTTATTTATATGTGATTATTTTTACAATTAAAGGATGTAATATCCACCTGAAAGGTTTTATTTTTTATAGTCAGGAAACAATTAAATCTTGTTGGTTAAACACTCTTGTGGATCACTTTCTGATATTGATGTTTTTTTAATATCTTGTGATGATAAACTGTTAGAAATGGTGATAGGTATTTTTCAGTTTTCCCCCAAATAGCAAATCAGTGAATCAAGATAATATTCTGCAGATTGAGCACTACTGGTTAAGACGCTGACACATAAAAGTGGGTGCATAAGAACGACTTAATGTTGATCTCTCTCTGTAAAATTAAGTTTAATGATAAACCTACAGTTTACATTAACAGAGCAACAAATTCATACATACAGTGCTCAGTATAAATGAGAACACCCCTTCAGAGCTGTCAGAAAACCTTTAGTTTCCTTTCAAAATCAACATTATTTATGTCAGACTAAACGACAAAATACTCCCCTAATGTTGGCAATTGATTGCAAACAAGATTTTTTAAGTTGCATACAAAAAGATTTTTTTTTGTTAAATTTTAGCTACCATATTACCCTTATTTTCACCTTATGGTAAATAAAATGTTAAACTCAGCTTTGTCAAAACTTTGGAAATTGTACTTTCCCTCATTAAGATATTGAGTAATTCATTACTTTTAATAGAGGGTGTACTGACTTATGCTGGCGCTGTATGCACAAAGTGTGTTCATTGACTATAATAATAATCATAATGATTTATATAGCATAACCCCGAAGTTACAAAGTGTTTTATAACAACATCTAGATGAAAACAATGAGCACCAAGAAAGAAAGAGATAAAACAGGACAGTGGTCGTCTTAAAATTTAGCAGACAATAACATCTCAAAGTTAGGAAAGGTGGACTCTAGTCATGATTGAAAACAAACCAGAACAACAAACATGGACCGAGTCAAACATAACAGAAAGCTGGTTTTACAAGTTTTTAAACAAGATTCAGCACATTTAGTGGAATTATAGTAAATTCCATTGTCTAGGAGTAAAAGAGCATTCACCTTTACTTTAACTAATCATGGGTAATATCTCTATTAGGTCCTTGTTGATTGACCTGAGAGGTCGTGGGGTCGTGTAGGAGGTTAAAGGCTTAGAAATATTAGCAGGCTAATCTGTCTAATGCTTTAAAAGTATTTCAAAGAGTCTTAAAATCAGTTCCAAATTTAATTAGCAGTCAGTATAGTGGTGCTAAAGCTGGAGGGATGTGGTGTCTGTGATTAGTCCTGGTTTAAAGTCCTGCTGCATCTCCAACAAATGTAAGTTTTGTTGGTGCAGATCACAAATCAAGCTAAGAGAAGAATGAACACATGAATGATCCAATCGAAGCCTAAATCAGATTAAAACGGTCATATTGAATCATGAAGATTTACAAGTTAATTTTACTCATAAGTGACCCTCTTTTTTTGTGGATTTAAGCCTTTCATCTAGCAGAATTGGTGAAGCTCATGTTTGAATTTCTGTCAGATGAATATGACGATCATAATTTATCTCCTACTTCCCTGCACACTGGTTTCCAAACACCCTGTAAAGCAGGTTTTTGAAGGTGTTAAGTCTGACTCATGTTGGTGGGAGGTGTGGATTTAGTTGGACCTTTAGGTGGTAGATTATAGGTTCATGCGGTTGATAAAATACACTTGAAGTGAGAAATTATAAAAAAAAAAAAAAAATGTCAATATCAACTTTAACTGTTGCGTACCCGACAGTGAAATGATGGACATAATCATGATAATTTGTCGTTTTCTTTCTTTATGACTGACACTAAAATGATGTAACGAGTAAAATAAAAATGAATTTAGCTGGAAAAAGAAAAAAGAAAAAACAGGAACTCATCTGTCTGAAGATTCACATGCGATTTATCAGTGATAAGAGAGGGAGAAGTGAGGCTTTTCTTGTGTTGTTATGGCAACCAAGCTCGACTCTAACAGTGTCAGCTTCAAACCGAACATCATAGGTAGAGTGTGAAATATCAAAAGTGACTGCAAACAACAGCCTGTATTCTAAATGTAACTATAATACAGCTTATAATGGGATTTTGACAGTAAGTAATTTCAGTTTTTGTGCTTATTATCGAACAGTTTTGTCCTGAACCTGAACCTTTAAGTGTCCTCAGAGCCCTTCCTGTTGAAATGAAGCATCCCTGCACTCTTGGGCGGTGGTTAATACGGCGGCGTTTGTGATGTTCTGGTGTGACTGTTCTTAGCGTCTCTGTATGAGAGTGATGGTAGCTGCTGATAAAGACAGAGCTTCCCCCTAAAATGGGGAAGTAACCACAGGCCGAGAGAGGAGGGGGAGATAAATGGTTTTTACACTCTGACGCTCAGTTGAAAGGTGTCATGGCATGAAACAACAGCTGCAGAGGACTCAGACTTGATAAGAAAAACAAGGGTTGATCTCTGCTGTGCGTTTGGGTCGATCTGTTATAATGAGCACCACTGCAGTAAGTTCATTTTGATTCCTTCCAGCTATATTTTTACTCTGTAGAGTTGATTCTGTTTGAATTTCTGTTATTTTGCTGTCTGAAATGCAGTTTGTTGAATTGGCTTTTCTTTTTTAAGATGTTTGGATATGTCTTACTTAAATCAAAATCTAAATGCTAGCAGGTTTGAGTCAAACAAATACTACGCAGTGTGTGTTTCCTTCTTACTGATCAACGGCACAAACCGCCTCTCACTGACTCGAGTTGATTAAAGTGCGTCTGAGTCTGTGTACGGCTCTGTGTGTGTGCTGTGAGCGTTTTGAGCTGGCAGGATGTGAGCAGAGCAGAGGAGTTTCAGCGTTTGTGTTTGCGTTAACTGATCTTAACTGAAAACTTTTGTCTGCATCCTGTTTTTACACGTGGGTGTGAGATTGACCCACATTGCTGCCATTTTGGGTCAAATTGTCAGTTGCTCATATGGCGACAGCTGGCAAAAACAGACAGATGGCGTGAAACTGACACACACTTATATTCACACTCTGACTTTTTTTGCACGTCACTTAAACACAAACTAAGTATGCGTTGTATTTACCATTAAACGAAGGATAAATAGCTCGTTTTAATCGGTTTCTGCTCATTTTCATCCATTTTCTTCTTCTTCTTTCCCTGCAGCTGTCGCCCGATTTCCTCTTTGGGAGCCACCAGAGGAATAATGGCACTGACTGGCAGATGAATCAGGTGACACTCTATCTGCTGCAGGAAATTGATGTATTTCACCTTAACTTTTACTTGATAAACTTATTTCACAATATGAAGAAGAAGTTGTGTTAATTTTCTAACACAACAGGATGCTTTTTCTTAGTCATAAAGCTCTAGTGAGGAAGTTAAACCATTTTAACCAGATCAATCTACAGTCAGACTGCACATAATCGTCTATAAAAGACTTCTTCTTCTCGTAAAAGCGTCTAGCTGACACCTCTTTTATTCCTGTTTGCTTTCCTGACTTAGAAGGCAACCCTAAGTGTTTTATCAGCGCTTTAAGGCCTTTTGATGAAGGGTATTTTCCTCATGAAAATCAATGAACCCCAGTCATTAGATTTGCAAAAACTGCACCTCCACTGTATTACTGTAGAATACATTAAAGTAATGCCAGCTAGGCTCTTTATATTCTCAGAGATCAGCATTTATGCATATGAAGGTGGTGAAATAGCAACTCATGGTGTTAAAAGAAAAGGCTGTTACCCAAGCAGTTCTGACTGCAACATGTTGCATCACAGAGGGGTGTGGGTGCGTTTGCTTTAAAGCCCCTTTAAAGGCCTCCTCTTTGCAAAGGAGCAGATTGAGCTCTTAGTGCTAATCCTCAGTGCAAGAAAAGATGGCAAACATTGGGAGGGATATTTAGTCTGATTGTTGAAACTAGGTTACAGGGATTGGGAGAGGAACTTCGATATGACTGCTGCTGCTGCTGCTGCATGAAAAGTTGTGTTTGCATGCGATTGAGCACATCTCTGTGTGTAAATGCATCACTTTGCAAGCATAAATACAAATGCAGAGTTGCATTTCTGACACTTTGCACATCAGCTCTTCCTCTCCATGAGCATAACTCTCCAGGAAACTGCACTTTTTATCTGACAGCATGAGATGTGCAGTCACTCACGCAGAGTGCCGGGAACTCATGAAGAAAAATTATAATAGAGCAACTCCAGCTTGATTCATGGTTGATCTGTTAGAGCAGAAGTGGGTTTTTCAGCTGCCATTGTGTGATAGGAGATCAGTCTGCGCCTGAGTTGTGACATTTAATACATGCATGCAAGCTCATGTTTCCCAACTCTTGCTGACTAAAGTGAGACAAACGAAGCTTTTATCACAACACAGATGTAATAGTTTAACACAATAAATCACATTTTAAAGGAGTGTGTGCAGATTTTAGCAGTAATGAGCCAAACAGACATGATGGAAAACAGGAATGTATATCCCTTTAATGCCAGACACCACAAATTATGACCAGAAAATTAAAAAAATTTTGAAGCTGAAATGTTTTTTTCACTTATTACTGAAAACTGAAAAAATCAAAATTTCCTTAAAATTTACCAAATATATTTATTTATCTTGTTTGATACGTTAAATGTTTCTGGGAACTAATAAACTACAAAAGGACATTTTTTTGATTTATCAGACTGTATTCAGGTGTTTTTTAGTAATTTGTTGATCGTATTGATTTGATAGAAGTATATAAAAGTATGTATCAAATATGATACAAAAGGCATTAAAGGGATAATATTCATGCGTACATTTAAATGAGTTCATAATCACCTGAATATAAAGTGTTTTTTATATCTACATAAAGAGCAGGTCCATCTTTTTACTATATTTGGCACCACAGACCACGAGTAAGACCCACATGTGTTTTTGTACACCTGCTTATTTCTATCAAATTTAAGGTTAACACTGTTACGCATCAAGAAATATGCAGGAATGCATGTTGAAAAATGTCCAATTAGTGTCAAAATAGTGACAGTTGAGCAGTATTTGCTCTCTGCAGGAGTTTCAGTTTTGGTGCTTTTCTCGACCAGGTTGTGTATGCATGAACCTATTGTTCGCTGTTGCAGTAATACACAAAGTATATGCTGTTTGACTTATCGACAAAGCATTCTGGGATTTTTTTAAGTGAAATGTGCCGTTTAAAAGGTCGTCGTTATTTCACATCAGCAGCAATCAGAGCAGCTCTGATTTATCAGCGGTACTAAAAGGAGAAAATAGCATGTGGTTTTAAAAACGATGACAGTCCTCCTATAAGCTGAAGTGAAACAAACCAGGCTAAAAGATTAGCAATGTTTCTCAATTTATAATCAGAAAGGGAAACATTCAAATAGCAAATAGAAATGAAAACTGCAATAAAAAGTAGTATTACCTGTTGTACTTTCACACAGTGTTAGTGTATGAAAACAGGATTATTTCACACCTTCATCATAGTTTGCATTAGTTAAGATTAAAGCTCAACAGAGCCACAAACAATCGCTCCTGGAGGAAATGAATGATCTGTATGTTTAATGTTTAAAGCTCCTGTGAGGAATTTTTCAAATGGACTAAAATTCATAAAGATGCCTTTTTATAATAAACAAAAGGAAATATGGACATCAGGAACAGGATTGGCTATTTGTATATTGTAATTTTTAGTATCTGAAGCAGGTGTGAGGGGGTAGGTGTCAGCCAAGCAGCAGGAGAAAAAGCCCTGTTTTTTTTTTTTTTTTTTTTTTTAACAAAAACAAAAAAAAAACACCTTTTAAGCATGTAGAGGAAAAAATAGTCAAATACTGTTTTCGTCCACTGGGGGCACCTGAGTCGACACAAAACCAAAGTTCCTTAGTGGGGCTTTAAAAAGGGCCAAACATTATTTCTTCTCCTCCTCACTGCTACTTGTTTTTGATACAATGAGCAAATTCTGCTTAACGTGCTGCTGAGATCATTTAATGTAGCTTGACACAAAATATACAATGTGATAAAAGTAAGAGCGTAAAACAGCTCATCAGCTTTTAATGAGCATCACAAAGAGCATGACAGTGATTGTCCCTTTACCTTTTCTGCTCCACCTTTCACCATCTACCTTACCATTTGCCCCTGACCTTTGACCCCTGCGAAGAGCATGCAGCGTGCTGTCTCCTCTGACACCCTGAGCACGGCGGCGTTCAGCACCAGCAGCACCCAGTCACATAACTCTGTCTCCATGCATGACGCCATGCAGCAGCTCAGCCACTCGCAGTCTATGATCCTTCCTGAGAACGGCAAGGTATTCACCTCCACAGCACAGACATGCAAGGCCAATAACTGTGTGGATGTGCTCAGAGACACTCAGAGAGAAGAGAGTCAAGACACTGGAAATATGCACAAATACACTGTGCAGATACAGGCTAATGTGCACAGCTGACAGTGCTTACTTCCTGTCTTTCAGCTGGTCCAGCAGTGCAGAGATTTCTCCTGTAATGTGACCAACATTGTCGTGGAGCCTCCGTCACCTGAGAGCTCCCCAGACAGCGAGGGAGGCACACCAGTAAGAAAATACGGCTGTTTACTGTAAATGTATAAATAAATATGAAAAACTGTCACTTTGAAATCTATAACGAATACACAAAAAGACAAGTTTGGACTGTATAGGTACCGTTAAAGGGATATTATAGTAATGACCGCAGATAGCGATACAGAGAGCCACGCGCTCAACCAAAACACCACTCTATAGCCACAAATAATGCTCAGAACAGCACCTAACTTCATCAACAGTACATTTCTTTGGCAGAGAGACTAAACACAACTCACCTACTCTCTTCCAGCAGCTGCTTGTTTGTATGGAGACCTCTGGGCGAGCCCATTGACTACAGCGGAGTTACGCAGCTCAAGGAAGAACATTTATAATCATTTCTTCATAAAAATGTAATCAGACTGAGACGCTAAGACAGAAGAACTACTGTGTCTGCAGTGCAAAATGATTAATATGATGATTATTATTCCAAGGAAATGATAAAGAAATGATCATAAATGTTCTTCCTTGAGCTGCGTCACCCCGCAGCAGTTGGTTTGGACTCACCTGAGGTTTCCGTACAAAACAAGCAGCTGCTGGAAGAGAGTGGGTGAGTTGTATGGAGTGGCTTTTTGGTTGAGCACGTGGCTCTTTGTATTGCTATCCTGCGGTCGTTACTAAAGTTGGTATCACTAGAGAAGCAAGCGGTCGGCAACATTCATCTATCGAGGAGGTGTCTAATCTGTGTTACAGTGTGTTTGACCCTAACTTAAATTTACGCCGGAATATCCCTTTAACCAGCCTTTTTGAACCTTTTTAACTCTCAAATCTGTATAATAGTACACCTCACCTTTTAAAAGCTTTTTAATAGTTTGTTACCCTTGAAAGTTTTGCTTTCTTTCCAAACATAATGTAAGTAAAAGTCATTCTCAGTTTTTTAATTCAGTCATGACAGATTTAAATCTTTTCTGATGATAGTCTTGGTTTCCTCAGTCTCAAGCGTGAACACACTCCATTGCAGACAGGTTTACTATAGTAAGAGTTTGAAACCTTTTAATAAACCTTTTCAGTCTGAATAAATCAGAGTACGTCTAATTGGAAAAGCACATTAAACCTGAGTTTTTATTGAATGTTTTCAATTCTTTGAACCCGACAAACAATTACAGCCCCGGGGGAAGATATCACAAAGCTACGCAAATAAAATAAACAAGAAACAAACAACAGCTCTCCTTTTTTACTCTGTTCGGTTCCCTCTTTATATTGTCTTTGCTTCTTCTTCTTCTCCTCTCTTTGTTCCTCAGTGTCTTTTTAGACTATACTCAGCAATTCATAGTTAGTATTAATTCTTTTCTCTCGCGCGTTAAATGGGGGCACTCCGCAGTGGGAGATTGTAGAGCAGCTCCCCTCCTGCTATTTTTTCAGTGATGCAACAGTCAAGTTAAATGACTCTGCTCAGGATGCGAAATGTTACGCACAGGAAGAGCCCACTGCTGTACTTTACAGTTATCACTTCAACACATTTTATTATTCATGCCATTATCTCCGGCTCTTAGTGATTTATAAATGATGGTGCTTAAATGTTGTACAATTGAACGCACTTTAAATCATGTCTATGTGTTGACAGGAGCTGGAGAAAGCCGGCCTCTTGAACAAGACGAAGATAGCAGAAGGAGGCAGAAAGCTGAGGTGAGGTTTCATCAAGGTGAACAACTAAAAAAGATCAGTTAGATTCCTCTTGTATAAATATGGTGTTTGTGTCTGACTCTCTGTTCGTGTCTTTCTTTTCTGTCGGGTTGCAGGAAAAACTGGAGTCCTTCCTGGGTGGTGTTAGTTGGGAACAGTCTGGTTTTCTTCAAAGATCCTAAATCACAGACACCAGCCAGCTGGGTAAGATGAGTCCTGTGTTCATGTGAGGCAGATTTCTTGATTTCAAAATCCCCAGCCAGTTCTTATGAGTCATTTTTCAAAGTGCAGATGAAGGTTACTTTTGTGGGACGGATTTTACTTTCCATTTCAGAATTAAACAGCAGAATCTGGTTTGTTGCATACAGATCAGGAGCTTTTAAAAAACCCTTAAACTGACCACACAGATAAATAATCCTGTCCATTATGTTGCACACATAATACTACATGCATCAGATATCCGTTATGTGAAGAGTCTGTCAGGAGGGGCGAAAATCTGCCCACAAATTCTGTGCAGCAAAAGCTCAATTTTAAAATCATACATTCATCAGCTGAGTGAAGTGTCGAGAGTATAAACCTGAAAATGTTTTTTTTTATGTTTACATGCACATTTCTTGAAAACAAATGCTTTTTCATGTGCAATACAGCAATTTTCATACCTCATTTATCCCACCGACTTATCCTCCATCTTATATACATTCACACTCAGCACCTACTGCTTGTTCACTTTGTAAATATCTCCTTTTTCACTTGTGAATGTTTCCCGCACTTTGCAAATATTTCTCCTATACTTTTATTCGTCTAAATATATACAGTATATATGTATATATAATTTGTATCCTTATTTTATTGCATTCCTTTAGTACTATTGTGTGCTTTTTCTATACCCCTTCGAGTCGAGCGGTCCTCTCATCAAGGGCATTTCATCGCACTGTTGACCTTGTCTAACATGCACATGACAAATAAACAAATCTCTAATTTCTCATCTCAAACAGAGACCAGGAAACAGTCGTCCTGAAAGCAGCGTGGATTTACGAGGAGCAAAGCTGCACTGGGCCAATGAGCTGTCCAGCAAGAAAAATGTCTTCAAGGTGAGAAACAAGCAGAAATACCTAAAATCAAAAGATTTTAACAAATTTCATAAAATGTTCGAATGTGAGTCCCTCTTTTTTTTATCAAGTCCCGATCTGATTATTTATTTTACTACCTAAAGTGTTCTCAGTGGTCTTTAAATTGTGATTATGAAGTTTTTAGCCAAAATCTCGTTACCTGTGTCATTTTTAAGAGCTTTTCTTCTGCAAATCACCAGTAACTCATTAGCAATTCGTCTCTGAGTCGTGGGTGGAGACAGCGCTGCTCTGCACACTCCTCTTCATGTTAGCTTGTAGCCTTACATTGTAGTAGAAGTAGCAGGTAACATAGGAGCTATTCAGCTCTCAGACATTCATGTCTTTGGAGACATGATGAAAGTTATTATCAAAATCAGCTTTCTCACAAACATTGCCGTATCCGTTAATGCAAACACTTGGTCTGCGATCATCCTCTCTATTTCTCTGAGTCTGGCCTGCATAGAAAGACTCCGGGGGCGGAGCTTGGATTTGTGATGTAGGAAATCTCACTGTGTCTGAACCTGCTGTTTGGGTCTGTGTGAAGTTCAGAGCCATTTGAATGCAAAAATACTCAGAAAAGCAATTTCACACTTATTTTTTTTATGTTATGTCCCGTTGCATCAGAAAAATGCCATTTGAATGTGTGGACAACAAGAAACAACATGATTTTCATCAGAGTGGGTCTGTAACTGGTTAATAAGATCTGATGTACAGCAGAGAGTTCGAACACTAAACAATAGATCCCATTTTTGTCAGTAAGGGGTCCTTATCAGTGAGGGAAGTGAGAGTGGGAAGCTTGTTTGACTCAACTGTGGAGAAGAGGAAGAAGTGCTGAGGATACATTTCTCAGTTAATTTATCAGAGAGAGTCAGTCTGTTTTTAAAATCAAGAAATGTCAAAAAGGAAACATGGATGTTTGACTGTAGTTGAGTGAACAGAAAACCGTCTCTGCGGAGTTGACGCTCACTTGATATAAAGTGACGTGTTTTGTGGTTGTGTTGTAGCTGAGGACGGTGACGGGTAACGAGTTCCTGCTGCAGTCGGAGACGGACTCTTTGATCAAAGAGTGGTTCATCACCATCCAGAGCGTCATCGACAGGCTGGTAGGACGCAAAACACACAACACACGCCGAGCTGCACTTTCACTGTCACACTTCTCTTTTTGTGGTAAAATGGTTTCCCTCTGGATTATCGTAGTTTCACTCCGTAAGTGTATACGATTGTATAGTCAGTATATCTAAACTGCACACACACGCAGACTGTAATCCAAAATGTCAGGCAGGCAACTTCAGCTGGACTGATTTCAAACTTGATATGAGTCATTCTCACGATCATATGACAAACCTATCCTCCCAGTTTACCCGTCTATTCAAGCTTAGAGTTTTCTGGCCTCTTCCTCAGCTCTGCAGCCGTCACTGCTGTCCTGAATAAAAGCTGAAGAAGTAGATAAGTGCTGTCAGCTGCACCATCACCACCACCACCACCCAGGCATCCATCTGCAGGCTCTGACTGGGGGGTTTAGGATATTATCGTCAGCTTTTAAAATTAAACCGTGAGAAGAAATGAGGTCAGGGTCTGGACGCAAACACATTATTTAATAAATAAAAACTATTGAAACATGAGCAGTCAGATTTAAGTATAGTTTATGGTGAAAGGTGAAAGATATGAGTGATTAAGTTATTGTTTCAAATGAGTTCAGAAATCTACTTGATATGGACTTAAAAAAAGTAAAAGTGAGTTTTTCAAGTTTGGAAAATCCCAGCTAAGAATTGACCAGGTGTTGTAACTCAGGACCTTCCAGAGAAGGTGGAGCCTGACAGAAAACAACACTGACTACCCTGATTTTCTTTTTTAACTTTATTGCCTTAAATGTACATGAACAGGCAATTAAAATCACAAAGGAATACAAAAAGAAAAGCATCTTGAGATTGGGTCTCATCTGTCACACATAGATAGCACGTTTAAGGGTATAACACATATCTTATAGATAATAGAAAAAGTTATAATTATAGTAAATGAATAGAAAAAACTCGTAAAAACAGGTACTTTTAGCTGTAACTGGTCAGTCATATATTCCATCATGTAGACGTGTTTTACCACTGAGTGATCATGGGAGGGTCAGACTTCATCCAATTGATAGTAATAATTTTTCTTACCCTGATTTTCATTTCTTTGTTTATCTATAATAGGTGTATAGTTTCAGACTAGAACAAATGTTTTTGTTTGGTTTATTGAAGTTTATTTGACAAGAGCTTAAGAAGGAGCCTGATGTTTCCCTCAAAAACACGAGTAAAACTGACAAAAGCTCCATCAAAAGCCACAGGTTGCAGACAGCATTGCGACCGTGTTGCTGTTGCTAAAGCTCTGTCTCGGCTCCACCTCTTTGCGTGCGTCAAAGCCTATCAAAAGCTAGAACAGACTTACGAAGATGGCGTTTGCTGTCTTTCAGCCACAAAACACTCCTCTTAAGAAAATTAGTGAAATAATAAAGACTTAAACCATGTTTGGATATGTTTTTGACTGTCCACGGTTGCTGATAATTTTTGTTTCTGAGACCAGATTAAAGTTTTTTGACTCATAAACTTTATTATTTAAAAACCAGCATCAAATATCAAATGCTAAATAGACTCTAAATCAAAGCATATTCTAGTTTTTCTCCACTAAACACTGGTTTGTAAATTTTGTCTCATCACACAGTCAGTGCTTTTGTGTCTTTTTCAACAAAGTCAAACTCTAAGAATGTTTTTTTTCTGTCCGTCCTCCAGGACCGTGAAAACCCGTTAGACAATGTGCTCCTGTACTCTCTGAGGCGAGCAGGAAGCGTGGAAATGCTGGACCAGAGCGGAGACGAGGACGACAGAAGAACGTCACGTAAGCTGCCTTTATCACATGCCGCCTGTCGTCTCATTTCTCTGGTTTTCCCTCCCTGCCCTACACGGCCTCTCGCTCCATCATCATCATTCTTTTTTCTAAACTTCCACACAGGCTTCTTGCATCCCTCCATCCTCTCCTCCATCCTCTCCTCCATCCAGCCCACTTACATTTTCACTCGCCCCCCATGGCAGATAATCCCCCCGTCTGTCCTGTCTCACCTGCGCCGCCGCCCGGCCCTCCCTCTCTTCATCCTCACCACCATCCCCTCTCATCTGCTCTGCCTACGCCCCGCACTGACCTCCTCCCCCTCTTCTTCCTCCACCTCCTTCTGTCCTCCCTCTGCAGTCCCCCGCTCCTCGTCCAACTTGGAGAACACAGAGAGGAAGAGAGTGAAGAGCCGGCTGAAGAAGCTGATCCTGAAGAGACCCCCACTGCAGGCGCTGCAGGAGAAAGGCCTCATTAAAGGTGAGGGATCTGTTTGAAGTTTGACATTGTTTTAATCCCAGTTTTCTTCCTTCAGCAGAGTGTGTCCTCTTTTCCTCTGCTGTGTTACAGTTTTGCATTTCTGCAGCTAAAACTATCCACTGAACTTTAGTTGTGGAGTTGAAGGTATTTTGCAGTTATGACAGCTGGCAGGAAATCTCAGTATTAATCCTGCAATGATGCCACATCCCCCTGTGACTGTGCATTGCAATCCTCGTCTCCTGTTTAGTAAGAGCTTCTGCAGAGTGATGACGATTTTCACTCTGCCTCTCTGCTGATTACAACACTATTCTGACATCTTTTGTGGAGCTTTCTTGAAAGTAGAAATGATTTTTGTCGGGTTTTTCCATATTCGAAGCATAAAACGGCACAGGAGTTGACGAATGAAGAAAAACCTGGTTAAATTATTGCAAACACACAATGAATACTGCTCTCATACGGGGCAAAAATGGGTCATTGAATGGTTTGACTGCAATCAGAGGTAGAACCCCAATGAAAACCTTAATCTGGGGAACATCTTACAGGCACTGGTCTCATCACAGCTTATCAAGACATTAACCTCCATACTATCATGTATTATATAAAACCACAACAGGATTTAATACAACACAGAGCATGGAAATAAAATTAACTATAACATAAAACACATCACAATTCAACACAGCACAATGAGATATGATATGATACGACATGATAGGTTCCAGTTCAATATCATGTGACATGTTTAAATAGAACAAAAGGATATGAAACAAAAATATGATACAAACTTATGCAACATGACAGGCTTTGGTTTGATTTGCTGCATTACTGTATGACACAATATGATCAAGTTGGCACTAAACACAATTCGACACATTACAGTGTTGTAGCATACCCTGCCATATGGCACAACATGAAAGAATACAATAAGCTACAATACTACAGGGTATGATATGATACAATACAACACAATACAATACCAGAGAATACAATTTAAACTGATACCATGCCATAGAATACAATTTGACCCGATGCTACATGATACAATGTGATATGATACGAAACAATACGATACAAAATATTATAATCTGATAGGATATGATGCAAAACAATACAACTTAAACTGAAACCATAGGATACGATACATAATGATACAAAACGATAGTATACAATACAGTTTGATACAATACAATACAAACTGAAATAAAACCATACCGTACTGTACAATATGATGCAATACAGTAGGATACGAAACACTATGATCCTATACAAAATAATACAATACAATACGTTTTGATGAAAATGATAGTATATGATACAGTATGATACAATACAATATAGTATGAGACAATATGATATGACATAAAATGATACCATGCCATACCTTACTATACCATACGGCATAACACAATGGGATGATACGATAGGGCACAATACAACATAGTTCAGTGTGATTTTTATTTGATACGGTAGGATATAATATCTGATCTGATATAATATGATATGATGTTGTATGGTATTATATGGTATGATTTGATAAGATATGATATGATATGATATTGTATAGTATGGTATCATATGATATGATACGATATGATATGATGTGATGTGATATGATATGATGTTGTATAGTATGGTATCATTTGATATGATATGATATGATATAGTACACCATAACACAACATGATCTTAATGGTAAGGTACAGTACAGAAAGGTATAACAGGACACATCATAATTAGATATCACACAACATGACTTAATATAATATGTTATGATACAATATGATATCTTAAGATATGAAATGATCCAAAATGAAATATTATGTTATACTCACAGTCCCTGCTGTGATATTAGTATATTTTCTGTGGCACGTGTGTTAGCAGCATGAGTGCTGGAGTAAAAATCTTTCTAAGCTGTTCTTTTCAATTGGACTTTATGCAAACTGAAAACAGGCTCAGCCTTTGAAAACTAAAGAGTAGTCATCAGACCGAGCGAGCCAACCAAACTTTAGAGGAGTACAGAGAGAGATGAAGTGATTTCAGATCTTATTTTTGATGAAATTTTCACATGTCTCTCTGAGTCCTTATCAAAGATACAACAGTCTGATCAGAAGCGATTTATTAAGTAAGCTAAGTAAGATTTATTTCAGCCTATAGCGCATACAGTACAGTACACGAGGTCTGTTGCATCATCAAGGCTGAGCTGACATATCTGCTGGGAAAAGATCCAACATGGAGGTTTTCTTCAATAGTGAGCAGTCAATTTATCAGCAGTAGAAGTGGAGCGTGCAGCTCTTACATCATGTGTTGGCACAGTTATTTGAGGGAAAAAAAACACAACTTCTGAGCTAACATAAAACGTGTGTTTGTGTCCGTCTTTCGTCACCCTTCAGATCAGGTGTTTGGATGTCGTCTGGAGATGCTCTGCGAGAGAGAGAAGAGCACCGTCCCTCGCTTCGTCAGACTTTGTACCGCTGCTGTGGAGAAGAGAGGTACAGTCGCTGATAATGCGATGCTCAACATAAAACGGACACACAAGAAAACACCTTCAATCGTTTTCCACACTTGAGTCGCTCTATGGTAGTCAGGCTCCCTCAGTGTCTAAAATCATTCGACGAAACTTGACTGAAAATGTTTTTGATTGTGAGCTGAACTTGGACTCAGAGAAGAAGTCCTGACAGCTGCCAGACAGGGAAGATCCTAATGAGAGAAAATAGAGCTGGTTGAAGACTGTTTAGAAACAATGCTGCAAATAAATATTTAACACGCAGAGGAGGAAAAAAAGAACGTATTTTGACCAAAAAACCTGCTTTTGATGGAAAAAATATCTCTACGGCATGGTTAGGATGGAGACATCATGGCTGAAATAGACTGAAACACTTAAGGGACGAAGTGGATTCTTGGAAAATTATTGAAATCATACAGATCTTTCACAGCACAATGAAAAAAGTCCACATTAAAGCGTTTATAGCTGTACATGTTAAATTAAATACAAATTAAAAAGCATATCTTTGTGTCGTGGAAGAGTGACTCTTCCTCTGTTACTCTTTATGAGATTTATTCATTTGTGTGACGATATATTCATTTATGTGTGAGGATAGAGTGACTTTATTAAACTCCTGACATGTTTTATTTAGGCACAGATGTTGTTGGATTGCAAGTAATTACAAGAAAATCAATTTACATGAACAAATCTGCTACATATCCAAACTTGTGCCTGAGAGAGCTCCTGCAGCAATAAAAGATTTCTTCCAAATGTTTCTACATGAGTCTCCAAATGTTTAAATGTTTAATAGCACTTATACTTGAACTAAATCTAACCAAAAACAACCTTCTTTACATTCCCGGAGCTCAAAGGGAAACATTTCATTTACTTCTTTGGTTCATAAAACTGTCCATGACTGTAATAATCTTCATTTTCTATCATTGATTGCAAAAAAGGAATAGAAAATATGCAAATTTAGAGAACAGGAACAGTTTATTTTGATATTTGACGCCAAAAATGTTTGAAATTAGTTGTCTGTTATAGAATTCTCTTTCTTTACTACCATAATAGCTGAGATTGTTTATTAATTTATGGTTAAACAGCTACAGAAAACAGCTATCCGGTGCAAATCGAATGCTTATGTGTAACATCTATCCTTCGAAAGATTTCTGTGAGGTTAAAAGATTAAACAGTGAGTTAAAAAAGGAAAAAAAATAAGCAGCCTGGTTGCAATAAAAGATTCAAATCATTCATGTAAAATGCAAACCTTTGGTCAAAGTTCATAACCAGTACATATGTAACAAACCTTGTCTTGTTCTGTAACTTAAAAAAGTCAGCGTCACACCAAACATATTCAGCGCCTCATCGAGTGACACACTAAAAAACATGAAGAGGAAGTTTAAAAGTATTCACAGAAGTCATGTGATCATGTAAATGTGACCTTCTAAGATATTTTGGATGTCTGGAAGTGTAAAAATGTGCTTCCGCTTCACCTCATTCACGCGATTTTGGCCACTTATGCAACAAAACATCTTCTTTGGGACCATTTTTTATTGATGGAGAGGAAGCAGGAGTGCCAAGGCTGGCTCCAAATCTGAGGGAACACTTTTTCACTCATGAAGGTTTAAATAATGCAAACTCTGATCTTATTTAGATACCAGCTCTCTAGAGTTCTAATAGGTACTCAGACACAGTCAGCAGAGATCTCCTGACCTGAACAGCTGTGTGTGTGTGTGTGTGTGTGTGTGTGTGTGTGTGTGTGTGTGTGTGTGTGTGTGTGTGTGTGTGTGTGTGTGTGTGTGTGTGTGTGTGTGTGTGTGTTATCTTGCAGGACTGGAAACTGACGGCATCTACAGAGTGTCAGGAAACCTGGCGGTGATTCAGAAACTACGCTTCATGGTGAACCACGGTGAGGATGAAGGGGAGGAGGGAGAAAAATCGTCTTTTATGATCTCTGAATATGAATGAAAATGCAGAGGGAGGGGAAAAGGGAAGAAGTGGCGGTCTGCAGGAACCAGCAACACTTTTTTTTCTTTTAGCTTATTTTACATAAAACATTTACATGCTGTTTGATTCTGTTCTGTTCATTCTGATTATGTTCATATGTTAAATGCACACACACTCTCTGTGTGTACCTGCTGAATCCACTGTATGGTTGTCCCACGCCTATCACCTTCTGATAAAAGTACATACTGAAGAAAAGCCGATTTAGTGATTGTTGGTTTTTGCAGAGCGAGCGGTGACTACAGACGGCCGTTACATGTTCCCAGCGGAGTTGGTTCAAGGTAGATCCAGACCTGAAGAGGAAAAAAAAAACCCACAGCCGCTCTGCGCTCGCTTGTTTTTGTCTTCTTCCTGTGTTGCATAATGTGAACACCTCAGTGAAAAACAAACCACCCACAGACAGAGCGACTCTCAGAGCTGAGCTGAGCAGACGGTGCACTGAACAGTTGTGCTACCATTTGCTTAATGTCCCTTTAGGCTTTTCTGCTTTAAGTTTTCTGATGTAATAACACACAGCAGGTTGTACAGTGAGCGCGCTTATGGTCCGCTGCTGCCACCAAGTGGACAAAACAGAGAATCGTTTGTTTGTGTATGCGCTCTAATCCCACTGCAACATCTCACTGACTAATGCTTCTTCTCATTTGGAGGCTTTTTGTGTCATAAATATTAAACTTTTTGACTTTGAGGCAGAATTAAAGCACATTATTTTTTCTCTTTGGTTCTGATAATCCAATTTGAGAAGCATTGGTCAGGCCTTGAGTTTTTGAATATGTGTTTTCCAAAACAGGCATGCTTGTGTGTGTTTTCTCCGACTCTGACAGGCCGTTTCTATCTCCCTCCTGCAGCTACAAGCCTCCATGTTCCGCCTCAGCACTGACATAAACGCTCCGTCTTATGTTTCTGCCCTTAAAGCCACTTTGACTCTTAAACTTAAATTTAACTCTTCTTCTTCTTCTTTCTTTTTCACATTGCCGTGCCTCTCCTTCACTCTCCCTGACCCTGTCTTTTTTTGGATTTCACCCCTCACCGGCCCCTCCCTGTCTCTCAGAGGAGAAGCTGAATTTGGATGAGAGCGACTGGGAGGACATTCATGTCATCACAGGAGCTTTGAAACTGTTCTTCAGAGAGCTGCCCGAGCCCCTGGTCCCCTTCGGCTTCTTCACTGACATTGTGGAGACGATCAGTGAGTGCCTCTCTTCAGCTCCATGTTTGTCTCATTAATCACTGAATAACAGATGGATTTATATCCGTCATTTCTACAAATATGCTTATTAACTTTGTATGAGGAGTCTTTTTATCAACAATTTCAGGTTAGGAATTATTTATGGACTATTACTTGATTCCTGGTCCTTATTTAGTTCATGTCTTCCTCTGCTCTAATTACCGAAACAATCATCTTAAAGCTCCTGTAAGGAGTTTTTTTTAATTTGTAATTTTTCATGCCTGGAATAGGTGTAAGCCTAGCTGCTGCAGCCTTGTTTTTACAGTTACACATAAAATATTCACAGTAAATTACAAAAAGTGACTGAAGCATAGAGAGCAGTGGTTCTCAACTGGTGGGTTCCGACTCAAAAGTGGGTCAACAAAGTAACTATTTATTTATATATATATATTTTCTGTATATGCAACTTCAGTAGTTGTCGTCCTTCATGTGCTCTGAAATGCACTTTACTAAATAAAAAAAGTGGATTTATGTTAAAGATTAGAGTCTTTAAAGGTTTTTTTTTATAAAAAATACATTTGCTTGGTTTGAATTCTATAATAGTGGCCACGGGAAAATGTGGGTCCCAGAGTGAGACCAGTTGAGAACCACTGATATAGAGGACAAGATAAGGAAGGACTGTTTTGTCCACAGGGGGGCGCCAGAATTGACACAAATTCAAAGTCCCTCAAAGCAGCTTTAAAAATATTGATAATATAGGGTTATATTCAAAAGATTTACTGGCTGGACTAGAAGTTTAGATACCTGGGGAGCCTAATCTTACTTTGCTGTTTTTAGTTTTGATGAAAATCACAAAATCTCTTTAGTTTTAATGAGTCAGAACCAACACAGTGCTGGTCTAAAAAGTCCTCCCTCTCTGACGACCTTCAGACCTGTGACTGCAGCATTTTACTCCATGATAGAATATTTTCAGTCCTTTCTTTTTGTTTTCAACTCTTCAGAAGTTTAGCAAAGCAACATCTGTATCACTACGGATCTATAACAAAGACAAATTGTTGAGCGTCCTGAAAACCAGACTCGAGTCTAGCGGTGACAGGGCCTTTTCAGTGGTTGCCCCTCAACTGCGGAACAGTTTACCTGTCCATATTAGAGCCTCTCAGACCTTAGAGTCTTTTAAATCATCTTTAAAGACACACCTTTTTTCCCTTGCTTTTAATAAATGAGCACACAGGAATCAGAGGATCTGTAGCTTTTGTTCGTATACTGTCTGTATTTTATTCTACTGTTTTTAACTTTATTTTTTCTTGTTATCTATCTATTTATTTACATCTTTTATTAATCCCATGTACAGCACTTTGTTTTACTGCTGTCTTTTAAAGGTGCTTTATAAATAAACTTTGACTTGACTTGACAAATGGGGAAAAAACTACTAATAACATACTAACATACTTAACATCTATGGGGAAGAATTAAACTTGATACGATGGTTTTACAATAAACAAAACACATCTCAGTATGAATTTGTAGATTTAAACACCACTCCCATTAAACTCCCATCATCCTTTGCTCATATTCGGATATTTTTAGGATGGATAAATGTGAGGATTTATGTGTTTCTTTCTTGGTGACAAATTTGAAAAACTAAAATCAACGATATTTCATTTTAGCCTCTACTACTTCAAGCTTCTGTAAGAAGATTTTTTACATAAATAACTAGACTACAATTCTAACTGATGGTGATTTTATGACATTCAAAACCAAACAAAGTCATCTACGACCACATTGACGGTTTTAATATCTCAATTTTTAACGACTGAAACCTGCACAAGAGGGCGGAGAGAAGCAGCCCTTTTTTCTTTTTTACATATTTCCCTTAAAATGTTAAAAATATGTATTAAATTTAGCCGTCAATTGTCAGAATAATCAGATGTTTTGTGAAAGTACTTAAGCATGTAGAGGACAGAAAAGGCGAAGACTGCCTTGTCCATAGAGGGCGCAAAAATTTACACGAACTGAAGGTTGAAATTTTAATTTTAACACTTTAATCTCTAGCTCTACATTATTGCCCACATTGGCCAGATATTTTCATTAAAATGCTTATTTTTTTAAGCAATTCTAACTCAAAGAGTGGCAAAAATTATAGTTTTGTGGACTATTTTCGGCCGTGGATTTATACACATTATTTACCTTTGTGAGTTTATTGCACTGTTGACTGTCCCTATAAGTTTCTAACAACAATTAAAGTCCTTGACATTAAGTAGTCCGCTAAATCCTGCTGAGTTGCCACATTTGTTGGTGATAGTATTTACTGAGCGCAGTTTTATCTTTTGCAGTGTTGCTGGAAGTAAAAAAAAAAGTTTTAAACTGTCCTTGTAGCAGTTTTTTATCACTTCATTTACATACACTTCTGTGATAACACAAAACATCAGAATATCTTTAACTGATGCTAATAATCTGACAGTTAAATGTATAAAAATCCCCAAAGAAATCCTGAATATTAATAAAACAAAGATAACATGATCCTTGTACAAACGCCCTGATTGTTATCAATCCACGGAGCGTCATTTTGCAGCGATCATGGTGAGGGCTGATAATTACACACTGCTGTATCAGATTAGATAAGGTATGCTAATGATAATGGGCTGCACATGATATCAGTATGTATATCAGGTTTCCGATGCAACGACATGTAAGTGATGGCATTTATTGTGATGTGACACGTCCGTCCCTTTTGTGCTGCAGAGATGTCGGACTACTTGGAGAAAGTTCATCGTCTGAAGTGTCTGGTGCTCAACATGCCTCCTCCGAACCACGACACGCTCAAGTTTATGTGCCGCCATCTCAGACGGTAAGAGAGACAAGAAGATAACAGACATTTGTTTGTGTAAAAAAAAACAAAAAAAACGAAGAATGACCCCGGTGCCCTTCGAGGGAAATAAAGTTTTATTTTCAGCACTTGTCTTTTTTTAGTCTGACCACAAGAGGGGGCAGTTTCCTCGGTGTTCCCTGTGTTTTTTTCTCAGTCAGGGGTTCTTTGGCCACGGCTTCTAAAGTATGCCCGTCCTGTACCAGGATCCCTCTGTTGTTAACTTTGTGTCCCTGCAAAGATGAAAAGGCTGGAGGAGGATGAATGGAGCGCGATGTTCTGAGAGCCAGTTCCTTTTACAGTACATAAAATCTGTGTTTTTTACCGCCTATGGTTTTTCCTTCCACTTCAGGGGTGAGCATTCGTGTTCTGAGGCCGATGTTTGTGCCAGGGTGTGGTGGAGGCCCCATGAATTTGTCAACTCTGTCTTTCTTTCATTTACTCCCCTCTCTGTCATCCCCCCCCCCCCTCCTTCATTCTGTTTCTCATTTATTATCTCCCTCGCTCAATCACCCTGATGCCTCTCTCTTCTCTCTCTCGTCTCCTGACTTCCTCATCACTCTCTCTCTCTTTTATTTTCTCCCTCTTCCTCCTTTCTTTCTCCTCTTTTCATCCCTCTCTCCCTCCTCCTGCTCTCCTCCCTGCCTCGAAGGTCCCATGGGAGCCTTGTGGTTCGTCTGCTGGAAGGCATACCAACACCACCGCCGCCACCACTGGAACCTCTCTCGTTTCTCCCTCCCTCACTCGCTCCTTTTCCCCCCCTCCTCTCTCTTCCCTCTTTCTCTCTTTTTTCCTCCTCTCTTTTTAATGTGGAAGTTTTGAGCAATTGCTGGCTGCTTCTGTGGCTTGGTGGGAATGGCATTTTTAGAAGAATGCCTCACTCTGTGGCTTCAACCCATTCCTGTGTCCCCCACCAATCACACACACACACACACACGTACTCGCCAACATAGGTGGATACAGGCGACAGATTTAGCCTCTTATGTGCACAAATCTGGTCTGTTAAATGTAGATCCAAGGACATGAACATGCAGGCAAAAACAAGAAGTCCCTGGTGGATGTGAAACCGTAGTAACTGTCCTGTGTTTCTAAGAATTTGAGGATGTCACATGCTGACCACAAGCGTACAGCTGTATGAGCGGTTAGTAGTCATCTACTGTATGTGCAGCTCATCGTAGCGAGTCTACAGTCGTGTTAGCAAATCCTCACAGTTAATATGCTGATGTTAAAAGGGGATGTTACCTTCTTGGTTGAGCGTGAAAGGAGACTAACACTTACATTTTAGTGCACGACACAAATTACATCGGAGGCTGGAGGCTTCATGTAGATTATACAGCCGTGCTAAGTGCTCTGTAAGGCTGTATTTACTCGCTAACACTGATGTTTAGCACATATGTTTATCATGTTCATTATCTTTGTTTTGCTTAATGTGTCAGCGGGGTAAAATTTGGTAATTAGCACTAAACACAGATGACAGCTGAGGCTGAAGGAAAGTCTTTACTTATGTTTTTGGAGTTCAAAGCGGTGTTTGCTGCTCTGGGAAGCTGTACTGACACACTAGCATATGTCGCAGTTCACTGGTTTGATCCTAACAGAGACTCACCTTCTTAGTTTGGGATATTTGTGCAAATTTACATTAGAATTTGCTCCACTGAATACAGGAAACAGCAAACAGGAAAAGTCTGTTTTTTTTTCTGTTTTGGGATGAGTTGACTAAAAGCGTATTTAACAGAAGTAGATATAATTAGCATATATGCGTTAAAACTGGTTTTCTGGACAGGATTTTAAAGCTTTGAGTTCAATGTTTGACTGAAACCACCTATTTTATTCTCTAATACTGTAAGGGACCATGATACTTGAAGAAACCGTCACCTCACTTCTGATATTTCTTGTCAGTCACAGGTAGCTGCACTCTGGAGTTAAGCTATTTTATTCAATATACTGTGTAAATAAATACTATATTTTTTGTCTAAATGGGAGCTGAGTTTAACCTTCCTCCTGTGTTAGCTTTTACTACGCACCCAGCATGTTAAGGGTCGGTTTTGACCCGTGTCTTAAATCAGCTGTAAATTACACTTAAAACAATTCTCTATCATTTGGTTCTCATCTCTAGGTTACCGTGTTAGGCTTCATTATCCATGAAAATATTGCTTATTATAGGTTTTGTAGTGGGCCTCTGGGTCTTTCTTTGTCAGTATACCCCTCACACAGACATCTATACTGAGTGGATCTTACATGTCTGGACATGCCTGATGTTGTTTTTTGTGCAGGAAAAAACATGACAAAATGAGAATTTCCTAAATCTCACATGATTGGAAGAGGATCTGACTGTCAGTGTGATGCCTGACAGTGTGCTTATGATTTCAGTTTTTGCTAGAATCATTACATATTGATCTAACCGGGTCAACAGCGACCCTAACACAAGTGCCATAATTTTAATAAGATCATTTTATAATTTAGTCAATTAAATTTTTTGTTTTTTATTTTGTTGAAATAGAGGTTCCTGAAAAGGCTTGATGCAAAAAGCTGATTTAAGTGGTTCTTTAAGCGTGTTTTAGGGGTGCAGACTCTAACACCGGAGGAGGGTTAGAAAAAAAATTTAAACTGTTGGAAAGAAGACTTGAAATTTAAGTAGAAATTTAAAGTGTTTACATTGTCATTAATCAAATCAGAAGAAGGCTCATCATTTCGTTAATTTTTCTTTGCAACCAGTGGAGTCACCCCCTGCTGGCAACTAGAAAGAGTGCAGGCATTATTGTTGAATTGTGCGCCCTTATATGAAGGCTTTGGTCTCTAAAGCAGGTGGCCTGGGTTCGATTTCAATCAGAAGGCCTTCACTGCGTGTCACTCCTCACTCTATTACCCCGTTTCCCAATTTATCCAGGATCCTGTCTTGTTATTAAATGCAAAATTACCTAAAATATCTTTTTAAAAACCAGAAAAGAAAGATAAAGTCATCCTGAAGGTGTAATGCTGCACGTCAGGTGATCCCATACAGTTGGTGTATTTCAGTCTTTGCCAAAGTGTTGGACTGCGTATCTCAAACCCTTAATCCAGAGTAGTTTTTGTTCAGATTTTGTTGACATTTTTGATAAAACTAGAGACAATCTCATCTCCATGTCTCTCCTGGTTCTCCGCAGAGTGTTGGAGCATTCAGACACAAACCGAATGACCACCCAGAACATCGGCATCGTGTTCGGGCCGACCCTGATGCGCCCTGAGCGGGACAATGGCAACATGGCGGTGAATATGGTTTACCAGAACCAAGCAGTGGAGCTCATCCTCAGCGAGTTTGACCACATCTTTGGAAAAAGAGGCCCCTCTTGATCTCCTGAGACCGAGACATCTTCAGAAAAAGCTCCTCACATCAGACGAAAGCACGAGTAGTGCAGGCGTTTGTCCTCTCTGCCTGTTGACTCATGTGGTGTAAAAAAGGATTTCACATCAAAAAGGTAATTATGGGAAAAAAAAAGAACAAGGACAGAAAGCTGCTAATCACGACATCTGGCCTCCATATAAAGCCACGTTAAAACAATAATAGTTCAACAAACCAATTTTAGCTGTGATACTTTTGACTTCAGATGTGGAGTCCCGGTGTTCTTCTCTGCTGGAACAGACGCTCCTTGTCACTTTTCCCTTGATGTTTCCGACTTGATCAGGATTTTAAAAAAGCCATAAAAGTGAAAAATCTCCTCCAGCTGGTCCAGCTTGCAGAGTATTGATCACTTATTTATCAAGAACTATGAGAACGGACATGCTTCCCTGCATAGCACGTAAACAAAACTAAGCAGAACCATCTCACTGTGAAAACACAAGCACCAGCACCTCATGCAGCACGGACTGAGGACTGATCTCACCTGCAGCGTGGACTTCTTGTAAAATATGCAAACAAGCAGGAAGAAAGCTGGGCGTGTGTACATGTCTGCTGAAGTGAACAGAGGTTTAAAGTGAGAAAAAAAGGAGGTGTAAGTGACGGGGTGAATTGTTTATCTGTGTACCAAATCATTCCTGTTTAGTGCGTGAACCCTCAGAGCTTTACCATAATGTACAAAACTGGATTCATCTTCTATTTTTATTAGTGCGAACTCCTGCGACTAAGTTAAAATGCTGTAAATATGTGAAATGGTGTCAGCGTAGCACTTTGCATATATAATGTGTAACCTAAACATGACAAATATTAGCCAAATTCAAACTGCTACATTCACTTTAAAAATGAAAAGTATGTCGTTTAAGATTTAAAAATAAATAAAAAAACGCCTGGACCTGATTGTAAACTCTCCTGCAATAAAAATAAAAAAAAACACAAAAGTTGAACAATCTGATTTAATCTGTTTGGATGTGTGTGCCGGGTTGTTTGTCCCGAGGTTGCGTGACAGATAGTAGAAGTGTGTGGAGGTATGTGGCCCTCAGAGACGCAGCGGGCGAAGGCATCCCCTGTGATTGGTGCAAATGCTGCTTTTAATAACAGAACAAAAGAGGAACTGGAAATGCATATGTTTAAAAAATGTGGATTTTCCCCCCAAAAACCCTCTCACTCGCTCACTCTGTGGCTTTGGTAATTTTATATTGACTGTGGGTTTGGCAGGAGACAAAAAAGAGCAGAAAGGGAGGCATGGAGGGGGGGAGCTTGTAGATTTTAGAAGGTTTTATTAGATGTATTTATTCATTTTTATGCTCGTATTATTTCAAGTCCTGTGAGCGCGGTGGGAGGGGCTAAAGTGATGTGAAACTGATTGATGGGGAGTCGTCTGAACTTTTGATTACAGCGGCTTCTCAAGGCCGTCCTCTTTTTGTGATTGACTCAGAAATGTTTTCGACTTAAATAGACGACCGCATTTGTTTATTTGATCCACATGCATGTATGCACAGAGTCATGACGGTTTATACGTTTATCCCCCTCTCATTGTGCAGCTTCTCGGTTTCTTCTGACAGCCGTGCATCTGAGAGCGTTTCCATTTATTCCATTATTAAAAGAAAATATAACACCATGAAAACATTTATTTATCTAGTGTTTCATGAAATATGTCCAACGCATGTTTTGTTCTCCTTCCAAATTCTCAGATTGAGGGATTTTCCTTGAAACTCTTGTAGACTTATAGGCTCTGTGATGTGTTTTATTCCACTTGGTGTTATGGCGCTAATTGCTCCCTAAAATAGAATCAAACACCCGCCTTCCTAATCAGTCGTGTGTTGGCAGTAAAGTCAAATACTCTTACTTCATTTTTTAATGCTGTCATTTTCCTTCTTTAGCTCCTTATTAATGATTCACCATCTAGTTATTGCACCCTGAAATTTTTACTGCAAAATTTTTCAGTGTGCGGATTTCCAGTACGGTCTGCTTTTATAAGAAGATAAGAAAAGGAGAAGTTTTACAAACTTTTTGGGAATATTTGCATATGAGAGCAGATTATTGATGCAGCAGCGGGCTGATGAAACGAAACAGCCTGACATCGCTGAAGTTCAAAACCATGTTTGCATCTGTAGGTAGTTATTTTGTTTGTTGCAACATGAGAAAAAGATGTTTTTGAGTCTGTCTGTCGGAGCATTTCTTAAAAATTTGTGGGAGACAGGAATTAGAAGGTGGTGACATTTTTTCATCTGTGAAATGTTTCTCAGCCGAGGAATCCTCAACGCTGATCTGTCTTAAAGAGTCTCAAGTTTGAGTCAACTGCTCCACAAAACACAAGTGTGGTGGTAATTTAATCATCAGGCAGACTTGTGTTTTATTGTTTAATTTAGTCCTAATATGATTTAAACAGAATTTTCTCTTTTCTTTTCCTCTGACAAAATATTGTATTTCTTCCAAGAAGAGAAGATAGCAAAGAAGGAAAAGCAGAAAATAAATCAAACTAATCTCAAACATCGGTTAAAGTTTAACAACAGATAATATCTCCAGTTGTACTTGACTGACCAGGTTCCAACCAGGCCTCCCAAGTAGACTAAGGCTACGTTCACACTGCGGGTTATGATGCACAATTCAGATTTTTTTGTTAAATCCGATCTTTTTGTGCGGTCGTTCACATTACAACAACAAATGCGGCATCCATAGACTGTATATATAATGGACAACTTGGTTCCGCCTCCCGCCTGGATTTGAAGCCAAAAAGCTCTCGGTGTTTCCGGGATTTTTTTTCATTTCCTGAAACCAGCGCTGCACAGTAGCGTTGTGCGCATTCAGCTGGAGAGTCGCTGTGATGACGCTCGGCTCAAACAGCGTATCCCCCGGGTGAGCTACGGAATCCCTGAACGCCAATAGGCTGTATCAGGTGTCAATCAAAGAAAACTTTAACCCCCTAATATCTTTTAAAAATGGAGCTGTACAGTTAAAAGAGGACTTGAGCACAAACCAGTCTGACAGGAACTACATGTCAACATCGCAACCAGGGGGGAGAAAAATTTATATTCTGAGTAATTAATTTATAAAGTTTTTCCACAGCTCCATAAGCTTTGCTGGCGGAGGCGGGATTTATGACCTATACTGCAGCCCGTCACCAGAGGGTGCTGTTCACGGAGTGGCTTTACCCAGCAAGGAGGCAGACTCTGTCCATTTTATATACAGTCTATGGCGGCATCTAATGTGAACGGAATGTGTCCGTGAAGTGACCTGCATGCGCACAAAGCACAAATTGATTTCAGCGCCTGTTTGTGTTGTTGAACAATGGTGACGTTTGTCGCATATTGATGACGTATAGGTCGGATGAACGCCACCTGAGTGTCCACACTGCAGTCACATCGGATACGTATCAGATTTATATCCAGATACAAAAGAGGCCTGGGTCAGATCTGAAAAAATTAGACATGTGTCATACACACGTGGACAAAATTGTTGGTACCCCTCAGTTAAAGAAGGAAAAACCCACAATTCTCACTGAAATCACTTGAAACCTACAAAAGTAACAATAAATAAAAATTTATTGAAAATTAAATAATCAAAATCAGCCATTACGTTTGAAATGTTGATTAACATAATTATTTAAAAAAAACAAACTAATGAAATAGGGCTGGACAAAAATGATGGTACCTCTATAAAAGATTGAAAACTATTTGACCAGAGTGACATGATTAACTCAGGTGTGTCCTTTAATTGACATCACAGGTGTTTCCAAACTCATAATCAGTCAGTCTGCCTATTTAAAGGGAGACAAGTAGTCACTCTGCTGTTTGGTGAAAAGGTGTGTACCACACTGAACATGGACAACAGAAAACGAAGAAGATAATTGTCCCAGGACATCCGAAAAAAAATTATAGACAAACATCTTAAAGGTGCAGCCTATAAGACCATCTCTAAACAGCTTGAAGTTCCTGTGACAACAGTGGCTCATATTATTCAGAAGTTCAAGACCCACGGGACAGTAGCCAACCTCCCTGGACGTGGCCGCAAGAGGAAAATTGATGACAGATTGAAGAGACAGATCATTCGAATTGTATCCAAAGAGCCAAGGACAACCTCCAAAGAAATTAAAGGTGAACTCCAAGGCCAAGGTACATCAGTGTCAGATCGCACCATTCGTCGTTGTTTGAGCCAAAGTGGACTTCATGGGAGACGACCAAGGAGGACACCACTGCTGAAAAAAATCATAAAAAAGCGAGACTGGAATTTGCAAAAATGCATGTTGACAAGCCACAAAGCTTCTGGGAGAATGTCCTTTGGACAGATGAGACCAAACTGGAGCTTTTTGGTAAGGCACATCAACTCTATGTTCATAGACTCAAAAACCAAGCATACGAAGAAAAGAACACTGTCCCTACGGTGAAACATGGAGGAGGCTCAGCAATGTTTTGGGGCTGCTTTGCTGCATCTGGCACAGGGTGTCTTGAATGTGTGCAAGGTAAAATGAAATCTGACGACTATCAAGGCATTCTGGAGAGAAATGTGCTGCCTAGTGTCAGAAAGCTTGGTCTCAGTCGCAGGTCATGGGTCTTCCAACAGGACAAGATCCAAAACACACAGCCAAAAACACCCAAGAATGGCTGAGAGAAAAGCGTTGGACTATTCTAAAGTGGCCTTCCATGAGCCCAGATCTGAATCCCATTGAACATCTGTGGAAGGAGCTGAAACATGCCATTTGGAGAAGACACCCATCAAACCTGAGACAACTGGAGCAGTTTGCTCATGAGGAGTGGGCCAAAATACCTGTTGACAGCTGCAGAACGCTCATTGACAAATACAGAAATCGTTTAATTGCAGTGATTGCCTCAAAAGGTTGTGCAACAAAATATTAAGTTATGGGTACCATCATTTTTGTCCAGCCCTATTTCATTAGTTTGTTTTTTTTTTATAATTATGTTAATCAACAATTCAAAAGTAATGGCTGATTTTGATTATTTAATTTTCAATAAATTTTTATTTATTGTTACTTTTGTAGGTTTCAAGTGATTTCAGTGAGAATTGTGGGTTTTTCCTTCTTTAACTGAGGGGTACCAACAATTTTGTCCATGTGTGTATATGGTTAAAAAATCAGAATTGACCTGCAGTGTGAACATCGCCTAAAACCCTCCTGAGACAAACTGCTGTTTGTTTGTTAGTGATGCTGATGTTGAGCTCACTGTCTGCTTGTGGTCATTTTTGCACATTTTGAGTATAAGTCGAGGAAATGTTCACCCAAATGTCGTCTTACTCACCGTTAAAACCTTAAACAACAGCCGAGATATCGCGTCACAACATCACAGATTGTTGACGCTACGGTTGACTAACTGTAGCTGATGCAAGGCAACAAAAAACATCTGACCTACGTCAACCAGCGCGGTGTGTTAATGTTACGGTCAGCCGCTAGTTTACTCAACCTACTGTTAAACCTAAAGCTCAGTGTATCAAATACCAGCGGGGCTGCATCGCTCCAACCACACGGGCAGGTTCACAGGCTGTCTGATGAATCATCCTGCAAACACACACCGCCACAAAGAAGCTGGTGTAACAATGCAGACTGCAGACTGAGTGATGGAAACCAAGCTCAGGTTCAGATACAAAGAAGATTCATTTTGATTTGAAACACACACACAGGAAGCTTATGCCTCTGATGAAACAGATGAGCACTTTATTGGGAAACCCCCTTCTCCTCTCTCTCCCAGTTGAGCCCTCACCTCAGTGCCTTTCCCCTATAAGTGACACAGCCTACTAAATGGCCTCATATCAAGAATGCTGGTCCTACCCTACCTCTTAGCTCCTAAAGGCCCCGTCAATGACCACCTTGGGGAGGCCAAAGGTTAGCTGTAGCACCTGTAGGGTGAAACCCCAAAAACAGGTCACAACTACTACAAGTTGCGCACAAAATTTTGAGGGTTATTCAGGTCGGGTCAAGTTTTTTTTACAAACTTCTGAATCAGGTAGTCCACGCCTCACAAACTCAAAACCCCGGACCTTTGAAGGATTTTATAAACTCCCCCCTGACAGGCCGGACATCCCCCAAAAAAGAGGATATGTCCAGGTAAATGAGGGCATATGGTCACCCTTAGCGCCTGGGGGCTACCCCTCTTCATGCTAGCTCTCTGAGTCAAAACTGTGCACTCTACCTCTTCCCTAACCTCCTTATTTTGAAGGGGAAAATAAAACTGGGTACAAATCTGATTGTTTTAAGATTTTAAGGTGCAGATTTAAAGGGATATTCGGCGTAAAATTAAGTTAGGGTCAAAGACACTGTAACACCAAGTTAGACACCCCATCGACAGATGAATGTTGCAGACTGCTTGCTTCGCTAGTTATACCAGCTTTGGTAACAACCGCACGATAGCCATACAGAGAGCCACGCGCTCAACCAAAACGCCACTCTATAGCCACAAATAATGCTCAGAACAGTACCTAACTTCATCAACAGTACATATAGGGCTTTAGCAAAGAGACTAAACACAACTCACCCACTGTCCTCCAGCAGCCGTTTGTTTGTTGCGAGACCTCAGGCAAGTCCATTAGGGCTGCAGCGGGGTTATGCAGCTCAAGGAAGAACATTTATGATCATTTCTTTATCATTTCCTTGAAGTAATAATCATTATATTCATCATTTTGCACTGCAGACGCAGTGGTTCTTCTGCCTTAGCGTCTCGTTCTGATTTCCATGAAGAAATTATCATAAATGTTATGATAGTCATGAAGTCTGATGTCATGCTACAAACAAGCAGCTGCTGGAAGAGAGTACGTGAGTTGTGTTTGGTCTCTTTGCTATAGAAATTAACCAAAGTTGAAAAGATGTTTGGTGGCTAGTACTGTGACTGGGGCCCTATATATCCTGTTGATGAAGTTAGGTGCTGTTCTGAGCATTATTTGTGGCTATAGAGTGGTTGGTCGAGGTTTGTTGATGGCTCCTCAGACCGCTGTGTATTGCTATCGTGCGGTCATAACTAAAGTTGGTATAACTAGAGAAGCAAGCGGTCGGCAATATTCATCTCCGAGGGGATGTCTAACTCGGTGTTATGGCGTGTTTGACCCTAAATTAATTTTACACCAGAATATTCCTTTAAAGATTTTATAAACTCCCCCCAGACAGGCCGGACAGTCCCCAAAAAAGAGGACGTATGATCACCCTACGCGCCTGGGAACCACCCCTCTTTATGTGAGCCGTCTTCCATGAATGCTCTTCCCTGCTGAGTCAAAACCATAAACTGTATATACTATATACAGTCTACTATATACTATATACAGTCTATGGTCAAGACTGCATCTACCTTTGCCCCCAATCTCCTTATTTTGAAGGGGAAAATAAAACTTGGTGCAAGTCTGATTGTTTTAAGATTTTAGGGTGCCATGCAAATGCAGATTTAAACAAACTTTTAATTAGAAAAAACAAATAAACAATGAAATACAATATTCTGTTGGAAACATATGTACAATTTTATTACAAATATCCACAAACATGCAAAAATACTGATAGAAAGTTAATACAAAATTTGCTTGAGTAAAAAAAACTGCTTCATATAAAAAAGTGTGCAGACTTCGACTGAAAGAGGAACTTTTTACCTTTCTTTTGAACCCAGAAATAACAGGTGAGGAACTATGCAAGGCTAGAGTGGCAGTTAGCGTGTCACGTATGCAATCTTTGGTGGTGGTGAACACACACACATATCTTCCCACACTCTCACACACACACACATTATGACCAAGAAGTGTCTTTGGTGCCTGGTATGCATGAATGCCACAGGTTTAGTCACACCTCATGCAGCACCGTCTTATCTCCTGGCACCAAGGCTTTGTGGGATTACTCACAGTGTTTGAGTGTATCTGAGGCACTTTTCACGTTGACTACACTGCAGTCAGAAAGAGGAAGTAAAAAGCTGATGTATGTGTCCTGAGTCTTCACCTTCATGCCACACCTCAGCAAACTACCCAAATGTGTGACACATTCTATTTCCGGGGTGTGAAAACAAGCTGAAGTTCATGTAAATCATTACGAGAAATATGAGATATTTTAGCTGTAGATCGAAGAGAGAAGCTGCGTGGGGTTCTGTGCGCTACAGTGACACTCCCAGATGTGGAGAGAGAAAAAAAAACCCAAAGCTGACTTCATCTTTTGCTCTTTTTAGCATCACATATAGAAATGACTGTCCCCTCAAGGCGTGGCGTTTAACACTGAGCAGACCGCTGCTTTTTGTCTAAAGAAATAAATAATAAACCTTTTTCTTTTTTCTTTAACCACCCAATAGATTCCTGATTTTTGTCAAAGCCATTAAACACCATTTTCAACCTGACGATTTCACAGCATGAATTATTAAAAGCATACTTCCACAAATTCTGGGGGGGATTAACGGCTTTGGGAACAAGAGATAGCTGCTTGTGTGTGTTTTAATTTCAGCACTTAACAGAAAATTGATTATTTTTTTAAAACAGAGGTAAAAGTTTGCATCAAATATACCACAGGATGATGAAATTAGCTTCTAACTAGGATTAATCTGGCTGTATCTGTAACACTGAACCCTGAACTTTGACGGCGTTATTAAGTAACAGTCTCTCTGAAATCGCTTAAACTGTCTCCTCGGAGGCCGTAGTTAGCTGGTGTGGCCCTGCATGAGAACGATTGTTAAAATCCACCGAATCCTGAATTTAAAAATACAAAACCCCCTTTTGCTTTATAGTTTGTGCAACAGTCAGCAGCAGCAAGCGTATAATGGGCGAAATTCCTTCGATGTCACGCTCACATCTGGAAATGCGACACGGCTTTAGAAGAGTGAAATGTTTTAGCTCTCCTGGCAAACGACAAAACAACAAAAGAAAACAAAACCAACACTGTAGGTACAAATCAAGTCTTTTTTTTTCATGATGAAACACTGAGCTATATATAATCACATGTATTTTGTTTTTATGGCTTCAACCCCTTTGGCATGTTTGTGCATTTATGTCGTACAAAGTGTAAAAACGATCATAAAATGAATAAAAGAAACGTGTCAAAGTCTTTTATGTACAAAATATGCATTGTATTGGCATGGTCAAGTCCTGTTAAGTTTTTATTCTGGGTAACTCTGTTAAATCCAGGCTCAGTTCACATTTATCAAAGTCTCCGATCTGGTCCTCCTCAGCGTCTCTGTCCCAGACTTTTCTCTCCGAATTCTCCGTTTGGTTGTAAACATTTCTTTCCTTCAGCGCTTCGTTATCCCCTTCAGGTGATTTTTGGATAAGCTCCTCAGCTTCCCCTGACAACCTCACATGAACCTTTCCCACATGATTGTCACTAACTCCAGCCTCTTTAGCTCCATCTTCCTCCTCCTCCTCCTCATCCTCCTCCTTGATTTCCTCCACTGCTCCATCCAGACTGGAGTCGCTGAGGAAGGAGTGCGGGGTTTGGGTGTCCTCCATGGAGAGAGGGATCTCGTCTGAGAGACGCTCCCCTAGGCTGTTTCCTGCCCCTGGGGTGAGAGGCATGTCCTCCTGGTCCTGGTCCTGGTCCGGGTCCTGGTCTTTGCTGCAGTAAGCGTAGCGGTGGTTCATGTGCTGGGAGTAGGAGCCGGAGTGAGAGAAGCGTTTCCCACACTTGTCACATTGGTAGGGTTTCTCTCCGGAGTGCAGCCGGCTGTGCTCGATCAGGTGGTGCTTGTGCTTGAAGGCCTTGTTGCAGATCTTGCATTCATGAGGACGCTTGCCTGAAACGAAAAACAGTCAATTTATTTCTAATATCATTTTAAAAAATGTTCAAGTTGTTTTTAAAAGCTTTAAACCTTGTTAGTTGGTAGGTTTTATTCGTCAAACCTGTCCACCTAATCAGTGCCTCTAAAGCTCATTAATGAAAATTTAAAGCTCCTGTGTGGAACGATTTGTGTCAATTCATGCGCCTTCTGTGAACAAAGCAGTCTTTGCTTATCTTGTCTTGTGTGTGTCAGGGCTCGACAGTGGGACCATTTCACTCACATTTGTGACTAAAAATAGATGTGTGTGATTGTAAAACGCATGTAAGAACCGAGGTGAACCTAGTTCTAGGTTGTTATATTCGACGGACGTTCAAAGCGGACCTACCGGTGTCTTCTCACTCTACATAACCGGAAAACGCAAGAGCAGCGCGGCTAAATATACTCGGCATCTTCGTTGTCAACGTTGGGTGTTGAATAAGGGACCATCGATAAATTACCGGTTGATGTTCTCAGAAAAGTCTTTTTTCCTTTAACAGCTTCCATATCATGTGACTAATTGACCAAAAATTAATTTCAAATAATGGTACTAAGATCTGACAATAGACACACCTCTCTATTTCCCTAATTTGTCCTCTATTTGTATTTTGTGTTAAATTTAAAGGCAAATTTTGAACCTTTCCTTCAATAGATTCCATGTCATGTGACCAACTGACCTAAAATTGATTTCAAATATTAGTACTTATGTCGACCAATAAGACACACATTATTTGATCAATTTTCATTGTGCCCCTAAATTTCTTTGTGTGCTCTTTACTTTTTCAGCTTAGGAGAACATGTGCACCTTGTGAAAAAAGTTAGTGTCAAGCTCTGTGTGTGTTATAAAAAAGCATCAATATAAGTTTCTGTCAAAAAAAAAATCATAGGAGCTTTAATAATTCATGCATCCGTACAAAAACCAAAGTTGCAGTTTGTGTATGCGCTTGACATGATCCCTAATTACTTAAAGAACAGGATCATTTTTGGGATATAAAGCGTTATTTGTTTTTGTGTCCATACTCTGCTCTTTGTTAAAGTAATCAGCTGCCACAGCCTCATATTTATCACACAGACATAACAGTTTTATTGAACCTCTCCTGATTAGTCACAGGCTATAAACAAGACATGGATTAACCCTTTAGTTTTCGGTTCAGATTCACTTTATGTCACGTCGGTCAAGTTTCTTCTATTTTTTCAGTATATTCATGTTGGTTAAGTTCCCTTTTATTTTTGCACATTCATGTTTTGTTTCATGTCATGTGTTTCCTGTTTTATTTTGTAGTTCTCTAACCCGTGTTTCTATTTTCTAGATTTGTTCCTGTCTGGTCTGCCCTGCCCCCCCGTCTTGTCACACCTGCTGCCTGATTGTGTCTCCCCACCTGTTTCCCATCATCCTCATTACCTCTTGTATTTAACCTTGTGTTTCTCACAGTCTTGTCGCCAGTTTGTTGCACTTCTTGTCCTGTTCAAGCATTTTTTAATAGTTTTGACAATCCGTGTATTGCCTTTGCCTGCCAGAAAAGCGAGAAGCTCAAGCCCACGTTAGCCAATCAGAATCCTGCATAGCAGCAACAACAAGACCATAACTTCCTTCTTTTGAAAAAGATGGAAAAAGACCGCTCCCACCAGCCAGCCATGCGCCCAGGTTGGACCCAAAACCAGCAAGGCAAACAGCAACATGGACGCACTCTTTGTGTCGGAGGGAGAAGTTGCTGCAACATTGCCGACCTTTGAGCACTTAGCTGTCTCTGCTCCTCCACATAGTACAACACTTTTATTTGCAATTGCACCAGCATAAATGCCACTGCTATTCTGCATGCATCCATGATCACCATAGACTGTAGATTGTAAACAACGTTGCACTAACGACGTTTTTTGGGCTACCCAAATCTCAGTTTTTCTCTGTTGACATGCAAATGTGCTAACAGAGTTTTACAAAATCTTCACTCTGGCAGCAGTTTTTAAAAAACATTGTTATTAGGGGCGAATTCTCTGTTTGCGTCTAAGCCAAGGGTGCAAACGATGGTTAATGTCTCCATTTTTAAAAATAAATGGGTACGTATAAATGCGGCCTCAAGTTCTGATGAAACAAAATGGTGTTGTTAAAAATGTTGCATAACGCCCGAAAAAACAGTCGTCCACAAACAACCTGACACAGACAAGTTGTGTTTTCAAAAAGAAGCAACTATTGTTAAAAAAACACCTTTAATGTGTTTTTGCAATAAATAAAACGTAAGCAATAACAAACCATGTAACACAAGCTACTGACCTGTGTGCTCGTATTTGTGTCGCAGCAGAGAGCTGCTCTTCTGAAAGGTTTTTTCACAGATGTCACAGGCATAGAGACCCTCGTCCGTCTTCTTCAGCCTCTTCCTTCCCGGCCCTCCTTCTCCATCCAAACCATCATCCATGAGAGAGAGGTAGTCCAGAGCTCCACGGCTCAACACCTCACCCTGTGGACGGGACATGAATGCACATTTAAGTCCACACACTTGTCAGAGTTTTCTAGCTTTTCTCCTGCTGTTATTTTGAGGCGCACTCACCATCAGAACTTGTTTCTCCTGGTGGATCTTCTTCAGCGCTGCCTCTGCGTCTGCGTCCATCATGTAGGCCACAGGAGAGAGAAACCCAGGGTTGTTAGCTGCTTGGCTAAATTGGACTGCAGCGATGCCATCATGCCCTGGAAACCCTAAACCAGACTGCTGGAAGATGGGAAATCCATTGTATAAGGCACCTGGAAACACAGGAGCTCCGGTCCCGCTGTAGACCGGATGGTGGTGGTGGTGGAAGGGAAGGTGTGAAGTTGGACTCAGTCGTCTCAGCTGCTGGGTGCTGAGCTCTCTCTTCTCTCCTCTGGCTGTGTTTCCATTTACAGCTTTGTTCCTGCTCTCCTGGTCTGAGATCTGTTTCGGCAGGGAGAGGTCAAGCGGTTCGTTCTGTGCTGAGAGAAGCTGTTGAGGTGATGGCAGCCCAGGAGGACAGCTGGTGAGGTCGAGACAGACCGGAGAGCCGAATCCTGAAGAGGGAACTCTCCTCCTGGCTGGAGGTGATGACATCTCCGGTGAGTGGTTGATCGGTTGACCCTGGCCTCCTTTTTCTTGGCCGGACCAGAGAGCTCGTGCTTCATGGAGGGGCTGTGGGGGGGAGTGCATTGCGACCAGAAGCTGTTGAGGGACAGAGTGCCAGCTGGGCTTCTGTAAGGGGGATTTATCTCCAGAAAGGCCGTTTGTCACTTCACCTGGTTTGCGGTTGTCTGATTGGAGGGCAGGTCTGGGGAAGAATAACGGTGGAGAGGAGAGGTCTTTGCTGTGAAAGCCCTCAGGTACCTCCACAGCTTCACGGTTCATCTTACAGAGGTAACGCTCGTGCTGCAGGAGCACCGCCACGTTGGGGAAAAGCTGCGAGCACCAGCGACACGTCACGCCAAGCACGCCTCTCTCCCCTTCAGCCGAGCTGGCCGATTCTCTCCTCCTCTTGGGCGACACCTTGCTGTCCAGTCCTCCCCCGTTGTACATCACCCTCCTCTCCCCCAGTGTGGCTCCTCCTCCTCCTCCTCCTCTATCCATGTCCTCATCTCTCCTCATTTCCCTGTGAAGCATCTCCTGCAGCATCTGCTCAAACTTGGTCCCCGAGTGCATGTAAGGCAGCAGGGTGGTCCCTTTAAGAATACTGGCCCTCAGGGAGAGCTCCGCCGATGGCTCCCAAAGCTGAGCCAGGTCTGCAGCTCTGGGGAACCCTGTGGGGTTAGGGTCTTGCAGTGAGAGCTGATGAGGGTCCTCTGGTATCCCACTCAGAGTTTTGATATTATCTTTGGCGTGTGGAGCCATCGGGGAGCCCCTTTCGTGACCGTTCCTCCCCCCGCCTGCAGAGGGAGACGTTGGAAATGAGAGGTGGTAGGAGCTTTGGCTGTGTCCGTTAAACGCACCGCCGCCTCCTCCCGTGTTTGACCCTCCGTTTAGACACTTCTTGCTGCTCAAGTGGGAGCTGTACGATCCGGAGTGAGAGAAACGCTTCTTGCAGTTTGAGCACTCGTACGGTTTCTCACCTACAGGGTGACACACAGACATGTGGCATATTAGTCAAAAAAAAAAGGTCAGTTTGAAAAAACCTCCAACTTTGGTGAGATCCTTTTACAACGCTCATCACTCCTCTTGTCAACACATCAAATTACGTATAATTTCATAGCCTATAACTGGCACACAGCAGGGTTGGTGATACAGTGGGAACAATAGCAAATTGCTGGGTGAGTGCGCATGTTTGGATGTTATTTTGTCTCACCACTGTGGATGCGGAGATGCTCCTTTAGGTGGTGTTTGTACTTGAAAGCTTTCCCACACTCCAGACATTTGAACTTCCTGTTCTCCGTGGCTTGGTCCAAACACATTGCACTCTGGGATAGAAGAAAAAAAAAGGTTAAAATGTACGACTTCATCGACACAGATCAGGTATTCAACCCTGCGATGTAAATCAGCGCAGAACATATTTCGCTTTTGACATTTCTGCCCCTGGTGTGTGTGTGTCTTACTTTGTCCTGCACTTGGTTGTGAAGTGCCAGATGCCGCTCCATCTGTGCCCTATGGGTGGCAGTGTATCCACACAGCGGACAGGACATATGGACCCCCTCTCTGTCCTGACAGTACTTGATATGCTCTCGTAAAGACGCTCCTCTCTGAAACATCCTCTGGCAGAAAGGGCAGGCCTGCTGAGTCCTCCCTGCATCTGGTGTCGAGGTAGAAACGACATTTCAATCAGACCAAAAAAGAATCACATATACTGTTTATCAAATACTTCGATTTCATGAATGGTTTGACCTGTTCAAGGCTGTGAAAGAACAGAGCATTTGGTATACACAGAGGAAGATGTAGGACGGACAAGCAGCACCTGCTTTTACCCTCACAGTCCACTTAATGGATCGGATTTTTCTACAAAACCAAGTCTGTACAGACACATAAAAACATCCCCTTTGTTTTTTGGAAGTGTATCTGCAGAAATCCTACCCACTCTTTTTTGTTTATTCTTATTTTGCTGTGTTCAAAAGTGTCTTAGTGTCAGACTTTAGACAGAAGGAGTGTGGCCAACAGCCCAAAACGGCTCTCAGGGTGTGAAGACGTGACTCTATGAAAACGTTGTTACCAACTTCAAGATCATATACACATATCTGAGCGGGAACTAAAGGTGTCATTTCGTCTTTATCTTAACTTTCAGAGCAAACTGATCGCACAAAATTTACTTACTATACCTTTAAATTCAAAACAAAAAAACATGACCTTAATACCTTATCATGTTCTGTATTTTTTAACTCGGTTGCACAACATAGGAGGTCACACATAGAGGTGTAATAAATGAAACAATATATTAAGAGACTTCAGCTTCCTTTTTTATTGTTTCAGAGGAGGGACACGTCCTGCATCACTGCTATCAACCATAAACCTGCAGCTTATCAGCAGTAAACACACGCTAACCCAAACCCTGGCCCCTCCCACTTTCAGATCTACTGATTATCTCCTCGCCATTGCAGCTGTTCCCTCGTTAACTCACCTGTTCCCTCAGGTGAGTGGTGGTGATGAGCTCCTGGTGACCAGATGGCAGGTGGCAGCTCATCGTGCCTGCTCCCGGGGTGGTACACAGCCGCCGTGCCGTTGTGGTTCAAGTGGTCCAGCAGGCTGGCTGAGCTAGAGGCCTTCCTTAAATGGGCCAGAAATTCATAGTGGGCCAGGTCTTCTAAGGCATTCTGGGAGTCTGAGTTCCTACCTGGAAAAGAAGGAAAATATTCATGTTAAATTAGGGTGAGCGTAATCTGAATCCCCAAAAAAAGACATGACGTGGTTGGTAATTTCCGAGTTTTTCGGGTTGGGCTGAGCGTTTATTACATGCTTCTAACTCAGTAAGTCCACACGACACAAACTCAAAACTTCCAAACAAAATCCTGGACATTTGAAGGATTTTATAAGTAGACAAAGTTGACAGCCCCCAAAATATAGGACATGTCTGGGTAAAAGAGGATGATGGTCACCCTAGTTAAATGGAACATACATCGATTAAAAAAAAAACAGATTTTTTATTCCTCTATTTATTTTTATTTGTGTCACATCGTGGGAAACATAATCAATCAAAAGAAACATCCTTTTTCTTTAACGCATTAAAAGTCTCACTGAAAAAAAATAAAAATCACCCACAAGCCTGCTGAAGTACACTTTTTTTAAAGCCACTTTTTATTCTGGTTAGTAACTGGATTTATTCTCCTAAACTCTTCGCTGCAGTCGCATTTCAGTTCAAAGTTGTGGGAGTTTTTATAAAATCTAATTCTCTTGACGACTGCTGTCTGATTCAGTGTAAACGTGTGGGTGTGCGCAAACCGAGTGAGTTAAGTTATATTATGTGAGATGAGTTCGGATATATCGTGCAAAAAGAGACCGAGTGCAACCGGATTAAATGGAGCTAAATAGTTTATTTGAAGACTGACAGATAAAACAATAAATTGCGGGTTCTGGTTGGCCAGATATGAAACTAGACTTGAAAAATTCTTTCTCTTCTGTGCCCTTGAGTGCAGCGACAAGCAGCCAAAGAGAAAGAGAGCGAGAGAGAGCCAGCTTACAGCGACTTTGAGGAAGATTTTTCAAATGTTTGCAGATGTTGGCATATTTAGCTGTTTTTTTATGTGGTGAAAGGGAAGAGCCTGTGTGGTTGAGTGTTGTAAAAACTCAGCTTTGCCTTCATCAGGCGAGGCCAAATCACACGAGGCGAAGGAGCTAAGTGATTGTTAGTAGGCAAGCCGCGTGAGGCTTTGATCTCGCTTAAATAAAAGGGAAAGCCTCACGTCGCGCAGTGCTGATTTCAGTACCGTAACGTCACCTCTTTGATGCATGGAAATATTGTGACATTGTGTGGGATGAGTTCTTTTGTCATGCTTTCAGAAGGCTGCCTTTTCAAAGAGAAGAGCGAAAAAGACAGAACAGCTTGTAGGGAAGGCACGGTTTCACAAGGAGCTGATATGAAGGTGTTTCTAGCGGTCCTTGAGGAGCATCGTGAGGCTGGAGGTGTCTTGCATCAGACAAAAACACTGTAGACTTGTTTACATGTACAGTCAAGTCCTACACTGCAGTCTTAAACCCTTTGTACATCACATTTCTCCGCCTTTATTTGTTAGAAATTGACATTAAATTCTTAATATAAGGGAGCAGAGTACAGCTTTGGCGGAAAGACTTACAGTACATCCTCAGTGGATCCTGGTCCCCCTCCCTGTCGGTGTTGGATGTGGCGTTGGGGTCCTCTGCAGCCTCGGCGTCCGGCTCCACCTGCCCCCAGTAGTTCCTGCTGCCAGGGCTGAGGCTGTGCGGTCGCATGGAGCGAGCGGGGCTGCCAGGCTCCTCTGTCCCCTCGCTGGGTGTCAGGCTCGTCTTGTCCAGGCTCTCCTGGCACTCCTGGGGCTCAAGGCTCCACAGGCCAACCTCATCCTCCCCTTCAGATCCCAGTGAATTCACCTGCTCTGGATCTACTGTGAGGAGAAAAGTCAAGTGTAAGACTTGGGAGGAAAATTTAAGAGAGCCATCACCACACAGACAAAACCCCAGTCCTCAACATGAGGCCACTGCCACTGCTGCCGAATTATCATCGTAAATATTGCATTCATTTGTAAATATCAACCACTGTGCAATACATGTCCGTGTGTTTTGTGTATAAGTATAAATATAAATACATATACATTATTCTTAATATTTATTTACCGTACAATTGCACTGTTTGCACCGCACTAAGGAATGTTTTCTACCTATTTCTATTTTATTGTACCTTTTAATTCTGTTTCTCTATTGCACTGGAAATGGAGAAGCTCTCTAATCTCATCGTACTCCAGTATAATGATAATAAAGGGCATTCTGATTCTGATTAAAACGTAAATGGTATCCACAAATTATGAAACCTAAATGATTAAAAATTCTTGTTTCATCTCCTAGTTTCAGGCGTCATTTATGATCAAAACAAACCAGAAAGAGCTTCCTGCGCATCTCCGATAAATATGTCAGGAACTGAAACTGAGGGGGGTAAACACAACAACCAGATAGTCATGAATGTTTTGTGGAAACTTTATCTTACATGTTGTTTGAAGTCAAAAATAAAATAAAACAAAAAACAACTGTATTCATTTTTCTGTTTCATTTCATGTCAAGTTACCCAATGTGTTTCTCATAAATAGATATTTTATACGCCTGCCTTCGTGTGGTTTTATTTGTGGATTATGATCAATACAAAGAGACCCAGCATGACAACGCTCTCATATTTCTTGCGCAGCAGGTCCAGAACTCTACAAACAAACACTCCGGCGGTTCATTTTGATACTTCAGATATTTCACAGGACTATATCTACCGTCGAAAACCGTGGGCACAGAAATGTCGAGTCTTTTATAGTCATTCCTGCTCCGTTTTGGCGTAATTTCCAAACAGGTGGTTTTGCTGAAAGTGAAGTGGTGTTTGTCATTTTGAAAGTAAAAATGAATTATAAATCATCAAATGTGTTTAATTGGGGTCACAGATTTTTATCTGTTGAATCTGAAATTTGTTAGTTTTATGATTCGATTAAATTTTCATACAATTAAAAATGAAGCTGCAGCTGTTTGTGTTATTGTTTAAGATCAAATGTAAGAGTAGATCAATTGTATGTATACTTCTCAGTTTCAGTATGTGCAGTATGAAAAAAAAAGAAAAGGCAAATAACATATTGTAATTTAAATTGTACCCTGGAAAGACACACAACTGTTTCCCATGGCAAAGACAATAAATGACAATCACAAACACATGGCAGGGATTTCAGCTGGAGGCTCTTATTTCTAAGGCTTTTTCTGCGGACTCTGTTTTCCTCTCACTGATTGGCAATATCTAATCACAACCAAGTTACGTCCATTTAAGAACACAAATAGAGTCTTTGCCAGTGCCTTTGAAATACACCATCAGAGGAAGCCAAACCATTATCAAGTGGGGGGAGTCCTGACGGTGCCAGCATACAGAGGGCCGGCTCTTCTTTTTGTGCTGTTGTTAAAAATGAGATTTCTCATCAGTTACCCGGGAAGGTCGCAGAAATATTGTTGTCATGCTTCTGATTAGTTTGAAATAAATTCACCCCCTTTGGCCTCCGAGAGTCGAGAGCCTCTTTTTTTATCAGATCAGAGTGAAAATGAGGTTTCACAGCTCGTTAAATTTCGCAAAAACACACAAACAAAGTTTACTCATTAAACTGTCAAAACAATCTCAGTCACTCTTGAGAGATTTCTGAGTTTTGTTCGAGCTCTCCCACTGTATGGCGGACGCGGTAATTGATGAGAATTTTTCCCTTTCGACGCTTCAGCACATTCCGGTTACACCCCGCAGCTCACGGTGACAAATGCCAGAGACGGCGGCTGCAACGAGGGAGACATTTTAGGCATCTAGAAGACACAAACACACAGATAACACACATACACTCACTCTGCTAGTGAAAGAGCAAAAGGAGGGCCACTACTGCTCAGGGGGAGACCCCGGATCACAAGTGCACTCAAAACAATTGCTCCTCTAAAGTTCACATGGATGAGTGTCTTAGTTAATCTCAAAAATCAAACACCTACATGTGTATCTGTTTGCATCAGCTTCTCTACACATGTCATACATGCTGATGTTAAAGCTCTGATTCACCCAGGACGAGTCACCGAAGCTTCTGGCCCATGCAGGCCTACTGAGCTAACATGGGCAGGAATGACTTGCTCTTACAGGGGGGTGAAATTGCTCATAACATGTGCTTCCCTACAGCAGACAGTGATGAAGTTATATGAAGAAGTAGTTGATGTCGACCTATCATCCCTGCAGGACTTTCCTGGGATGATAGGACATACCACTAGAGGAAAGAAAAAGAGCAAAATCTGGTCTGGATTAGCGTGAAATTGGCTCTAATTTTCCCTCCCGTGGCAGTGAGTGACACTGAGCCTATATGCGCTGTCATTAAAGCAGCACCGCGCTGGGATGGCTTTCATTATCTGGCCTGCTGATTTATTTATTTTGATGGCAAATGCATCCTTCAAGTTGGTCTTCTTGTGTTGGAGCAGGATGGCTAAATCTTTGAACAGTGCAGGAGGTTTTTTGGGAGGGCCTGCTGAAAGGAGACTACACGTGAAGGTAGAAAGGAGCTGAAGGAAGCAGAATTTGAAATATCACAGCAGAGAAAAGAAGAAAACAGCCCACTGCAATTGTGCATGAAGCGTGTTGTGCGTGGGAAGAACGTGACTCATATCCAGAGAGAGCTAACCGAACTGTGCTGCATCATGCTTGACAATGTCGATCACTCGGTTTTTTTGGGGGGGCTCTATCTGATGCTTTGACAACAACACTGTGTTCATATCAAACTATTTTAATCCGCCTGTCTCTTCCCCTGCCTGACAGCGACAGAATATCTGAGAGACTGACAGCCGGCCTGCTGAAAAGGAGTCAACTCTCAGCATGGGAGCCCAGTCAGATTTGACAGAAAACATCACTCTTGTTGGAAGACTTGCGATTCATCTTATATTTGAGCCGCAGCCCAAAAAGTCGACGACTTTCAGTAGTTTTCAAAACCAGTTCCCTGAGAGAGAACCAGAGATGCTTAATGCCTGAGTATTTTCAAAAAACACATGTGTGTTTGACATGGAGAGACAGAGTTTTTTAAACAACCACATTAAAACAAAAACCACAACTTTAGAAAGTCACAAGAGATAAAGAAAAAAAATAATCCCAACATGTCTCACAAACAGCAAAGAGATAGCTTGGATTTCACTCTGCACTGTTTATTTCCCAGAGGGCATCTACTGTAAAGCAACACGCTGAGCCTCAGTTTATTTTACGATGCACATATGTGATCTGGTATTGACTCAGTAATTATGTGGCTTAAATGGTAAGCACGCAATAATTACCTAGGAATTACCTTGTTTGTTTCATTTGGTTCTAAATGGAAACAAACAAGGCCAGGCCCAATTTAGCGCACATTGTAATCGTTACTGTTCTGTTGATTTTTACAATTGGAGATCGTCAAATTAAATCCAGAAGAGCTGTACTGTTATGTATAAAATGATGGCTTTTTAACAGATAATGACATTGAAATAAATAACTATAAATAAAAATAATAATATCTTTCTTAAGGGTTAATTACATGAGGCTTATTTTTTGTATTTTTTATTTTGCTGGGTGTTGTTAAAGTGTATTTTTGTGAATCATCCAACAAGTCACATTCATATCATTTACTAAATATAAACAAAAAAATAAATACAGTATAAATAGTCGTATTTCTATTTTTTTATTTACTTGGATGACAAGTTTGGATTACTGTTCGACATTTTTTTGCGTTTTTCTTCGTTTTTAATACAAATTTCACTTCAAACTGATAAAATCAATACTTATCCAAATAGTAAAAAATAAATCCAGGCCCTTCTTCGTATGATAAATGGCGCTCATTATAGTCACATCTGATCTATTTCATAAAACATGTGCATGTAGGTTGTAAAGCTGTCCGAAACAACAGCAGATACGGCACTAAAACACTCATGCAGGAATAAAAAAAGCACTGATCCTTCATATCTTTGTGACAGAACTCTTTTAATATCCAAATATATTTTTTAAATCGCTTTTTAAATCGCTTGTATGACAGAAAACGCGTTTCCCATGCTGTTAAAACTGTGACAGTTTCACAGGTAACATCACAAGCTCAGCGCTCGCTATTTTGAACTCAATAAATAACCACATAAGGGTCACAGACGCCTACACCCCTGAGCGAAAAAAGCAAGAAAAGGAAGATGAGTGTATTGCCATTTTTACAGTACCTATATGAGCAGATCAGATTCGAGGTAAATCCACATTCATCTCTTGTTTTGACAGCGGTGACCACTCTTTACAGGTATTGACGAAATCAAACCTGTCATGCTCACAAACTCTCACCACGGCAGCTTTCCTATTCATACCTGCTGTTTGACAGTCATACCAAGAGTCAGGGGAGGACCATGACCAAAAACAAACACCTCCCACCTGATGAACTCAGCAGCCAGCGATTCACACTCTCTGTTTTTTTTCAGGGTGGCGGTACTTTCTCACTTTGGCACCTTGGCTTGCTTGGGTTTTGTTTAGTGTCATTGGCCCTCAAAACTTTGAAGAGTCAAAGAAGCAAAAGCGTTCACACTATGTGTCAACTTTGTTTTTTTTTCCATCTGTGTCATTACTGCTTGTGCAAATAAACACATAACCCAAATACAGAATGGAACTTAATATGTGGTTACACAATAAATGGGGTCACACCAAATTTGTATTAATTGTTTTTATCTAAATATTTCCAGATAACATCCTTTACACTCATGGAAAACTGAGGATTAAATACTCTAAATTGTTTGTTAACCAACATAAACGACGCTACAGTCATGATTCGCTGCACTCTTATTGCATTTCTGAGGTCAAAGAAGAGGATGTGCTGACATTCTTGTCTAATCATGGTGAAAATTACCACACATGCATATTTAAAATGGAAGTCTACATCACATTCGTCAAGATCCTCTTAGGGTGATTACAGTCATTTTGAAGCTGGCTGGCAGCGAGCCGCAAAGACGTTTGCAAATAAATGAGAGCGAAACTGTGACATGGTGATAGGGACCGTAAAGGTCAAATGAGCCCGGAGGGAGAAAATGTGTTGTGTGATGCAGTTTGTGATCCTGCGTTCTCGCTATATACTTGGTTTATAGAGTTGAGTGTTGCTGAAAAGGGGGTTACAGAGGTGCAGAAGAATGTAGCACTGAGCGAGACTAAAAGGAAAGTAAAACAAGAGGAGTGAGGAATAAGAGAAGAGAAGAGAGAGAAGGGACAGTGTCAAACTGTCTCTGACACGAATCTTCAAACTGTGAAGGGGAAATTCCCTCAATAACACACACACTTACGTAGATACACACACACACACACACACACTAGAGAAAGAAATGAGAATTTAGAAAAACAGACATCACTTGTTTTGTGGAAGCACGACTTGCCTGCTGCTGCTGAGCATGATCAATTACAGATAAGAAACACATGACAATAACTCTGTGTGCGTGTCTATGTGTAATACTTCGACAATATCTAAGCTGCCATCTGTGAGAAAAAGAAGAAAAAAAAAGTGGCGGCCTATGTGGTGGTTCCACTGCAGCAAAGTCACGGCTCTGTGCCTTCAGATGTCCCGCTCATTAGGAGACACCACCCAGTCAGAGCATTTAAACCACCACCACAGAGAGCTCCGCCGAGGGGCAGAGAGACAGGGGTCACACAAGACAATCAGATCGAGCCATAAACAGCAAAATCATTTCCTTAAATCGATCCAGGCTCTGCAGGAAACAAGCCGCAGCAAAAACAACAGCACAACTTGGCGCACACTAATGAGTGATCTTTAAATCCGCAGTAAACACTCAAACTGTCCTGCCAGAGTTCAGCCTAATGATTCAGCCCTCATGACATAAAAGCAGAACCCCTCCTGGCGTTTCATTGGCTCCGAATCCTCTGAGCAATTCGCTGATACCGCTCGCAAAAAAAGATGATTTGTCTAAGAGTTGCTGTCTCAGTGTGACTGTGTTAGTTTCATTATTCACATTTGAGTTCTTAGTTGCATTTCAGAGCAGCTTCTGTGAATCAAAGCGCAGACCCCCGAGACACTCACTGTAACACTGTGGTGATGTGTGTGTGTGTGGGGGGGGGCCTCGGCATCTGAAAACGGATCGAGATCAGTGCTACTCATCTGTTATTCTCTGTCTGCATGTCACATCACAGCAGCGAGCCACTTCATAGTCCACTGGAAAAACCTGCTGTGACTTCAAAACACTGACAGATTCATCGCTAAATAATCAGAATAATGGAGGAGCTGTTAACGCTGCTGTGACCTACTGTACAGTCTGAATGATCTATTCAAAATGAACCTGAGAGGGAAACAATGATACTAATAGTTCTCAATTTTGATCAATCCTCGAAGGACGTGTTACATTTATTCTAATATGTCTAAACTCCACAAACTCATATTTGAACTTTGCTCGCTGTACTTCTTCTCTAAGCTTTGCAAATACATCAGATTATATGCGACTTCTCCAGATTACAAACAACTTTGTTTTTTTTTTTCTGCTCGTGATTTAATTTTGCCAAACATTCGGGAATCCTAGAAATGTGTTTCTTATTTGGGATGAAAAAAAAAACTCAAAGCCGAGAGATGACACGATAATCCTGATGTTTGTTTTAGACTCAAACAGCATTTTCTGCGCTACCAGGCCTGTGCGTGTTTATGCATTTCAGAGCGAGGGGACAGAAAGGATGAATTAGCAAAAAGCAGAAAAAAAGCAGTGGCGGGGCAGAGGGTTTGGAATAACTCGAGGTCTACATGAGTTATGGTACCGCAAAGGTGCGTGAAACAATGAGGAAACGGCGCCTCGCTTTGAGGCAGTGTGGAGGGACATAGGTTACTCTTCCTTCCTCTCTTGTAGATTCCCACACAGGCGAAGTATTCTTAGATCGCGGTGAGTCAACCCTAGACATCCATGATATATTTTTGTAGCCTATAATGATGTTCACTTTCATAGAGTTGACAGCTGCCTCCACAGGAACTCCAAGATTAATAGTTTCACATTTCTGGCAGGTAGAGCCCTCAGAGGTAATTATAGTGTGTTTCTAGATATTGAGCTTATCGTTAGGGGTAATTTTATAGTCTTGGTTATCTACAGCGAGCGAGTTTCCTTTTTTTTATAGCAGCTGAGCAACAGGAGGTGCTCAGATCCCCCAAAACAAACCTCAGAGAGTTAAATATGGATGGTTTGTTTCTGAAAACACACAACAGAGCAGGAGGAAAATGAACAAGAACTGAGACCACAGTTCAGCTTTCAGTCTGGATGTTTCTGACCGGGTTTAAAACTTTTATATCTTCACCTGTCCTCTATGTGAACTTTTCTCATTTGCTGCTAAAACTGAACAAAACAAAAAGGCTAATCACTTCTTGATCTTGAAAGTGTTTTGTTTGCAGACTCATGTTTAAACTCAACTGCAGCAATCAGTTTTCCTCTTTGCAAGAACTGAGGCAAGGTGTGAGAAGAGGTGTGCAAAGAGCCTATGTGGTCACTCGCTCTTCCTCTGGAGGTTTCCTGTATGCTTCTGCTGACATGTTTGCCTCCATGTCTACCTGTCCTGCAGACCACCACAGCGACATTTATAACATGAAAAACAATGTCACCTTGTTTGACACAGGCCTTTTTCATCTTAGCAGATGCATGCAGGCGTTTTTTTTTTTCTTCTAAAAAACATTTTGAACTTTGTGTGACGCCTGTACAAGTGCAACAATGTCCTTTTCAGTTATACAATCGAAAAGAGAGGCCTTTTTTTTAATTCTTATTTTATATAATTTTATATTTCTTTGGGATGTTTAAACAGGCACATTAACAGAAAAATCCAGCAAAAACATGAACATAGGTCCTCCAATTTTGTTTGTTTTGGATCCAGTAGTTATCAGCCCAGCTTTTGGGGCGTATGAGTCCACATAGAGCAAAGTTTTCGACCATAAGTCAGAGTTTATATTGTCCACTCTCCTTAAATAAATTAGGTTTCCCTGGGCTGTTGTTATGTCCGCAGCATAAATAACAAACATCTTGAGTGTAATACAAACAAATTGCCAAGATTAAGCAGTCGGATAGAGCTCACCAGTTCACTTCTAGATAGCTCGGACACAACTTACGTTAAAGTAGGGCTGGGCGATATGGCCTCAAATCAACATAACAACTGAGCGGTTCGCCTCAATAACGATAAATAGAAGGTAACTACTCCACAAGCTGCTCACCTCCTCCCACATTAACTTTGTCTATTTCAGCCGCTAAAACTTTTGAACCGTCCTCCATCTCCTCACCTGTCTTTCCCTCTTTGTTACAGACTGGATGGGGTGGGTCACGTCTCTGATATAGGACAGTATCTTAAAGAGACATTAGACCACTGCATACCTACACACATCCAAAACCAACTTTTTTTATTATCTTTTTGACACCCAATATACCGATGTTATTGTTGTAAATTTCGGTACTGGTAAATTTTAAGGTTTATCACCCAGCCCTATGTTAAAGTAGAACAAAACTAGTCAGAAATTGTTTAAATTAAAAAACAAAGCCGCAGTGAGGTCAAATAAAGTCTAAACTCTTGGGGGTTAATGAATGTTATCCAGTTGTTCCAGATTTTGTCGAATTTTCCTCTTGGGTTTTTATTTAGCAGGTCAATTTTTCCATCTTAAATATCTCTAGAGTAATTCCAGTCCAATCATCTAAGGAAGGCTGAATCGGTCTTCGCCATCTTCTTGTAATCGACTTCTCACTCACCACCAAGAGTATTTGCAGTAGCTTGTTTTTTTCTCTTACGATCCAAAAAGGTTACATGACCCAGTTATAGGGCATTGAAACTCAAAAGGTATTTGCATGTTAAAAACTGTGCTTAATGAAGCCTGGATACCCTTCCAAGAAACATTTACATTGGGACATTCCCAAAAGATATGATAATGGTTAGAAACTATTTCTCCAGAATGGCGTATTTACACCATTGAAATATCTAATTATATTCTTCCAGCAATGATCTCTCCAAACCACTAGGATATGATTCTGTCAAAAACTACTCTAATACACAGGTTCTTTGATTTCTTTATATAATAATGTACTGAAATGGAATAATTTTTAGCAAAGTTTCTCCTAGATAACACAAAATACAGGATTTGAGGTACTTTTAGGAAATAGTACAATACAACAGTTAGAAATTGCCTCGATATTGAACTATAAAACGCCTTTCATTTAACTCTTTTGTTCTTTATAAAATAATTACCGGTATTGTATGACTCATGATACGCAGATCTTCCGACAGCCCCTCACAGTTTTTCAAAGTACACTAACAGGAACTGCTTCTCCCCTACATCATTTCTGATCTTTAACAAAGTCCAACACAACATCTCTCTAAAAAAATTCTCTCTACAATCTAACAGATATCAACGCTCTTATAAAACAAGTACTTACAGGCTCAGATTTCATTCATTGCCGCCTTTTCGCCTCCTCTCTGCACACACCTGTTATGACCTCCCACACAGCCAACATCTCTGCAGATCTATGAAAATGTAAATAAGGACCACTGCTGATATCATCCTGGACTTCCCTCTTGCCTCAGGCCCTATTGTGTTATTTGACTCATTTACCATCTCAATGACTCACCAGCCGTGACATTGTCGTTAATATTGTATCTGCTCTGCGTGTGAGGGCTAGTAAATGTGAATAAACAGCCTTGTCACTGTGTTTTTGAGCTCTGTGCCCTGTCTGTCTGTATCTGCTTCGCTGGAAGCGGGGCCTGATGTTGCTGAGAAAGGTTAGCTCGGTTTGAGGAACACGTTATTTGGACTTGGCCCTGCGCCTCCTCCTGTGGCCCGCGCTGGTTTCCGTGTAGCAAGGGATCGGTGCTGGAATGCAGTAACGGTCACAGAGGGACCCACGCGCTCACCGCACTGTGAATCAAAACCAAAACTCCACTTCATTAGACTCCTGTCATTGCAAAGACTCTCACACCACTCTATAAATACCCCTGTCTCCCCCCTCCAAATTTGTTTTCCCTCTTTTTTCTTTGCACATGAAAATGCTCAGGGACCGTTCCAGCCTTCTGATGTGGCTCTTTATTTTGTACATTGGCGCAAGAAACCGCACAATAGTGGCTCCTTTTGAATATTAAAACATTCTCTGACGGAGCACAAAAGGTTCTGAAGTTTTTTTAATAGGGCTGCGCGCTAAATAAAACTTCTCTTTGAGCTTAACAGCTATACAATGTGGGATTTGGTTAGCTCGAATCAGGCTGAGACTTTTACTTACTTAAGACGGGGGATTTGTTTGAGGCTGAAACAAACGTGGCTTGTATCCCACTGACTTTGTCTACTTCAAACATCTGTCTATAAGATCTGGTGGAGGTGTTTTGTGGGATGCGGTGTCTTTTAAAGGGACAATAAAGACGAAAATGTCGCAAACTTGATTTAAAACACAAAGTCTGAGAAACCCGCACTTTGATACAAAACATCAGAACACACCATGAGAAGGTATTCACTCCCCAGCTATCATTTTCAGCTCTTCACCCCAGACAATACCCCCTCCTAATTCCTCTGAACTTTCCGCCAGTTTAGTACCAAACACAAGCAAACAAGGAGATCCTGATTCAGCAGAGTACAAGAGAGATTAACAACGGATCAGACTTTTGTGTATGTTTAGATTAAGATTAATGTTGTTCTAAAAAGACACGAGCTATAGATGAGCCCTGGCAGTCAGTTCCTGTCTGGAAAACATACAGACTGGGCGCCATCCTCTGGCCTAAACCAACATTACATCCTTCAGCCAGGAGATGATGATACACAAAACCCTGCCAGTGACCACATGTGACCTCTGAGGCTTTGAAACATAGAAAAGATGCCTTTCTAGTGTGTCACTGCGCTTTTACTTTCTTTGTCTTTCGGCCGATTGTTTTTCACACGTCTATGCGCCACTTTTCCCTCTCCTTTGTGCACCGCATATAAAGAATTCATGAAGGAAAATGAGAATACAAAACTATTAAACTGTTCCCTTTGTGGTTTCGCAGTTCTGATTGGGAAGACGTATGAGTCACATCGCATGTTAATTCGCACACATCTGTATGTTTGTGAAGCTCTCTCTTGATCTGTGTGCGTTTGTGAGAGAGAAAGTGTGCGTGTTGTCTATGCGACGCTTTGAAAAAAGGCAACTAATTAAAGTTATGGAGAAAAATGCAAAGGCAGCAGAACCGCACAAGAGAGTGTGTGCATGTCATTACTGACCTGGCCCGGTCTGAGAAGAAATGATGGCAAGAAGAGAGAGAGAAAGAGAGAGAGAGAGTGAAAACGAGAGAGAGAGAGAAAGAGAAAGGGGAGAGTAAAACCTCAACCAGCCAAATAATGTGTATAAAAAAAGGCTCAACAAGGAGAAAGGTTTAAAAAGCAAACTTTGGGAGTTTAAGAGGATCTTTGATGTGTATCAGAAGAGGAAAGCAGCCTTGCGACTGGGACGACAGTAATTTTAAGTCGAAGCAGAAGGCTGGCTGCCTGGCTGACTGACTGTGGGCTTTGATGGCGCTGGCTGTTTGAAGTGGTTTTCGGGGGATGGGAGCAGCGTGTGGTGTCAGTGGGACAGGGGAGGTGCTCACGGAGAGAGGCAGGGGGGTGCATGATGGCGGCGGCTGTGTAGGATTTGGGGGAACCTGGTTTTAAAGAAGAACGGAGGATGGAGGAGAAGTGAAGTTTTAAAAAAAAAGTGAAAGCTGTAAGAATAAGAGAAGGTGAGATACACAGGAAATGACACGGAGGTGAATCAAATGGATAAAAAAAAAAAGAAAGGTTCACATTAGAAGAAAGAAAAGCAACAGATGATCGCCAGAAATAGCTGCAAATCAGAGAGAGGAAGAAAAAAAAAAGAGCAGGCAATAAAACCAAACCTCTAAATCTGTGTCTGAAACTCAGAGCTCTGTCCCAATATCAGGCCTGGACACATTCACACCTACCTATTACTTGTATCATTTAGATGACGTTACCTCTCTCTGATATGCTGCCAGACTGCCTTATGACTTACTTCCCCTTCCACCCCTCCTGTAATGCTGGACACATGCACCATATAATCATAACTAAACTGTTTCCCTGAGGTACCAAAGATGAACATAGAGCCAAGAAGTAAAAAAGCGACATGATTCTGCTCCACTTCAGGCGGTTCTCGGCCTCCTTATACCTCCTTGTGATCACGCCTAACCTTTGAAAGTTTTGCTAATTTTGCAAAACAAAAAACAAGAAGACCTGATTCATAATATGTACTATCTTTTCAGAAGATGAGATAAAAGTATTTACGAGATTGGGACACACTGATAAACAACAGAGTGGGTCGGTGCATACTGAAAGTTCATTTGCATTGCTTCCTCTCTAGCAGCAAAACCTTCCGGTGTATGGATCCTGTTCTTTATCATACCTGGCCATCCGAAGATTTAACCACATGATAGCGAACTGCAAAACTGCCAGGAAACAACTTTTTTTTTTTCTAAGAGAGAGGCTCGGACCTACGGTTTTATTCGCATCAGACCTGGAAGGCAATAAAATCTCAATACAGATTCATATTTTATAGATTTTACTGTTATCTGAGATTTGACTCTTCTTTGAACACGAATGACTGTAAAATGCAGGTGAGGGAGACAAAGCGGAAAATGTGCTCAAATGTGTTGCTAGCAGAGGAAGCATGGGTCCAAATTTTCAGAGGAGTCTGCTCACTCACTGCATGCTGGAATGTGTTTACTCCCACCCAGGTAACTATGTGTATGATCAGTATCTGTTCTGTGTGTGTATGGAGGGGAGAGTGGGATGAGCAGGTCAGATGAAGGTGGTGCCAGGTGATCACAGGTACAGGCAGACAGAGAAGGAAAAGAGGGGGAGTCTCAAAACATGCCTGTCTTGTCAAAGTGAGTCCAAGTTTGACTTTTTTCTCTCCACACCTGGACTGATAAAACATATTTGTGGAAATTTATGACAGTGATCTGACAAATGATCCAACAAATGGTCAGAAAGCATTAAGACATCACAGCACATAATGGGACGGAGTGGTTGTCCAAGTGAGAATTTGCTGCCATGGTCAGAGGGTGGCAGTTATAAACCCTCTAAAAATCTGTAACTGCATGAGGATGCTGTCATGTTATTAATTCTATGTCACTTTGTTTTTCTTTGACAGGATAGCTGAAGTATGAAAGGACGAAAGCCCAGGACCACAAGCCTCTGCATCCGTGGATCCAACTTTATCCGCTGAGCTAAACCTTAATTTGGATGTTTATGGCTTTGCTGTAGGGCTGGGTGATAAACCGAAAATTTACTGATACCGAAATTTACGACATAAACCATCGCCATTTTGCCCATATCAGTATATTCAGTGTCAAATAAATAAATAAATAAAAGTTGGTTTTGGATGTGTGTAGGTAGGCCATGATTAAGACGCTGTCCTACATCAGAGACGTGTCTCCACACCATTCAGTACGTAACAAAGAGGGGAAAGACAGGTGAGGAGATGGAGGACGGTTCAAAAGTTGTAGCAGCTGAAGTAGACAAAGTTGGTGTGGGATGAGCAGCTTGTGGAGTAGTTATCATCCATGTTTTTGACTTTGTTGTGAAGCTTTTCTTATATCAGAAATTCATCCCAAATAGTTCGAACGGCTAATATGTTGTCTGAATAATATTTTGTCAAACTGTCTTTTTTTAACATTTTGAAAATAGAACTTTTTCTTTTCTGCCTCCACTTGCCTCCACAATAACTACCGCCGCTCTGACAACTACCACAATTAATTCAGTATTTATAGAGGCTCCATAGGACACCAAAACATAATCTACATAAAATCCATTATTAGTGCCACCTGACTGAAAAATAATATGATTTTGATGAGAAAAAAGTCAGAACATTACCACAGTAAAGTTGGAAATCTGCATGATAAAGATCCATGTTTTAGACTGTGGTAAGAACCAAAATGAGGAAAATCGCGCGTTTAGTGAAACTATACATAAAAATAAATTTCATAAAAATCTTTTGGCACATTAGCCCCACTGTGTCATAATATCAGGATTCTAAAAAACTGAGTCTGTTGTAAAGACAGGGAAGCTAACAGGCAGCTCAGACTTGTTTTTACAGCTGCCTCCGCTGATGAGTTTAACATCACGAGATGATCCACATTCCCCATTTTAATACAGGTAGCTGGCTGCTCTTTCCATATCATCCTTTATATGCATTTAGATTAACCATGGCCTGTTATTACAACTTCTGTCTCATATAATTCAAACTTAATTCTAGTAAGATGCATCTTCTCTAGTTTTTAACTGACTATTTCTCCTCCTTATACTTTATTATATAAGGTGATGTAATGGATGTGAAGGATGGATCCAGATGAGACAGAATAAAGCAATCCAATACTTCTCTTTTAGATCTTCAACAATGGACTTTGGGAGGAAGTACTAAGAATATGATAAAGGCACAAAAAATGACTGTACTCAAGCCAAAACCAGACTGCCTTTCTTGGACCATCAAGTGTGACTTTTCTGTCTTCAGAGGTGATCGAAGCAGATCATGATAAACCTCCTCTCCCTCCTGTTCATGTCTGAAGCGAACACACTCTTCATATCAAGCTGTTCCTCTTTAAACCTGCTGCTTTTCTATATCTAGTTCTGGCAAATCTTGGCACACTGTCCTCCAGCTGAGTGTGTTCGCCTGCCTGCCTGCCTGCATGGCTGCACTCCTCTGTCTCTCTCCCTCTCTTTCTCCATTCCTCTCCCTCCTCTCTCTTTCTCTGCCACCCATCTGGGCCTTGTAATACATGACAGCTGAAGCAGGGTTTCCAAATTTAATTTGAGGTGTGATAAAACGGCACATATCTATAAATTGTGTGCAGAGAGCTTGCCTATCTGGATGGTTTTAACCTCTCTCTTGCCTCTCACATGTGCAGCGTATCAAACGCAGAATGCCCCGGCTGCGTGCACCAAAAGAAGACCTACAAATAGACTTAATGAGGAGACGCAGTGCCAAAGCAATGACAAAGACTGCAATAATAATACTACTACACAAATGGTGTTAGTGAAGAGAAGAAAAAGATCAGTTTGCTTCTGCAAGTACACCTTCTTTATCAGATGAACGCCTTTGAAGTGAAAATAGAAATGCCTGAGCATTAGTGAGAAGCCACAAAAATACAGTTAAGTGTTAAACTTGTGAAAAGTGCATACATTTTCACACATACACACACACCTCATGAGCTGTACTTCTCTTGGTGTGACCTGACAGTTAAAATGAGAAGGAACACTGGACGTAGCTTTCTGATTACTGTACTAGTCCTGACTGTCATGAGAGATTATCAAAGTTTAAGTTCTGTAAGCATATGTTTATTATAACGATCGATGGTATGTTGTGTTGCAATATATATGCAGAAGAGATGGTTTTGCTGTAACATCTCTACAAAGGACACTCTTACACAGTCATGCAAGAGCCAACATGGCGGAAAACCCCCTCGGCTTGCATTATTCTTGCAATGGCACCACAGAACTTTCCAAATAATCCCTCCTGGAGTGGATCAACAGCGTGGCAGCCACGCGGCAGGAATGTACAGTAAGACATGAGACTGCTTTGGCTACATCTGAAACATCATAATGAGCAATAATCAAATAAACATGTGAAAAATACCAGAGGGACTCAATCAAGGGATTCCCCTTCACTGCTGTGCATCGAAACCAGAGAGCCAGGATGGGAGAAATCTGTGACACTCAGAGCTGTGGGAACAAATGAGGAAACGCTTACATTTTCCCACATCATGTCGCCCATCCTGTCTCTTCTGTCTCAACCCCTCACCCCCCCTAAATCTCTTGTCTTCTCACGCCGAAGAGCTCTTTTCTCCGACTCCAGCTCTGTCAACCCCATCAGTTCCCCACCTCTGTCATCCTCCTCTCTTTTCTTCCTTCCCTGTCCCTCCCACCCGCTGGTTCTGACGCCTGAGCTGAGCCCCTTGAAGAGTCCTGGTAATAAACTGTGGTGCCTGAGCTCTTCATTGCTGTCTCGCCCTCCCCACCCCACATCCCTGAGCACCGATACATCTGCCGTTAAAGTAGGCCCGGTCCAAAAGGCCCAGCCCCTCTGCTCTGTACAGTACAAGCACGTCAGTCTTGAATGTTCAAATCTCTTCCCCCCTACTCTCTCTTTCTCTTTCCCCCCCTCTCTCTTCTTGCTGCTCAAGTCCTTTGTGTACAGTGCGCTATGCTCAGTGTGGCAGCACTGTGCCAAAAAAACCCACACAAACACACTGACACACACATGTATGCACACACATACATGGTCACAGACACACAGCTGGGCCCCAGCTGCATACAAAGACTGGGGTTTGGAAATCAATGAAGGAGAAAGAAGAAAAGGGGAAAGGAGTTTAAATAAATTGGCACTTGAAAAAAGAAGAAAAAGGGAGAGAGAGAGGGAGCGAGGGAAACAGAGAGCGAGAGAAAGCTCTCTCTTAAAAAAGGCACATCAGCTTAACAACAGAGCGAGGTTCTTTGTCATGCACTTACAAAACATAACACGCAAGGTAACAAGGCCGTACCTTTTCGAGAGCGCTTAAGAAACACTGCTTTACATCTGGTTTAAGAGTGAGGGTTTGGATGGCTCTGATGGGTTGTGCGGATGTCATTCTGGCGGAGATGCCTGCTGAGTCTGAGGGCAGGGAAAAGCCCAACATAACACAGCCAGAGGACTTTATATAATTATATAAATGACAGCTCTTTCAAAAGATACTTCAGCGAAGAGGCTAACAGCACCGCGCTAACAGGGCGGCTTTTTACAAAGTTCATTATCAAGCATTTGCTGTCTGCCAAAAACTCATCAAACCTTTGATTACTTTCATCAGCTTCTTCTTGAATTCATTTCATGACAGAAAAATGTAGCTTTTAGACAAAAAAGTATGAGATGTAGCTCCTCAGAGTTTTACAAACTTTGCAAACCCGCCTGAAGGAAGGACGCCGAACCTTCCACATCAAGAATTTCGCTCATTTATCCACACTCTTTGAAACTGATGTCTCACAGTTAAATCATTGCTTATCAATTAAAATGTTTCCTTGTCTCTGGACTGTTTTCAATCTCCAGAGAATGAAAGGCAGTAATTCCATCATGTTGCTTTCGACTGGTTGACATTGACAGTTTTATTGGGGGAGACAGAGACATAATCAATAGGCGCCTTGGAGAGAGAAGAAAAGTCAGCCTATGTTTTTCTCTTTCTTCTGGTTTTGGAAACGATCCCTAAATCGCTGTCTTATGAGGCGGGCCTGCCAAATTCATTTGGTTTTATCAAGGACCTTTAACTCGCTTCTCACACAACACAGCACATTCCAAATCCTACACAGAGGTTTAAAACACACGTTTCTGCACGGACATGAGGATGTACATGCATCAAGCACTCCCTCTCAACACTCACGCATATGTGATATGGACATGTGCTATGTATAAGCATGCATTTAGAAGAAGCGTGCATGCAAAGGAGCCCAAATGATTACCTTACTGTTAATATATTGCATCTTATAATGTTAAATATCTCATGCACAGCTTTCCTGTTTTTGTTTTTCTGTTTTGTGAAACTCTTTAACTTTAGGTCTGAGGTCACTTCAGGAACAAAAGCAACCGGCCTAATAAGTGACAGTTCCTCGTCAGTAAGTGTGCCCTTTTTCCTGTTAGCTCTCACGGTGCTGCGATGATGCCGCTTTGACAAACAGGGTGCAGTCGGTCGACAAACTGCTATGTGAAAGTCAAAGGTGAGAGTGTGCACGTGTGTACGCAGAGACACACGAGCTCCCGTTATCGCTGAGCAGCCAGAGAGGATCTCACCCTGGTGACACTCTGCTGAGCTTCACACCTCTCTGAATTAAATGTGGAAACACTTAAAAGCAAAGTAATAAACTGTATAAATAAGCGAGCTCCTCACTGCAAATAGGTTTAGAGCAGTATAGTGTCACTTCTGAGGCAAACAAAAACTTCTCGGAGGATTTTGCATGGCTTGCAGTGTCTGTCCAGTAACGACAAAGAGTAAGGGAATTAGTTAGAGATGTTTGTTTTCTGAAGACAAGAAGCTGCAGCGAACATCGAAGTTCTGTGTCTTTTCTGGGTTTACAACTTTGTTTGTGTTTAGAGCAACGGTTTGTTTGTTTCTCAACCCTTTCCCCTACTTCACCAAACAACTTTGTGTAAGAAAAGAGCAACAAACCGGCTTCCATGCATCATTTATCAGGCCCATAATATTCACATTATCTCGAATAAAGTTTGCAGAGGCTTCAGGGTAGATTTACTCCGAGGTTATTCAGGAAAAAAAGTGTTTAGAAAAGTGTTGTAGATAATTCATGTTTTGAGGAGGAGTAGGATTCAGTTAAAGCATGAATTGTCAGTCGACACCAGCAGGATGGAAATACAAATATTTACATGCATGCACAGGTGTGTGTATCTTCACTGCTGTTTGCAAACTCAGATTGAAAAATTCACACAACCTGATGCATAAAGAACAACTTTCGATTCAGCAGAGTGACTCGTAAGCAGAGATATTGAATATCATCTTTAACCTAAAGGTCAACTGAGGATTCCCACTTATCTTGATAAGGTATCATGCACATTCTTATCATGTGCACATATTGCGTGTTTAGGCATGTAATGCATTTATTTTCTCTTTTGAGAAATTGATTTAAAAATAAGTAAGCTAAAGGTGGCTTTAGATGGCTCCTTAGAGGTTAACTGTGCAACATGCAAACTTTTAGTTACTTTATTAATACATGCATTTAAAGTTTTTATATTTGTTGAACCAAAAGTTGATCACAAGACAAACTATCTGATTAGAATTTAGAGATTTAAAATTTTTAAATCAATAAAAGAATTTTATCATGAAATGGGTGAAAAAAGATAAGGTGAAGGTGATGTCTTGTATTTTTATAGATGCACAGAACAAGAAAAAAAATGTTATTGCATCTTGTTTAAAGATTACAAGATCCTTGAAAGTTCAGTCTCAAATGACATGAAGCTCTGGACATAAGCACCATCAGGACTACAATACAGAGATGTAAGAGTTTACTTTGAGAAACATCTCTGATATATTTTAAAGTGACAAAATCAACATCTTATTGTGACTATATGTAATGGTTTGGGGCACATCCAAAGTGATTATTATTCATCACTTTTTACAAAATAACTTTCTACATAAACAAGGATTCATATCTTTCACAAATCGCGTGCAATCCCGGGTTTGATACCTACTTTTTTAGAGATTTACCTCGCACCTTTCACGGTTTAGCACAAGCAGAACAAACCAATCTGACGAATAAATACAAGCTGAAATTTGTTTTGTATAAAAAAATCACAAGCCCTGTTTGCAGCAGCGTTAGTGACTGATGTGTATCTGTGAAGAAACTGAGTTTGAAGTGTCCTAACCGAGCGCGGTTCGCCTGAGAGCCTCAACCCGCTGCTGCAGCAACAACCGCCCGCATCATTTTTTAACCAACTTCTTCAAAACTTTCTTAAGCTTCTCATCTCTTACCTCGGTTTCTCTTCGGGTTCGCTTGTTTCCTTCGTTTTCCCCTGCTTTCCTCTGTCATCATCAGGCTTTAAGTCGTCCGGAATAAAGTTGTCCAGGGAGTGCTGCCGCTTCCTGCGAGTGTGTGTGCGTGTGTGTGTTTGTCCTGAGAGCTTGCCTGAGAATGAATGAGGATGAGGCATCGCCTTCGGTCACAGCGGGAGAGTCAGACCTTGACGAGGGTCCAAGGCAGAGGTGACGAGCCGTGCACGGGGAGGAGTGATGTCACGGGTGGAGGATGGCCCTGAGGTCAGTCTTGGCATCGTGGACGATCACCTTCCTCATCTAGAGAATAATCAATAACGGAAAGACGAACTATAAGAGCTACAAGTTGAAACACCCGTCACTCTGCTCTTTGACAATCGTCCTGAAATGCGCCGCTCTGCTGCGCCTCCTCTTCAAAGAGTGTGAATGTATCAGCGTGTTCTGATTTTCTCTTTCTACTGCACAGGACTGCTTCAGCTTTCCCTACACATATCTAATCTTCTAATTGATCAGGACTCGGGTTTTAACTTTGACAGTTTTTCATTTTGCGTATCTGCAGTGTGTGAACCCCCCTAAACACCTCAATGCGCCTCAAAGTGACGCTGAAGGCTTTTCGACGAGGTGCAAATGGGACTGTTAACTCCAGCAGCTCATCCTCAGTGTTGTCACCACTAAGACAGATAAAAATAACTGCAGGTTAATGGTAACATTCCCCTTTACTCACCCCCCACTCTTCCCTTCCCGATTTATGACTCGACTGTTATGCACCTCGCACCTGCGCTCAAGTACCCTGCAGTGGACCCCGTCCTGCGCCCCATTCACTCCTGGATGGCTGTAGGAAGTGATGCATTGACAGTCTTTTGTGTTGCAACCTGGACGGTAATCTGTTTTGCAACTGAAAAAAACATCCGAAATAAAAGTCTAACTCAGCGTTCAGGACCCCCACCTTGGCTTTCTTGTGCCCCCCACCTCTGGCCTGATAATGTGAGCGAGTGGGTCGCTTTTTAACGGCACATCATGTGTCCTGCTATAGAGTCGAGGCGGAGTAAACAAAGTCAGATGTGACAGTGAAACAGATTAGAGAGGTAAAGGACAGATTAGGGGTTAAGGATTTTTAAAGACAGAGAATCTGAACTGTGTGGGTAAATATCACTTAGCCAATGATTGTGAGTGTTAACTGCACCATCAAAGTCACTTTTTTGTATAAGCTACTGGCACATTTTTTATTACCTTTTTTAATTACTCTGTTTTAACTGATTTTGTTTTGGTCCACTTTTTGTGATAGTACATTTCCACTTTTGTGACTTTTATGTGCACTGTCACCACTTCAGTTAAGTCTGCCTGGTGATAGTGACACAAGTGTGAAAGAGGAAGCCCATTCACTTACTGTAAACTCAATCACTTTGCAGGTACAAATACAGAGGACCTAAATAACCTTACATGCTTGAGAAACAAAAGCCAGTTTTGTGCTTTGAAGACACTTTAAGTGGGGCTTTATATTTTGGACACAGCAATTTTTTTTAAAGAAATTGATTCAAAAACTTGACAAATGCCTTATAACCCGTGTAGTGGAAAACTAACATTTGTTATTTGTTGTTTTTGTGATACCAAAAAAATAATAAAACCACCTTCATTGTGATCATGCTTGTTTTGTTTACTTCATGGTATGACTACAGTATAGATCAGTGACCGATAAGTCAATTTGAAACTCTGTTTGTTTTGTTGTTATTGTTTTGTTTTGTTTTGTTGTTTTGTGGTATGAATGTTGCTCGGTGATAGATTATTAGAACAACTAGACTTTGAGTGAGGGAGGTAATATAAGATGTTTCTTCTCCCTGCTCCCTTCCAACCAATGGATAAGAAATACTTCAATGTGACATGATATTGTCAAATTGAGAAATTGCCTTGGCTGGAATAAAATAAATAAATAAAGAAAGAAAATATTTTAATTATTCATGGGATCCAGGTCACTGTTAAGTTAGACACACTTTAAAATAGAAATAATAAATACAACCCCCTCCATTCCTTCTCCCATCACCAGTGCCGGGATTTGTCTCTTAATAGATTCTGGAAGAGAAAGCATCCTGAAGGTGGGGAGGGAGTAGCGGGCTGTAGAAAAAGAGGGACAGAAGGGTCATCTTGGCTCTTTGTGGTGGGATGGATATGAGGCCAGGGAGGAGAAAAAAGGGGGAGGATGGGAGGTAGGCTCGGAGGGGGCAATAAACTTTGCAACAGATGAGGGTCACAGAGGTGCAGAGGTGCTGCAGGGGTCCTGGGAGCTGCTTTTTTTTTTTTTTTTTTTGGTAGTTTATATACATTCATGTGGTATTTGTATTGTTGCTTCAGTGAAGATATTCATTCAGAAATTCAGGGACCTACAGTATATTGAGATTTTTGTTCAGGCTTTATTTCTTTGGACGAATAATGTAGTAAAAGATTTAAAATATTGCCTCTGTAAGGATCTTTAATTCTGCCAGAAAAGCCTTAAAAGGAGATAATAAGCCTATGCTACACAAATTTGTATTGCACTCTAATACACTTGATTATGCACGCTTTAAATGTTTGGTATGTTGTTTTCTAACACGGGTTGATGTATTGTTTGTACAAAGTCGTGGTTTGGCTTTATATACTCAATGTGCAGTTTACACTAAGTACACAGCATTGCCGTCATGGTATGGCTTCAGCTTACTGTCCTGTTAAGACAGCTTCTACGCACAGACACACACACAAGGAGGAGCATGGAGGAAGCAGTCCCACTGGGGTTTTGTCCCTAGCTGTGGTCTATGGGTTCAAAGCTTCTTGCATGGGGAGGAGAGCCCTTAAACAGCATATTAAGCAGGAGTTAATTATATGCCAACCTAAGTGACAAAGGAAAAGAAAAGCCTCCCCCTGAATGACAAGACAAGAAAAGAGAAAAGTCATTATGCTGCCCGCTTCTTTGCATCTGAAAAACTCAGTTCTTATTTTGGCATTTCCATTTGTAACTCTTTAGAAAATCGGAGGTCACACTGTTGAGAGTCAACAACAAAATCGTTGCATCTGTGTTGTTTAAACTTTTCTGCGTCATGGTCATACCCAAACCTGTTTGAGAACAAAGTTTTGAAATGCACATGCATGAAATTAAATTTATCAATTTACTTGCTTAAAGATGCTGAAGTCACTAGACAATGCTTTGAAAAACGCCAGTGCTGCTGGAGAGAAAAAAACCTCAGAAAAGGTCCCTGTGCTTTAGACCTAAAATTACACATACTCGCTTACAACAGGCCTTTGAGCAAAGATGGAATTAATTTATTGGTAAAATCACAACATTACTCTTGTTTCTTCAAGCTGCACAAAAATAGTTACTGGTAAAAAACTTTAGAACAAAATTATTTTAGGAGTAAATCCTGTCATGATATGTTTTGGCATTTAGTTTTTTGGTCATTTGAGCATATTTTCTTTGTGATTTTCCCTCGTGTTTCTGTTCCCTTTTGCTTCTGTTCCCCTGTAGTCCTGTCTTGTGAGTATATTTTGTTTGATTTCTCACTTTTCCCTCCTCTGTAACTGTCTGCACCTGTGTCTCAGTGTCTCACCTGCCTCACCTGTTGCTCGTTTCCCTGTATGTATATATAGTCTTTAGGTTTCCCTGTTTCTTTGTTGGTTCATTGTTGTGTGTGTTTTTCAAGGTGTGCCTATGCCAGTGTCTCTTTGTGATTTTTTTCTTCTTGTGTTTTTGGGGAATTTTTCAGTTGGACATTCAAAGTAAGTTTTTGTTGCTTTTCTTTTAGTTCCTTTTAAATAAATCTTTTTTGTTGTTGTTCTGTATTTGGGCCCTTTCCTTTTAGTTTAACTCCAATTCATGACAAAATCCTACACATTTGCCGGTAGGTTATGCCTAAAGCTACAACTCTTTATCCAGCCCTCCCTTTAAAACACCCTCTCCTGATATAGAGATGCAGCTATTGTTTCCAGTCTCAAATCTGGGTATGCCAGAGTTCAGATCAGTAGTCCGTCAGGAGCACTTCCCTTAAACCTTGGAGCAAATGAGTCAACTTCAGTATCCCTGCCAGGCTGTAGTGGCTGCCCTGAGTCTACTGCGCCATGCCACAACACCACAATGCCAATATAATCTAAGTACACTGAGGCCCTGAATCAAAATGAGCCAACGCTGTAAAAAGTTACGTGTAGGGGAGCGTTTGTCCTAAAATACTAAAATACTAAGCTAAAAGATAAAGCAGGTTATCCAGATTGGGCTCGACTAACGGCTAACCAGGTGTTGTGCCGTAGAATGCATCCCCTGTATCCCATCCACTCATTAGCTTCTAAAAGTGGAAGAAAATGATCTCATATTAAGATAAAAACGAGTATTGGATCATGACAACATGTCAAATGGAGCAGCAAACTTTCTGTCTGTTTTTATGTGTCTCAAAAATGCACATGTAGATGTGTACTTGAGTATGTAAACTGTACAGTAAACAGTCAAGGTAAAAAACGTTATATTTTCGGGACAGCAAATATTCCGAATCAGAGGGCTATTGTTTCCGGCTTATCTGAATAAATAGCCTGAATGAAATAATTAAAGACAGGCGCCTTTGAATCCATCCAATGGTAAGGAAAACCTGGATTTTTTCGTCTTGTTATGGAATTGTAACCGCGCTCTGTTGAAGTTAATTCAAACTTCCCCGAGTCCGTTGATGGAGACTGGAACAGAGGATTCACTGAGGCAAAAAGGTGTCTTCAACAAACCTTTTATTTCGGCACATCAAATAACACAAGATATCTTGGAGAGCACAACATCAACCCAATGGTATCTCTGAGGTGGTCTGATTACTATTTTTCAGTAGTTAATAGTTATACCCTAGGAGGCGTCTCATCATCTTTTTGGGCGGAGAGTTTACATAACCAGCAGTCCCCAGTGTTTCTCTATGGACAAACAAGCTCGTATTGTTCTATTTTTTTTTTACCTGACCGAAACCGTGGTTTCAGGGCAGTTGACCTTGGATGCATCCAGCGCTTGTCTCCTTTTATCATATTTGCGTCATGTATTCCAAGCTTTCACTGAGTTCCCACTGGGCAGACTGCTGGGCATGCAAACCCCCCTTTACACCTCCCCATCTTCTCAGGACAGAGTGATCTTCCTCCCTCGTCCTGTTGTTCACATCTCTGACTAGCACCTGCACATCTGTTTATGAAAGGCACATCATTATCTGAGGCATATGTCAGGGTCATAGAGCACTTTTATAAGGAACACTTTTAATAAATGACTGTTGTGATTATAATACACACTTCAAATAAATGACTGTTAAGGCATAACAGTTTATAACCATACTTACCAACCCTTGGCACTTCTAGGCATAAGCTAAAATCTAAATGACTGTTAAGGCAGAACAGTTTAAAACCATACTTACCAACCCTTGGCACTTCTAGGCATAAGCTAAAACCTTTCTTTACTGAGAGTCTCTGTTCTATACGTTGTGACACAGTGATCAATTGCCCCTGTGTTAGCTTTAAACTTTCTTATCTTACTCATCAGTACATGTCCGCAATGAGCACACAAAATAATGTAAACACAATAAAAAAACAGTTAATTACCTGAAACAATGACTAAATGATTGGTATGATATATGAGTTCCCACAAATTCCCCCTTTTGATCTCTTCAAAGAGATCACCTTCAATTAGCGCATCAACAGTGCCAGGAGTATAAATTTAACCGTCAGTACTTCCGCTATGACTAGGTAAACATTACTTTTGTTCGCATGCAGGGCGGCATCCAGGTCGGGGTCTACCACACTGAGGGACAGGTTAGTATCAAGCTGTGGGCTGGGGGTTAGAGGAGGAGATGGAAAACAACCGTGAGTATTTTGGTTGCCAGAGGGATACACATCAAATCTATCAACCCAACATTCAGAAGGAGTGGGAACCATGACCTTTAAGTAAGTGAAATTGACGGACACTACTGACACCCCCTTTTTGGCTGTCCTTCCCCCCCGGGGCGTGTAAGAAACATCATAGGGTATGGAACCTTCTGCTTGTCGCCAATTGTTACCATCTCCGAGGGAGAGGCCAACTTTCACAGGAGTGTTTGGACCAGAGTATTCGCAAGTAATGGTCAGGGCTGTAGCATTACCAGAGATTGATGGGCGGGCCGAATAAGCATCCTAACCGCGAATGGGACGTGAGAGGTATGTTGCATCGTGTTTTGTGGCGTTTGTAGGCAACTGTGGGAACTCCCTAGTCAGCCCTAAAATTAAAAGCAGCAAACCTATGTTAAATAAGACTAAAGCAATCAACCATGGCCATGAGCCAAATTTAGGATGAGGGATCCTCATTTCGTTTCTGCAAAATTCAACCCACAAAAGAACATCGAGCAATACAATGTAAGTTAATAACCAGATAAATGCCGAAATAAAAGGGTGTGGAACATACAGTGTGGAGCATACAGGTAAAAAATCTTCTCGTCTTGTACGACCTGACAGATGATCCGTCCGTGGAGGTCGCCCGGACAGGCAGCGTAGCGTCGTTGTCTACTGGAGCAGGTGTCAGCCGACGTCCTGCGGGATGTTGTCGTCTTTCTTCAGGCGGTCAGGGGTAGACTACCCTGTGCCCTTTATGTTGCAGGGATTATTCTGCCCTGTGTCTTTGCAGCGTAGCTTCGTTGTCTACTAGAGCAGTTGTCAGCCGACGTCCTGCAGGATGTTGTCTCCTTTCTTCAGGCGGTCAGGGGTAGACTACCCTGTGCCTTTTTCGTTGCAGGGATTATTCTGCCCTGTGTCTTTTCTGGAGGTGTGTGGCTCTTTGGTTTGGTTTCCTGCTGCAGCTGCTGCAAGATCCTGCCGCACTTCCTTCAGGGAGCGTTGAGGTGTTACAGCTGGGGCGCACTGAGTGAGGTGGAACCAGGTGTCACCTTTCCCGTCCAGCCGGACTGCGTGGGAGGTTCTCTCGGTCACCTGAAATGGTCCTGTCCACCTAGGCTCGCTCCACTTTCTCTTGATGACCCGAAGGAGGACCCAGTCAGTGATGGGTAGGTCACCGTCTTTGGTGCCGTCTTTGCTGTCTCGCACCTGCTTAGCAAATTCAGAGAGAACAGATTGCAGTTGTACATAATAATCTTTCTGGTGCATGTGAGAGGGAGGAGGGTCAGTGTTTTGCAGGGCTCGCTCTGGCCCTGGAAAAGGTCGACCACGTTCGAGCTCGAATGGGGTGTGTCCAGTTGTCCTGTTTACTGAGGATCGGATGGACATGAGGGCGAGCGGTAGAGCATCCACCCAGTTCAGCCCTGTGTGGGCACAAATCTTTGACAGCCTGTTCTTGACTGTCTGGTTCATCCTCTCAACCTTACCCTGAGATTGAGGATGGTACACGGACCCAAAACCATGTTTAAGTCCCAACATGGCCTCCACGTACTGGAGGTCCTGGTTCTTGAAGTGTGACCCATTGTCCGACCTGATCTTTTCTGGGAAGCCATGCTGTGGGATGTAATGGTTGATGAGACACTTAACTACTGATTTGCTGTCCTCTCTTCTCACTGGCCATGCTTCTGGCCATCCTGTAAATGCATCAACACACATCAAAACATACCTGTACCCTCGGACTGAGTTAACCATATCTGTAAAATCAATGATGATTTCTTTCCCTGGACGTGTTTTTAGTTGGAACTTACCCACCCCGGGTTTGTATGTAGGTCTGGTGTTGTGGTGTGTACAAACAGTGCAGTGTCTTACCCACTCCTTTAGCATGTCATGTAGGAAGGGGTGCCACCATTCTTTGAGGTCCACTTTCATCTGGGAGATGCCTGCATGGCCAACTCCATGTGCTTCTGAGAAGATACTGTCTTTGAGCCCAGGTGGCAGAACCAACCTTCCATCTGGGGATCTCCAGGTCCCTTCCGATAGGACTGCGCCTCTGAGTTTCCACACTGTCTTCTCTTCAGGTGAGGCTAGGTCCTGTTCTTTTGAGATTTCTGTAAGGGACAGTTTTGTCATTTGTGTCTCTGTGTCTGGTCTTACCAACAGGAGCTTCTCATGATATCCTGCGGCTGCTTTGGCTGCGGAGTCCGCTGCTTGGTTGCCCATGGCAACTCTGGATCCGCTGTTGTCGTGTCCTTTGCATTTGATGATGGCTACCTTCTGGGGAAACCACAGTGCTTTTGCAAGCTCTTTCATTTCATCCATGTGTTTAATGGGTTCTTGTTTTGCAGTTAGGTAGCCCGCTCTCATCCATTGTCCTAGGTCTACTTGTGCTGCGTGTACTGCATAGGCTGAGTCAGTGTAAATGTTAATGTCTTGGTCTTTACCTGCTTTCAGGGCTTCAATCACTGCCACGACTTCTGCTCTCTGGGCTGACTGTGGTCCATTGAGCTTTTGTGCTGTTACCGTCTTGAGTCCGTCTGGTGTTTCTTCTATCACCGAGAATCCTGCTCTGAGTCCCTCCTTCTCATCTCTGTAGCAGCATCCGTCTGTGTATAGGTTTCTGGCCCCTGGGATGGGCTCCGACTGGAGGTCTTCTCTGGCTTTTTCTTCTTTTTCAACCCTGTGGGCACACTCATGCAACACACCTTCCCCCAAACGCTCAGCCATGTTAACACCTTCATGAGTGAATAGCAAGTTTGGGGCTTCGAGAATGCGAGCGAGTTTTTGCTGTCTTGTGGAGGACATCGTAAAAGTTTGCGAGTTCACATAAGCTACAACGCTGTGTGATGTCAAGATGTGAAGTGTGTGTCCCATAACTATGTGTGCGCTTTTGTTGATGAGTTTGGCAACACCTGCAGCATGTCTTGTGCACGTTGGTTGACGTTTTTCTGTGGGGTCAAGGATGACACTGAGATACATCAGTACCGTTCTCTCTCCCCCTTTTTTCTGGAACAGAATACCGTTAGCAACAGATTCTGTTTCAGAAACATCCAAAAAGAACGGGCGCGCGTAGTCGGGGAGGGCCAATTCGGCGGACGCAGCGAGTTCTTGTTTGAGTTTGATAAAAGCTTCTTCCGAGTTGCGGGACCATGTCAGCTTCGCATTCAGATTTCTCATACCTGCAGAGGTGACCATGGCTCTCAGCGGAGATGTGAGAGTGGAAAAATCAGGTATGTACTGCCTGCTGTAACCCACCAGACCGAGAAACGACAGCATAGCTTTGACAGTGTCAGGCTTGGTGTGGTGCAGAATGGATGTGCGGTGGGCGGGGGACAATGAGGCCCCCTTTTGTGACAGTAGTCTGCCGAGGAAAGAAACTTGTTTCCGCGCGATTTGCAACTTAGGTTGACTGACCTTGAACCCGTGGCGGGCCAGGAGTAGGAGCAGGGCCCGTGTGGCCTGCAGGCAGGACTCGGCTGTGGTTGACGCAATGAGCAGGTCGTCGACATATTGAATCACTGTGGTGCCATCGGGCAGCTGCAGGTCAGCCAAACTCTCTTTCAGAACCTGGTTAAAGATGCCAGGGGAGAGGGCGAATCCCTGTGGGAGGCGGGTGTAACGGAGTCTGCGACGTTGGTAGGTGAACGAGAAGATGTCCCGAACGTTCTCATGTAAAGGGAGACAGAAAAAAGCGTTAGCAAGATCAATACATGTGAACCATGCTTGTTCGGGAGACAGATTGTTCAGAGCAACATATGGGTTTGGCACCGGGACCGTATTGGTCCCTAGAATCTGATTGATGGCTCTGAGGTCATGGGCCATACGGTACTGACCGGTGCCCTTCTTTTCAATCGGTAGAATGGGTGTGTTCCAGCAGGAGTTGGAGGGTTCGAGGACACCAGAGTCTAACAGGCCTTCTATGGTGTCCTGAATGCCCAATTCTGCCTCTCTTTTGTGAGGGTACTGTGGCACCCAGACCGGAGAGTCAGTATTCAGCTGGAATGAGATAGGTTTACAGTGGATCAATCCGACATCGGTTGGACCCTCGGCCCACAATGAGACTGGGAGGGAGGAGATAAGCTCCTGTGCTTTTGGATGATCAGATTTTTCTCTACCATGGTCTCTAGGTATGAGTTCATGTGTGCATAAAGCAGAGTCAGTGGTAGTACTCACAATTCTGAACATTTTCAGGGACGGAGAGCGGAGCACGCCAGGCAGGCCGGAGGAAGACCAGTCTGAGGCTAAGACTGCTGCTTTGACCATGGGGCCCAATTCGCGAGCCTCATGTCCCGGATGGAGAGCCAGTGAAATGTGGGGGAAAGCAGTCTCAGACATATTATACCAGGACTGTTGCTCTCTTGTGAGATTAACCATTGCCGCAACCCCCTGTTGTCCCACCAAAATGTCACCAGAATGTAGCTGCCAGGTCTTACCTTCTAGCTGATTTTGGAATTCCTCTAGGTAACATTCATTACCCTCCCGGTCGTAGAACAGAGTCAGATGGAGCGGGTCAGGTGGAGCCACGTAGGGGTGGACGCTGAGGATCCAGGGTTTCCAATGGAGATAACATGAGTAGAGCCCAGTTTGTGATGGCTCCAACAGGGCCCAGAAAATGCCTGCAAATCTAGGTTCAGTGTCTCTGAGGAGGTACTGGTGTGTGTCCCCAATCCCTTGTGCACATAGAACTTCAGTCCCATCCGGGAACGTGACAGTGAGGCCCTGCTGACCGCAGAGGATCTGTGCATTGAGTCTCGAGAGTAGGTCCCTACCCAGGAGATTGACTGGAACACTGGGAGACACTAGATAGGGGTGTTGTAATTTCTGTCCCGCTACGTGTGTGGGGAGGGGGATGGTAAATGACAGAATCTGACTTACCCCAGAGAAACCCACCACGCTCATCGTCCGTCCAGACAGAGGCCCAATGTCCTGATTAACCGTAGATCTGGTAGCCCCTGTGTCAACGAGAAAGGGCAGAGCGTGGTCCCGGACCGTCATGGACAGCATGGGCTCTGCCGTTACCCCGCTGTCCGAGTCGCTCTGTGGGGCGTGTCATTGAGGATACTGGTAGGCGTCCTGAGCCTCCCAGGTCTGGTCCCAGGCAGTGACTGCGACTGGAAACTGGTGGGCCTGCTGCTGCTGCTGCTGTTGTGGGGGTGGTCCTCCCTGTCTCAGCGGAGGTGGTCCACGGGCCATGCCACGCATCGGGTAGCTGTGTTGCTGCGGAGGGTTTGGTGGATAGTTTGGACATTCACGCCACCAGTGTCCATTCATGCCGCAGGAGTGGCAGGCGTTGTTGCGTGTAGGTGCTGTTTGTGCCTGATTCCAGTAACCGCCCTGGCGGGGAGGGCCGTTGTTACGAAATCTCCTGTTGCCCTGGAAACCTCCTCCCCTGTAGGGTCCACCAGACCTCGCTCCACGTCCTCTGCCCCACGAACCCTGAGATTGATCTGTGGGAGGAGAATAGGGAGAACAATCTGCCCGCTGGGGCACTGGGTACATGTCAGGTGAAATCTGTGGGTCGTTAGAGGCAGCGGCAATCATAATTTTATCTGTATTACGATCTTTCTTACCCTCAGTGATATTTCTCCGAGCCTGGGTGAGCTGCAGCTTCATAAGTTGTCTCTGCATGTCTTTGTCATCATCACCTGCTTTGTCAGCTCTGTCTTTCGCTCTCTGTAGGTGGTGTTTGAGATGTCGTTCCCACACCAGGCAGGTTGAGCCCGGAAGGTCTGGGCTGTTTTCCAAGTGTTCTCTAACGTCTGCTGGAACACCTTTAATTACAGCATCTCTAAACCAATGTTCCTGGCCCTTACTGGGGTGAACCCCTGTGTATTTGGACCATTGTTCCTTGCACTGGGCTAGATACTCGCTAGGAGAGAGACTTTTGTCCCATGAGAACTTGGGGATCATTGGACCGTTGGGAAGCGGGTATTTGGAACGGAGCTCGTTACGCAGAGCCCTAATTACTGTGACTAGCTGCCTGTCATCATTGCAGGAAATGGTGCCTGCACAGGTTTCGATGTCCCTGAGTTCGGTAGGGGTGACACAGAGCGCGAGAATAGCCCTGAAATCGCCGAGGGCTAGATCTTGGCCTTTAGTCAGGCAGTCCAATTTGTCCAGCCATAAGTTGCCTCCCTCAGAGATGGGGGGCAGCTTATCACTGATGGTTTGTGTATCGCTAACAGCGAATGGTTTATAGATTTTGTGTCCACCACTGGATTCAACCAGAGGGAAAGCGGAGGAGCTGTGGTGTGCTGTAGCTGCGTCTGGATATGCTGGAGGTAACATGGCTTTTGAGCGTGTGAAGTGATGGTGGCTGAGAGGTGCACTCACCCTTTTTTCGTTCGTCATACGCTGCTGTTCCTCTAGGGTGGCAGTGGGTCGGGCCATGGCTTCACTGGCGTCCGTGTTATCCGTATAGTTGACGGTGGAGCCTCTGGTGGTCCTCTGCATCTCATCTCTCATGGTGCTGAGCATTTCGTCTCTCACTTCCTGTCTGAGTTCCTCCTCCACTCTGCTGCGCATGAGCTCTGCACCTGTAACATCTAGGGTGTCTTGCAGTATTTTATTGAGTGCTCTTGGTAGGATTGGGGTCATATGTACCGCTTACCGTGAGTTGGGCTGTGCAGGGCAAACTCTGTGAACTCTGTGAGCCTCTGTTCGGGGACGGTATCACCGTCTTAACCTGTCCCCTGGGGGTGGATCTCTGCTGTGGCTCAGGAGCGGGCACTGAATCTGGTGTGGGCAAAGATTTAAATTGTAATTCTTTTTTAAACTCACTCAAAAAGCGGGCCTGACGGTCTCCAAATGGTGCATCGAGCTGGTCCTCCTCTTCCTCCTCCTCGCTGTCCTCGGCTTCAGAGTCGCTGTCTTCATCCATGTCTCTGTAGGTATTGTTGCCTTCTCTGTCCTCGTAGTCTGAGAGGTCGATGGTGGTGGTACCAGAAGTCCTAGAGGCCATGGATGGTGCCTTGTGTCCAGGAATGTGAGAAGTCAGGGAGGGGTCCGGCTGTTGAGGCATCATGGTGGGGGGTATGTCAATCTTCAGATGTCCTTCATTGATGTTGATCACTGGGTAGAGAGAAGTGCTCACAAAAGGATTAGTGGGTGAGAGTTTTTTTCTGTGAAAACCAGACTGAGCGGAGTGGTAAGGTGGGGGTCGAGGCGGAGCTTTGGGAGGCGGAGCTGTGGGAGGCGGAGCTGAGGGGTGGAGACCTGAGAAAGGATTCGTTCGTTCAGCGGTGGGAGGAGGCAGGATAGAGGGAGGGGTAGCTGGTGGAGGCGGAGCTGGGGTGGCACCCTTTGTGTTGGTGGGTGTGTCCTTCTGTGTCTTACTGTGTGTGTGTGCTGATTTGAATAATCTCATGTCTGTATTTGGGGTGGGGGTAATCCCTGTCAAACCTTTCTCAGCTGCCTTTTTTACATTAGTAAGATGCTCTGTCCCTCTGTGGGCTACTCCCAACGTCTGCCACCTAGCAAGTCTTCTAAAATGCTTTTTTACGGCCTGTTTATATTTTCTGCGGAGCAAAATGCTGCCTAGCGCTGCTTTCTTCCTTGCTGCATCTCCTTTTGCTAGCTCTTCTTTCCCACGTGCCCAGATGAGATCTCCTAGTGAGGATCTTTCATTTTCTCTCCCTTCGATAAGCTCTTGCAGCATATCAGCATACTTTTCCCTCCCTTTCGCTGTCACCACAACTCCATCTTCTTTCCCTATGCCCTTTAAGATCCACTCTGCCTGTAGAGATAACGGCCCCACCCATCATCATCTACCTCACGATCAAATTCACCATCCATCCCAACAACAGCAACGTCTCTTTAATGGCCGGCTGGTTTGTATGACACTTCCGTTTCGGGCAACCAGCCTTATTGGAGGCCTTCACAAAGCCGGTCAGTTTGTATGACACGTTCGTTCCGAGCAACGGACCCTTTCAGTGTAGTACTGAGACACTTTGTGTGAGGTTTTCTCCAAGACACCACTTTGAGACAAGTTCAATTTTCAGCATATATGTGGTCAAAACAGTCACAATTCACGCACAGGCTTCAATAATGTCACACAGCAGAGAGAAAGTTATTCTCCACTGAACTTTTTCTGTACGGCAGAACTCCTCGCACAGGTTTCAACTGTATCACACAGCAGAGAGAAACTCAGTCTCTACTGAATTTTTCTGTGCGGCATATCACCTCGCACAGAATTCAACAATATCACACAGCAAAGACAAAGTCAGTCTGTACTGACTTTTTGTGCGGCACAGCTCCTCGCACTAATTTTAACAATCACGCAGCAGAGAGAAAGTCAGTCTCCACTGAATCTTTCTGTGCGGCATATCACCTCGCACAGAATTCAACAATCACGCAGCAGAGAGAAACTCAGTCTCTACTGAATTTTTCTGTGCGGCATATCACCTCGCACAGAATTCAACAATCACACAGCAGAGAGAAACTCAGTCTCTACTGAATTTTTCTGTGCGGCATATCACCTCGCACAGAATTCAACAGTATCACACAGCAAAGACAAAGTCAGTCTGTACTGACTTTTTGTGCGGCACAGCTCCTCGCACTAATTTTAACAATCACGCAGCAGAGAGAATGTCAGTCTCCACTGAATCTTTCTGTGCGGCATATCACCTCGCACAGAATTCAACAATATCACACACTTCTTTTCGGGGGGCTCCAAGTCCCCGGGGTTTGCAACCCAGCTCAACTAGCGCCCCGTCGAGCCACTAGGGGGTCCGCCACAACCCAGAGCGGTGGTCCTTATGACTCTTTACGCGGCCTTCACACAGGCTTCTCTTAAGTTTAACTTTTCATTTCACACATAGTTACTCTCTTTGTCAGAACACAGAATATCACAAGATGTACCAGTACAATATCATGAGCCTCGTAATAAATTTAGGATTCAGTATATACAGAGTTCAAGAGATCTTTGATTTAGAGTAACACAAATAGGCAGAAATTCTGTTAAAAAGGTTTTCTGCTTACCTTATTTTGTGGTCGACCAGATCTCTTTTCCTCTGATGCACTGAACAGTTTTCTCCAATTCAAAAGCTCTGTCAGAACTCCATCCCGGACGAGCCCCCAAAATTGTTGAAGTTAATTCAAACTTCCCCGAGTCCGTTGATGGAGACTGGAACAGAGGATTCACTGAGGCAAAAAGGTGTCTTCAACAAACCTTTTATTTCGGCACATCAAATAACACAAGATATCTTGGAGAGCACAACATCAACCCAATGGTATCTCTGAGGTGGTCTGATTACTATTTTTCAGTAGTTAATAGTTATACCCTAGGAGGCGTCTCATCATCTTTTTGGGCGGAGAGTTTACATAACCAGCAGTCCCCAGTGTTTCTCTATGGACAAACAAGCTCGTATTGTTCTATTTTTTTTTTACCTGACCGAAACCGTGGTTTCAGGGCAGTTGACCTTGGATGCATCCAGCGCTTGTCTCCTTTTATCATATTTGCGTCATGTATTCCAAGCTTTCACTGAGTTCCCACTGGGCAGACTGCTGGGCATGCAAACCCCCCCTTTACACCTCCCCATCTTCTCAGGACAGAGTGATCTTCCTCCCTCGTCCTGTTGTTCACATCTCTGACTAGCACCTGCACATCTGTTTATGAAAGGCACATCATTATCTGAGGCATATGTCAGGGTCATAGAGCACTTTTATAAGGAACACTTTTAATAAATGACTGTTGTGATTATAATACACACTTCAAATAAATGACTGTTAAGGCATAACAGTTTATAACCATACTTACCAACCCTTGGCACTTCTAGGCATAAGCTAAAATCTAAATGACTGTTAAGGCAGAACAGTTTAAAACCATACTTACCAACCCTTGGCACTTCTAGGCATAAGCTAAAACCTTTCTTTACTGAGAGTCTCTGTTCTATACGTTGTGACACAGTGATCAATTGCCCCTGTGTTAGCTTTAAACTTTCTTATCTTACTCATCAGTACATGTCCGCAATGAGCACACAAAATAATGTAAACACAATAAAAAAACAGTTAATTACCTGAAACAATGACTAAATGATTGGTATGATATATGAGTTCCCACAGCTCCCGCCAGGGGTGCATTTACGGCAGGGCTGCATTTTACGGTACAACACCGGTAAATGAGAGTATTAGCATACCGTGAAGTGGAATATACAAACATGGGTAAGAGCCCGTTTTCATAGAGAAATTTAAGTATTTCAGTAAACTTTTACTCACCATAAACTTGTTTAAATCGCCAAAATTTTGCTTCAGTCAGTTTAGCCCATAATCCAGTCAGAGATAGAGTTATCATGGTTAGCTAGCTCATGAGGGTGCTACTGTTGCTATGGATAGCATAGGAGGTATAGCCTATTTCATACGACTAGTTAGCTCTCAGAAAAAGATGGGGGATTTCTGTCTGTTAATCATGGCGTAAACTTAATAGTTTTATTGCAACAAATATGTAAATTATTTGTGAGTTTTACTTTGGTGTAAAACTTAAACAGGTTGAGCCTACTCTTGTCTGGGCTTGCCTCAGCTTTGGTCTCAGTAGGTAGAGGAGCGCTAAATGTCGCTTACGGTGGCCGAGAACCGCCACTGCTGAAAAAAAAAAAAAAAGTTTTTTTTTTGTTTTTTTTTTTGCTGCAAATAGAAAAAGAAACGGTGCAGACAAAAGTGGCGATGCAAAAAAATAAAATAAAGGGATGTAAATAAAAAAAGCCACAATGGAAGTGTGCTGCCGGGGTCCAATAATGATGATGCACCAGTGTTTTACGATCGAGGCACAGAAGTTGAACTGAAACTAACACTACGCATCCTCCAGTTCAACTTCATATCGACTAAATGACACATTGAAAAATTCACAAAGAAAATTAAACAATAACATTTCCACTTACTCCTTTACTTGTCTTCTCACCGTCATCTTCTGTGCCTAGATCATAAAACACTGGTGCATCATCATTATTGGTCTCTAGCAGCTCACTTCCGTTGTGGCTTTTTTTTTTTTCTTTTTTTTTTTTTTTTTATATATCTGCACCCTTTCTTTCTTTCTTTTGCATCAGTAACTTCTGTTGTGGCTTTTGTTTTTTTTTTTTTTTTTTGCATTCTTTTTTATTTGCAGCAGTAGTGGTTCTCGGCCACCGTAGTCACTGGATGCCCTTACTCAAAAAAAAATTATTAATTTAAAAAAGAATTATTTGTACCTCTGTAATTTTGCCTGAGGGGATATATATCGGTGTTACTCATAACTCACTTCCACGCCATCAGATCATGTGATGTGATCAGGTCACAAATAGATATGACTTCATTTTTAAGAGTCACAGGCATAAAAGATTTGGAACAACTCTTTTGGCCGACAGAATAATAAAAAATGGCATCATGGTTATAAACACAATTCCCACACTCTCTGACATGTGTTTTAAAACAGAGATGTCATGTTGATAGTATTTTACAAGCAAGATTAGTTGTAGTTTTTCTTTCTTACAGCATCCAGCAGCCCACAGTGCCAGTCCCCACTGACCACAAAAAGCATGTCCAGGCACTGATGTCACCAAGAGCAGCCTTTTTTTATTTTTAAAGCAAATCCTCTATACGGCATTGTAGCAGCCCTGCAGATCACTGAAGGTCACAACAAGAACGTCTAAATCGTTTTCAAAACAGGACTTTTCCCCATTACAACACGCAGAATGTTTAGCAGTTATTTGAATTTTCAATCATTTAATGATAAGGGGGAGAACAATTAAGTGGGGTATTTTTATCTGCTTAAAAAGGTGGCAAATAACAGTGATGATGGATGTCATGTTGTGGTGGTAGTCTTTGTTGCAGAAATACTGTCACCTTTTGTTGTTGTGTGTTCTCAGGTTGTACAGCAAAGCCGAGAAACGCCTGTTCTCATGCTGTACTGCCCTCTGTTGGAGGTAATCAGTCATTGCATTAATCCGCTAGGAACAGCAGTCACAAATGTAGTCCAGCCAAGCAACAGTATGCTCATTATCTGCACGGAAGCAAATTAGTTGCACCTCAGATCAAGTCTACTTGACTTATCTAGGGAGAGGCTCCACACAAAAGAATGTGTACTATTTGCTCAATGTAATTCTTCAAAAATGAACACTTTACCCCTTTTGAATCACTAAATCTAACAATTTACAATATTGAAGCATTCACTTAGTGTACTGACCTATCTCTGGCAACTTGACTCCCATTTATTATGAGGTTTTGGTGCTTGAGATTAGGTTAGTTTTCTCAATCCTGTTCCCGAAACTGGTGTCATTTGAAAAACATATTTATGAACCAGTTAACTATTTCATTTTTCCTTCTTCAACAAAAGAAATGTTAATATGTTCAAATAGTTGATGTATTAATGAAAATTAACTGTATATGCTCAAAGGTTGTATTTTTTTACTCATTTGATTTGAAGCATTTTTCTCAATAAGACCCAAACCTGAAGTAAAAACAATATACAGGTTGTTTTTATGATTGGATAAATGATGACCCAAACATAATTTTAAAATATATATTTTGTGTTTATGTTTAAAAGGATAAACTGTTTAACTGTATAATTAATTAAATGTGTAGGACAGAGTTACTCATATAAAATAAAGTCATCTCATTTCTCAGTGACAAGTGTGAATAAAATTAGGACAAACATTCTGAATTCATCCCACTGAACATGTTTATTCATAAACTGGTAAAATATAGCACATTTGTATAAAAATGTAGAAAATTGTACACAAAATATAACACTTGGCTTTTGTCTATTATAGTTAATGCTACTAATATAGCTTTCTTTTGCTAAAGGGGATATTCTTTTGCCAGCAAAAAAGACAGAATGAAGAATGACAGTTACAAAAAAAAAACAAAAAAAAAAACACACACACAAACACATGTAGAAGGCAACATCCATAAAGTTCATTAATATAAAAGGATAACTTTGTACAAAACATTTCATACATTCTAAAAAAAAAGCACTATCAGTCAATGTTCATGCCCTTATTGCTTTTATTAGTGTTGTGTTAGACTAGTTGTGCATCTTTTTCTCTATTCTTTTAAGGTGTCTTTGGTAAGTTGTCCACTTTTTCAAAATGAAGAAATGTTCATTCCTATTGATGCTTTGCAGGTTAAAGTGGCACTACTACTTTATTCAGAAAAGTCACAAAAATGCCTCAGCAATACTTATCTGAGACCGTTATGAGTCTAAATGTGCTCAAATGTGTATTTTAATGATTAGAAAATACTGTTATGGTTCTTAATGATCAAATGGGGATCCCGTGAAGAGACACAGGAGACTTAGACCTTTTCACCCAGTGCTGTAGTCAGTGCAAAGCCACAGTGTAAAATTAGTTCTCCAACTGGGAGCTGCAGCTTTCCCTAAGATATAGCTCAATAATTGCAATAGAGTACCTCAGTGTACACATAAAGTTAGTATGCATTTTACAACAGTGGTATCAATTGATAAAATCCCCACTTCCTGATCTCCTGTCCTGAATTCGTAAGAAGAATTTTCCAAATAACTCCTCTTTGGGATTAGAGCTAAAGTGCTGAAGCACTGTAATATGAGTGTACCTCAGTTTCTCAAATACAAGTAAATACTAATGATCTGGTAATAGACAAACCAGCTGACTACAGTGTTGAACAAAATAGCCATCAGTCTCAGCTGAGTCTTGTAAGTCAAAGTCCCGATTAATGCCATGCAAAGGCGTAGAGTTTGGATATCAGAAAACTATAATATGGAAGGGTAGATGGACAAGTATTATATTTAAGCATCACATATTGTCCTCTATGTACCTTTGAAAGAGCATGCCCTTACTGTTTTGAACATCACTTGGGAAAATGTACACAGCTGCTTTAAGAACACTTACAGTAAACATGTGGAGTGCAAACTCTCTGTCTGAAAAGGCAATTACAACTAAGTGTAATATAAACACCAAAGATTCAAACACCAATAAGTCCTGAGTGTTTGTGTATAGGCTATATTTGTTTCTGTGACAGCACTGGTGCATGTGTTGGAATACTGATTTGCCACTACAAAAAAAGTGTTTTGTTCATGACAAGAAAGAAATTCCTAGCAATTAAGATTAATATTTAGTAGCACCAAAAACTTATTTATGGATCACTAAAAGCACATCTTAAGTTTTCACTCAGCTTTTTGCACAGCCATCTTGCTTGAGTCCAAGCAGTCTGTTATAAGACAGGGGATGATCTATCCACTGTGTCATTGTCATATACAGAAAATATATAAATGTATATAAAACTTATTTACATGTATCCTTCTCGGCTTCTATGTTTCTACAGCCCTATGTGGCTGGAATGCCCGTTTGGGAAAAGGTCAGTATCTGTTTTTTTTTTAATCAGGCATATAGCTCCAGGATAAGACCATGTACCAAGGCAGTGAAGGAACAATGCGCCAAGGGAGGTTGATCAGGCACCTTTGGTTTTAAGGTTTTGGGTGGGGATTCTTAAAATTTGAAAGCTGTTCTATCAGTTAGTCTCAACTTTAAGAAGAAACCCATAACACTATATCTTTATTCCTACATGGGCATCTAGAGGCAAGGGACCTTTGGCCAGTTCATAGTTTTGCACAGTGTAATGTGGTAAGTTTAAATTTGAGGATCGTAGGGACATGCACAGTTCACAAAATCCTAACCGAGTAGATCCCAATTTTAACACAAAGAACTGGCCAAGGTCTTTACTTGCTTATAAGTCTGACATAAGATGCCAAATGTTTCCTTCTAAGACAGGGTGTTCAGGTATTTATTCTCCCCAGCCAGTGAGGTAAGCATAGATGTCATGTCCCCCACAGCCATGTTGGACAAGCCAGAGCCTGCAGCTAGGCTGACTGAAGTCTGGGGGGTAGTGAGGCGGGACGATGCCTGAGAGGAAGACCCTGGTTGGCCTTGAATGGGATTGTTGACTGGGCTGAAAGAGGAAGAATCTGCATCATCAATGATTGAGGTGAAGTCTATGCGAGCATTGTCTAGGTCTAGGTTTTCTAAGGCATTAGACATAGGACCAGATTCAGGATAAGGAGGAATGGGGGCAGATTTTGTGCCACCTGTTGGGTCCAAGTTGGATGCCATACTGTGCTGCTGATTGTGACAAGGTCCGTTCTGGGGGTTCATATGTTTCTCCAAGTCCATGTTAATTTGACCAGAGTAGTACATGTTGTTGTTATTGTTTGGAGAGTACATTTCATTTTGCGGGTGATGTGGGTGCTGAACTGGAGGAAGTCGAATCCCTCGTCTTGGACTAGAAGTGGAGTGAACAGGACTGAGGTGGGGCGGGCTGCCAAGATAGACGCTTCCAACCTGTGATAGACTGTTCTGGCGACTGAGAGGCTTTCGCCCCTGAGGGGGTCTTGGGACAACCATTTCTTGGCCATAACAGGAGCCTTGGGTACCTGTCAGCTGCTGGTCCTTAGGTGTCACAGAGTTGGGTCCTCTGTTGTGGGCTGGAGGGCTCATGACCATGTTCTGGTTGGGGTAGCTTTGATAGGGCTGGTTAGGGTACAGATTCTGGTTTTGGTGCTGTGGACTGTGCTGCATCATTGCAGACTGGGCACTCAGATCCATGTTATCGGATAATGGAGGAGGTTTTATCCCACTTGGCTGCTGTTGCTGCTGTTCTTGTTGCTGCTCCCACATAAGAGCTTGCTGGGATTGAACATAGTTTCTCACCATCATCTCCTTCACCTGCATCATGGGTGTTTCTGATCTCTGTCCATCTGAAAGGGCAGTACCAGCACAGCCCAAACTTAGGCCCCCACCACTAGGGAAGGAGTTTGGGTTCCCTGGAAAGTCACAGCTGGGATTGTTAGAGTTCCTCATCATAACCTGGCCTGTCTGTTGTGGGTAACCCTGAGTTTGCTGGAGGAGCATCCGCTGTTGTTGAAGCTTAGCGTTTTGACAGGCATCTCCACCCCCCATCCCAGGGTGGAACTGCTGCTCTGGCTTGATGACAAGTTTGTGGGTCCCATCAGGGCTGTTGTAGAGGTTTGTCTGATTGCTGTAGTGAGCCTGTGACTGTTGAGGCTGCAGGCTAGGATCTGAATACTGCATTCCTCGTGGGTTTTGGAGAGAATGACTAGAAGTTTGGATTTGGTTGTGGGTCTCACTCCAAGGACCTCCAGAATCCCTGCCCTGCCCTAGGCTAGGATAATGAGGGCCTGATGGACTGAGTTGGCAGGTGCTCATACTGTATTCAGCCTGTTGGAGAAGTGTATTTGACATGCCCTCTGAATGAATCGACCTCCCTTGGCCGGTCAAACTTCCACCGGCTCTTGAACCGACTTCTACCCCTTGGTTCTGGTAGTGCCCCTGCATGTATGCCTGGTCTGGGCAATTCAGAGAGTCATGGCTTGGGGACAATTGATTTAAAAGAGGACCTCCACCTCCAGTTCCTCCAAGAGTTTGATGCTGTTGTTGGTATCCCAAGAAATTCCTCTCTCCAGGGGGCATCATCATGGAGCGATCCCTGGCATCAACAGGCGCTAAGTGGGGCTCCATACCCATAGCCTCCATCATTACATTTTCTGTAATACTGGGTGGACGTGGCGAGTACAGGTGACGAGAAAGGCTAGTTTCAGAGCCACGGTGCTGGAGCGCATTTCTTCGGCTCATCAAGGCTACATTGTTCAGGCTATTGAAGCGTTTTGGGAGGGCTTGTGGATCTGCTGCTGATCTTACAGGGTCACTGGCTCGCCTGCTATTGTTCCCTGGTGCCTGGTGAGGGTAGATGACCCCAGTGCCATATTCTGTGTTGGCACTGTGCCTTCGTGGACCACCTTGTTGAAGGAAAGGTGGCAGAGGCTGCCCCTGGTACTCACTCAAAACACCCCCTCTCCTGACTGGTGTACCTGTCTGCTCCATATTGGGCAAAGGAGTGGGTGGCGGTCCACCAGTTGCTGCAGCATATTTGGCCTTCAGGCTGTACTGCTGAGCAGGTGTTAAATTTGGAAGACCAGGCAATCCTCCTCCTCCAGGACATGGAGCTCCTCTGCGATTGCTCTCAGGGGAAAGGGGATCTCCCCCACTCTGCTCAGGACTGAGGAGGTGACACCCTCCCCCTGCTGTTCCTCCCATTTGTGAGACGTCACTAGAGCGTCGGCTGGACAGATATGGAGAGACCATGGAGGAACGCCGGCTGACAGTGTATGCAGAGCTCAAGCTGCTGGTGCCACTTCCTCTCCTGTCGTTAGAAGTACAGCCCACTGATGGACCACCTCCTAGCTCGTGAGTGGACAGTTCCATCACGCGTCGATTTGAGAGAAGAGGAGAAGGTGCGCACATTCCAATATTTTCCCCTGGACCTGACAAATTAACATACAAAGAGAGGAAATAACTTAGAAAAAGTTCATCTGACAAAGTTTAATAATAAGTCTCCCCTTCTTTAACGATTATATTCTTAAAAACATACCAGGTAGTGCAGGCAGCTTATTGTTGGCACAACGGGCAGGAGGAGTTGGCCTGCGGATTTGCTTCAGCTTGTCGATCTTCAGGTTCTCTAACCTTTTCAAAGCTTGAGCGGACATTCCCATTGTTCCAACACTTCCTGGCTCCCCTCCACCTCCACCTGAAACTCCATCCTCCAGCGCTGTGAGATCCTCCAGACTGCCTGCAGCATTCAGGTTCATCTCCACTCCACTGTCATTGTTGTTGGCGCTCCCTAGTGGAGAACGTTCGCTACTGCAAGAGGACTGACCGCCAGGGCTTGGTTGGGATTTCTGCAAAAGTGCAATGAGATATTTAGTTTTAATAACAGAGATGAGCTATTAAAACAAAAAATCTATAATTTATTGGTGTTTTTCAAACAATAGAGGACCACAGTATTATTGATGTGGTGCTTTTCAGATTGAAGCACCTGTCATAAGTAACATACAACACTAACCAAGGCAGACTCAGGAGCCAGCAGTTTGCAGTCCTCCCTCCTTGTCTCTGATTTCTCCAGCAGCAGCTCAGTGTCTTGGCCTCCAGCAGTCATAGCTGAACCTGGAGGTCTGGGTCCTGTATCTCCACGATGCTTCTTGGTGATGTGGGCTTCTGGTCCATGCACTGTCTTTACATGTTTACGCAAAGAGCTTGGATCTGTGTACCGCTTAGTACAGCCTGGGATCTTGCATACATAAGGTTTCTGTAATGAACAAAAAGTTTGTGTTAATACAGAAAATGTTTACTGTACACTATCATTCTTTTAATGTTTTTAATTTCATTCAATTATGGACTTTCCTCTATTTCCCTGCAAAATATCATGTCTATATCCCATCTAAGTGATTTAGTGGGTAGTTTAATTGTCAAAGGTGATGCTCAGGGTAAATTTTTTTATTTCTTTTTAGGAGTCTACACTTCCGTACCTCATTGGAGTGAGTTCTGTTCTGGTGCTTGGCCCGGTCTGAGGCGTTAGAGAAGGCTTTGTTGCAGCCCTCGTGTTCACACACATAAGGTTTCTCTCCAGTGTGAGAGCGAAGGTGGGTCTTCAAATTCTCCAGGCGAGAGTAAGCCTTATTACAGCCTTCAAACTGAAACGGAAATGAACATAGTAGGATTTTTAACAACAACCTAATTGCAGTGGAGTGAACTCTCCCTACACTACAAACCAATAAACAGCCAGTATCATCTACAATGTTCTTGAGCTCCATTTAGAAATATTATTTCTCTCTCTTGCAATAACAATTTAAGCAACGTCTGGCTCATTAAATAAACTGGCCTTTCTTTGTTACTGTCCAAGCAAACTCAAAGTAGATCTCTGAAAGCAGACATCGTATCTTCTTTCGCAGTAAACAGTGATAACATAGATAACAAATGAAAATGACACAATTTAAGCAGCAGGTTTCTTTTAGATGTCAAACTCTAGATGTCAGGGACAAAAAGCAGAAACACTCACAGTGCACTTATGTGGCTTCTCCCCCGTGTGTCTGCGCATGTGAACTACCAGCATGTACTGCGCTTTAAAGGGCCTCTGCTCTCGAGAGCACTCCTGCCAGTGACACACAAACTCCTTCTTTTCTCCATGGATGTGCTCATTGTTGATGTGCTGTAAAGTCAACAGATACATAGAGATAATTATCAATGACCAAAGTTATATACCGTGGTATTTTTCCTGCTCTTTTTTTTATCGGTTTCTTACATGAACTAGCTGGTCTTGAGTGTCAAACTCCTTGTTGCAGCTCTCCCAGTGGCAGTTGGTTTCATAGATGGCCTCTTGCTCTGGCTTCCCGTCCTCCTTGTCCAAGTCATCTCTGCCGTCAAGTAGACCCAAAAGAGGGTCCTGAGGAAAGGTAGGAGTTAAAATCATAAATGCATGGCTCACACATGTCAAAATAGTTAACACAGTAAGCAAAATGCAAATGTTAAAGTTAAGAAATATTTGTAGGAGTAAGAGCGATTTGACCATTTTTACCTGAGTACCAGTTGAAGAAGGACTTGCCACATCTCCCTCTGACCTCTCCTCCATGCTCTTTACATTCATACCATCCATCACTCCTCCCAGTCCTGGCTCTGTCTTTAGCTACATAAAAAAATAAACATCATATGAGCTTTTTGTCTGATACAGTCACTCGCTTCCATAAAATCAACACAGATTTGAATTTTCCCTCTCACAAAACGACATGAGCTGCCAAATATTAAATGTGGTTTTGATTACTTTGTGAAGTTTGTGAGTGAGTGAGCTGTCTTACATGACCATGCTTGGGTGGGGCATGGAGCCGAGGATTGTGGGGAGGTAAGCGAGATGCTTGGCAAGGACCTGGTGTGTGTCCACCCAGAGGCGTACCCCCGCCTCCTCCGTACATGGAGCCTTGTTGTCTGGACTGACAGTTTATGTTGCTGGAATAGCCAAGGGACGGGCTGTACAGAACAGTGACAGGAAAAAAAGAGGCATTCAAATCAATTCATTTTATTACAAGCACTGGCAAAGTTTCTGTAATATCAAAATATAGATTAAAATGATGACAAGGCAAGAAAACATGGATTGGTCTCCTTCTCTTGTTGTCATTTCTTCTATTTTCAGTTCTTTAAATGAGTTAAAATACATTTAAATTACATTTTTAATTGTCTGATTACTGTTTTTTCACATCTGACTCAAAGTGTAAGGTAGATATGGACAGTGCTATCTTCACATTTAAAGTTTCCTTTTTTTTCTGCTTTATATTAGAGATGTATCTGACCTCATGGCGCTCACAGAGAGATGACCGTAGGAGCTGGCACCGTTGGGATTACAGCGGGAGTTCACAAAAGCTACCAGGGAGTTGGGCGATGTCCTAATCACTGTCTGCAGGTCAACACTGGCGTCAGACAGCGGCGAGATGGAAAGAGCTCTCTTTTTACTCAGTTTGAGCATGGATCGTGGCGTGGAGAACCTGGAGCCTGATGGAGAACAAAGGTAAGTTGCATGGCACAAACTTTTCAGGACTTCAGGGGGTTTCTTCACTTACCATCTCCTGAGCCTGTCTGATCAGAGCCAGGTTGAATCTGGCAGAAGTTATGATGAGAGGACATCATGTTGCTCTGGTTACAGTAGGGGGTGCTATTGCCACCTGTTGGACAAAAGTGACAATGAAATAAACCACTGCAGATCCTCAAGGCTCAAGTAAACATGCTTCTGCATTCTTCTGCATTGGCTTCATTTCTCAGCAGTAACTTTTGTCAGATCAAGAAAACAACTTTTACTTGCTAGGTTGTGTTACAGCAAAGTCTTATGACTAGAACCTCTGATAAGTGGGAGAAACTGTCTTTTGAGGTTAGTGAAATGATAAACAAAAGAATTGCAATGTCATGCACCGGCATCCTTACTTGCCGAATAAAAAGTATTTTAAGACGGAAAAATGCTGACATTTTAACCTCAGCAGCTCAGCCAACTTTGAGGAATCTCTGTAGTCCCTGTCTTACTCAGTCTCTTAGGTATCTTTAAATCCAAATCAGTAGCAGCTGTGAGGTTAAAGAGATGTAAAAGATACCCTGACTCACCTTCTGTGGGCGGCATGCCCCTGTGACCCATCATACTGTGTGGCGGTGGGGCCTGAGGAGGCCTCATATATTGATCCATGCAGTGGCCCATCCCCTGTACCGGTCCTGATCCATGAGTCATACTGGGAGTCATGGGGTTGTACATGGTGCGGCAGTCCTGGGGAGGTCCGTTGAGGAGGGGGGCGCGGAGAGAAGACACATCACTGTAGGGAGACTGGTCTGATGGGACTAGGCTGAAAATATCGAAGAAATAAACACATATTAGCGTGAAACATGGTCGATAAAAGCAGAAAAATAAATGCCGTTTCCTATTTTTTGGTGTTCAACAAACCTCAACGAAGCAACAAAAAAAGACAAGATCAGAACTAATAAATAAATCTGTAAACTGCTGTTTAACCTAGAAACAAAAACATATTCAAATTGTGTTTTGTGTTATTCTTGGGTTCATTTATAAAGCCTCGATGTAGAAATCAGAAAAGCACAGAGGGTCATCCCTGCTGTCACGTCCTGTGATACCTTGTCCTCTCCACTAGGTGGGGTATAATCCTTATCTCAGCCCCCACTGTGGAAACTTACTCTGCCTGGGTTTTCCCCTCCCAAACCAGAGAGGAGAAGCTTCATTGGAACTTTCCAGCCTTCTCATGAATTGTAATGTTTTCTCTGACCTTTCTTCAGTCTCACTGGTCAGTTCAAAATCTGTCTCTGTCCGTCTTTTTCTCTTCCTCCTTGTCCCTCCCGCTCCTCTCCTAAAGGGGCAGACTTCATCTACCCACCTTCTCCTAAGTCCTCCTTTCAGTTCTATAATTCTTTCACCACAACGTGTATTCCACACAGGAGCTTAATCTGTCCCCTCTAATCCACTGTGCTGGTCCCCCCCAAATCTATACCTCCTCCCCATTCTCACCCCTTTCTCCCCTTCTCTTTTCCCATTCATCCCTTCTGTTCTCCTTCTCTCTTCTCTCCCTCATGCAATCCCCTCTGTCCTCTCTCTGTCACTTTCTATCTCCTCTCCCCTCTACTCCTCCTCCTCCTCCTCCTGCTCTTCTGTCTTTCTCTGTTCTGTCCAGCCACCTTTCTCTCCATCGCTCTCTTTTTCTCCCTCGCTCTGGGTAACCTGAGCGGGGCGCGAGGCAGTCATGCAGAGCGCAGCGGGGCCTGGTCAGCCTGTAATTAGCAGCTGTCAGAGAGAGGCCGAGTCCACCCGCAACCTGGGTGGCATGAGAAAGGGAGGAGGGAGAGGGGGAGGAGTGAGGGGCTGAGCTAGCGCTGTGTCCGTAACAATTGCAGCGAGACCTGGTCTTCTGTAACCTCTGAATATTTCTGATTTAAAACAGTCAAACTTCTTGAGGCTGTAAAATGAGTATCATCCCTACTTTATCTTTTTTACAGGCTACAGTGAATTGATTGAAAGTAGTCACTAGAAACACAGAGAAGGGTAGCTGTTGGTTGTAATGCAGCAAAATTAAATGGGTGTGCAATTCAAAGACTCAAGGATCTGGGAAATACCCGCTTTTGCTTTCTTTGGGAGAGTAAGCGGGGAAAAGTTAATATCAGTCTTTGCATAAAAACTAAATGATGGGAAAGCAGCAAGCTTAGCCGAAGTAAAACAAAATGCCTACTGAAATGTACAATAAACACCACAAAGAAGATAATAAACATGCAAACTAAAACCTTTAGATTCATAAAGTCATTCACAGCATAATCCCCGTCAATAAATACTGTTTAAGTCAAGCAGCTGTGCTCAGCTTCCTAAAGCCTTGTCTTCATTGCCGTGTTTTATCACATGAGCTCTATGCAGGGTTATCTGTCGACTTATGTCACAGTGGTGGTGAGAAAAACACTCCAAGTTGACCTGCTTCAATCACTGATATAAACCTTTTGTCGTTTGCTGTATGGTGGCAAAATCATGGCACTGATATTTCTGTTAATTTAGACTCAAAACATTTGATATCTAAAAGCTTGTTCTTGAAATGTTGATATGTAGCAGTAGGATGTATTACGTTTAACATTTTGGCCACAATTCTCCGTCTCTAATCGTGTGTTTACTTTTGTGAAAAGCCTTTAATCTTTTAACAGATATCAACTTTGGCCTCAAAAATCCAGCTTTGCCTTTATTTGGTATCACAGTAACTGCAGTAAATTTAAATAATTGATTTCCAAATATTTATGTGTATACAAGTAGAAGCAAACACAGCTGAGAGGCTTTGGTTGAAATATTTCTGATGTCTGAACAGGGTAGGATTTATGTTCCCCTCCTGCTGTGCAATCAGTCCTCTCATCTTGCTCTTCAAAATACAGGAAATAATCATTTCCGAAATGTTAAATTATACATTATGTTACAGATTTTACCAAAACTTAAAAGGAATAAAGTGTTTGCTGCTCTCTTACCCTCTGGAGGGCTGACTCGGGGAGGTCTCATAGTGATACAGCCCCTGGTGTGGCTGCATGTCCACTGGCATTGGCGCTCTTGAGGCCTGCTGCTCCCCTTACACCCTGGACCTGACACAAAAAACAGAGGACGGGGACACGGTTAGGGTGAAGAGAGGACAACTATACAAACCCAACCAAATGAAACTGAAGTAAACCAGAGAGAAAAGGCAAATAGACAAAAACAATTGTGGTTGAGTGGGAAAAAAGAATATGTAGGATGTTAATAACAGACCAAACCTAACCAAGCTAAACAGTTTAGGGGAAAAGTAAGCCTGAGTCATGCTCATTTTAAACAATGTTTGTACAAAACCACTACTTATATAAAGGTAGAGACCAAAAAAAGAGGAAAATTAAACACATTGTGAGGATTATGTAATGTAAAACTAGATTTGTTTTTAAGTTATTAAATAAATTATGAAGTTTCCTCCACTGGAAAGACATTAAGTGAAGAAATAAAACAACAAAAAAACTATGAAGTTTAAGGCAGGTGGTATTAAATATAGATAATTAACTTATCAATGCAGTTTTGTGATCAAGTCTTTATTTTTATCAGAAACATTGATTAGTCAAAGTCAAAAATAAAACCTTTTGCAGTCAAACATTTGAAAACATATCATCAAAAGTTTCATTAAGATAAATAAATCTCATAAGTTCATATGTTTGTTACAGGTGTTGTCATGACGGCCAGAATAATCCAAGACTTTAAATCAGGACTGGTTTAAGTTTTATAGACTTTAAAAGAAACGTGTTATGGAGCAGTTCTGATATGGTCTAAGTGACACACACTGAAGATCAGACACACACCCTGTGACACAAACAGCGCGCTCGGCTCTAATCTCTCTTCTCTAAACAGAGCCTAGCACCTCAAACACCGATGACAGACACTGAAAACCTGCTGCACCTCCCCTTCCCGAAAAAGTGGCCATCAACACAGAAAAGACATACAGAAGAAGACAAACTGGGTTAAGCCGTAAAGCTTCAGAGACAACAAATTGGTCGCAACATAAACAGAGGAATATGAAAGTTAGAACAAAGCGGGCTTTTGTCTGAAACTCATTTGGGGAAGGTGTCTTTCAGTGAGAACACATGAGGAAGGTAATTTTAGCGGAGAGATCTCGGGAAGGAGCACCTTCTCATTACATCCAACCACATCAGTGCAGGTACTAATAGTCAAGACTTACATGTTTATACGGGCAATTAGGACCAAAAAATTACTGTACCAGCTGATGGTATAGTAACCACAAAGAGAGAGGAGCCAAGTTAAGATAGTTAACAAACATGCCGACTTATTTTTAATGTGAAGTTTTCATCAAACCTGAAAATTTTGATGCTAATAGATTTATTTGGCGCCTTTCGTACTTGGCAAAATGCACACAAATAAACGTAAAATCCAAGTGTGTTTTTTTCTGTTTTCAGAGTGAGTGAAATCACAATCAAACTACGTTATCATCGTCTGATCTATCACAACAAACCAAGTGTGCCAAAATAGACATTTGCTTTTCTTTGTTGAAAAATACAAACACTGATTTTAAAGTTTAAAAACCCGCTTTATCCCCACTGTGTAGCTTTGCACTGAAATTTTAACCAGCTATATGAAATGAAAACATCCCATCGCTGCCTTTTATGTGCTGGAACCCAGACTGGTAGCCCTCGTGTCCCCTGCAGATGAAAGCCCTGTGGTTAGAGTGTGACAGGTTGCCAGGCCTGTTATGTAGTAGCACAAGTGTTAAAAGGGCAGCAGGGACCTATTTAAGCCCACAAGCCACCAGGGGGATTTGATACGCAAAGTTAGCGAGGAAGCTAAATGATGTGGGCGGTCCGGGGGCTAATTGCACATATTCAGCGCTGGCTTCAGATGTGTGTATGATAATTAGCCGGAAGTGCTAAATAGAGATCTCGCTGAGCGCCTCAGCTGTCCAAAACTAATAAATACCAAGAAGGGGGTCGCCAGACTGCCTGACACACACATACACACTTACATACACACACTGACACACCTGTCAGTCTCACCAGGGGGGAGTTTAATAATCCGATGGCCACCATGACTACAGAGAGTGTGTGTGTGTGTGTGTGTGTGTGTGTGTGTGTGTGTGTGTGTGAAAGAGTGAGTGTGACTGAATATACCAACACAGTTTGTACTGTGTAAGCCTGGTGGCAGGTGTGTATGAGAGGAGAGTTTTGGAAACAAGTGTATTTGCGGTGCAGCGTGTGTGTGAGCGTGTGTTTGAGTGTGTGTGAATCAGCATTTGAGAGAGAGAGAGAGAGTGTTTGGCATCATAAACGGCTGCAGATCTCAGAGTAAGATTGAATAATTTATGAGACCACCTGAGCATACGTGAGCTGGAATTTTCTGAAAATGTTGTTTTCTCCAGGGAACAAGCCAGCGGTGAGTGTGGAGACTCCATGTGCACACACTCAAAAGTGTGTTTTGTAATTAATTTATGTGGAACATGGCTAAGGCGAAGGATTACTGTAAAGTATGTGCAAATGTAGAATAAGTCAACAGATTAAATGTTGACTTAGTCCTGGCACTGTGGTCTTATAGACTCCACCTTCATAAATATACTCAGAAGACTTCTTTATCCTTATTTTTCCAATAGATTTATTTTATTTGTTTCATCGCCGAAAGTAGAAGTAGAGGAGAAACACAAGGCATAATCATTTATCACTTCTGTCTAATCCCAATGGTCGTCCTTCTGTAGCCAAGGAAGTGGTAGAAAATGCAGTTTTAAACAGTGCGGCTGAATTAAATCTGGCAAAAGTGATTCTAAACGGTCTGAACCAGTCCCACAAATGTCCGCCATTAATCGCCCTCTCTGACTGTTATTATTGCATAAGCGCCTTTATTATTGCTCATTTTCCCATTTACACAAATTGGACTTAAAGAACCTCGAAATGTTTCTCTCTGCCTTCTGTCCTCTATCATTGACCAATGCTTTTATCCGTTGCACCTTTGCATGTTTGTTTAGACTCTACTACCTCTGCCTCTTTACTACCTCTATGATTGTGTTGCTCTGACACATCACTTCCTCTGCTTTTAGGTCCTTAATACTTCATTAATTCTCGATACTGTTGTCTAAAAGTTCTTACCCATGAACAATTTAAAACACATACTTATAGTCTTTGTTTTCCTGATGACTTAAGGAAGGAAACAAACGGCAGGAGTGATCTAGAATATGGATATAGATAAAGATAATCGTAGATAAATACAGATACACACACACAAACATTAAATGTATATGACTTGTCTATTTCTGTATTCTAATTGTAAATGTAACCGCACTCAGATGTATGATTTTGTATGGGCCCGGTGCTGACACAGGTGTCGTGGCATTGTACTATTTTCAGTCAATATTTTGTGAGAAACTCTCAGGGAGTTTGCTCTCTGGTGTAATTTTGTGGTGCTGGGTTTTAGAGGGATGGGGCAGAGGCATATTAAAACCCCCAAGGCCATAAATCAAATGGCTAACTAAACAAGTCTGCTCCTCTGCGGCACAGGGAGCTGGGCAGCAACCAAGGAGCTGAGGATGAGGACAGGATGTGCAGCCGCTTTCAAAACCCAAAAAACCTCTCCTTTTAAACAGTCCATGTTCACAGCCCTGCAGCATCACCGACCCATACAAGCCACACCTAGAAACCAGGCATCCCCAAAGTGACCTTTACAATATCACCAGCCAAGCATAGCAGAGGAGTGCTGCTCTGTTTCTCCAGCAAGACATACTTCGAATATCTTTTCAAAGCCCCTGCTTGACAATTAACTCAATTACAGGATCATTTAAATCAATCCCAGAGAGATCTTATCCTTCTAGTTTCTTCCTCGCCTGCTTACTAACCAAACTAAATCAGCTTACGCCAATAAATAAAACATGGTTTTGTATCTCTAATGGCTCATTACTCGTGCAAAGACAGGAACCTGACCGCTGCTCTGGAAAGACGCAGCATTCAGCTTAAACTGATGTTAATTACATCAGCAGATCTTAAATATTTCCTCCTCTCGTAAATTAAAATTTGGAATGGCGCAATAAAACGCTCCATTACTTCACACAGTTAGCGGTTTTTCTGCACCTTCCAGTGCCTGGTGTTAGCACATTTAAAGTCAGCATTAAATTTTTTAACAAGTTGGTTTGGCAAAAAAATTGAGTTAAAAAAAGCAGTGTTGGAATAAACCTTAGCACGGTTACTTATACACTGTATTTAAGATTCTCTTTAGGGTAGGGCTGCACGATTTTGGCCAAAAATAAAATCCTGTTTTTTTTCCTTTCTCTGAAGACTCGATTTTTGATTTCGATTTTTTATTTGGTGACAACTTCATCAAACCTAACTTTAGTACATTTTCTATCATCTCTCAAAATGAAACCACTGAAAATGATGTAGTGCATATGCCAAGCCAATAAGGGGCGCTGTAACGCTGCACAGGAAATGTACAAAAGACAGAAGAAGAGTACAGAGCGTATAAAAGTGCACAGGCGCCATAGAAGTTGTTTACAAATGTATTCATTCTCAGAAAAGCCAATTTTGTGTTGATGAAACACCAGTACGACAAAAAAAAATTATGTTTACTCCTGAATTCGTTAACGTGTGGACGGGTTGATAGCGCCTTCAGACAGACTTTGCAGAGGGGAGTGGTTTGCTCTTTGTCCAAAACTGCGAAGCCGTACCAATTCAACACGACTGACTTGCTCTTGTCTTATTTAGCCATGAAATTATCGCCTTCTTTTGCAAACACCATGTTTGTTTACACTGGTGGGTGTGGGAACTGGGGAGCCTACGGTGGCCTGGAGGCGCGGAACATGACTGAGAGGAAAATTGATTTAAGGATTTAATTTTTTTAACATCGTCAAAATAAAAAATAACCCGACGACGATTTGAAATTAATTAATCATTAAGCCCTGCTCTGGGTACTTGGTAAAGTACATCATAGTAGCTGCCTGATGCTTTTTACACAGTAGTTTGATCCATTATATGATGGAATCAAAATTCTTTGACGGGATTTAATTGATTGCTCTGATACAAATAACTCTGCAGACTGAGACTTTTGGTGCAAAATTCATATCAACCATGAAATCTGTTGCTTATGTTAAAGATGCTGCCTGTCATTATGTGGAATAATTTTCTAATAACACCTTTGTTGTTCTTAATGTCATTATGTTTTTAAAAATTTAGTATCTGAACTATGGAGCACAGGGTCAAAGGTCAGATCCAAACCCAGGCTGCGTGCATCAAACATTTTAACCTCTTCACATGAGGCACTACATTTAACGACTAAGCTAAACCAGCACCTCAATACTTGAGTTGTGTGTTATAGATATGTTTGTAAAATTCTTAGTACTCTCACCATTGAAGAATTTTTAATTGTGGCTCCAAGAGATGGTCTTCAGGATAACCAGCTCGTTTAAAATAACTTGATTGTCCCTTGTCTTCACCTTAATCAGAGTAGTTTATATAAGAGGACACTGTGGTAGCCAACTTGCTGCAGGAGCTGTGACTGTGTTCAGGTGCTGTTTTCCGGCGGCCTTTGGTTCGGACTAATCCCTCAAACTTAAGTTCTCAGGTGATAGTTTGTGTTTGTGGTTTACAAAGAGGAACATTGTTTCGCTTTTTACTGTTCGGCCATTTGTGACATTCCCATAAAGCATCACTCCTCCTCTCTCTGAGCGAGTGTCCCGTGAGGACAGACATTTCTACAGGTCACTGGCCGTGTCAGACAAAAGGTCTGATTCGGCCCCTGCTCCGCTCCTCCACCTCATGGGTGTAACACTAAACTGGGGCTCACACATAACCCCCTCCCCAGCCAGAAAGAGGCATTTAGTGACAGCCCCTCTGCTCTTAACCTCATTTCTCCTCGACTCTCTTATGGGAATGTGTGTGTTTGCTCTCTTTTGCTGGGTAATCTATTACAAAGACAACATAAAACAGCCTAAATAAAGCCGAACACACAACGTTAGGAGTGCATGTGCTCGAGTGTAAACACCCCCTCTCTCTCTCCCCACCATCTCCCTCATTCTTGTCTTCCCTTCTTTCATTATGCCTTTTCCTTAGCTCTAAATTTTCTCAGAGGATATCTTCTCCTCTCTCCCTCTTCTCCCCCGCTGCCTCCACCCTCTCCCTCATTCCCTCTCTCCCTGCTCATTCCTGCTCTTGCGACCTCTCCCTCGCCCCTCCCCCTCCTGGCGGAGCTGCAGTCGAGGTGGGTGTTCTCTGGCTGTTATGACTTGAGAGACGATAATGGCAGCTATAATGTAGCCAGCCGTTCCTGATGTGGCTGGGCTTGTGGGGGATTCTGTTGTGTTAGGGCTGGAGACTGAGCGAGCCAGGGAGGCGGGGGGAACGAAGGCGGGGCCCCGGGCCCTCAGCCAACCACAGCCCAGATTCTGCTTCATTTTGTTTTTTCTTTTTTTTCCTTTTTTCTTTCTCTCCCTCCTAACCCAGCAACTTTTTTCTAGCCCTGTTGTTTTCCTTCAGTGGTAAACTTTGTTTTTAAATTCTGGCTTTGTTTTTGTAACCCCTCCACCCGACACAGACTCGACTCCCTCCATGTTTTCTGCCCCCACCCACCGTCCCCAGTGTTTTTTACCCCTTTTACCCAGACTCTGAGAATTCCTCACAGCTGCTGTAATGTGATGGGGGCTGATGGTGTGACCAACGAAAGGCCACGGGGCTGGAGACATCACTGTAATGTACAATAAGCCCTTCTCACTGACCTGCTGCAGGGAAGATTAATGTCATATCTACTCGAACAGTTACTTTGAGTTTTATTTAACAGGCTTTAATTCTTCTTAAGCCTCAAGTGACATTTCAAAGGTGGTGAACCAAAGCTGGCATAATTGTGGAGCAGGTATTAGTCATGACTGGGAAATAAAGTAGTTTAATTTCATTACGAGCTGTGCTGATAATGCTTTGAATCAGTCCTAGAATAATACAAAGTTGTGTCATCTCAAGTGGAGCTTCATGAAAACCTCATTTTTATTTACACATCCCCATTTTTGTCTCTATATTTAATTTATCTTGTCAACTGCCATTCAACTTTAATTTTTTTACTTTCCATTTTCTGTTTATTACAGACAAAAACAAAATCAAACCAGACAAGATGGAAACCTTAAAACTTCAGCAAATTTAGTACAGGCATGTGGACGTACATGTCTGTACTGATGAGGACTAAAGTCTGGTGGTTTTAGTGTTGCTAATATTTGACGTTTTTTTAAACTGCAGACTCTGTGATTTGCCACGATAAATAAATCTTGACTGTTATGTGAATGTTTTCTTACATTTGGACAAGTCGAATAGTCCGAATTCAATTTTTAAAGGGATATTCCGGCGTTAAATTAATTTAGGGTCAAACACACTGTAACACCTAGTTCGACATCCCCTCGAGAGATGAATGTTGCCGAGTGCTTGATTCTCTTGTTATACCAACTTCAGTAACGCCACTCTGTAGCCACAAATAATGCTCAGAATGTTCTTCCTTGAGCTGCGTCAACCCCACAGCAGTCTGTAATGGACTGGCCCGAGGTCTCGCTACAAACAAGCGGCTGCTGGAAGAGAGTAGGTGAGTTGTGTTTAGTCTCTTTGCTAAAGAAATCAGGCAAAGTTAACAAGATGTTTGGTGGCTAGTGCTATGGCTGGGACCCTATATGTACTGTTGATGAAGTTAGGTGCTGTCATTATATGTTCTGTTTATTAGTTTCCTTCTCCTGGTTTTATTTGAGTACATTTTGTGTTTTGTCCCTATTGTTCCTGTTCCTCTGTAGTCCAGTCTTGTGAGTTTTTAGTTTGTGTCTGACCCCGTTTCCCTCCTGTTATCAGTGTTTTATTCTTTATATCAGTTGTTAGTGTTTCCTGTTTTATTTTGAAGTAGTCCATCCGTGTGTGTATATAGTCTGGTGTAATACATGTGCACACACATAAAGCAGCTGCAGCAAAACAGACATTAAAAAACAATGGAGGGAGGAGAGAGATATGCATTCTCAAGATGGAAATACAGACACTATTTTGACTTTGTGTCTAAAGAAAACAATATTAAGGTGGTTAAAATGGTTACCATTTATATGTTGAGGCTGCTGAATGTAACTTAAAAAGTAACTTATCTAACTTATTTACGTTCAAGTAATTAATAAAGTAACTAAGTTACTTTTTGATCCGTAATCACTAATCAAATTACTTTTAAAAAAGTAACTGTGGCAACACTGGATATTATACAGGAGTTAACAGTTAACCAGTTACGCTCACAGCACCCTTGTGTCACTTACTGAAAATTTGTTTTTTTACTAATTTTACTAGCTTCAGTAAAGTATATGACCAATACAGATCATTAAGAGGAGGTTGATAATTCCATTGAATTTGGCAATTTGAAAATGTTACAACCCTCTACTCTGCTAACGTTGCAGTAAATCTTCCTCATATGACAAATATACTTTTTATGATCTTGTTCTCAAGACTGCATTGAAATGTTACAGCTATGTAGTCGACTATGCTAGGAATCCTCAAACGAATATTTGCTGCTCATACAGATCAGCGTAATACAGTCATCACTACAGCCCAGATTCACACTTCATGTATCCCTGTACTGTAAACTGTAGTGCTGCGGTGGTGCTGAAGTCTCACTGCTGGGGTTCTCACCTTGTCAAAATGGCAGAATGAAACGTTGATCCCTTGTTGCTACACAGTCGGAGTGACTGATGACAGACATCGGGGCACTAGAGCGCTCGAGCACCGTGGCTTAAAATGACTACAAACAGGAGAAGTGGGAGCTGAGCTAAACCGAGCACAGTAGAGAAGAGAAGAGCAAATAAAACACCGAATAGCACCTAATGCGCCTTGATTGACCTTTTTTATAGTTTAGCCAAGTGTAAAGCCGTATTCTTATTCTTCTGAATGAAACATGTGCAGGAATGAAGTGGAAATGCAGCCAAAGAACTGATCTTGATGTTAAAGGAACCGTAATTTACTCAAGCTGCTTGTACAGCAACACACCGCCTGTAGTGCACAGTCATGATTACTGTTTTTCCACTTGTGTAACTATTGGCTTGATCAGTGAGCTTCTTGATAGTGTTTGTTTTAGGATTAGGAGTGGTTCACCTCTCCTTGTTTTCATCTGCCTGCACAAGTAAGATTTTGCACACTGGTCACTGAGCAGACTCTCTAAGGCAGGGATTTCAACCAACAACTCTGGGAGGGTTTTCCTTCCTCCAAAGCCTCCCCTGTCCCATACCTGGCTGTTCTTTTACTCCTCCACAATCCCACTTTTTCTCTGCCCTCTCCCCAGGCCACCCACCCGCCCTTCCCACACATACCTGTGGTTTCCTGTTCCCCACTCTCCTCTCTTCTCTCTCTACCTCTTTTACTCCCCGCTACACACCTTCTCCTCCTGTCTGTCTACCTAGTTACACCAAACTCTTGTCTTCTTCTTCTTCTACTTCTACTTCTTACATGTCTGTGTATCAGGCAGGTAATGCCCCAAACCACAACTATTCCTTTGAACTCCTTCTGAGGCAGAGGAGTGGAGGAAACAGGGGGAGTGAAAAAAAGAAGGAGAGAAGGATGGATGGATAAAGCAGATGAAGAGAGGTTGATTCACACAGCTGGCTTCCAGCTGTAGACTGAAGCAGAAATGCTCCATCTATAAACAACTAAAAGCCCAACCCCCGTTTTTTAAAGAGAAAAAAAGTTTTGTCATCGTAAATTAAGCTCAGAACTCCTCTTCACCTTCACCAGCGCTCCTTAACGTCACCCTTGTTGCTCTTTTCCTCCCATCCTCTCTGCTTCACTACGTCATTTTCCCCTTCCTTGTTCTTGTCTACTCCACTCTTCACCACTTGCCTACACTGTTAGTATGGCAGTAAAAGTATAAAATCGAGGCCTTGTAAATCCTCTCCAGTCAATCAGCGACAAATGGAAAATATCCTCCGCAGAAATTCACTGGAGATGGCTGCTACACCGAGGAACAAAAACCAGAAAATTATCTGTGGGGTTTGTAGAAAGACCACAGTGATTATAAGAAAAATAATAATCCTAACAGTCTTGGGTGGGCAAGCGTTATTTATAGCTGGCCTGCTGCTACTTATATTCCTGAGCTGTATAACACAGCTGGAAGTGAGGGAGGAGAGGTGGAAAACTTGTGAAGAAAAAGACAAGGAGGAGAGGGAGAGACGGAGAAGGAGAGAGAGAGAGAGTGTGTGTGTGTGTGTGTGTGTGTGTGTGGGCGGACTCTAAACCCATGTGTTTGGCTCTGAGCAAGACACACAAAGAAAGGCAGAAAAAGAGACATAGACAGAGCAAGCGCTACGTGAAGCTGTGTGTTTTTATGTGTTTATGTGTGTGTTTGTATTCGGTGTGTGGGTGAAACCGCCGCGCAGTCCCTCCGAACGACGACAGATGAGGCCTGCAGGCCACCAGACGATCACAGTGACCACAGCTCTGAGAGGCTCTCGCAGAAAAGGAAACAAGGAGAAATACGACACAGAGAACACAACCATAAAATCAACTGAGGCGGAATAAATCAGGAGACAGTCATCGGGAATTTGTTGGCTGTTAATTTTTCATTTGTAAGCTTTTGTTTAAGAGTCTGGGAGGTCTTTGAGATCAGAGCACAAAATACGCGAGGATAGAGGAGAAGAGGTCATACTGTTGTATGACTCCTCCACAGAAACCACAGAAGAAGAGAGACTGTAAATGTTGTGACTAGAGGGTAAATGTATGATTTTGTCAAGAGACCAACAAAGAAGTGAAAATAATGAATATCCTGGATAGAGTACACAGATAAATAGTACTTCATGAGATGATGCAGTTCTCTCAGGAAAACTTCTTTGTGTTTAAAATTTACTGCAGACATAGAACAAATTAACGGCACCCAGAATCTTCATGTCACAAATTGAGACTAAGGTCCTCGATGCATGAGGCCTAGATTCAACTCTGAAGGTCCTTTCACACCGGGAGTGTTTTTGTCCTGCAATTATTTCAGACGTCAATAATTTTTTTCGAACCTGTATCCTGTTAATACAAGACTTCACATCAGCGACGTTTTCCCGTCCTGCAATATTGCGGCATTTATTTTTTCTTATCATGGTTGAATTTTCGAAAACTGTTAAAGCACACAAACCATCGTCATATGAGAAAACTAACGCTATGACTCTCCACAAGTTGTCCTTCAGGTCGTTATCTTTGTAATATTTGTATGTTTTTTATCAAAAAGCACTCTGTTCTCCGACACGTAAACAATCAGCCGGCCAGCCATGTTGGATATACCAGTGAGTGTTGTGATGTTTGAGTATTGTCCTTCCTTTTTGGATTACATTGATCTTTAAAACCAAGTACTGGCTGTTTGCTGACATAACTTTTGGAAAGTTATCACCTGGACTGCCAAAGAGTTGAACTGATCATCTCAGTTCCTTAAAAACAAATCTCAAAATGAAAATGCATTTATAAAGTAAAATGTAAATGTTGTTATTAACAGGGTCTCCAAATAGTGGTACATCATGATTATTTCATTATTTCTCTCTGACTCTGGTCTGATTTCTCTTTGTAAACTTGCAGCTAAAAATCCATGTGTAGACTTGTCTTTATCTGTTCACTGTCACACAACTGAACATGTACCTCAGCATTAGGGGTGGGAGAAAAAATTGATACAGCATGGTTTTGTCTGGTAATATATCATATCGTCTCATCTACCAAGTATTGATTTTTTCAAATTAATTGCTAATATGAAGTCATATCTACGATAGTGAAAAAATAAAATCAACTGTTTGTCCAGTGAGGTTGGCAGAGGTGAAATCATAGAGCAGGAGAAAGTTAGTACAACAAACATATATAAGGTTTGAAAGATGTACTACATGAAAATAAAATACAGCATAAATAAGACAAACATAAAGGAAAGACAAATGCTAAATTAGCAAAACAGTTGAAAAAAATTTGTATAAATCGCAATATAAAGTATTGTAATACTCACTGTATTGTAAAATGTTAAAAATCGCAATAATATTGTGTTGTGGCCCAAGTATCGTAATAATATTGTATCATGGCCCAAGTACCATGATAATATTGTATCATGGCCCAAGTATCGTGATAATATCGTATCATGGCCCAAGTATCGTGATAATATCGTATCATGGCCCAAGTATCGCGATAATACCGTATCGTGGCTCAACTACTGTGATAATATCGTATCGTGGCTCAAGTATCACGATAATACCGTATCCTGGCTCAAGTATCGGGATAATATCGTATCGAGGCTCAAGTATCGTGATAATACAGTATCGTGGGGCCACTGGTGATTCCCACCCCTGCTCAGCATGTGTTGCACTTGTGTGTAATCCTTGCTAAGGGTCAATGAAGTAAGGGTGATGTAGAGGTAGTGTAGTATATAGTGTTATATCATCACTTTCACGCTTGTCCTTTCCCCAGCCTTGCACCCTCGTTGTAACCTCTCTCTTTCCCTTGCGCTCATTTTATGCCTGTCTTTTGTGTCTTTTTGGAGGAAGAATTTGCAAAAACTTGCAAAACAACATGTGCAGAGAATGTGCTCTGATTTGTCTCAGTCCAGTGGGAATCTGCAGCAGATTGTAAATCTCATGAGAGCCGATGACTGCTGAGATCTGATTGATGCAGAACAGCAGGGCTGAAAATGAATATTTTCATACTGCCTGCCATTTACTTGAACAAACCTCATCAACACAGTGGACAAATTACAGAGCATCTATTTGGATCGTACAATCAGAGACGTAGACTCAGATGTGCTCGTCTCCTGTGTGGTCCTCCTCTGAGCTGCTGACTTCATAACTAATATATCACAGGCGTTTAGTTTAATACCCAGATGTTGGTAGGGGCAAAGCTGATGGCTTTTAATTGGCTGGGATCCCTGAGCTGATGTTTGGGGCTTAGCATGTGACTCAGGGAGACACACACACACACACACACACAGGGTAAAATCACCCACACAAACACTTGCAGAGTTGCATACACACACTTTCCCTGAACAAATGAAAGGCTTGGCTGCGTTCTCAAAGGGCGGCAGGCTCACATGCTGTCAGGAAGAGACGAGTCATGGCTGTCCAGAGGAGTGTACAAACTAAATAAACCCAGACAACACACACACACACACACTCATATGGACACTCACATACATTCAAAGTTACTTCTTTTAGATCCCAGGACTGACTGATGCTTTGCTTATGTCTGATGCACATGATAACTGAGGATCCATTACGGACTGCTGCGGGGTGACGCAGCTCAAGGAAGAACATTTATGACCATTTCTTCATGGAAATGCGACTAGACTGAGACGCTAAGGCACAAGAACTACCGTGTCTGCAGAGCAAAATAATTAATATGGTGATTATTACTTCACGGAAATGATAAAGAAATGATCATAAATGTTCTTCCTTGAGCTGCGTCACCCCGCAGCAGTCCAGAATGGACTGGCCTGAAGTCTCGCAACAAACAATCGGCTGCTGGAAGAGAGTAGGTGAGTTGTGTTTAGTCTCTTTGCTAAAGAAATTAGGCAAAGCTAAAAAGATGTTTGGTGGTTAGTGCTATGGCTGGGACCCTATATGTCCTGTTGATGAAGTTAGGTGCTGTTCTGAGCATTATTTGTGGTTATAGAGTGGCTTTTTGGTTGAGGTTTGTTTATGGCTCCTCAGACCGCTGTGTATTGCTGTTGTGCGGTCATTACTAAAGTTGGTAAAACTAGAGAAGCAAGCGGTTGGCAACATTCATCTCTCAAGGGGGTGTCTAACTCAGTGAACCTAAATTAATTTTATGCCAGAATATCCCTTTAACGTCGATGCTTCAAATAAATAAATAAATAACAACGTTGTTGCTCTGCCGCAAGGCCGGATAAAAAAAAAAAAACGTAACCAGAACCGTGCGCCTCCCTGACTATTTATTGAAACAGAGCATTTTAGTTTCTTTGCAAAATGGCAACAGCTTCAGCAGCCTCCAAAGAGCGGCCGATTCTCTCCCCACCGGGTTTGACTGCAATCGTGTGGAAGTACTTTGGGTTTTATGAGAGAGCAAACGAGACGACTGACAAGACCTACGTGATTTTCAACGTCAGCAACACCACAAACATGAGGCAGCACCTTGTCCGCTTTCATCCTGAAACAGAGGAGGCCCCCCCGGTCGTGCTCGCCACACAGAAAACCATCCTGGAGACTGTCTCTAAACTTCCCAGTTTAAGTTAAATAGGTCAAAGTGCAAATGTTTGCTTAAGAGTCATACAGCCATAAAATAAAATATTTTGTGTTTTGGAAAAATAATGTTCAAAAAACCTTGTCATCTACTTTTTAAGCAGGGTTTAAGAAGAACTGAGTTAATGGGTAGGCTATTTATTTACAAATGTAGCCACAGGTGAAGACAAAATCAGTCTTGTGTTGAAAAAAGTATTAAAAATAGCAATAATCAAAGAATCGTGACACCAAATAATAAATCAAATCGACAATCTTTACAATCGAAGAATCGAAATCGAATCAAAATGTAGGGTAACCTTGTTGGAACACCCCAACTATCAACCCAAGCCTGGTTGTTTGTGTGTGTGAGTGAGACAGAGGGAGAAGGGTAGATAGAGTGTGTGTGTGTGTGTGTGTGTGTGTGTGTGTGTGTGTGTGTGTGTGTGTGTGTGTGTGTGTGTGTGTGTGTGTGTGTGTGTGTCTTCAGTTACCAGCCGCCAGAGCTGTAATTAAGTGGCATTAACATAACTAAAAGGCAACAAATCAGCTAATCAGCTGGAAGTAAATTGAGGGGGGTGGTTAACACACACACACACACACACACACACACACACACACACACACTTCACTTCACATCATCAAGTCTAAATCATTACAGACATTTTGCTGCTGCATTATGAGTTTTTTTTCTCCTCACACAGATGCACGAACTTAAGATCAGAAAAACATGAAGCTCTTTCAACTGTTGCTCATTAAAATTGATTGTGAAATCAGGTCTTAAGTTGAAAACACATTCAGCAGAATTTTCCAATTTGCAGCTGCTGCAGACCTCACACATCCAGACAGTTTTCACCAGATTTGTCACATATCGTTTCTCATTTAAGTGTTAGCGCAACTCATTAGCCGATAACAAGATCTTAATGTGACATCAGAAATGCCACTTTAGCTGCTTTTAAAAGAGCCACTTGTTGCTTTTACTCAAGTCCTCCACCACTCTGTCTGTGCACAATACTAACAAAAGCACAGAGAGCTGAATCTGGCTGTGGGGAGGCCTGAACCAGTGGTGTATTTGCAGGAGCACGGTTATTAGTAGGATGCTAAAGTAGGCTGCCATTAAAGTTAAACAGTCTTTAATTAGTATTGACTAGCATAAAATAGAAATAGAAGTCTAAACATTGGCTGTATATATTTAGTGTTATCCGCTTTACTGCCTAGCTTTGGGCTGATAAAGATCTTTGACTGGCTGAGGCTCTCATCAGAAAAGTGAAGGAGATGTTCTGCAATCACAGCGGTTGTCTGCTATTTGTGCATGTAAACACTGATGTTATCTCATGCATGAGGAAGGGGCTCCTTTCACTGCGTCTCAGGACCGAATTCCACTCTGTATCTCCATGCAGCGCTCAGTGATGTGCAGGAAGCACATGCATGCACACGTAAACACTCACTCTCACCGATACACAAACAGGCATTTGGAGGCAAACTGCACACAAAACAGTATTTACACGTAAAGTGCAACACAAACACTGCTAAGAGATCTACATGCCCACACAGCTATAGGAACACATGCGTGTTTACACAATCGTACAGAGTTCAGAGGGTGGTGAATGCCCCTGATGACCCAGAGACCTGATGTGACAAACACAATAAGAAGGGCACCGTTTACGTCAGCAGCTTCTGAATAGCTCACTAACAGGCATGCTGAGACGCTGCAATCACACACTCGCCCTGTGTCTGTATTTTTCTTTCTAAACTATGAGGTAATTTCATCGTCTCTGAGGAAGCCCAAAACTTTAAAGAGAAAACTGACAAATGCCACAACAGAGGACAATTTGATGAATGAAAGTATAATTTGTTACCTGAGGTGTTGAACTACATCCATGTAAAGATTTATCACCTGACAATTAGGGCTGCATGATTTTGGCTAAAAATCAAACTCAATTTTCAATTTCCATTTTGATTTTTTTTTTAGTAACAAATTCACTAAACTTCACTTTAATAATAAGTTTATCTTTCATCTCTCAAAACGAAACCACTGAAAACAATGTAGTGCATATGCCAAGCCAGTAAGAAGCACTGTAACGCTGCACAGGGAATGCACAAAAGACAGAAGAAGAGTACAGAGCATGTGTATAAAGATTGTTTCGGCCGGACACACGCAGGCGCCATAAAAGAGTTATGCTGTGTCACATAATCATTTAGAGGGATGCAGATGGGCATCCACAGGGAGATGAAATGGCGGTCGTTTACGGATTTATGTAATCTCTGACCCATTCTCAAAAAGTAACGTTTACAGTCACCCAAAACACCGTTTCCGTTTGGATGAAATGCCAATACGACAAAAAACTTTTGCGTTTACTCCTGAATTTGTTTCGGTGTGGACAGGTTGATACCGCTTTTGCAGTGGGAAGTGGTTTGCTCTTCATCCGAAACTGCAAAGCCCTACCAATTCCACATGACTGACTTGCTCTTGTCCAATTTAGCCACGAAATTATCGCCTTCTTTTGCAAATGGAAGGGGGAGTCTACGGTGGCCTTGAGGTGCATCGATTTGACAATTTAGATTTTTTAAACAATGTTATAATTAAATAATCCAATTATGATTTAAAATCGATTAATCGTGCAGTCCTACTGACAATATTTTGAGCCTTCTCAAGACCAACTCTCTCCTGACAAATAGTGAGAGGAAGGAGTTCATTAGTAGGACACAAATATGCCTGCCTGTAAACCAATGTCTAACCCAATTGTAATGATGTATTACAGATTTGTCAATGGGTGATGTTTTGGGCCCTCACATGATCAACTCTGCAATCATGAATGAGAAACAGACCCAAAGCAGCAAACAAACATGTCTTTGTGTTTGTGTTGTACTTTGTCTTTTTTTACTCTAGGGGAATTTAAGTCAGAAATTTACTGCAAAAACAACAAAAGTTGTGAGGAGGAAGAAAGGCTGGTCTTATTTCTCACAGTCCCATCGACCCTGGCAACAAAAAAGAAAACATGGTGTGTTGTATTTCATATGGAAACATACGTATATTCAGGCCTAAGTCCATTGCTTTAGGCATAGTAGTGTGACATAGCAGCTTGCACATAGCCTGTCCAAGTCACATCATAGCTGTCCAAATGTCCGAAGGGACTCTTGTTTCACTCTCTAACCAGTTTTGTGCCAGTTTTTAGAGCAAAAATAAACATATTTACAGCCTGGTTCAAAAACTGTTTAGGTCCAAATAGCATGAGGTAAGTGAGTGCTTTTGTATTGCCATTGTTTTTTTAAGTTATTATACGAAATCGGTGAATCAGAGGCATGGTTGACTGGACTGACAGGCAGAAAAAACTTTTGCACAGAGGCTAAAGGCCAGCCTCTGGGTTGGACTGATGTTAGGCTGAGTCAGCATTAACAATATGGCAGCTGCTGCCAATAGGCTTCAAAACTCCACTTTAGAAACAATGATTGATGTACCAATGCTTCATCCACTTATTATACACTCTATGGTTGCTCCAGAGTGTTGTTGCACTCTCTCTATCTCCAGACACAGGAGACGTGCACGCACACAACGTCTAACAGAATGCTGTCTGAGTAAGTGTTTACATGGAGCAAAAGGGAGTAGCTATACCTTCTGTCTTTTCTTGTTTCTAACTGGTTCAACAATTTTATTTTAATTAAAGTTTATATGCGTGATTTTCATTCTAATAAGACAATTTTTCTAATGGTAATCTGGTTAGAAATGGTAATCTCAACCCAACCACTGATCAAAACAACAACTTGTTGTACACTAACAGTATGCTACGGTATCGTAATAAAGCTCCATCTCCAAGTACCTTTGCACTTTAACAACAAAAACAGTGTTTTTGGTTCACTGGTGTGAGATTATATTTCCCCATTGTTACACTGAACAAACATCAGGAGTGCACACCATCAAAGGGGGTCACATATGACACTCTTTCACATTTGCTGCTCAAGTTTTTCTTTTTTAGGCCTGGATGTTTTTTTTTTAAATTCAACCCACTTGCTCTTCTAGGCCCTGAAAATGTTCTCACCCTCACTTGCCCTGACTTAAAGTGGAAAGCTTAACTTAACGGCTGAAGTTGAGGTGAAAATTTTAACTGCGCACACATTCGGTCCATTCCTGGAAGTTTGGAGTAATTTTTTGAGGGTTTTGTTGATATTTAAATACAGATATACACAGGCACACAGTTTGACACGCACACACTGTCCTGTTAGCGATATATATATATTTTTTTGTTGGACGGTAGGGTAAAGTCACGCCTCCTTTGCCTCTGATTGGCTAGAAAATCTGGAAACGTCATCACACGCTCAAGCCAAACGCGGGCTGTTGGCTCCGTACATCAAACAGAACATTACAGAACATTATCGCACTTTTGAATCTCCTAACCCTAACCTGATAGACGATGACGTTTCACAGCCATTAGGAATAACCAATCGGAGCCCAGCACTTCTAGCCAATCAGAGGCGAAGCAGGGCAGGACCTTTCCCTACCATCCTAAAAAAAAATATTTCGCGTCCTGTTACTTCCTCTGATGACGGCACAAAGGTGGAACGACTTAACCTTACTGTTACATCTCTTTGTGTTGAACATTGACCAAGTAAACTGAGTCGAAGCAGACCCAACTTAAACAGGACTTCAGTTAGTGTCCATACTTGTGATCAGTCTGAGTCATAATTATTTGACCTGTGCATCTCTCAGAGGTTAAAAGCAGTTATACAGTGTTACTCATGAGCAGACTCACTAATGATGTTTTCTTTGTCGTACTGCTGTTGATGCACATGCTCGGACCTAGTGTTTGTAAAACGTCCTGGGATACAACTCGTATTAAACAATAAGCTCAACACATTCACTTGATTTTACAAAAGGAGCTTTAGGACTTCACATAAAGGAAATGAAAGATAAAAGGAGTGCAATGAGAGTACACTTTTACCACTGTTTCCTGTACAGAGAGGGAAAAAAAAGAGGCTGAGTGATTCACTTGAGATGGAAAAAATCTGGCGGCAGTAATGTTGCTGTGCAGCAGGCGACTCACAGTCTGTGTGTGGTATTCATGCTCTCCTTTCTCCTCTTACAAAGCAGGATGGGGGGAATTAGAGGGGTTAGAGAGGGAGAGAGAAAGACAGAGATGGTAGAAAAAGTGAGCGTGACAAAGAGAAACAAGTGAAGAAGAAGCGAGTTGATGGAAGAAGAGACACCGAGAAGAAAAGCTGGTGAGAAAGAGAAAGAGAGAGCGAGCGGGGTTGAGCGGCACTATGCTTGAGCAGTCCTTTTGACGGAGGAGAGAGGGACTGGAGACCTATTGTTGAAATCTCATTCCTCACTGTATTGTCCGACCTTATCAATGCAGGGTCACCAGGAACAATAGTGAACGCTCCCCTAAGTTCTCATTTGTTCAGTGTCACTGCAAACAGAAGACGCAGGTGTTACCTAATAGTACTTTTGAATAATAATGATAATGAAAAAGTAATCCCGGTCTAGCGTATGAATAATGTAAATATGTATTATGACAGCAGCAGTCTAAGGTCACAAAAATATTAATGTTGAGCTTGAAAATTGAGAATTTCTCAATATAGGGGTCATCACAACAGTTTTACATAATAGGTTTAGTTTACCTGTCATCATTAGTCATAATTCACTTTGATAGCTGATTATCAATGTTGGGTTGCATTGTGGGAATTGTGTGTTTTTGCAGTTTGTATCATTAATTAGAAATACCCAAAAGTCAGGAACTCTGAACATTTTCGATCACGACTTTGACAATATGTGTTTATTTTAAGAAAGATAAGAATAAATGCTTAAGGCTGGAATCAGAGAAAAAACACAGCTAAAAGAAACTTTAGTGACTGAGACAAAGTTTTCCCACAAATATCGCAACTCTCAGACACACCTGCACGTTCAGGAGAGACGGGAAACCTTACTCTGCTGCTGATCACCTTGATATAAAAAGAAAAACATTCAAAAATTGAACATATTAATATTAATGGTGGGAATCACCAGTGGCCCCACAATATTATTACAATACTTGGGCCAAGATACAATATTTCTGCGATTTAAAACATTTTGCCATACAGTGAGTATAGCGATACAATATTTTGCAATTTCAACTGTTTGGCTAATTTAGCATTTGTCTTTTCTTTATGTTTGTCTTATTTATGCTGAATCTTGCAAACCTTTTATATATATTTGTTGTACTAACTTTCTCCTGCTCTATGATGTCACCTCTGCCAACCTCACAGGACAAACAGTTGATTTTATTTTTCCATTATCATAGATTTGACCTCATATTAACAATTAATTTGAAAAAATTAGTACTTGGTCAATACGACGATTTGATATATCACCGGACAAAATATTGCAATACTATGCTGTATCAATTTTTTCTCCCACCCCTAATTAATAGTGATAACATTCTGTACGTACAGTTTAAAAACGCCTACATGAAAAATTCTTGGGGAAACACTGGTCCTTGTCACAGTGGTTTCTTGTTCTTTTCCCGGCCTAAGCCTTTTGCTGCATGTCCTATACCACTCTCCGTTTTCCTTGTTTCCTGTCTCTCTTCAGCTGTTCCATCTTATAAAGGCAAAAATGCCCCAAAAATATGTTTTTAAAAAGTTCTGAACCTCAGTGGTTATAGTCTTCATTATGAAGTCACATGGAAAAACAAAGCAACGATAACACGCCCCTCTTCCTTGTCATGTCAGGGGGACTCTCGGGAGGCGGATCGATGATCAATCATCAGATAGATGCAAAAGTAGTCAGAGTTTAATGTTTTACAAATTTTTGGCTCCAAGTTTCATAGAGAGGGTATAAAAGATAGATCAGGAAGTGGAGAGAGCGAGCTTGGATTGACATGTAGAAAAGGAGCAGCAGGCTGTCAGCTTGAGGCATAACCTTCAAATATGGGGTGTGTGCTTCGACCGCCAGGCAAGTGGCGCCCCATGTTTTACAATCATACCCAAGATTAATACCCCTAATCCTTTAATTTTACTCTGTCATAAGTTTTTGTCTCATAATTATGTCTGTGTTGGGTCAATTAAAGTTATAAAGTACTTCTTAAAAAAGTTGGAGGACACTTAAAATCATAATGAGGATAATGATGGATTATTACAGCACATTTACCACCATTTATGACCTGAAGTCACTGACTAATTGTGCAGGATGGTGGCTCCTCCTTAATTGATTCAAGCTCCAGAAGTACTTTGTACTTTGCCACAACCATCCTTAGATTAAAACAGGTAAAAATGATCGTTTGGAAAGGTTATTTATTTTTATTTCACTGCGACTGCAAGAACACAAACTGCTGGGATAATAAAACCAAAACAGACCCAAACAGTGACTCGCGAATATCTCTCGCGAAGTTTGAAAACATGTTTTAATTCCTTCAGTGTAAAGCTGAGGAGCTTTTATTCATGATACTCCAGGCGGACTTGAGGAAAAAGAAAATTCCACCTGTATGATGAAAAGTCTCCTCTTGGGTCACCAGACGTTTCTTATTCATTACCAGCTATAAAACCTGACAAAGAGAGAGCTTCGAGCCCTCTCTCTCTCTCTCTCTTTCCCCCCGTCTCCCTCTCCTGCACCTCTTCATAAAGAACAGAGAGGAGGAATCATTCAGCGGCTGAAAAGGTTAAAGTCTAGTCGAGGGTTGGAGTTCCTGCGTCTGCCAGGGGCACCTGAAGAGGGGCAAACATTTTACCGGCAAAGAAAAGAGGGGCAGAAAAAAAATCAACAGGCTGCCCGAGAGCTGCAGGGTCCGCGGTGAGTGCTGGTGTAGGGCCCTTAGAGAGTTTGTCTTGTAATTGAGTCAATTGTTGACCCCCTGTTCAGCCTGCCTCTGCAAATCTTAGGGAGGAAAGGCCGGCCCAATAATTAATGTCCTCTCTCTTGCTCTACCTCTTGCTCTTCATCTATCTATCCCCTACTCCTCTTCACTCCCCCCTCCGCGCTTTCTCTTGTTTTCCGTTGTCTCAGAGGATAATTGTGCTGCGAGTCAAAGGCAGTCATTTAGACAGAAAGAGAGAGGAGGGAGGGGGGGTCTGTTCAGGGATCTGCTGAGGCTTACAATCTTCTTTTCACCCCAAATCTTTCTTACTCCCCCCCGACTCTCACTCTCTCCTGCTTTCTCCCCCTTTTTTCATTCCTGCTTTTGTTTGCACCGTGGGATGAATTTTAATCACTCTGCTCTCCACCTCCGATCTGAGTCGCCTCCCTCGTTTTCCCCTCGGCCACCCCCCTCCGTCTCCAACCTCACTCTCCTCCTTTACCACTCCTCCGATGATCAGACCCTCAAAGGCCATGAGAAAACAAGGACACAGATATAGCCCTTTGATGGCGAGAGGAAGGGAGTATTTGTCACTCCAGGTTTAGCACAGGCCAAATGTCTTTAAGTGGTGCGGGGAAGGAGAGAGGGGGAAAGAAGGCGAGAATGATAAAATGAAGGAGTTAAGGAAGGAGGAGGAGGAGGAAGGAAGGATAGCAGGACAGAGAGAGGACGGCCGCATTCTGTTTGCGGAGAGCGATCAATTTTAAATGCCTCCTTCATTGGAGAACACTTTGTTTGCGTAAGGGCTTTAAGTTGTGCTCCTATTGTGGCGGCTTATCCCGAGGGACAGTGCAGGCCGGGGACACTGTTGTCATTTACATTCACACTCATTAGCAGGTCCTCTGATCAAGAAGAGTCTTCATGACACATCTTGAAGTAGAGAGACTTAAAGCACATAAGCGTTTTAGTCAACGAGTGAACGTACAAACAACGAAAGGTCAAGAAAAAGGTTTCCCCATAGCCGCGCTGCGTTCCCCGAACGACAGATCCATTTCCGCCTGCAGAACATTTGTACCCGTCTGACTTGTCTGCACCAGCTGAGGACATTTACGAGGAGCATGATACAGTCAAACATCTCTGAGATACTTGAGGGGTGTCAGTACAAGTGTAGTAATTTATGGAATGAGTTTATCAACCTATAGACGCCGAGACCTCCTGATCCTTGTGGTAATGTTAGGATTAGATATACAGTGTGTTTGCTTATGATGGACTTCCACTCACAGGGTTCTCAGCTCGAGTATTTACATGGAGTGCGACTGAATATACCAGCAACATGACATCTTTGTCATGATATTTTCTGTAGATTTTGTTTTTTCCTGCTTTTGTTTATTGAGTCAATTTTCTGTGTGCTTTCCCGAGTGTTTTTGTTCCCTGTGATCCTGTCTTGAGATTTTTCTTATTCCCTCCTGTTCTCTGTGTTTTATTCTTTAGATCAGTTTTCAGTGTTTCCTGTTTTATTTAGTAGTTGTTGATTCCTTGTGTTTGTAGTCTGGTTTTACTTCATAGTTTTCCCTCTTTTTGTTAATCACACATGAGTTTCACCTGTGTCTTGTCTGCCTCACCTGTTGCTCGTTTCCCAGTGTGTATATAAAGTCTCTGTCTTCCCCTGTTTGTGAGTTTGTCTCTGCAGATGGTGTATCCCCAGTAGGGAAAGTAGCAGTCAAAATTGATCCAAAATGACATTCGAATATTCGTTTAAAAAAAAAAACACATAGGTACGAACATATTTGAATATCTAGCTTACACAGCTTGCATATAACTTTATTTCGCTCAGCATTTTTTCGTCAACCTTGTCTGCCCAAAATTCCAGTGAATGTCCAAACGGAGCTTCTAAGGTTCTCTCTCTGCATGTGCCACGGACAGATTTTGTCGAGTCTCACTGCAGGTGCAGCTCCTGTGACCTGTCCCTGACCCGTCGGTACAGTGCGCTCACTCATAAAGCAGACAATATTTTTTCTTTTTTTTTTCCCCACTCAGTTTTTCCGCTGTTTATTTAATATTCAAATATTAATTTTCACATTCAAATCTCACTTTTTTTAATATAATATAATATATAATAGAGTTCATTTTTGCAAAAGTTTTCTTTGTTTTTTCTTTAATAAATCCTTAAATCTGCACTTGGGTCCTTTTCCTTTGTTTTGTGAATCATTCATGACAATCTTATAGGAAATTAATGTAATTTAAAGCTGCTTCATTTCTGCAACAGCTGAGTTCTTTGATTATTACACTGAAAATGTGTGAGCAGACAAACTTAAAGGTTCTGGTCAGACTTTATTGTATTAACCTGTACCATCGATTTACTTGTGTTCTTTTAATCCATCTAAATAAAATGGTGATACTGTGTTTTTGTATTTGTAACTTAAATCAACAAACTTTCTGTGTTTAGAGCTCAATCAGAAATCATTTATTTTTGGATCATAAGCCGATGATTAAGAACCCATTTGATTCGATGTTACGGGCAGAGTCGGGTCCAAACTGCCCCTCTCCGTCTCTTTCTCCCTCCGCTCCTCGGCCCTCCTTGTGCAGTGTTTGGTAGGAAATCCATGAACAAACCGTGGCTGTTTGTTCTCTCTTTGTCAATGACGGGATTTTATTGACTTCGACTATTGACAATCGCTCGACTCCTGTTGGCCTCACACAAGCTGGATAACGCTGAGCAAATATGTGTATGTACACACACATTAACAATCTGTCCCAACAACACTCACAACCTGTGTCTGAATCACCCAGAGCACATTGTAGGGAGTGGGAGAGACAAGACAAAGGGGAGGATGAAAAGGGGACTTTATATCAATGCAGATGGCTTTGAATACTGAAAGAATGACGTATGTATTTACGTTGTGTTTATGTCTGGTGGAAAAGTCCTTGAGTTTGATGCAAGAGATGTTCGAAGACTCTATATGATGTGATTAGAGGTATTAAGATACATCTTTGTGAGATTGTGGACAAAGCCTGGGAAATGCAAGAGCAGCAATACTCTTATGTAACAGCGTCATATGTCAGGATGCCAAGATTTTAAAATCAGACTGCAGGAGGATTTTTTTTTTTTTTTTGAATGAAGATGAAGTTCTGTTGAGAATTCACCATTATGTTGAACTTTTATATACATGTACCAAAACTTGATGTATCAAGGTGAAACGACCTTAGTGGGCCGTACTTTTGAGAACTGTTTACGGATGCTCTTTCGCCAATTTACTGCGTACATTTCTAAAATAAGCTCCAAGTTTGCACTTTTTTTCAGAATTTGATGCTAAGAATTCAGAATTTGCTAAGACCTTGTACACAAAAACAATATATTGCTATTTCGTTTTTAAAAAGTTTTCCATTAAGATAGAATCCTTAAAGGAAATATCTGCATAAACACCAAACGACTAAAAATGACTTAAAAAGATGTAGTGTGTTTGCCAAGCCAGTAAGTGGCGCTGTAACGCTGCCCCAGAAATGTATCGAAAGACAGAAGAAGAGTACAGAGCACGCGTATGCGCTGTGTGTGGCGTAATCGTCTTAAGAGAGATGTGGATAGGCATCCACCCGGAGACGAAACGGTAGTCGTATACGGATTTATGAACTCTGGGACCGAAAAGGTTTCGAAAAGTATAGTCTACGCCGATAGGATAAAAATTTTGCGATTACTCTTGAATTTGTTTCCGTGTGGACGTGGCTTAAGTTTTATCACTTTCTGAGAGGAACCCCCAAAAGGCCACAACATAAAAACAAAGAAAAACCCCAACATGTGCAACAAGACTCCTAAATCGTTGGGAACCAAGGACCTTTTCACACAGACAGTCAGAGAGGTAAAACATTTGACGCCACATTCAACAAGCACATTCAAGAGGAAACCAAAGGACTTGAGATTTGAAGCCAGCGCAGAAGTGCGAAAAACTGCACTTCCTCAAGTGTCCGCTTGAGATCTGCTCAGAAAGCCCTAGAATCACTTACATACCCAATCTAAGAAACCCAATTTTATAGCAAAAATAAACACGTTTAAAGCCCATTACAAGAAACAGTTTTGGTCTGAGTAAATTATTTCTCTGTACACACTCTGTACTACAGGTGGTGAATCCTTTCAAACTCGTGATTGTAAAATTTTAGGGTTAAGTATATTTCATTGCCTAGTTGACTGACAGCCAGAAATATTGTAGCTGTAAACTTAGAGGCTAAAGTTACAACTCCAATAAGGCAACCACCATCAGTAGGCTTTAAAACTCTACTTCAGAAACCAATGGATGACGTCAATGAGAATCTGTCCATGTTGCACATTATTTAAATATAAAGGTACTTTTGGGGATAAGCTTACCTTAAATAAAACTAAAAACAAGGCTTGGGTATCCAACTCATCCATACATCCAAAAATCTGGGGCGTCTAATAGAAGAAGGGGTCATTATTAAAGATTTCACACATATCAAAATGGCAACACATTGAAACGGCAGCCAGGAAAGCTTTGATGCAGCTTTGAGTTACTGAAAAACTCAATTTGGTTCATTTTACGGTATCTTTATCGAAGCAGTTGGGTGAAACGCAGCATTCGAGACCTGTTCTGTCAGCATTCACGGTGATAAAACGCATAACCAAGAATCCAGTTAACTGAAACAGGAGAGAGGAAAATGCTCCAGATTTTTTGGCTGTGACTCAGAGCAGAAAGAGAGCTGAAGAAGAGAGGTAAAAAAAGACATCAGCAAAGAGAGAGAGAGAGAGGGAGTTGGAGTAGTGAGAAAGAGGATGACAAAAAAAACACACAGGGAGCGGAGCAGAGCTTCTGTGTCAATGGAGGAGATCATGGATGCCAGTAGGGGGCTCAGCCTTCAGCACAATAGACCCCCAACTGAGCCAAGACCCTTAATACCCATACTCCTATTTCACACATCTTTTCAAAGCACCCATACAAGCCATATCACCCCCGTCCCCCGCCTCCACACTCTGGCAGCAGTGCCCCCGTGATTGCAGAAGGGGTGACAATAGCGAGAAAACCCTTAGCAGCGCAACTAAGGGGCCGTCCGGGGACCCACGCAGGGGCCATTGGGACACCTTGTCTTTGTGTATTGGAAGACAATGGGAACATCTCAGGAACAGCAGTAAAAGCTTCCTATGGCCTGGCAGGGAGCTGCTAAGAATGACAGGGGCATCAAGTGTCGGTGATAAATGGGTCATTATCATCTGATACGAGGTGAAGTGTGGAGCTGATAATGAGCCGCTGTGTCAAAATCACAGCAACCAGCCGGGGCCTGTTGTGCTGCCACGAACATGTCAATGAGGACTTTTGGAGAACAGTTGTTTTCAGTCAATCTGAAGAAGTCTCTCCAAAGATAAGTATGTTTTTGAGGCGGAAATATCACGAGAATGCTCCTTAAAATAAGGCTTGAACACCTCGAAAAACAATGATGTAGTTTCTTTTCCTTCCACTTAACAAAATACACCCCCAAATTATTTTAAAAATGACCCCAGGCGGTATATATTAAAAAGATCTTAAAGTCTTTAGGGCGTGATCTGGACGCTGCACAGAGAGAGACATGCAAACATTTCTCCTCTGCCAAAAGAAAACATCTTGAAAAAACTAATCGTTGGGAGCGGGGAGGAAAAATATACCTCAACATCCTGGGCAGGTCCAAGGGAATCCTGGCTGAGACCCAAACACTGGAAACAGGGCGAAGAAGGCCGGGCTTTGTGGAGTAAGGGGGTAAGAAGCATAGTGAGGGGCGCTGGGTAACTGCAAGATGATTCACACGGGCAAAAATGTGAATTTCTAACACAAGGCTTTCGAAACAGCAACAAAATCAGAGAGTTGTGCATGAGCAGCTGCAGACGATCGTATATTTTCTTTCTAATTTCTTACAAACCTAATTTTTAAACAAAAGGGCTTTCTATTGGCCGCTTTGTTTCTGGAGGAGCTCATTACATCAGTACCCTCAGGCTATTATTAAGCTAACAAACTAGCCTTTAGTCATGACCTAGCTTAGCTCCACTAGCCTCTCAACCCCGGCTGCTGGCCTCCACTCAAGCAGACCCCCTCCTCCATTTACAAGGCCCTTCAGTGGCCGCCTGGTTGCTAGACAATGTGCTTGGTTACGTGGGTTATGTAAAGACCCTCCTGCACACAAAAGCCAATGTGGGCGCCTGTTATATGCAGCTCTTCAGAGCCCCGGGTCAGTTAGCAGAAGAGCTCTGGCGCTAGCACTCCAAGTTAAAAACGTTTGCTCTTCAATGTGTTTACAGAGAGGAGAGGAGAGGAGAAATGGGAGAGGAAAAGGAGGAGAGGTAGAAAGAGAGGAGAGAAGAGGAGATAGATGGGTCAATTATCTTCTCTTTGCTAATTCCACTTCTCAGCTTCCACAATCCTCTTTGTTGAGGATAAAACAACCACTTTATTGACCTGTTGGTGTATCAGAGAGGGGTTTGTTGTTTTTCTCCGCCACTTATTACCCATCTGTCTTATTTATAACCTCACTCTTTATACTTAATTTCCATTTGTCGAAACTCCAAAACAATAGTAACTAATTCTAAATAGTGAAACTAAAGAGACAAGACACACTAGGACACGACCTTGGTTAACAGCAAAAAAAAAAAAAAAAGGGTAAACATGAATAATTTTTCGATATTTTTAATACTACGTTAAGAATATCTAGCTAACATAAAACTTGTGATTTATGGTTTGCAGGAAAACAGCACATGGATTGCTAGAGATGGTTAAACAGACACAAACTGACTGAAAGAGACATCCACCAAATTGAAGAAAACCAACACAAAACACCCGAAACCCACTAGCTGGAATTCCTTACTGACAGGGGAATCTGAGGGGCTACATTTTTACTCAACAAATCCTTTTGTCTTTAAATCTTTATGTAGTTTCCTCTTGTTCGTAACTTCATTCTCAGCAGGATAACACAAAGTGACCACGAGATTGACTTGTCTAACTCTGACTAGGTTCTATTTTGTATAAACACCCACTTATTATACATCATCCACCACATATTGTGTCCATAATGCTTCACCAATGTCAGTCAGAAACTTTTGTTACGCTACGATTAGTTTTGGTTTCTTTATCTACAAGTGTAAAGTCTACACGTTAAATCCCGCCTCCTCCAGCAATCCCTATGGAGCTGTGGACGAACTTTAGAAATTAATTACACAGAATATACATTTTTCTCCCCCCTGCTTGCGATGTTGACATTTAGATACTGTCAGACTGGTTTGTGCTCAAGTCCTCTTTTTTCTGTACAGCTCCATTTTTAAAAGTTATCAGGGGGGTTCATGTTTTCTATGATTGACACTTGATACAGCCTATGGGTGTACAAAGATTGCGTAGCTCAGAAAGTGGAGAAAATCCCAGAAATACCAAGAGCAACTCGGCATCAAATTTCTATAATCATGGAAAGCGGAGCCATTATGTCCATAGTATATACAGTCTATGGTCCATCACATCTATCGTTAAAGGCTTATTGTAGTAAATATTTCCCATTAGTGCTGCTCTATTTGTAATCACACTTCACGTGACCATTCACTTGCACTGGAGATGCACATGTCATGTAAACAGGAAGTACTACAAGACACTCAAAATGTTGCATGTCACCCAAATAACAGTATCCCTCCTGCACAGGTAGGAAGTAGCAGCTTTAAATGATGTGGAATTTAAGACTTACGTATGAGTTTCCAGCCTAAACAACAAGGGTGGTAATTCTTAATCCTCATTCCTGTTCAAACAAGCTGTGATAGGCAAAGACTCAGTTGTTTGTTTTTTTGGGAGACAAGGTAACATTACTAATTGGCACAAAATAAGGAAATGAGGAGTGTGTGTGCTTCCTTAACCAATGCGATCTTAGCAATAAACCGAGCAGGAATCAATTTAATCAAAGCAGAAGTTCCACAAAACCAGTAACTTGTTCCAGTGAATGTTCAAATCATCGATGGCATTTCCCTTCATTTTGCATCAGACAGCAGCAGCAGCCGTGCATTTCTCTGTGTCTGAGTCTGTGTGCCTAGGTGACAACAGACATAAGAGCCCTCCAGGCAATGACATGGTGGTAAGCCACACACCTCAGACACACCACCAGTCTGCTCTGATGGCCAACCAGCAGGGGGAAAAAGCACTGAGGTAACGAAAGCCACTGTGTGTAAAGGTTCAACTCAAAGACACACAGATTTGCTTACACAGAAATACAAACAGATCCCGCTGATGTTTGTGCACTGCAGACTGTCTCCTAACATGCAGACTGTGAGAGATCAGGCATGATGTAGAACCACATAAACATGCCAAAACCCTGACTGAGTAAAATTATAGCACTGAACTGAAACCACAGACTTAGTTTCCTGCGTTTAAAAAGCAGAATGCATAAAATATGATTGAAGACGTTGGTTAATGCGACGACTTGTTTTTGAGAAGAACACCATGTTAACGCCTATTTGGGAAAATATTATAAAACACAGACTCACTGCAGATGAAACAACGAATTGAATGGATTTTCTTAAACTACCTGTGCCCATAACTGATTATGACATGATTTACAGGGAAATGATCGGAAATGATCTCAGATATGCAATTTTACAGTTTGAGATAGAGAAAAGATGACAAAAAACACTCGTAAAACCAAATGGTTATCTGTTAACTTAGAAAACAGTTGGCAGATGAACACAATAATTGCTATTAAAGACCCAATCTGAAGAAAATCATGTTTTTCTTGTTTTTACATGTTCATATGCCATTTTTCTAATGCTGCAGGACATATCATGAGAAAACTAAGTGCAAAATTGCATTTCTGAGTATTTCTACATTTAAATCGCTGGGAATATCTGGTAGACCCAAACATAAGGTTCAGATACAGTTAGATTTCCTATGTCACACTTCCAAGCTCCGCCCCCAGAGCCCTGCTATGCAGGCCAGACTCCAAGAAGTAGAGGACAAACGCAGAATAAGTGTCCGCGTTAGCAGATTGCAATACTCGTAAGAAAGCTAACTATGATATTAACTTTCATTGTGTCCCTAAAAACATTAGTGTCTGAGAACCGAATAGCTCCTATGTTACCTGATTCTGCTACTACACTGGCAATGTTAGGCTACAAGCTAGCGTAAAAAGGGAGTGTGCGGAGCAGTGCTGTCTCCACCCACGACTCAGAGGCGAATTGCTAATGAGCTACTGGAGCTCTGCAGAAGAAAAGCCCTTGAAAATGACACAGGTAACGTGATTTTGGCTAAAAACTTCATAAAAAAAAGTGGGACTTTAAAGATTTTATCATGAATAAAAAAGAAAGTTATGGGATATGGAGTGTTAGGTGTGCAAAAACAGTAAAACAAATCTTAGAGCTTATAGATCTTATTCTTAGAGCTTGTTGTGTCTGTACAGAGAGTGAATCATGAGCGAGTAGTGCCCACTCGCTCAAAGCTTGAACCGTCGCTTTACAAGGAAATATTTTGCTATTTTTTCTGTGTTTATCAGGTAGATACAAAGTTAAACTTCGAATTAATTTAGTGCAAGTTTAATGCACGCCAATATTTATTTTCCACTGCAACAAGAGACATCAGATGTTTAACTGAAGTTTATAAACGTCTCTTCTGCCTCCGAGATAAAACTTACACAGACAGACGAGTGTTTAGGCAACCTGAGATGAACCTGGACCACAGTCAACTTCGGCTAATTGAATTTTTCTCCATGTCCCAGACACTCACCTCCACCCGTAGAGTTTAAAAACACTCCTATCTCTGAGCATCTGAACACACACACACGCTTTCACAATGAGACGACCAGACACACACTGTATGGGCTCTTACATGCATACACTCACTCTGACACCCAGCCACCCTCACTCACTCACACACACACACATACACACACACACTGTCTGACAAGTTAGAGCATGTGTGAGAGAGCTCGTTGGTTGGAAACAGACATCCCCCTGCCCCGAGGCTCGGCTCTATCCCACAGGAAGCTGGAGTGTGAGCTGGGACACACAAGACGAGGAGGGAGAAGGGTGGAAGGGAGAAGGGGGGGCAGCCACAAGAACTCAGCTGTCTGGAACGACACGTGAATGGATCTGATCACTTGCTGATCAGTTGATTTATGTTTTCGCTCTGTTTTTATGACGCTGCTCAAGTTCCTTAAAGTGACGTTATTGACGATCGCAAGAAAAAGGAGCCAAAGAGACGACACTGTTGGACTTAAAGACTTGACTTTTTATAGATTTGAATATAAATCCTGCAACAATTTATAAAATAGTAGCATGATTCAAATAACCTTTTGACTATATTACTCAAAGATGAAAAATTGAGCCTTTTTCGTTCATAAACAATCAAACAACTCCATGTCCAATTCAGCCTGTGCTATGCTGACATCAAATTCACTCTTGTGGTTGTATGAGGGATCAGTTCATTCCCAAAGATCAGCTGTTCAGCAAAACTTCATGAGTCAGAGGAATTTACTTCAAACTTTTTAACACAGAGTTTTTAAGTCAAGTAGTCAAACACTCGAAATAATAAAATGACATTCTCGGCCACAAACTCAGACCCAAAAGAGTCCACAAGCTCCACTAATCACCAACAACTTCCGGCTTCCACATCTGGGACCCTTCGCCCACCGAGCGCCCAAGCACGAGCTTATAACACTTAACATTCACACAGACACATTGACACACACACAAGTGCTCACCACATTTCTGCTCCACAGCTGCACCAGAAGACAAGCGCCGATAAATAAGCCCTTTGAATGAGATCCCGCGGGTTTCAACTTTGAACATGCAGCGATTGTTCTCGACAGCGATATGTTCTCCTCATATCCCGAATGATGTGTTCCTCTCACTGCACTGAGAACTCAAAGACAGTAAGTGTCAGTCTCTGTGTCAGCAAAAAAAAAAAAAAACAGGGATTTTAATGGACTACAGGTGCCGGCTAATAAGGGCCAATAAATGTGCCACAGTAGAACAACTGCCTGTCCTGAACTGAATGGAAGTAGCGGGAACAGAGGGATGGACAAAGGGGGTTTAACTGCTGGAGAAATAATCAGCAGTCGAGAAAATCTGGCAGAGCTGCAACCTGCTGCTGAGTCATCGTGTGAGGAGAAAGTGGAGCGAGGCTGTTGGATTTTAGAAAGACTTCAAATTTTATCCCCATTTTAAATATAATTCATGAATATGGAACAAGGCCTAAACCTCGGGTCAAACAGACAGTACCTGGAAATTAAACTTGATAGTGACAAATATCTTCTAATCCAATCTTAACAAAACAAAATCTGAACTAAAATGATGCCACGAAAAATAAGTATTGAAAAATGTTAGAATAACTGAGATCACACTTTTTGGACCCTGAAGTCAAACAGCGTAAATTTATTGAAGGAAAACTGCTGCTGAATCAAACTTTTAACTAAAGAGGGGTTAGGTAAATATTTGAGACAAAGTAGTCATACTGTAAGTACAAAGTGAGCAAAAATGTAAAGTTGTGGATGTTTTCGTGTTTCAACAAACGACCAGTTTGCCTCGTGCTAACTTGTTCATTGATTGTTTTGGTATTTGACACAATAGGTCAACTAGGACACAGCCAAATAATAACCAGCTGAGAGGAAGCATATCTGCATTGTCACCTAGAATAACAAAGGTGAACATATTTTGCTCAATTTACCAGTTCTTCAGAGCCGGCCCAAGGCATAAGCAAACTAAGCGCCTGCTTAAGGCCCCGCGGCCAGAAGGGGGCCCCCGACAGCAATCAAAAAAACAATAATTTAAAATATTTTTTGTTTTTTGCATGTCTGAGTGATGCTTTCTGTTTGATCAAATTATAATATCGTAAAAAATAAAATAAACATTTTAGTGCTGCTGCTGATGTAGGCCTATGATTCTTACTGCCGATATGTCAAACTCTGCTACTGTTATGTGCCTCCTGCTGTGCACTGAGCATCCAAAGCACAGGTAGTTGCGGGGCAAAAAAGGACATATCCTTAAGGAGCAGAGACAAGAAAGAGGAAGAAGAGAAAATAAAGCCAAGATAAAGGTATGTTTGCATGTCATGGAATGTAAATCAAAGAGATTTGTGATGGTGTGTGAATGATCAACGATCAATATTATTGGCAGAAATAGAGGGCCCCAAAATCAAGATTGAGGCTTGGGCCGGCTCTGCGGGTCTTGACTGGTGCTTGAACACTGTGAAGAGGACTGAAGTCTACTTCAATTGTCTAATTTAGCTAAAATCATTGCTCAACTTAAGTTCATTTTCCCAAGTCAGTGAAGATGGCAGCCTGTGTGATATTATAGTATTTGATACTAGCTCAGTTTTAAAGTTGGCAGTATGAAAGTTTAGAGACAAATAAGGCCTTGAGACTTAAACAAGTGAAAAAAAAACAGGTTACGTGCTGTTAGTAAGCTAGCTCTGATAGAACTTCAAGGTTTCCAGGTGACTGAAGCAGTTAATCAAGTCCCATAGGTCATGAAGTTTAAAATGAAAATATAAAGTCCTGTGTTTGGTCTCAAGGATCTTGCATGAGAAAGAATCTGACACACAACGATCTCCTTTAAAAGTAATTATTGAATGTTCATCATCCGTCATATTTTGTTCACTGCCTGATGTTAGTTAATTGTGCTTCATATCATGTGAAAATCTACGTTTAGAGGACTCCACAGTCGGTATGAAAAGCGGTGTTCGGGCCTGTGTGATGTATAGAAAATGTCATTTAATGAGAACTATTTTGGCAGCAATCTTCATCCATTCATCTTTTCATTCTCTACTTTTTCCCAGGGTCTGGTACCGGTGGGGGCTTGCGTGTTTCCCAGCATGCACTGGGCAAAAAGGCAGGGAACCACCCTACACAGGTCGCCCGTCCATCACAGTACTATCACACAACGTTGTCCTCTGTGTGAAAAGAAAAGTGAGTGTGGATCCCTGTTGACCCTCTGTGTATTCAGCTGAGTCTGCTCCCATAAGCCTCGGCAGAAACGCTCAGCATGCTACCTCCATCCAAAGACGGAGAAACTCACTCTCACAGCCTCGTCCTTTCACTGTAGCCTGCCCTCTCCCTCACTCACAGAAAGACAGTTTCTACCCCCTTCAGTTACTCTTCCTCTATCCCGCGCTTTTCTCAATCTCAGTCTAGCAGGTGCATCGCTGTGTTTGCAGTCCCTGTCTTGCGGCCGATCCAGCGCCGCTCCCCCCTTCATAGACAGTGATGGTGACAGGAGGAGCATCAGGAGAAAGAAGTACAGGAGAAGGAGGAGGAGGAGGAGGAGGAGGAGAAGAGCTCTGGATCTGAAACAACAACAGCTGCGACAGCCACATTGTCATTCCAACATTTGTTTCATGCTGAGTGCAGCAGCAGGTCAGTTAACAGCATGGGAACCAAGGAAGTGACACGGTTTGCATCCTCAGCTTAAAAGCTGGGTCAAACTTTGTTTAGATCTGCAACATTGTTGGTTTCGCCGCATGACAGAAAATTCATCTGAAAACTCTAACAAAATTTCACTACTCTCTTGATACATTTGGAATTTCCAGCTTCTAAAACGTGAGGATTTAACATTTTACTTGATTGTTAACTAAAAAATTTGGCCTGCAAATAGTGTTTGGCAAAGGCTCAGATATTTGAAGACATCACACAAGGTTGAGATCACTTAAAGGGATATCCTGGCATAAAATTAATTTAGGGTCAAACACACTAAAACACCGAGTTAGACATCCCCTCGGGAGATGAATGTTGTTGACTGCTTGCTTCTCTAGTTATACCAACTTAAGTAACAGCCATACGATAGCAATACACAGTGGTTGGAGGAGCCATAAACAAACCTCAACCAAAACACCACTCTATAGCCACAAATAATGTTCAGAACAGCACCTAACTCCATCAACAGTACATATAGGGTCCCAGCCATAGTACTAGTCACCAAACATCTTTTTATCTTTGCCTGATTTCTTTAGCAAAGAGACTAAACACAACTCACCTACTCTCTTCCAGCAGCCTCAGGCCAGACCATTACAGACTACAGCGGGGTGACACAGCTCAAGGAAGAACTTTTAGGAACATTTATGATCTGTCACTTTAAAACATACTTTTTTTCTCACTAATTTTTGTCTCTTCACAAAAATTAGTTTATCTGTTAGGTAACTTGTGCTGCCACAGTTTCACATTTTAACCTTAAAATTATTGTGGTTAAAAAGTTAAAGATACATGATCAAATTTATGGAAAACTTATGGGGAAAAACACAATCAGTCAAATTAAGGACAGGTAAGAAAGGGTTACTTAAATTTAAATTTAAATTTACACCTTATCAGGCATATAACTTACTACCTTGATATTCAAGATGGCTGCCACCACCCTCAGCTGAACAGACTGCCTCCTCACAATCCTTCTCATACGTCTTCAATCCTTGAGTTTTTCTTCTCTAGACTGCTGATGTATGTCCCAAAAGACATCTTCACCATTACTGTTTCACTATTTTTTTTATTTTTTGGAAGTTGTTGACCAAAACACCAGAACACAACCATTTTTGGCTCGACTACAGCTGCCGAGCCACCAGGCCGGGACCAGGACCAGGGTCCAGTGACAACTTAGCCACTAGGCTAAGTCAGGTACTTTGTTCAAGTCTTTCCACTCTGAGCCATACAATTCAGCCTAAATTAAGGGCAGAGGGGAAATCTGGTGAAGATTATGTGTCACTTACACAAATATCTGAACTGCAACGGTGACAGAACGAGATGTTTACAGCTTTATTACAACAACAACAACAAAACTTGAAAGGCTTTGTTAAAATCATGATGGGGCTGTAAATACTAACCAGATACTCAAGTTTTATCCACCTCTGTAAAAGACGCTTTTATAGGGAAAAGTTGTGTTACTAAATGACTGTTTGTGATGCTTTTATTTTGACATTTTTACTCTCCTCCTCCGAGGTTGCTTCAATTCCTGTACTGAAAAAGCATGCTTTTACTTTGAAATTAAACATGCTGCTTCTAGTAGATTGTAAGTCATAGAAATGAATAATAACAAGAGAATGACAAGAAAATGAAAAGGTTTAATAGTTTAGCAGCTAGCTTGCTAGCAGCAGCTCCTGCTTCTTCTTCAGTTTCTCTGCATTTTATAGCAGGTTGTCAAACCACTGTTGTCTCCTACTATTGACCAGTCACTTATACTGCTGTTTGCTCATCTTAAGCATGAAATTAGTACTTTGATTTAAAAGAGACAGTAATTGTCAATCACTGTGTTTTCTACTATTGATAATAGCAGCCAGTGTAAACAAATTTGTCCAGGGAAATTAGGATTACATTATTCAGAACTAAAACTTTACAAATTCAATCTGTAGTGACTTTGCTGACCTGAATTTTAGTCACTCTCTAGGTGCGGGAGTGAGGTGTTTTTGACGCACTTCTAGTTCAATCCAGTGTCCAATCCAAGGTTATTGTTGAGTTATATTTTTGCCATTTATCGATAGGATAAAAAAACAATCCAAAAATGACAGATACGTCCGACTTACGATGATGGTGATGTACGAGATGAGGGTGAGAGTGGTGTCGGAGATTAGCGGTAAACAAAACGTGTTCTCTTCCCGTTCCCCAGATCACTGCTTCACCTGTGTCTCTTTTGTAGCATTTACCTGCCCGTTCACCTGCAGTGCCCCTTGTGGTGATTATGCGAGTAACAAAACAAAACCCCAAATTAATGTAGGTAAAATGGGTCATACACTATCATTTGTGATTAAAAGACAATGCACTATCCAGGATCTTGTATATATTATAAGTTTAGATTCTGTCACATTGAAACGTCTCGTCCTGTTTCTTGTTTAATCCTCATTTTCTACTGAACCCAGAGACAGACTTAGAGGTGGTAGTTGTAAAATCCTCCCCTATCTCCTCCTTCACAACCCTCCCAGACCCTGATATATCATCACCCATCATTAACAGCATTTGCATTAATAGTTTTTTAATGCCCCTTCCACTCAAACAGAAGCTCCCCTCAGCAACACGGTGACGGTGTGAAACCTACCACAGCCGTCACACCTGCATCCACTCAGTCACACCATGAAGGTGAGTCATTTCTCCGAGTGTTTTCCTGGAGGACTGACATGCAGGGGGGGCTTTGTGTCTGTATGTGTGTGGCCAAAAACAGGCTACTAATGCTGAGGAGACGACAAACTGTCAAAATTTTCACAACCTGAGGAGCGATATTTGACTAACAGCTGTTGTGTCACTTACACTCGATGGTGTGTGGCGTTATAACCTTAAGCTGCTGTTTTGCTTCATGTTCCAGCGACTGCACTATAATCATAAACTCTCAGTCCTTTTTTTCTTCCTGGTTTTCTTTCTGTTTATTAGTCACAAGCAGGAAATGAAGCCCCTCCTCCTGTAATTAATGGGCACAATTATGTAATTGAGGAGTGGTCTGCAGTTCACTGCAAACAGGACCAGATGTCCCACCGGTGGAGAGGCTCAGTTGTTCTGACTTACAGTGGGGTCAGCGCCCGTACCAAGACCCAGCTCGCCCCCACGCAGTCACCCAGACCCTCTTTTCTTTCTCTTGTAAATAAAGACTTAATGGTTTACAAGCTGTCCAATAACCGTAATACCTTCAGAGTGAATTAGCTCACAAAGCAGCCAGGCGCACAGACTGTGAGTGAACCGAAATACACCCACGTGTTTCTTCTCTTCTTAAAAGCAGAGTTTAGATGTTTCACTTGATTGTTTTTCTGTTTTAGTGGACATTTTGTGATGAAAGCTTTGAAAAAAGGTCAAAACTTAAGATAAATGGTATCTTTCTGTCATAAAACAACCACTTGTTTACTTCTTTCCGTCCTCTTATTGTTGCCCTGTGTTTGCATGCACGGACTTGTGTTTTTCTGTGTTTAGTGCAAGTGTGTGTCAGCACATAATCGTGGCGAGCCAACCGACCAACCAGCCGGCCTCTAAATTTGAAGTTTAGGTTATTGCTGGGCTACGAGCTGATTTACATGCTGCTGATGTCATCCCCCTCGCTGAGCATTCACCGAGGAGGAGAAAACCTCCCTGTTTTCTAAAGTTACAGAGACTCAGCGAGGAACGGGCCTCTCAGGGTTTAAGTTTGACACACAGCGAGGAAAAACTTGCACTTAAGGGCGTTTTGTTTGCCAGAAAAGCTCCAAAATCAGCTGATATCAAACTTTAACTAAAAAATACTTCTAATTTGACTTTTTTATTTTATCCAAGCGGTGACAGACAGATTATATCCACCGAATCTCCACAGCGTGATAGCGGGTTGATGAGTGAGCCACTCTTCTTCATCCTAAACATGAGGGAATCTGTTCCTAAGCTAGATGTGGATCCAAATCTTTCTCATGCTGACAAAAACAAACAGTCACTGCTGGCATGAAATACAGAGGAGCCAGAATTATGTCTTATCTGATCCAAGTTCTCCAGCAGAGACGAGAACTGTCCCTGCCTTTTTTGAGCACAAACCGCCTCTCAGGGGAATTCTGATTTAGTCTGTGAATGAGTAAAACTTGATATCTGAACAGAACTAAACCGTGAAACTCCTTTTCTGGGTTGGGAAATCTTCTTTGCACTTCTTACTTTGTTCTGTTTAAACGTCCAGTTCAGTTACACAGATAAAGCCTTAAAAAGTGAGTCTTTAGAGTCAAATATAAATCATGAATCTTCGCGAACGTGTTGCTCAATAAGTGGTGCAAAAGTCAGTTGGTTTGGTTAAGTCATGCGGGGCAGGGCCGAGCAGTCAGTCAGCCAGTCAGGACGGTTGAGTTGTAAATGTGTTCCAGCAGGAAAAGCCAAGCTTCAGAGCAAGGCGAGCAGTCTGGAGTCGGCAACTTTCCCCTGCTGCAGCTAGCGCACCGCCCTCCCTGCAGCCCACCCAAGAAGCAGCCCATGGGCATAAATTTGAGAGGCTGACTCGCTGCGGATTTAAAACAATCTGCATCTCTCTCTCTCTCTCTCTCTCTCTCTTGCTCCCTTGCTCTCTCTCTCTCTCTCCCCACCACACTTAAACTATGAAACTTTTCTCTCCTTCAGCCTGTACTCTCTTCTTCTCCCCCTCTTTCCTTTCCAACAAATTCCACTGTTAATGAAAATGGAAAGCTCTGTCTCTGCGCGTGCCAGTAATATTATTTTTCTAAGGGCTTAATTAAGTCTGCAAAAATGCAGCAAATACACAGGAGCAGTATTTTTCTCTGTTACTCTATGATCTCTGTGAGGGACTCTTCTCCTCCGACTGTACTGTGAGTCCAAAACAAAGGCTTTTTTTTAATTTATTTGGAGTAAAGGTGAATTCATTTAACAAAACACAAACTTTTAATAGATTTTTAATCTGAAAGCTTTTTATTTTAAGAACACAAAAGTTTCTGTTTTTATATTTCAAAAAGTGTCCACTTTAAAAAAAAATTAAAGTTTGTGCTTTTAACTTTATTTAACATTGGCACTTTTAAAAGCAGTATGTATTTACATTTAAAGAAAGTTTTTTTTTTTTTTTATGGTTTTAAAATTTGTTAGCATTTAAAAATTGTTTACACTTTTTTGATAACTTTTACATTAAACAAAAGTGGGTTTTTTTGAGTTATGGTTGTAAAACTAGACTATACAGTATTAACTCTGTCAAAGTAGTTTACATTTACCATTTTAAAAGCAGTTTGCACTTACATTTTAGAGTAATTACATTTATATTTAAAAATGGTTTATGTTTACATTCTAAAGTAGTTTGCACTTATGATTTGGGGAGTATTAAGTGGGGATAACATGCAGCAAGGGTTTTAGTTTACGTGTACTGTTTTAAAGGTAAACTTATATTTTAAAGGGGTTTATATTTACATCTTAAAAGTAGTTTACACTCATAGTTATAAGAATAGTATTTTAGAAGTTTATAATCACATTTATACAGTGGTAAACATTAAATTTAGCAGAAGGAGTTTACATTCAAATAGTTCATTTAAAAGGTTTTAAAGGTTTTTAAAAAATGATCTTAAAATAGTCCCAATTAAAAATAATTTGTGCATTCTTTTTGCAGCTTTAAAACTATCTGAAATGTACTTTAGTGTTTTTTAATGTAATTTTTAAAATAACTGAGGGATTGTTCTCAATACTCAATAGCAAAGATGGAATATTTCAAAAGTTGACTTTGGTCAAGGCCACCGCAGAACTGACAAATGAAGCTCACCAGCACTTTATTTATTTGTCAAATCCTGTTCAGCTTAATAACTTTAGAGGGATTGCAGATGCCTTTTTTTTAGAAAGGGGGATTTATCCGCACATTCCCACAAAAACCACCAACAGATGCTCATCAATTAGAAATAAGGTGGTGAGTGACTCTTCCCACAGATCCTGATGTCGATCAAAGCCTCAGCAGGCCGGACATCATGTCAGCGACTGTTGTTTGACTGAGGGTGCCGTTACCTTTGACCCACAGCAGATTCATGTCAGTGTATCGGTGACGACCCGGCCTGCATTTGGCTTGCAGTGGTAGTAAGTCATGTGCGTGTGTCACTGTGCTACGTCCATGCATGCGCACTGACTTCCTGTTATGGCATCTGATCTGGTTAACGTGGCATCAGCAGGCTGCTGTAGATTCTCACAACTGTCACTTACAGACAGAGCAGGGAAACAGGAATAGAAGAAGACACAAGAGTCTGGGCAGCGGAGGAGGGGGAGGAGGAAGAATAGAGAATCTAAAAGTTAAAGCACAGACGAGGGAGATTTCTTCACAGAGCTGGAAGCATTTGAGAGAAATTCACCAAAGTATACAAAGCGAAAGAGCCTTCAAATGTCCTTTTCTTAAAGTTTCAAAGGGCTGACCAACGTTCTTGCCTTGTAAACAGACACTATGAAGGAGCAATTGCAGTGTGGTTTGGGTCACCCATTGTTTAAAATCTGTTTGGTAACTCAATAAGCCTGGAACTCATTGAGATGTTTTTTGATTCACATAAAAGTATAAACAGGTTGGTGTTGTTCCGGGCGAGTGCGCTTATGTTCCATTTGCTCACTTTTAAAGATCCAAAACAGATTTTTTCCCCAATCTCATGGAAACTGACCTGACGGAGGATACACCGGCCCACACTCTTTATCGGGGAAATTTTTGGACTGCTCATGTTGGATAAGTGCACGACAACTGAGCAAGCATCGAAACACAGAAATCTACCTCTATCCATCCACTCAATTGACTCACGATCTACATTAACACTGGACTTGATGATACTGTTTGCGTAAAGAGACATTATTGTCAGTTGTCAATTTCACTGAGGTCAAGAGAGCCCGGACTGGCTGGGTTACAATGACAGCATCTTCTGCGGGATCATATGGCAAGTCCTATAGTAGGTAGCCTGTATGTGCCGTATTATAATGATTTTGAATTGCTCATTATAGTTTAAATATATCAACGTCAATGTCAGCTTTATTTATATAGCACATTTAAAAACAGCTAGTGGTCTACCAAAGTGCTTTACAGTAAAATAGCCGGAAACAATAAAAAACTATAAAAACATTTAAAAACATAAAACAACAATATAGATAAACATAGAAATTAAATAAAATACCCAATAAAAGTAGCTTCACATCCCCAAAAGCTGAAGTGAACAGGTGCATCTTCAGAAGTGTTTTAAAAGTTAAAATATGAACTAGGGCGCCACGATTAATCGATTTTAAACCGTAATCTGATTATTTGATTATGACGATGTTAAAAAAATTACAATTGTCAAATTGATTTTCCTCTCTATCATGTCTTGCGCCTCCAGGCATCCGTAGGCTCCCCCCTCCTGTCGGGGCGCTCCCCATTTCCCATAAACACCAGTGTAAACAAACATGGCGTTTGCAAAAGAAGGCGATAATTTCGTGGCTAAATAGGACAAGAGCAAGTCAGTCATGTGGAATTGGTTTCGCAGTTTTAGAGGAAGAGCAAACCACTCCCCGCTGCAAAGTCTGTCTGAAGGCGGTATCAACCCGTCCACACGGAAGCTAATTCAGGAGTAAACGCAAAAGTTTTTGTCATATCTGTGTTTCATCCACACGGGAACGGCATTCTGGGTGACTGTAAACATTACTTTTTGAAAACGGGTACGAGAGTGTGTAAATCCATAAATGACTACCATTTCATGTGTGGATGTCTATCTGCATCTTTCAAAACGATTATGTCACTCACAGCGTAACTCTTTTATGGCGCCTACAGGTGTCTGGCCAAAACAACCTTCAATCGAAATCAAAAATCGAGTTTTCAGGCGGAAAAAAAAGAAAATCAGGATTTTATTTTTGGCCAAAATCTTCCAGCCCATAGTTCCAATGAAAGTTGGAATTTCAGCCTGAGCTCTTTAGTGTGCCCTCTAGTGGTATCCTCCAGTAAGACACAAGTATACTTACAGTTTTGTGCATGGAGCAGAAAGTTGTGCTTGCAAACAGAAGTTTAAACAGTAAGCATATCTACAACCTGAGATTGTACCCCACGCACCGAGGCAACTGTTTTTGTCCTTGAAGTCACTGGTTCGATTTGTGGCCACGCCCCCTTACTGCATATCATCCCCCATCTTCTACTCCCCACACTTACTGTCTCTCTTTCACCGTCCTATCCCATTAAAGCCAAAAAAAAGAGAACATATAGTAACATCCAGCTATCAGCCCTCATGCATGGCTACATCTGAAAGCATCAGTCTGCAGCTAAATGTCAGTGTTGCTGCATGAGTAATCCCAGGCTGCGTAACTTCGTATCAAGATACTCGGCGTGCACATTAAGGACAGTGTTCGGTATGCGGAGCTCAGCGTTGCACAAGAACATCTGCCTGCCTGCCAAGGATCCTCTGATTTTATCTTATCTCAGATAACACAGTTGTTGTCCAGAAAGCTCATCACAAACACACGCAACATGGAAACGCCTCTGCACTCTTTCTCAACTCAGCATCTCTCACACTGTCTCCCTCCGGCTCTCTCTTTTTGGCTGGGGGAAAGTCGGAAATAATTATTCCAGCAGTAAAATGTAACAGTCTATCACATAAAATGGTGGTGGAAATTTAGTGACTCACATACGAAGTGTTAAGGAGGAGTAATCTAACCTCATTATTTGAAGTTCAAATGAGAGTTTGCACCTTTCTTGGAGAGATAAGAAAGCATTTGCAGTCTGGATCAAATTTTCAGTTGTGTGTTTGTTGCTGTGGCTTCAGAGATTCAACGTATCACAAAGCGGTTTTGCCCTTTATCTGACATCGAGTGAGAAATACTTTTCTGACAGATCTTTTCTTATTGACAGACGTCAGAGAGGGGAGGGCCGGCGGTAGAACACGGACTGTCGTAATTACACTGATGATGGCAGCACCCGAATGCATCGTGGCCATGGCAACCTGCTGAAATAACAAACACTGCTGCCTCCTCCTTCGCTTTCTGCCTGCCGACAGGACAGCGCGCCGTGAGTCATCAGAGAACACACACAGTGATTCACACACACATGGTCAAAGACATATGAGCATAAAGAGACAAAATTATCCAGAGCTTTATGAATGAATCTGCAAACAAACACTCGGTTCATCCAGACATCTCTCTTCTGCAGCACTTTGAGTCACTTTTAACGAAATATTCAATCAACTAGATCATTCTTCCGTCACTACTTCACAAATGCTGCAGATTTTTCCGTTTTTCATCTGCAGGCGACCACCGTGAACAAAGAATAAAGCAGCAGCCCATTGTTACAAATGGAGCTAATGCAACATTAAGTACCAGCGTGGGTTGTTTGTGCATATGAAACCTATTTACACTCTCACCTGGATCCTATTAGCACTAGTTTGATTTCTAATATAAACCACATGAGACGATAGTTAACAGTCAGCGTGCGTATACTCATGCACACGATCAGGCGAATGTTTCGGTAACCACCACCCTCATTCAAAGCAAGAGACGGGGCGGTGAGGAGGGGATAGACTCCGCCTCTTACTGTCAGCAGCATGCTTTAATCCATAACACACACGCATATAAATACACATACTCCCTCAGGCACAGGTTAAAGAAAAACTGTATATCTGAAGTCAAATGCAATTAGCAGGAATCAATGCTGCCTGCTGCTCCACATGGGACTCATTTTTTGTGCCCAGTAGAGACTTAAGAGCAAACAATCGGTAGTGCAAAGTGTTCCCATGTGAGGAGACAGAGGTAAAATGACAATGGTGAGCTATGCTAGCTGTTTGTATTTACAGTAAAGGCTGTATGTGCAGCGTTATGCTAAATAATAAGGTATTGGTGCGCTCTGTTTTAGAGCAAAAGTCGGATATTCTGAGATGTCTGTTTGAAATCATCTGACAAAGCTTGCTAAACTCGAGGAACTCGAAGAGACTTTGTTAACTCGACTTCTGAGATGATTGCCCGCTGCACCAACAGTAAAGCAGGTGAATTTGTAATGGTGTTTATTCGCAACTCAGTTTTGTTTTGTGTAATTTTATCAATCTCATCAATAGTTTTGTGCAAGTTTTAACCACCTAACCACTTGAAAGCCCCAGTTCATCTACCAGAAACACAGTTTGTCTGCTAGCATATACCTTCACCGTGTTCAGGTGGAATAAAAGAACCGTTGCAGAATTTCCCAACATCGTTGTCCTCTTAGGCAATTCGTTTCAAATGAGATGTCCCTATTGGTGGCCAGTGGACGAGCCTTCTGACCATAGTAAGATTACACGAAAAAACCCTCTTTTGCACGTGCACGCATGAAAATTTCTCAGAAATTTTCAAAAAGCTTCTTCATGAATGTCACTCATGGACTGGATTCTTCACTGTTGGTCAAGGAGGGTGAGACTTCGGCCTTCTTTGGACGTAGCGATAGAGGTGGTATTAAATTTTTTTAGCCGCCAAAAAGAACACAGAGAGTTTTTACTGATAGCAGTTTTGTGTAAATTCCTCGGACGCATGCGGTCAAAAGTGTGCCGTGAAAGCACCAACGTAACAAACACCTTTGCTTGAGTGATAGTTTCTGCATTAATATGGACGTGACAAGCTAACGGACAAATTCACAGTTATCTTTGCTATTCTTGCATTAAATGTGATACAAGTCGCTCTCCCTGGTTTGCAACGATTGCATGATAAAACACCACCTACGGAGGATTTCCCCCTCTATTCCAAAATCTGCTCACCCTGACTCCTTGCGGAAATTTCAGTTTGATGTCGACAGGAAAAATTCCAGGTATTTTCAGGGGTTCTTTGCATGTGTGAATACAGCCACAAAAACGACTTCTGAAATCAAATCATGTCAGGTACTAAATTGTTTTTCCCCTATACTTAATGATCCTGTGTCTAATTGACAAGATACTTCTTAAAACTGCAGTGAAATGTAACTAGATGTGAAATTCTGCTTTTCCAGAACACCCATCATCAGCAGGAAATATCCAGCCGACCCTTTGGCCTAAATTTCCCCTGAAATAATTACATCCCATACAGCAGACCTCTCAATTTTCTCTCTCTTTGAACTGATTGTCCCCGTAGATCTTTCTTTTAATCTCCCTCATTTTGTCTAATATCCCGTCTAATGGGTGGGAAAGCTCTGAGTGATTCTCTGAATATTTCCCATGACTGCGACGGCTCCCCTTTCTATTATGTGAAGACTTTGGCTAATGCAAATCAAGCTTTCTTAAGTGTGTAATGCCTTTGCCCTCTGGTGTCATTCATTATAATTTCAGCATCATTTCAGTGGATTCAAATGAGGCTTTCTAGGAAAAGTCTTATTCTCAACGGGAAGCAAACCAGACGACTCGGTGCATTTTGACCGTATGCGACTGTTTCTGGCAACAAATCTAAATTTTGGTTTTGATTTCCTGATGGCTCAGTTGGGATAAAGTTTGGCTGAGAACAACCACCACAACTAAAATCCTTTCTCTACAGACTTGATGACGACACACGACCTGAATGAAGCCCTACAGCAGTTCGAAAACAACACAAACTCCAATCCGGTGAACCAAAATCACCTTGAAATACCAGACCCTGACATTGGTGATCTGTGCTTAAAGTCTGAGAGGAAAACTAGAAGACGAGGAGAGAAAAGAGAAGCAGGGGATAAAGACAGAAAAAGGAGTGTTTGAAAACGTGTCTGTGTGTCCTTTGGAGCATCCCCGGGCCCGTCCCCTCTGTTCTCCCTGCAGCCGATCGGCCCCTGCACCGCGAGGCCTGCACAGTTTTAGCCAGGGCCGGCACAGACAGACAGCTGCTATTAAACCCTGATTGTTTCAGGTTCACAGGGTGTGAAAGGGTCTGATTGAGGGGCTGTGATCCCAGTGAGGGTGGTCTTTCTCCCCTCCTCTCCCTCCCTCCCCCCACCTCCCTCTCTCTAACTGGAAGGTGGGAAGGAGGAGGAGGAGGAGGAGGGTTATTGGGGGGTTGAAGGCATCACGTGACGCATGTTTCTTGCTGAGCGGACCAAAATGGAATCTGGACAAAAACACACCACTTGTTGCTGCCTGCCTCTAGGTACCCAACCGGGATTTGCACATCACTGTTATCATAAAAAAAGCTATCAAGAGTTTGTGTTTGACAACTTCATTATGCAGGTGTGTCTTGCAGGACTAATTTTTCATTAAAAACGCCTCGACTTGATTTTTTTTCACTAAAGGTTTCGGCTTTTATCGCAGGTAGATTCAACAAAAACAAAACAGAACCTGCAAAACAAACAACCAGAAAATGGGGAAAAGTTGCATCCCTGATCTTAGAGACACGAAATAACAAGTTGAAACACAGGACACTGAAATGGTTTACATGGGACACTATGTTTGTTGTGTCTTCCTCTGCATAAAATCTTCAATATAACAACAAAGTCTTGACTGAACCCCTTCAATTTCGACTGATATGACCGTGATAAACCCCATCAGCCCTCTCCTCTGACTAGATAGCAGGACAGTTGCTTCCTGTATGGTCTATTTGTTTAAAGGCATTCCCCATTAAGGAGCCTTTTGGCCTTAACACACTTGATAAAGAGCAGGGAGGGCGAGGAAGCTCCCCTGCAGAGCTTTTCACACGTGGCCAAAGGACAAGTGCACTTTTACCCCGGCTCAACCTTGAGAGAAAATCGAGTGTAACTCGCCGGTCGGATTAGAATCGAAAAGTTAAATCCATCCAGCACTTGAGTTTTTGACTCTGTATTATTGTATTAGTCAAGGTAAATGCCTAAGGTGCTTGGATACTTGACTTTAAATTACATTTTCAACTTACAGCAATGTAAACAGCTATTCAGATCAGATCTTAATCTCTTTTTTCTCCTTTTTTTACCTCAAATGTATAAAAGATACATAAACATTACAATATTTTATTTGTGACCAAAATGTTACCTCACAGTTCCCCTTCATAAATAATCGCCCTGCCCTCTCATGTATCTCTGATCCCCCAAAAGCCCTTTGTGACTTAGTTGCAAATGCACTCTCTGTATGTGTGTCTGTGTAAATACTGTTTAGAGAGGTTGTGCGTTTGTGTGCTCAGCACTTCTCACTGTCACTTTGGAATAAATAAGTGTTTAGCTTTTCTATTGAGTCCAGTGTTGACGCTCTTCACTCCTCCAGGGCCACTGCATGGACGACCCGCGGCCTAATCTTCCCACATTAACAGCTACACTACCCTCTCACACCGATAATTAGATTAGACTCATTAATCCAACTCAGATTAGAGAGAAATCTGTGAAAGACTCTGCTGCGTGTTTGTTGTAAGTCAGAAAACAGACAAATATCCAGAGTGCAGGGATTCACTGAATCGCACACAGGAGTTTTCTGCCTCCTGAAGCCCCCCCACACACAGAGAGAGAGCTCAGGGATAATGTTGTTTTGTGGGTGTCCTCACAGAAACTCACATTTGGAAAAGATATTGGCACCTCAAGTATTTCAGGTTACAAGAAACAGCTGTTCCCGGGTGGCCCTGCGACCCTGGGCTGTGCCAGATGAGTTTAAACTGGGCTTGGAGTAAGAAAAGGAAGCACTGCACTCAAAGATGGACCTCTGAATGCAAGAAAAGTGACTTTTCCAAAGTTTTGAGACACTTTGACAAACTTTAACTTGTGCCACAATGTTCTTTAGACCTCATGATACTACACGGAGACACACACGACTCGTATTTTTACGCAAGAGACGAACTTTGAGAATGAATCCACACAAACAGCGTATTTCACATTTTCAGTTTGCATAAGCATTTCTTGAAATTTGGAGAGTGCGATGCGTAAAAATGCGTAAAAGTCACGCAAAGTCACCTGTACGGAAAACGCATTTGGACTTGCTGTAACCATCACACGATTTCAACGTTGTTTTCGCACTTCAAACAGAAGTAAAGACAGTCTCGAGCTCTCCAAACTCTAACACGACTTCCAAGCCGTGTACAAACCTGTAAGTTGTCTCATGCATCAAAGGTCGCCGGTATTTTCATAAAGCGAGTGTGGATCATCGGTATTACTCACCTCAGGTTAACGCAGCAGAATTCAGCATGAAACTTTCTGACTTGTTTCCCAGAGTCCTCGGAGGAGCTCACAGAGAGTTTCCAGTAAAACCTCCCTTCTTCTGTCTCTCTTTTCTCCTTCTCTCTGGCAGACGCGCTCGGATGGAGATGACTTGATTCTTCACAGAAAACCGACACTTTATCCTGATTCAGAAACGCTCTTCCATCCCCGTTTTTTTTCCCCTCTCTCTCTCTTCACGGTTACTTTACGCACACGGTGACAGAATTGAACCCCATGTTCGGCTATGGAGTCCCGCAAAGCGCCCTGGAGAAGTTGGTTGCACACACAGCCAATGTGGGAATGCGCACCCCCTTCCCTTCCTCCCTCCTCCCTCCCTTTCTCCACAGACTGTGGACCACCCCGAAACAGGAAGTTCACTTTTTGTTTTTCTTAAAAAAGGACCACGCTGCCTCAGATTTCCCGAAAGTTAACATGCACCTCACATTGTCAGCCCTGAATCATATATTTTCACTAATTTCCCCCTTTTTGTTCTTGTATCCAAATACATTAAAAGCGGTAAAGTAAAGTTATAGACGGACCCTACATCAGGCATTTGTGTGTAAAACACTCCTATAGCAGCAGTTTAGTTTATATAAAGTCTTCTTATCTGGTTATTGGGATAATCCATCTATAAATGCTTCTGTTTACTTTATTGGTGTAACTTCAGAGCAGCTCTCGGACAGCGTGTGTGGCTGCGGCTACGTGTGGGGATGCTGCAGATTTCTGCGCCTGGACACCCAAACCCTCCACAAAACCTGGACTGGACTTCAAACAGGACTAGAGGAACGAGTGCAACAGGTCTGTAGGAAAGAGTGGGGTAAGTTGAGCCACAAGAAATTGATCATGTGACCAAATATTTAGGAGATGGGCATCAATTCATGAAGTCTGTGAAGGTTAGAAGCACATGGGTGAAGGGGTTAGACATTTATTTACACAAAAAAAAAAACATTTTTCTTAGCATAAAAGTCCACCATTTTAGCTTAGAGGACTAATAAAGTCATCATTGTAGTTCTGGGGTAAGTGAGAAAGTAAAGGAGTCTGATGAGAGGATCAGAGTTTCAGTTCAGATTGTTGAAATTTTTTACTTTTTCTTTTCAAAAATTCAGATGTGAATGTTCTGAATCACTTAAAGACATTCTCATGTTAAATTTTTCTAGAAAACAGCTTTTTATCAGTTATATACAATAGTAATAAAAATAATTATTGTACCTGTTGAATAGTGTATAATAGATAAAAATACACATGAATGTGAAGAAGTGACTGTTATTTAGGGAGATAGAAGGTGAGGGAGGGCTGGGGAGGAGAGTGGGGGGATAGTAGGGATATGGCTCAACTTACCCCATACACGGGGTAAGTTGACCATAGGAGACCACTTTTTTTGGCATGCTATATTATCAAGACAGTTCTGTTTACACTCATTCTGTTGGTTTGCAGGGATGAACAACATCTACTGTTAGAAAAATGGTTGATTGCTGACATTTTGCTTGCTTAGCTTCCATGTAAAATACAAAGTTTTTGTTTAATTATACCGGTATTTGCAGAACCAATACTAATATATGTACTGCTACTGGGACTAATATTGGTACAAATACCTGCTAATACCCAAGTTTGAGCTATGTTGGAGGCTAACACTGATGCTGGTATTGGAATCTCATACCTGTACTAGTGTTAATACAGGTATTTATATTGGACACTTTGATACTTATACTGGTATTGGCCAATACTTGTACTGATATATTTGATGATACTTGGACTAATGTTGGCTCAGATACCTGCTAATACTCAAGTCTGAGCTACAGCATATTGGAGGTTAATATTGAAACAGGTACTGGCACCATTTATAAGATACAAGCGGTGATACTTGTACCATTATTGGTAACTGCTAATATCCTATACTGAGTCTAGACAGTAGTTTAAATAGCACTTGTTTGTATATGTATGTTTCTGCAGGTATTCAGCAGTTGAACTTTAAACCAAGAATGAAAGCTGTGTCAGAGTCTGAACAGTTGGTGACCTGAGCTGAGGCAGGAGTCCATTAAGAACATACGGCTAGTGGCTAAATCAGATTTTGTCAATGAGAGTTGTGGGCTTTAGTCCTGATATAGCTGCTGCTGGAGGAGCCAAGTAGGGAATCTTGGATGTAAACCTGCCCGCAGATGTCAGAGCCATATGCTTCATCTGATTGAGAGGGAATCCAACACAGGCCTCCCTCCAGATTATCAATGGGAGAGGGATTAAAGGTGAAGAAGCAAATACAGTCATCCCATGTAAAAATAGCCTCACTGGGAAGTGTAAGACAAAATTTTTAAAATGTTTATTTGAATCAGCGCTTTTTTAAAAATACAGTTGGATCTTTCTGCAATAAAATGAAAGAAGAGAGTTTCTTTAATGGCTCTGAAAGGGTCGGAAAACAGCTCTTAATTTTTCATGTTGGATTATCAACCACTGTGACAAAACAATATTTACATTAATTTAGTTTTCATGTCATTAAGAATGAGCCACGACAAAATACATAAACTACCATGGTGACTTCTGCTACTTTTTATTTTATTACCGTAGTTGTAGTCATCTTGGCAAACTGTCACCCACTAACACATTCAGCAGTCATATTAGGATTTAAAGGAATAACATTTGAGGTTATTTTCCTATAAACCTTACAAGTGTTATTCCAGTTTTCTCTGTAATTTGAGTTTTGTTATGGTCCGGACAAACTGCTTAAAGCTCCTCTGAGGAAATGTCAGTATTTGCCATTTTTGGCGCCACCTTTTGACAAAGCAGTCTTTGCTTATCTTGGCGTTTATATGCTCAAGTAATGTCCTCTACCGAAAAGAAAAAAAATCATCCTTCTGACTTCAGATTTATCAGTTATTGGGAATATTTTACTGAGAAAATATATAACAACTGGGTTTTTGCTTAAAACCTACCAACAAAAATTTCAGGCACTAAAAATAACAGAATAGTAGCCATCAGATTTGTCTCTGGTAGTGTGTGCTTTTATATCTGATAAAAAAGCATCAATATGAATTTAAGTTTGTATCATAAATGTAAAAAAAACTCCTTACTGGAGCTTTAATTGAATTCTTGGCACTTTGGACGCTAAATAATTTACATTGGCTTCAGGCAACACTTTCAAACTTTGTATGTCTGTTGTTTCTTGCCTGTTGGATATACATTGTGATCAATATTTGGGTTATTAGAGCATTTTCACCATAAATAGCTGCCTGTAACAAAGTTGTTGGCTGGTCCTGCCTGTAGATCGTAAACCCCAAGAGAGAATGGTAGCACAATGCTATACCCACCTCTCCTTTATTCATAAAAAGACAGAGTGAATGTCTCAATGAAGAGTGTGTGTGTGTGTGTGTGTGTGTGTGTGTGTGTGTGTGTGTCTGTCAGGGGTGTTAATACAAGAAGAAAAGTTGCAGGTGTCACTCTGTAAAGCTTGTTGAAGGCTTACAGGACTAGAAGGATTAGAGTCAAGATGTCGTAAGTTAGTCATTGGCTGTACCACTCGGTAAAGTGAACATGAAAGCTGTAAATGAGATGTCTCTCACCTGCTCATCACCTGAAACCCGTCTTAAGCATGTTATCAAAACCTTTCACTGCCCCTAATTGATAGCTTGCACTTCTGAAGTATACTGTTACCTCATTTACATTATGACATGAAATATTTCTGTTTAGGATATTCCCATAACACAACATGTAAACAGTGTCCAGGCTTGTTAAATTTGAAATAAAAGTGTGTAAGTATTTGTTTTAGAGGAAGAAAATCATAATTCACTTGCTGAGTTTAAAAACTGGATGAAGGATTTTCCAGGTTTAGATTATTTAAGGCCATGGAGGTTACGGAAGACCGTCCACATGAGCCAAGTGAGAGGGAGAGAAAGCATCTGTCACTGAGAATCAGAGCAGCTGGACAACAGTCCTCGGTGCTGCAAAATCCACAAAATCTTTTACAGGATTTGTTTTTCCATGCAGATGGTCCTTTGCACATGTTTTCTTCCCATTGGTCCGGGGTCCCGGGCTGACTGTGCTGCAGGTACTACATATACGGGCGCTCTCTGCCTGCAGCACCTCAGGCCTGACGGGAGGAAGCTGCAAGGAGAAGTGCAGGGGCGAAGAGGAGGAGCGGGTGTGCATGAATGCTGCAGAGTGGACAGGTAGGAGATAGATGGATAGTGTTGTAGTTTATTGTGCATGTAGCGAATTAAACTGCAGAAAGGCATGAGGAGTGGCTTTATCGTATGGTTTTAGCAGGAAAAGCATTTACATAGTTTGCAGAGTGCAGTCGTTTGTACTGATCCCAAAATGAGAAGTTACTTATAATCTGCCTTAATTTCTACCTTAGCAGACAAATGTGAAAATAGAATTATATCCGATGAAGCCAATTATATCATCATTTAGTGATTTGTTAGAGTAACAAGCTACTGCTCTGTTTCACCTCAAATTAACCCAATTTACTCAAAAAGATATCTCTTTATGTTTAATTTGATACAAAATATCTTATCAAAATTATGATCATAATTGATAACCACTGTATATTCACCGGCTTGAAGTTGTCTTCTTATTTTAACAGGGACTTTTAAAAATGTAGGTAAGACTCTCAGCAAAGTCAGGTTACATGATCATGACTGGAAACCTGTTTGTTTAATATCTGACAGGATTTAACTGATAGCACACACTCAGTCAGTCAGTCATGAGTCGTCGTAATCTGCAGCACAGCTTGAATGGATTATAGACAACAGACTGTAATTCAGTTCATATTTAAATTAATCTGATTCAGGAAAATGTTCAAATTTTCAGTGATAAACGATTCAAAACTTTTAGAGATATAAATAGAAAAGAGTCTACAGCTAAGTGTTTGAACTTAATTTATTTGCGCTTTTATCTGATGTCTCTTCTTTAATTCTGTGTTTTAATAACAATTTTTAGGGGGTCTAAAGCCTAAGCCCCTCAACAAACAGAGGCTATAGCTCATGTTACCGCGGTCAGTAGTTCAATTCCTGGCCATGACCCTTTCCTGCATGTCTTTCCCTACTCTCTCCTCTCCTAATTCCCGTCTCTCTTCAGCTGTCCTGTATAATAAAAAAGTCTAAATATATCACTTTAATTTGCAGTATTTAAGTAATTTTGCTCAAAAACAACAACTTTGTAACTGTCACAAGCAAAAGACATAGCTGAGAACTGTTAAAATAAAAAGACCAAATTATTGATGTGATTATTGACAAACTGTGCATGTGTGTCACAATGCAAGAGAAATATCTTTTACAGTAAATTTATAATTTTTTTCTCCCAAAACAAAAGAGCAT